CAACGTGATGCATCACCCATTGATTCCATAACTGTTTCTCATTGTTGTTGTCGTAAAAGAACTGTAGTGAGTCTTTCAATCCCTCTTCAGCTGAAACAGTGTAGCTCACCCGCCAAAAAAACTACAAAAAAAAAATGAGTCCTCCGATTCAACCTCCTGTTTCGTTTCCGAAAGCACAACTCACGGCTTTTGATCCGAGTGTGATACGATTTCCTCAGAGTGAACATGAAGTATTGGGATCGTTGGATAATTATTTTAATACCTTGTCCAAGTCGGGAGTTGCTTCTCCGATTGCTACTGACAGGTCGTTGGCATCAAGGGAGAGTGCTAACGTGGAAGCGGAAAAGAAACAGAAAAAAAATAGAAAACACTTGGATTTTAATGCCATTCATGAGGATAAAGCCATCGGAAGACAATTTTTGCAAGAAAAAGCGCTTCGGAAATATGAAGATTATTTGAGAACATGGAATGCTATTGAAGATAGAATTTGTACAAAACTTGAAAAGGTAAGTATGATTTTATGATTTTATTATTTCATTTCATTTGTTAAATTAATTTTTCATTTATTTTATTATTTATTTTCTTTTATTTTCTATTTTCTTACTGACACATGAAACATGGATAGCCCAAGAAAGATTTAGTAATGGAAAGTCATGAAAAATATCGACTTAAACGCGAGGAAATTGATTTCCTTGAAGCGTCTCTACCTGTAGAAACGAGACACAACGAATGGAGCTGGGAGCTTTCTTTAAGAAGTAAGTTGTAAAATCTTTTTGGCCTAATCATGAATCACGCATATTGTTAGAGGTTCCTGAGGACGACGGTGTAAGATATGTTCAAATTGGCTGGTATCCATATCCATTGTTTTGTCCAATTATTGAACCAAAAGTAAGAAGGTAAGTGTTGAAAATGATGACCTGGAGACACAAATCAAAAAGACCTACAACGGTTCGAAATCCCAATAAGATTGGAGTCATAAGGTAGGTTCACTCCATTTTGAAAATAATTGTCAAGTTATTGACAATTTTGCAGTGAAAATACATCACTAGGTATTCGAACTCTCAGTTCAGACTATGTCAAGTAAGTTTTCGAATCTATACGCCTTAGAAAGAACTCTTAAATCCAAAATTAAAGAAAAATGTATGGAGAAATTTTAAGTAAAACGTTTAAACATGATCCAGCTCCAGAACTTGAGGAATTACAAATTCAAGGAAAATCCATCACTGCCAATTATCAAACATACGACATTGAAGAGGAATTCTCACCAAATATTTATTCGACCCAAGATGATGACGTCATTGAGGAAGACACTTCGAATGTTCCTTCATTTTCTCTTTCAGAGAATGACATTTTATTTGATTGTACACCCAATGAACAATGCAAGAAAGAGATCATTCTCGAAAACACGGGTTGTTGCGCATTGAGATATAAATGGGTGAATCTTGAACCAGTCACTGATTTACAACGAATACGAGCAGCATCGAAATTCTTGCTAACTGATGAAAAGAGTGGAATTTTACTGCCCAATACCATGAAAAGTTTCACATTTTCATTTGAATCGGATATTGAGGGAATTTTCACTGATGGTTTTCGACTTGAAACCGTTCCAAAAGCGTTTACAGACTGTGATCGAGTGTTACTGAAAGGTGTTGTCATTTCAGATACCAAGGAATTTGATCCTTTAGAATCTCAACTCGTAAATAATGCCACCGAAGAGTATCACAATAGCAATTGTGTGGAAATTTCAAATTCTTCCTCATTACGAAGCACTCCATCTGAGAAACTCCCCGATCACAGAGAAGAAATGAGAAAAATCAAAAGTGACTTGTTACGAGAAAAATTCGTGGAGAGAAATAAGGAACTGCTCCAAGAGTTTCGTCTTTCAGTCATTTCAAAAGATTTGCTTCAGGCCTTTTACTGTTTGTACATGAACGCTCAGACGATTGTATTGAACTCTCAGCAGTCACCGTCCTCAATGCCCAATTCCACATGGGATTATTCCATTTTTGCTCTCAGAACCTTGATTCAGCAAGTGCAGGATGAGAGTACACGTCATGGGTTATTGAGTGTCATGTTGCAGCTGCTTCGAGTTCTTGAGAGGGAGCAAGTTGAAAATTTGGAACAAGAAACTCGCAACTTGGAGACCAAGATTCGACAATCGATCATGTATGAACAGTTTGTGGAAGCCATTGACGAATTCTTGGATACTGCTTCCTTTCTACATGACTCGATGTTCAATTCAACGAATACTGATCCTAAAAAGCCCTCAGGAAGTACAACCAAAGAAGACTCGCCAGAGACACTGAAGACCTATTTAAAGAACTTAACTCACCAAACCTACACCATCTTTGGAAATGCAATTTCGCGAGTTGAAAGTTTGTGGAAGCAACACTTGGAAAATAATTCTAAACTTTTAACAAGCAGTAATGAAGAACAATAAACAAGTTGAAAATGGTGAAAATCTGTATGAGCTCCAACAAAAACTACTTGTGAGTCTTTAAAAACTTTTGAAGAATGCAATCTGCAGCTAATCGTGGTGACATTTCTCCTTGTTCCACATAATTTTGAATACCTGTAATGAATTTAGAAGTTGTTTCATCTCCGTGCAACAATCGAGTCACTAATTCCTCATTGACTTGTTTCCACATCCAAGTCTTTCTCTGTTCTTGCCTCTTCTTCTCAATGAGACCATGTTCATTCATCACTTTCCTGAATGCAAGGGCCTTTTCCCAAACATTGGAAACTGGAAATTTTGTCTCCTCCATTGGATTTTCTCTTCTTGAAGAACACAACACCACTTCAGGATAATAGACACCTGGATATTTTGGTCTCATGTAGTGAAGAGCGCTTCGATATTCTCCTCTTGCTCTTCGTGCAACATAAATTAAGTCACCATCAGCCTTATTTACAACCACCAAGTCAGCCACCTCGACAATTCCTAACAGGTGTCAGTGTGAATTTTTCATCAAATAATTTCATATCATTTAAAAAAAATTGAACATCAATTAGATATTGATTTTCACAACCAATTTCCAAATGATTTCAACATTATTCGATATTCACATCCAATTTCCAAATTGTCATTTTCAAATTTGATTACATGCCATTCATTGCAATTAAATTGATCAAAAGCATACCTCTTTTCATGCCTTGTAACTCATCTCCTCCAGCAGGTGGTACTACCAAAATGACCATATCTGTCAAATCTGCCACCAATGTTTCTGATTGACCAACACCAACAGTCTCTACAAGAATATTATCGTAGCCAGCATATTCACATAAACTAATAATTTCATACATGTTAGCAGTGACACCTCCCAAAAATCCCAATGAAGGAGACGGCCTTATGAAAGCCTCTTCCATTCTTGAAAGTTCTATCATTCTAGTTTTATCTCCGAGAATTGATCCTCCTGTTCTGGTACTACTTGGGTCGACTGCCAACACTGCTAGATTTTCATGTCGATCTTTAATGATGTGTTTTCCAAGTGCCTATGAATGTGTGTGAATGATAACATTGAGTAAATTTATCAAATTATCAAGATTCAATTTCTTTTAAAAAATCCATAATTACAAACTAGAGAAATTGATTCACAACACATATATCCAACGTTAATTAATTCTATTGGTCTCGATACATACCCTCAATCATGGTTGATTTTCCTGTCATCAAAGTAATTTCAAATTCATCATGATACAAATTTCACAACATGATCGTTCGAGGTCATACAAAAAATAATCAAATCAAAAATCCAATCAAAAACCAACCTGCTCCTGGTGGCCCAGAAAGTCCAATTCTAAATGAAGGCTTAACCTCACTCATTGGTTTCAATTTTGCCAAATATGCCAATAAATGTCTTGCTTGTTTATGATGTTCCAACAATTTTGATTCTACCAAAGTAATGGATTTACTCAGAGCTACTCTACTTCCGTTCAATAAATCTTCAGCTAATTTGGCAGTACGGTCCTCCATTCCCTCAAAATTATGTTCATGAATTCTTCCTAATTGTGTAAGCCTATTCAACTCTTCATCTTCTTGAGAATTAATCCTCATGTTATTATAATCATTCCGAACGAATGCCCGATCGGTATGATAATTTTGTAAATTAAAATTCACACAATGATGATGCTTGTTCTTCACCAGAGTCATGACCGATGAGGTCCGTGATGAAACTGACTTGAAAGCCATTGGTGAGAGAGTCAGCAACAAGCCTCGTTTGAACATTTTTAATTATTATTTTAAAAAAAAATATTATTTATCATCTTTAAAGAGAGAGTAAACAACTGATGATCCGATGACTAATGGAATTCAAATATTATTTACTATGTTGATTGTGGGATATCATGGCTGAAGTTGAATGTTATTCCGATCATGATCATTGTAATTTCGTTCTAAGAAATTTAAAAATTAAGAGTACAAAAGTTGATCTCGTGGTGGAATGTTATTGTTTAAATTTTATGGAATCTGTTGAACATTGCATTAGGTCTTCTTGGGGAATGAAACTAAGGGTAATTTCAGGAATTTAACTTGCTGGTTTTGCAATAATTGATTTTATTGAATGTCACATGCCGATGTTGTGAAACCTGCAATCATTATTCAGTACGGAGTACATTAAATTGCTCACTTCGGAGTTTTCACAATACAAAATAGAGTCTTCCACCATAAAAGATATTGTGACCATTTTCATACTACTGTTCACATTGAAGCAAATCCCAGCAACATTGGTTAGATGCTTGTTATTTCAGTCATAATGTGCTGTTTGCATTGAAAAAAATCATTCAACAACATTTTCAATTCTATATTCTCTCAATTTGACGATGATGATGACCGTTCAAGAATTTTCAACTTGTCCAACACAAGCAGCATCAACCATCAAATGCACTGCTCCACTCTTACTAGACCACTCTGAATTATTTCAAGAAGCTACAACCTTTCTTACTCAACTCTTTTCAGAAATGAAGAAACCAGAAGGTGCTCTTTCGCAACGATTGCAAGAGGTCAAGCAAGAAATTGAACAGACTGGAACCTATACTCATACGAGTGAAGAATTGACCATGGGATGTAAAATTGCATGGAGAAATACTGTGAATTGGTAAGTGTTGTGTATAGTACCATTCTATTTCTATGGTTGACTCGATGAATCTTCACATGTGTTGATGGATGGACGGTCTAAACACTCTCATATGAAATTTCACATCTCTATATTTCAAATTTGAAATTTGATAGTATTGGTAAAACTCATTGGCAAGTATTAACCGTTCATGATCAACGTCATTGTCAAACAGAACAAGAAATTTTCAAAGCTCTCAAACACCACACTCAATGTGCTTTCAATCATGGAAATATCAAATCGAGTGTGACTTTGTTCAGACCATGCTCTCAACCAGATGGATCTGATGAAATTCGAATTTACAATCCACAAATCATTCGTTATGCTGGTTATGAAAATGAAGATGGAAGTGTTTTGGGAGATCCTGAACATGTTCAAATGACTAAGGTAGCTCTCGAATTGGGATGGAAACCTCCTCAACCACGAACACGATTTGATATTTTACCTCTTATCATTCAGATGGGAATGAATTCCACTCCAAAATGGTTTGAATTACCTCCCGAATACACGACAGAAGTTTCATTAGAACATCCCAAGTTTGAAAAGACGAGTGACATGAAATTGAAATGGCATGCTTTACCTGCCATTACGAATATGCGATTTGAAATGGGAGGTATCTTTTACACAGCTGCAGCATTCAATGGATGGTACATGACCACAGAAATTACTCGAAATTTTCTCGATTTCAATCGATATAATCTCATTGATGAATTTGGAGCTGCCATTGGAGTGAGACCTGAGAGTGATACAGAATCTAAAAAGAATCCTCTCTGGAAAGATGTTGCAAGTGCTGAATTCAATATTATGGTTCAATATTCCTTTGAAAAAGCAGGAGTGAAAATTGTAGATCATCACACAGCTGGCAAGCAATTTTGTAAACACATACAGAATGAAGAGAGACAAGGAAGGGAATGTCCAGCTCGATACTCTTGGATTGTTCCTCCAAGTGCTTCGCATTTAATTCCAGTGTTTCATTTGAGAATGAGGGAATTTGTGTTGAAACCAACAATATCGTATCAACCAGAGGGAAGTTATCAATTTACGTTCACACCAAAGCCAAGAGGTGAGATTGTACCTGAAGATGAAGATTGGAAGTCTGAGAGTCCATTGCAACAGAAGAAGAAGAAGATAAATTCGAATAATGTCAGTCGTCAAGATAGTCACCAACAAGCTCGTGCTTCACACAGTAAGAAGGCAACAACTAATGGAGCAGCCAATGTGAAAATTAGAGCGTTCTCATCGAGAGATTGGATGATCGTGATGACGCTGTTGGGTATCTTGCTGATGTTTGTTGCTTTCCATTATTCTGTGGTAGCTTTAAAGTCTGAATAACAACGAGTTTTGTTTGAACACGCCCAGTGTCGTGGCTCATAGTCTTGCGAACGCATTCATCAACTATAAATGGTAAGATTGGAATTGTAACCCGTCATTTTACACTTTACAATGTGCGACAGCCAACCAAAAGTTCATACTTGTTGCCCCTACAACTTGTTTTCTTTCATTGGTCTTGAAGGGATCACGTTGATGAAACACCTGTCATTCCTTGCAATGTTGCACTCTCTCGTCGACACACAAAGGAATTAGAAGACGACCCAATGAGAGGATGATGAGCGAAAACATTCTCGAAAAAAAAATGAAAGAAGCAGGTGTTGTAAGTTGTTCATAATTTTTATTGTTTTCTCGTTAAAATTTACCGAATACGGTGGTGTTGGTTAAAAACGGTTTCATCATCACGCTATCTAATGCCGTTGGTTGCTTCTTGTTACTTACTTTTTATTCGTGTGGTTGTTGGTGTTGGGCGTGATTGGAATGTCCTTCAACATTGATGAACGACCTCACCTTGGGATGATGACACTTTTGATATTCCTTTGCTGATGATGATCATCATTTGAATTATTGGTACATGCCAACAATTCCAATCGCTATCCTCCTCCTCATCCGCATACGGATCACGTTACCCATGATATTATTTTCAATTTCATCACCTACGCATGTTATGATATCTCATCCCACCTCTCTCACAGGCTTATATTCTCTGGCTCGGTTGTTGCATTGGTTTCTGCGGTTTGCATCGTTTCTACCTTGATTCCTTCCTCTTGGGTATCATTTGGTTTTTCACTGGTGGTATCTTGGGTTGGGGTCAATTGATTGATCTCATTCTCATTCCTGGTATGGTTGAAGATTGCAATAGAAAGTATGGTCAACCAACCGTTACTACTGCTGTGACCAATGTCACTTACCAAACTCAACCTGTGGTTCAACAACCATACGTTCCACCACAACAAGCTTATGTTCCACCACAACAAGCATATATGCCACCACAACAAGGTTACATTCCTCCACAACAAGGATACGTTCAACAAACTACATACACTACAGCTACTTATTAAATACAGTTGTGATCGTTGTATATATCAATATTCATTTTCTTGTGCTGTTCGTCAGAAAACACCTATGAAGATCATTATAACTAATGGATGTCTGAGTCCACAAAATTCTTCAGTCTTTGTACCTTTCAAATGTCTCTCCACAAAAAAAAATGATGCTTGTTAGAAGAAGAGGAGAGGATGAACTACAACTCTCAGCATCCATTGTCAAAGTTGAGAATTTACCTATTGATCCAAAGTATGTGATCTTGCTTGTATCAATCTCGTGACAATGATACACCAATGATGGAATAATTATTTATATTTTTCATTGATTCCAATGACATACAATTAATAATATTATTTAAAAAACATCATTCCGAACACACTTGATCATTATTCTCACAACAATTCAACATGATTTCGAAACGATGATCCTCCATAAAAAAATAATAATTTAAAAACACAATTCATCACACGACTTTCATCACACTCAGCTCCATCTATGTCGTTTTCACTTTCGATCAAGTTCCAAAAAAAGTCGGATCGGCAGATAAAAACCTCGAAGGAAAAAACAGTTATGAATGGTCCGAAACTAATAATAATGTCATTTTCAAAGATGTTCCAGAATTTAGTAATGAACGATTGAAAATTGAGGTGAAAGATAAACAAAGTGACAAGATTGTGTAAGTATTGAATGATTACATTGAAGGTTGCCATGACTGACTCATTGAACATTAAATTCACTTTCATCCATGTACCGATTGATTCATTGTGACTTTTCTAATTTATGACCAAATTTCACACTGGATGGACTTGGACATTTCCATTTAAAAAAAATCAAATATTACATGAAATTTTAAAAACAAAAAAACAGAGGAATGACAACCACTTCATTGGATACACTTCCCAAAAATCTCGAAATTTCTCGAAAACTCAAACTTTACGACACCAAAAACGCAGTCTGTCACGTTCGTTTGAAAGCCATTGGTTTTGGTGTCGAGCAACGTTTATTCGAAGTTCACAAAAACGTCATGCCCTTTCTTCGATCCATTCACACACCGTCAGATGCCATGCGAAATGTCGTCGTGTTACCAACAACGATGGAAAACTTTTTTGGATTGGAACCTGCCATTGAGGCTTTGAAACGTGTGAAGGAACGATTTCCAAGTGCTTCCTCTCATCCATTGTATCCAGTGTTATTGATTTTTCCTGGAAAATATTTAGTGAGAGAAACGATTAAAATTCCAGCATCGTTGAATGGGTTGGTAATTTTTGGAGTGACAGATACGAAAGAACGAGTGCATTTGAGTTCCAATAAGAAGAATGAACCCATTTTTGATATTGCCATTGATGTGAACATGATTCATATGCACGGTTTGACATTTGATGCAGATGGCTTGTGTGCCAAAGTTTCATCGCCAACTACGAAATTAGAGGCCTATTCGTGTGACTTGTCCAAAATTTGGCCATCGAATAGTAGTGCAGAAGTTGTAAATTATGAGTTTTTTGGAGAGGAGGATTTGGAAGATGATGAAGCGTTTTATTAAGGTGACCTGGCCAGATGATGATCATCATGTCTGTGCATCCACTTGTTGGAATGATCATTCTTATCACACAATGAAACATACACAATTATGATAATATAAATGACAGACTTCAATTTATTTATACCATGTCATCCTCGTCTTGTTGAAGAGCTTTATACGAATCTTTCGAGAAGAATCCCTTGTCATGCTCATCAATATCCACAACTACTGCAGAGGGTGTCGATGCCAAATCATCTCTCGATGAAGCAGAGCTCAACAACAATTGATCCACTTCATGATTACTGCTGCTGGTACTTGTCAAGGATTTTTGAACAACAGAGTGTCCAGTCTGTGATACTGTATTGCTGACTGGAATTGTATTTCCACTTTCATTCGTGATCGTCATTGTTGATGTGGCTGCAGTAGTGGAACCCATAGTGACAGGTGGTTTGGTAATTCTGAAATTGTGAGGAGATGCTGGCGGTAATTGTTTCAAATTTGTAAGATATGGACTCATCCATTCCAATTCATGAGGTAATGTTGAATCTTGAGTGATGGCTTGGGCAATAATTTCAATAAAGTCTTTCTTGGAAATTTTGACAATGGAAGTATCCTTTGCAATACGAGCATCAAAATCAGGAATGAATTTCTCTTTGGTTAATGCACGCTCTCCCAATAAACTCCAAGGACCCATCTCTGAGACAAACTTATCCTCTCCAAATAAAATTTCAATTTTACCACTCAAAACCAATGTAAAGTAATCACATTCCTTTCCCTTTTCTGTGATGAAAATTTCACGATCTGGTGTCTTTTTAAAGTCTATCACAGCACATTTACCCAATAATTTATGAAGACAATCTTCTGGTAGTGTTCTAAAGATGGGTGAGCTTTTTATCAAGTACGAGCTGACAGCAAGCACTTGTTTTGGAGTGAGTCTGTGAATTCTCTCAAGTTTGAGAAGAATACTATTTTGAGGGCGATTAATTTTAGAGAGTGAGGTATTGTCCACATAAATATCTGTTTCATCGACAATTTCATCCTTAATAATTTCCTCAATAATGTCTTCAAGTGTCACAATACCAACAATGGCATAGTAGGGATCTCCTCCGCTTTCAGGTTCCCTTGGCTCGTGAACAATGGCCATGTGTGTTTTACCAGATTTGAAAATTTTCAACATTTCATCGCAATATGTGTCTGGAAAAACCTTGAGCACTTCTCTTCCGTAGAATGTGAGAACAGTAGAGAGCGGTAAAGACTCTTCTGGATTAATCAACACAAGGTCCTTCACATAGAGCATACCAATAATATTATTCTTATTTCCCTTATAGACTGGAATACGTGAGTGACCTGCTTGCCAAATGCTGGTCATGCTGTCCACATCGAGTTTACCGTCCACGTCCAACATGTAGGCATTTTCAACTCTTGTCATGATTTGGCTTACGGATGTTCGAGCAAAATCCAAGGCACCTCCCAAAATTTTTGCTTCGTGTTCAGTGAGGTGATATTTAGGGTCGTGAGTTTTGAGGTGAATATTGACAAGCTCCTTCAATTCTGTTCTCTTGAAAAAGGTTCCATGATCTGCTCCAAGAATCCAATCCAGTAATTTACCTACAGGCCATGCAACAACAAACGCACCAGCAATCAAAATCCACACAAACCAATAAAAGGTACCTCCAATGGCAATACCATATCTTGTAATCACAGCTTGAGGAATAATTTCACCAAAGAACAAGACGGCCGTAATACCCAAAATAATTGCAACATACTCGGGTACAATCTTGTCTAAAAACAAGGGCAAACACTCGACACATACGGCATTCCACAATAGTAATGTAACCAATAACAAGTGGTGATTCTTTAAAATTGGTGCCAAACGTGCTGCATATTTCTTTTCTCGTTCTGTACCTGTTTTTTTGAGAATATCCAATTGCATGGTGTCAATGGAGAGTAGACCTAAATTGAAGCCAGACATGAGACCAGCACCGCAAATAAATATCATACTTAAAATGGAATAGACAATGTATTGCCACAATTCCAAATGTTCTCCTTCTTCTGTGGTGTGAGTAGAGTTTGAATGATTCTTTACATAATCGACACACATCTCTGGAATTTCAGTACTGCTACCACCGGTGCCTTCATTCATCATATCTTTGATATTGAAAAGACTTGTTCTGTGGCTAACAAAAAGACGAGCACCGTTAACAAATATAAATGTGTCAGAATGAATATCCGATAGCGAGGACGAGGACGAGGTGGGTTCATCATGATGATTTTCCAAACGCATCAACACTGAGCAAGCACTCAACAACACAAGGATGGTCATGACCACAAGAAACATCCATTGTACAATTTTCATTGGGGTTGTGCCATCACGATAATTGTTGAAAAATATTTTCTTGTTGGTGATTTTGTGAGTAACAGTATTGTTGGTAGTATCTGCTACTACTATAGCAGGTTTTTCCTCCTTCTTTTTTGAAAAAGTTTCCTTCTTCATTTCATTTCTTCTAATTGCTGTTTTCATCATCGGCATGCTATCATCATCAGAACGAAATGAACCAATGACATTGTCCGATGATAAGGAAGTTACTGCTACCGCATGATATTGCTGTCCCGCTTTTTCATTACTTGTTGGAATTCCAACAACACCCATGAAGCTGGCAGCATGAGTGGTCAGGGCTGTGTTCATATGAGGAGAGTGGTGCTTGCGATGCTCGCAAATCAATTTTTTTTGATGATTTTTTGGCTCTTGAAAATCAATGTCATCCAAAATCTAGTCCTCAACAACAAAAGGTTTAAGGGAGAAGATAATTATATTTATTTACATCATGGTCATGACCATTGAAATGGCTACTACTTCTTTTTCTTGTTGGTTTTGCTTGATTTGCTCGTTTTTGGCATACTATTAAAGTATTGTCTCGCATACTGGAGAATATCGTTTTGATATCTTTTAAATTCTTTTGGACCAATATCTAATTCTTCTCTGAGGGAGTCTTTTGAGAATTCCTTCTCACGAAGACGTAATTTCTTGACTGCAATTTCAACCAGAGATTTTTGTTTTTCTCCAAATGTTCCCCAATGAACCTCTGTGAACAAGCACACATGGTTTAAATGTATGAATTGTAAAATAATAGTAATGTTACCTTCTTTGTCATTCCAATGATTCACTTACCTTCAATATCTTTGGGTTTAATTTTGTAAAGTTTACGATTGGAGACTCCAATCCAATCATTTCCAAAGTTATATTGTCCTAATAATCTGTTTGGTTTGGTTAAAATATACAGAACAGCTCCTTCTGTAGCAAAATGATTGTACTCGTATCGAATTTCCAAATTATTTTTCTTTCTGTATTCATCATTCAAAGCAAAATCATGTTTTTGTCGTTCCTTACAAATGTGACACATGTCAGCAAAGTTGACAAACTCGAACAATTGTTGGTGTGTATCGTTGGGATCAATAATCGGTTCAATATTACCACCACTTTTAAATTGCATGAATAATGGCTTCAATGCAATATCAAAATCATACTTGACCAAATGAGGTTCTTTGATACCACACAATTCACATGAAATGGATTGAATTTCAGGTCGTTTGAAAAATTCATGAAGGACTTCAGGAGGATGACTGATATCTAAGGTTCTCTCGGAGTGATTCTTTCCAAATAGTGCTTCTTTAGTGAGAGCAAAAAAGTCTCCAAATTGAGTGTCGGATAAGGTGGCACTTCCTTTGGTTTTTGCAGAGACGAACATTTGTCCAGAATTGTCATAGTATTTGAAGAAGAGAATGTTAGTTCCGTTCCATCTATTTACACAGATACGTGTGGTGATGTTCAAGAGGTGAGTGTGTCATGCAGAGCAACACACATTGAAAATTCACATATGGTACAATTGTGACAAGTCCATTCATGGATTGCACATCATTTTGGTCATGATCATTTACAAAATATTGTTCTCAAACTTACTTGTTCGTCAATGCAAATGCAACAATGTTATCATCGGTCTGAAAACTCGATTTATATTTACAAGAACCAGGAACTTTTTTCTTTTTAGGTACAATTTCTTCGGCTCCTTCAAACTCCTCCAAATCATCACTATTTTTCTTATCTACATAGGGATACAACAACTTGGGAACACCATAAATCTTTTGTGGTTCATTCAATTTCACCTGATTCACATGAGTGATGAAAAGACTACCTCCGAAAGGTCCGTCTTTTCGACAAATAAATCCTTTCAAGGTATTTGAAGGGTTGAATGGATCTACAATTTCGAAAGGTTTTGCTTGCTTATTGGAGACGTGAAAAAAGTCAGCAGCTTGAGATTTATCATTCGACATTTTTTTAGGTTGAGTTTTTTACATGGAAAGATTTCAATTTTGGAGTTGACCATCGTTTCCTGTGCTTGATGATGAGTTACCTTTTCGTGTCATCCTGTAGTATGAGTGTCTGTGGTGTGAGGGTTGGAGATGAGTACTAAAGACTTTCAATTCTTCACAATCTCTGGATCCCAGATAAAATAATCGAACTGAAAAACTACAGTTTCCTTTTAAAAAAATCGAGTGCTATCCCAGTTTAATGGTTCGGGAGCTGTAACGGATGAAGTTTTAAAGAGCGTGTGGGCAATATACAAGAAGGCTTAGAACATCATTCTCATCATCAGCATCATTGAATAACATATTATTATTATTACGACGCTCCAGTGTATACACTCTGGTTGTTCTGTAATAATAATTTGAAATCACAACAACTCTTCCGAAATTTAAATCAAGCCTTGATCAGGTGTATTTCATCATCACCAATTTGTAACTTAACACACCTGTAAGGCATGGGAAGCTGCCTTTCATCAACATCCACCATCCTGGAGCATCAAAAACATAAACAATACAGTGCTCAAAATGATTCAAAATCCTTCTTCTCACTTCCAATTCGCTCTCCACGACATTCACAAGAGTTGAAAAGATCTACTTCAAAACCAAAGAAACACACAAGAACGAGAGCCCTCCCCAATGTTTCTCAATCGCATCCTCTTCCCTAACGCAACCCTCACTTGGATTGCCTCATCCAACAGCAGCTCCTACAGCAAGAGCGCTCAAAGAGTTCTCAAAGAGTTATTTGGGAACAAGAAGAGATGAAACCACGTTGGACGATGTATCCTCTCTCACCGATGGGAGAGCCTTCTCATTCAATAGTCGTGGAAGCAATTCATCTCTAGTTTTACCGAAAGCACCAACAACATCGGTATCGGGCTTGAACAAGTGCTTCAGCAATGCTTCCAACTCGTCCCATGTAAAAGAAGCAAGTGTTCTATTGACGGTAGGCTCCACACTGTCTTACAATTCGGACAGAGCACTCTCCATGCGGTCAACTACATCTTCAGGTAGTAAGGGAAAGTTACTAGTGGCTGTAGATAGTAGGCGTCTGAGCTCCTTGGAATCGGGTGCATCCAAGTCGTCACCAAGAAATGAAGAAGGCCAAACTCTCGCCAACAAGGCAAGTCAAAATCAATTACTTAATGAGAGTGAACCGTCGGCAGGACTTTCTCAACAAACGCCAGCTGTTTCATTCACCCCCATTACCATCATACCTTCGAATAAGGATTTATCGCATATTAGAAAACGAAGGAACACAGATGTGATGGCTAATTTACCTCCTATTGTGCATGATGCGACTGGCAGCCAAGAATATTTAAATGCAGAAAACAATGAAAGAATTCCCTCTGAAACTGAAGAGGATGAAGATTGTTACATATTTGCCGACTCATTTTACTTTGGCTCCTATGAAGAGCTGGTTCAAACGCCTTCAAAAAGCCGAAGTTTCGACGAGAGACACAAAAATGCAAAAATCATACATGCCTTTTCTTTGAAACAAGGACTTGAAGTTCCAGACTCAGACTCTGATGACACAGATAGTCAAAGTTCAGGTATCTCAAAAACCATGTCATTCTCTTCCTCAAATGTGAGCGATTGTTACAATTCAAGTCATTTGGGTGCTTTCGCAACCGAGGATGAAATGAGACGTTTTGAAATGGATGAATATATTAATCTTCGAACAGTAATAGCCAATGAAGAATTGGAGCAACTTAAATTGTATGAATTTCCTCCTTGGTCTAAAAGATTTTCAAGCGATCATGATGAGGCCAAGGATGACCAGTCGTAATTGACGCCAAGATGTTGAATTTAAGGATATGTTAAGAATATGGTTTGTGTGGAACTACTACTAGAACTCCATTGTTTTGAGAGTTATCAATGGAAAAGGTACCACAATCTGCTGCATCACAGCACCGAAAGCCACTGCCAGAAGCCCTTTGGATTATGTAATCGAAAAACCTTGTAGTTATTGCAGTCACTTTGCAAAATCTGTGTGATTAGTTACAATACAATGTACAATTTCTGAACATCCTCAACAATCTCAGATCAGAGAAACTCAAAAACTCATGTTCGACAACTGTTGGTATTGTTTGACATAACATGACGTTAACACCCGCACCAAGAGGTCTCTATTCCGATCATTCCGTAAGCGTCTTTATGTATCGAGCAGGAATGAAATATAAGGTTTAGGTACTATCACATTGTTTGGCAATATGAGAATTCTCTTCGTTGTCAAAATTACAAATGTACATTTTTGAAACCGTCCCGTTCTTACTTACCGCTCCACAGCAACCGTTTCGAACCCATCACAACACCTCAAACAATTGTACCTGCTAGAGTTCTGTTCCACTCGACACTGTTGGGAAGATTCTTCATGTCGAATGTCGTTCGACCATTGCGTATGAACATCCAGTGATAATGAAACCGCATCAACAGGTGTTATGAACGACCAAACACACAGCACGACCATTCCTTCACGATCCGTAAATAATTTTAACAGAGATACGAAGCCCAAAAAAAACGTCAACTGCCGTTCCTCATTCGCAATTTCAAAATTCATCACGAGCTCAAACCATTCATTGACACTTCTCAAGGCTTGTTATTTCATCACACCGGAACATTCCTTGTCCTCCTCCAACGCTCACGACCATTTCTCCTTATTAATTTGACAAATTTTGTTACAAACTTTACAAGAACACATGTCTTCGCAAAACATTTTGCAAGTATTGAACCAATCCACCAACGGAGTGTCACGTGGGAGTGGTCTAATGAACAGTCCTTCTCCGAATAGGTCAATGGTAATGAACCATAACAACAATTATTCTCCATCTCTAAACGATCCGATTGGAGGTCAAAACAATAATTATCAAATCATGCTTCAACAACAACAACAATTGACGAATTATAACTTGTCTATGTTACAAAATGTAAGTAGGATTTCAAATAGATGACGTTCTTGAATCTGTAATTATCTTCCGTGCTTGTTCATTTTATGGCTGCACTGCTAACTGTCAACCTTCAACAACTGTCATGAAAATTTATTCAACCACTTAGAACATCCAAGGAAACAATTCGATGACCGCCTATAACAATGGTAATATGTCTCTCTCTCCCAATTACCATGTCACAAACCACTCAACCTCTCCACCAACCACACTGAGTCCAAATTCCAGCAACACAACCACCTCAAGCTCCAACTCAACCACAAGTACGAACCACACCAATCTCATGTTCATCAACGAGACCACCGCTGACGTTTTACAACGAGGTGCTTTTCCAAATTATGATCTAAGCGCTCCCTCAACCCCTAAAAAGAATTCCTCTCCACCTAATTCGAATGTTTTATGGACACCTCCTCCTTCTTCGAACGCATTATCGAACAGTCCAAATATCAAGTCACCTCCTTCATTGAAAAATATGAAACAACATTCTGCTTCGACTCTTCATACAGCAACTTCGTTGAGAATGAAAAAGCATTCGGGATTGGGCAATTTTAAGAATAATTATTTTGAGTTGGAAATGAAAAAGACACCAAAATCTCAGAATGCTCCGTTGATGGACCATAGCGGAAATGGTAATGGGTCATCCAATACTGCTGCAACTACTTCTAGTACGACGACATCATCACCTGCTCGAAGAGGAATTGAAAAATCTTCAAGTTTTTCCAAGAAGAATCCATTACTAAATTTGGATCGACATTCATTGGCAGCTGCATTGAGCCAATCGAATTTATTGCATCCCAATCAGCAATTACAAGAGGTTGGAAACAAAAAGTTTTCTCTTTCATATAATGAATTGCCAGAAGATTCAAACATTACAAATTCTTTGAGCTCATTGTATGGTCAACCTCAAGCACTGATTGGACAAGCCCTTCATCAACATGTATTGAATCCAAATGGTTTGTTTTTGAATGGCACATCGTCGTCATCGATGAACGGTCAAAACTCAATGATGGATCATGTCAACCACAATTATTCCCAACCATCTTCTGGAATGATGAATCAACAACCACAGACAGAGCCAACGACTCGTAAAAAACTGTTGACCTCTTCGGCCAGCACTCCAAATTTGTTTCACAGCAACTCGAGCACTCAGCAGAAACATCAAGAAATGTCTCACCCAGCTAATAACTTGTCTTATTTTGCACAACAACAAGGTGTTTTTCAACAAATGTCAAGCACGTATCCTGTAAACGCCAACACAACCTTAAGCATTCCCCAATCAGGTCACATGAATGGCAATCATACGAATCAAGTTCATGCAAGCCATCCAAAGGATTCCTCTGATTTTGATGACATGCTTGATTCGTTATTGAATGAGGAACCTAATTTTGAAGAAACAGCAGCGGCAAATAGTACCTCCTATAACAGAGTCAACCTTAATCATCCAACTAACTTTGGTGATGTTTGTAACAACTCTCAAAATTGTCAAAACGTATGCCCTTCCTCACCATTGTCAATATTTGGAGATAAGGACGACAACCAACAAGACACTTCACTCATTTTAGATATGGACAACTTCTTCTTGTCTGGCAACGATGAAACAGAAAATGATCCATCTAGATTGAATGGAACTTTCCACCTCGATGAAAATACTCAGAAACCATCATCGATCACTCAGCAAGATCAACATTTGCCCCTACGGCCGCTCAATCCACAGGATGTCATGAAGGAATGGGAGAATATTTGTTCTCAAAACAGTCATCATCCGTTTCCACTTGGATCCAACTCACCCACACACCTCAACAACCTTGAATTTGATTTACTGGATCAATTCTAACTTTTACTAACTTGTTAATAAACCTTGTCACGTGACAGATATTGTAAATCTGGAATGATATTGCAGACTTCCCAAAGATGCACCATTTCCATTGTTCATTCGTCCTTAATGTAACCATGTTTGATTAGAAATTCAATGGTTTCCACTATTTGACTCTTCCAGTCCTTAAAATCCATTCCTAACTCCTTCTTTGCTTTGGAAGTATCGAAATACAAAGGTTTTCCAATATTGGAATTCAAATACTGTATCACATCTTTGCTTTCAAATAACGCAGCTACAACCTTAATCAATCCACTCCCGAATGATCCTTCCAATGAGAGAGTTGGCATCTTTTTGAACCACTTCTTATCAGATTTAGCTTTAAAATGTTCCCTCATAAACTCAATCACTTGTCTCAAAGTCACTGTTTCTCCACAAATTAAAAAACGTTCCCTTTTTGAGGGATGACAGGTCAGAGTTTTAGATTCCATCGACAAGACATGTGCTCTTGCAACATCCTTGACATGAATAAACTCAAAAGTCAATGCCACCAATGCTGGAAATTCAGTAATTTTCTTCACCATTTCATGACTCACACTCACATGACAAGACAATATCGATTCTCCTATCACAGTACTTGGTAAAATGGTGACCATTTCTAAAAAGTCCTTTCCTTCTTCTTGTTCTACTTGTTCCATAAATTCCCAAGCAGCTTTCTCTGCACATACTTTGGAGTAATAGTATGGATTTTTGTGAACTGATGAAATTTCATTCCAATCCTTCTCAGTATAAATCTTGTCTACTTCTGGAGTATCCACAACAGCCGCCATAGAACTGGTAACAATGATACGTTGCAGTCGGTCATGAGATGCAATTTGTTGCTGTTGTTGCCATTTTCTCAATTTCACACTCTCGCAATACGTTCAAGGTACCTTGAACAGCCGTATCTACCAACTCTTTTTGAGGATCCTTGACATCCAATGCTACTGGAGAAGCCGTATGGTGGACAAATTGACAATGTTGAATGGCTTTTTCAAAACTTCCTTCTTGATTCAAATCTGCGTTAAAACATGTCAAACGTTCTTCCAATAAATCATGAGAAAGTGTTGCAATTGAGTTCTCTGGATCTGAAGAGTGGTAATTAAGTAAGGCCTGTATGATTTGTGGTTTTCCTGTAGAGACATTTCTCATGGTGGTGTTTACATGATAACCTTTGAGAAGGAGTTGATAAATTAAATGGAGAGCAACAAAACCTGTACCTCCAGTGACACAAACTCGAATGGGATGAGGTGTATAGTGTTCTAACATGTTGTGAAAATAGTGCCTTCAAAGGTTGATGATGTTTTTTCAAAGGTTGATCTTGCATGGGGGTAAATGACAGGCGCTTTGACATTTCGAGAAAATGCGCGTCATGGACTTCAAACATCCTTAGAAGTCATTTCGAGTGGGAAAAAGTAAATTCGCACGCAGCAGTAACGATTTGAGATCGGGCGTATTAACTTGTCGCCATAGTTCAAAGGCGAAAATTTCTTCAATAATTTCCAGTCAGGCTGAAGCTTGCCACCACTCCATACGGTCCAATATAAAAATCGATTGCAAAAAATTCAAGGCGAGAGTGATAGAAATCCGTAGTTCAACACTAATCACATTTGAGATACATTTTACAGGAGGAACAATTAAATAAAATAACATTGTTCAAAATCTTGAACGAGTTCATACGTATACACTGGAGTGTAGTGGTAAATGAGAGCAGCATCTTCGGCTTGACTCGATTTAAATCGGTGAAAATTCTTTCGACATTCATTCACAAAAAATCTTCCAAAAAACGTGTTCGTGGTCACGCTTTCATACGAATGATTAATCACTTCTTCCGTGTTCCATTCGAAAATTGCCTTTTCTGGATGAAATTGTGAAGCATAGATTGGATAACTTTCATGCTCAAAAAGACTGGCATATTTTCGTCCATTTCGATCGAGATTAGTGGACAATAATTTGACATGCTTTCTCAATTGCTCATTTCCAAGCCAGTTATCCATTGGAATTCCATCCTTGTGTGCGTTGAATGTCACATTTTTTGTCCTCAATGTTTGAATTAAATTCAACATGTCACCTAGTGGAGCATATTCCAAAGAAAACATTCGTGTGTTGTATAATAATTCTTGATTATTCATGGTAAAATCCAATGGAATTGCCATATTTTCAGAATCAAATCCACTCTCCATCACAGAGGGATCATTGGCCAAAATGAGTGATAAACTTTGCATGCCAAGACAAGTTCCCCAAATTGGAAAATAATCTTGTCTCGAATGAAACGCTTCAATGGCCCAATTCACAAATAATTGTTGTGAAACAAGATATGGAGTAAATTCATGTGTCGAGTTATCGACCAAATCAATGGCTCCACCTGGCAGTAACAATCCATTGATTTGCTCAAAATATTCTCGTAATTGATGAACGGGTAAATCAAAACGAATAGGTACCACCCGAGCTCCTGAACTCTCTACAAATTTTACATAGGCAGCATCAATATAATATTTTCCAAAACGAGAAATCTTTCCCGACAGTGTCGGTTGTGCTAAAATTCCAATGATAGGTCTCGTATTCATCATGGCTGCTGCCGTTGTTGTTCCAAAATCTTGCTGATCATGCTGAAAGGCTTGAACCATCACGGCCGTATTCAAGCCATGATGAAAATTTATGAAAAAAATTATGGAACTAATGATGAATACGAGTGGTGTTACAATCACCTTGTTCTTCATTTTTTTTACTGATCGAGAACTTGAGTTTTTGAAGACCTTCTTAAAGCTTTTCTTCAAAGTTTCACACTCGGTTGTTATCTAGCTCGTTAGGGTGGAATTCTCATCACTCTCTCGTTGTTCGTTTTTTTCCTGTTACTACAGAGAATGTTCCTTCTCCAATCATGTTTCAAAAAGTGAACGCATCCAAAAACGTGTTGCAAAAAAATGTCCTCCGTTTCATCAACCACAAGTAGTGTATTGAGTGGTGGTGGTGGTGGTGGCTGTGGAGGTGGAGGAGGCAATAACAGCAGTAGCAGCAATAGTAGTACACCAACAAACTCTCCTCGTTTCATGCCATCCTCATTCTCCTCTTCCTCCTCAAATACTACAATGGACTCGTCTTTACCGAATACTAGTAGCAGTGCGAGTGGAAATCATCATGGTCGGGTTGGATCATCATCAAGATCTTCAACTCCATTACGGGATCGGAACAACAACAATAATCATTCACAGATTCAAAACGCTACGAGCGGATCTTCATCTTTGGAACATCCTCGTAGTCTGCAGCAACCCTCTCAAACCGGTTCACCCCAAGCTAGGCTTGTAATGGATCAATTAGACATGACTCAACTTTATGGAAATAGTAATAATGATAATAATAATAATAGCCACACCAACAATCCTTCTTCCTACGTTGAAATTGTGGCAGAACAACCATCCTCAGCGAGAACGAGTCAACTCACTGCTGAGCTACAACGACAACAGCAACATTTTCGATCCGTCTCGGATCCAACCTCTCTGGTAACGACCATGAGTATTTCTCATATTCAGAATAATTTGACAAATAATCATATGTCGACTTCGGGAATTTCGTTGCAACAACATCAGCGAGTGCCACCTGCTTCACCTTCATCAGGGTCGTCACAACGGAGCTATGTTTTTGTGATGGCAGAAAATCATGTGAAATTACAAAAAGCAAAACTGACATTTGGACAGGAGCATTCCTCGAAAATTCCCTCCTTATTTAACAATGCGGAATTGAGCGATTTTACAATAATTTTGAAACATTCATCGAAATTGAATTTATCGAATTGTTTGAGTACAAGTGGAATTTCTGAAGATCATGCTGCTGCCAGTGAAAAGAATGAAGATTCTTCAACCAGTGCAGAAGATAATGTCAACGTTTCGAATGTGACCAGCTGTAGTTCCGTCGGCAATAATTGTGGATCGAGTGGAAATGCCATGTTGCCACATTGCTTACAAAATACAAATCAATTTGAAGAAGAGCTTTCAGTGCGAACAATGCCAGAGAAGCCCTTTGTCACATTTACTGAGCTACATGTTAATAAGGCAATTTTAGCCTTGTATAGTCCCTTCTTCAGAAAAATGTTTTTTGGAGATATGAAAGAGAAAACGAGCAGTCAAATAGAAATTTTTGATCACTCTGTCATTGAATGTGAAGGGTATGATCAAAATGTGAACGAAATTGGCTATGAAGACGTTAGAATCTTTTGTATCATGATACAGAGCATGTACAACCTGCAAGTTGAATGCTTGGAGTGTGACTTGGCTCCTCTCTTGGAAACAGCAGACAAGTACATGTTTGGTGATTTGGTGACGCTCTGTGAAGCCTATTTAGAAAAAAATTTGAACGAGTTCAATGTACTATCATGTATATTTTTGGAAAATTCCAAATATCAATCATTGAAAACTAAGGCCAGTAGATTTATTGCTCAAAAATTTTTCATTATTTGCAAGAATGGACAGTTAAATCTCATTGGTGACATTGAGACGGTATTGAGCATTCTTTCGAGAGATGATCTAAATGTCAGGACGGAAGATGACATTCTTCATGCTGCTCTGCAATGGATCGAATACGACTTTTCATCTCGAAAGAAATACTTTCCAACCATTCTGAATCACATACGGCTACAGTATCTATCTCCCAGTTGTTTAAATCATTTAATTTCCCTTCCAGAAAAATATGTTCCAGATATGGAATTAACAGTGAAACTATTGAAGAAAATTGCAAAGGCCATGAGCTGTCAACTTAACACCATTGTTCAAAAGGTAGAAAAGGCCAATCAACAATTAGCACTTCACAAGACTCAACCTTCGTTAACATTGGTCACACCTCTCATCAATAGTAAGGATGCCAAAGATTCAAAAGACTTGCTATCACCCAATCTGAATACTAGTTTACCCGTGATCCAAAATTTGGAACAAATTTCTGTGCTGAGTCCTACTTCCATATTTGACTCGAGTTCTGAAGTGATTGGAGCATCGAATAATGGAGAAGATGATTTTATTAGCACAAAACCAAGACATCATGTGAGCGGCATTGTAACTGGATTTGATGTGTTAATGATGGTAAGTATACAAGTGGACGAGGAGATTCGAATGATGACGATGATGTTTTTTATTCAACATGCTGCACGTGTTGCATGATTTCATTGAACATTTAATGAATCTTTAGGGAAAGGATCTTAAAATATCCAATGATCAAAAGACTCTCTCCAAAGTGAATACAGATGGATGGTCTGTCAATTTATGTGTTGAACCAGTGAGAATGGGCCAACGAAAGGAGTTGCACATTAAGGTGAATAAGACCATGCATGGTATCATTAATATTGGAATTTGCAAATGTGATGTGAATTTAAATGGCAACCTTAATTATGAGAATGGTAAGTAATGGAGAACGATTGATTCATAACACTTTTCCACATGCAAAAACACTTGTGATACTCGATCATAGGTTGGTGCTACTACTTGTACAATGGTCACACATGCCACAATTTCCACTCCTTAAATTATGACGGGGAGGCAGGTGGAACCAACGATTGTTTCAAAGTTCAATTAGATTTACGATACAATGGTGCATTGTCATTTGCCAAGAATGGTCAACCCTTGGGAATTGCCTTCTCAGACCTTTGCAAAAAGTTGAATGGAGAAGATGATGTATTTTATTTTGCTGTAGCTCTTTACAGCTCTGGAGATTCAGTCTCAATTATTAAAAATTGATTGAACATGTTTTTTCCTTGAATTTTTGAGAGATGGTAGCTGCAAATACTAAAAGACGAGCATTAGAGTTTGGAATGTCGCTCAGAAAATTTTCGAGCACCTTGCAATGTTTCCATGTTCAAAGGGGCAACACCATATTCATACTCTTTTTGAAGCTTTTGTCGAAGTGGGCTGTACACTGAATCATATGCTGACAATTTATCATGTCTCATACACAATTGAGGGAAGGAGCAGAGTTGCTTGGCTAATTTTATAGCTTCATCCAAGACATTATCATTTTCTGATACTAGGCGATTGGCAAGGCCAATTTGAAACGCTTCGTGACCATCAATTTCTCGTCCTGTTAGTATCAAGTCCTAATCATGAAATAATGTGAGGTGTTATATAATTATTGAGAGCGGAATTTGTTTGTACAAATAAATTTCATGAATTGAAAATTATTTGAGTGTTGAACAAATTTCACAAGTTCAAAATTAATATTAAATCGTTCTCAAATGTTGGCAATTTGTGAAAATGTATCACTAAACGTACCATTGCTCGTGAAAGTCCTAAAAGAGCTGGTAATCGAATTGTTCCTCCATCAATGAGCGGCACACCAAATCTTCGACACAACACTCCAAAAATTGAATTTTTCTTGCATACCCTTAAATCACACCACGCTGCGAGTTCTAACCCTCCTGCACAACAGTAACCGGAGCCAATGGCTGCAATGACCGGCTTGGATAAAACCATTCTCGTTGGTCCCATTGGTCCTTTCAATGTTTCATATGCAGATTCTACTTGGTTCATATTTCCTTTTGCTACTTCTTTCAAATCAGCTCCCGAACAAAACATGTCTTCACCACCATAAAGAATGGCAACGAGGGACGCTTCATCCTTTTCAAAATTGTAAAAAGCTTGAAATAATTCATCGGCACATGGACGATGAACGGCATTCTTCACGTGTGGACGATTGATCCGAATAATTGTAATTCCCTTTTCTTCGGGACACTTTGAAACAATAATATGTCTATAGTTTGTTTTCGGAGCTAATGGATGTTGTTGTGGAAGACCACTACTGTTCGTATGATGACTACCATGATATTTCTTGTGTCTGTGAGAAGTGAATATTTCTTCCGATTCGAGAAATGCGGAATTTTCTTTCATGTGTTTCGTATTGTCGGTTTTTAAAGTGTTGGTTGCTACCGAATTGCTCCCATGATCGAAATGAACCATTCCAATGGAGGATGTGTTTTGTGCTGGTGATGTTGAATGAGTGGGTGGTGCCATTCCTTCTTCTCCCGGCGTCGTTGAACCTTTTTGCTGGGCCGTGGGAGGCAGAAAAAAAGAAGGAACTTGTTTGGTCATTTTTTTTTTGTGGTATTCAATAAGGTGGTAAGGGATCCATTTCAGTTTCATAGAAAAAGTTTGTTTGTTTTGACCTTACTTCAAACATCAGTGGAATGGAATGTCTTTAAACGCGGACAAGTCTTTGTTTCTTTATTTTTTCGTCGCCACTCGCTCATCATGTTTCATCATTAATTCCGTTAAAAAAAATATTTAAAACCTTGCGGTTGTTGTGGTTACTTCTTCTTGAACAGGTTGGATGAACTTAAACAATGGCAACCTTGAGATCATCACTCACCGAAGAAATTAAAAAACGAATTAAAGAAAAGTGGAATGAAGCGTTTAAATTGAGTGTAGAATTTAATTCGGATCAAGCCATTCATGATGATAAACTGAGGCATTTGCATACCAAGAAGAATGTTGCGGGTGAGTTTTGTAAGCATTTATGAAAATTCATGAAAATGATTATTGAAAATTTACAATGTATTCATCTTGCATTCTTTTTGAAAATTTCAATGTTAATTTCAAAACATGTTACTGACCTCGCTCACCACGACACGGGAATTATGATTCTAGTCTATACCAGTCATGATAATCACAGATTTGATGGACTCTATGTCATCCGAGGAGATATTCTCGTAGAATCTTGCTCTGCACAAGAATATCAAGGTCCCTTTCTTTCATTGGATCTTGACATTAAGCGTGTCATGGATCCTCTCACCAAACGCAATGAAACCATTGAATCATGGACCGATGAAGATGGAACTTTTCTCATTCAATACTTTTTAATTGGTACAGGTCCTTTTGTTTCAGATCGAGAATTTATTTATGTATTGAAAGTTGTGGAAACTTCACCACATGAGAGTTATGTCGTCTTGACAAGTATTGATTCCATTTATACACCTCCAGAACATTTTGAACTTGATAAGGGAGCAGTAAGAGCCAATAATATATTCGTCTCGCAACGTTATGAACAGCTGCAGAATGGAGATTTGAAAGTGAGCTATTCAACACTATCAAATCCATGTGGATGGATTCCAAATAGTTTGACCAATATGTTTTTACATGCACAACCAATGAAAATGTTAGATATTGCACGATTGGCTGGCAAGAATGTGAAGGAACGACACGATCACAGCGGAAAGTAAATGATAAAGTTCTTCGTTACAAACTACAAATTTTAAGACAGCCAATTACACATCATAATACTCGGTCAAAGGCGTTATATATGAAACCTCCTTCCAAGCGTTGCAAACCAAACAAGGGGAGTGAGCGAACAATTGAACATCTAGTGCATTGTGCTTGATATTGCAACCCAGCGCAGGAAGAGGAAAACAATGAAGTTTTGACAGTGCGCCCTTTTATACTAAAAAACAACTAAATGCAAGATTATTTATTTGTCGAACAAGCAATCAAGATTGTCACATTGATTCAATCAACATCTTTATCTCATATTTTCCAAAGAAATGACAAGTTGATCGTCAAGTTGGCTGGCTTTAACGCTTCGTCTAATTAAAAGTGTTTGGTTGTTGATAAATTTGATTTTGTGGTGGCACGGAAGGTTGTGGCATGTAATGTTGTGGTTGTTGATAGACTTGAGTCGATGGTACATATTGAGGTTGAGATTGAGGTAAATAAGCAGACTGTGGATTAAAAGGAGGTTGATACGATGGTGGTTGTGGTTGATAATATCCTGGTTGCTGTGGCGGTGGTTGTGGTGAACAATACACAGTCGATGTCACTACAGGTTGAACTGGTGGCATTGGGGTTGATAATAACAATTATTATGACTTGTGGTCATGTGATTGGGTGGTGTGGTGTGATAAGTGGTGGTCGTCGTTGTGACCTGTTGAGGAGGAGGATTATATTGTTGTACATTCAAAGCAAATGTTGTAGGATAACAAACACCACTCATACCAGTAAATCCAGTTCCCTTATAAGCCATTCCACCTGACATGACAAAGAGGTAAGCATTAATGAATTCGTCAAGAGTAATCACTCCATTACGGTCCGTATCCATCATGAAAAACAAGTGTTTGGCTTGATGTTTGTGTAGGCCGAGACAAGCCATCGCTCTCTTGAAGCCTCGTTTGTTGAGATAGTTGGCACCGAACATGACATGTTGATAGAAGAGGGATTGGGCCTGAGTGATCCATGTGCTTCTATGAGTATAGAAATGTTGAGGCTAATTTGTTTCGTGTGATCACATAAAAGTTCAATCATAACCAAACAATTCAAAAACACATGAATAATCATATCATCCATACGATTCCCATGATTATTATTCGTTCAATTTCATTAAAACTTACCACTACAAATCCAACAGGAAGCCATCGCGGACAAGTGGTACCATGCCAAAACACGGAAGAAGGTCTTGTCGTTATGGTGGTCGTTGGTTCACTACTCGCAACGGCAGAAGCAATGGCAACACCTCCCAATAGACCCAAGCCGAGACCAACAAGACCAGCATGATGGTGATGGTGGTGATGATGTCTGCGTACCATGATGATGAAAGTGTTTTCTGGAAATTTTTTGTGAATGATTTGCATTTTGGAACCACGAAACTGTTGTATTGCAATATTAATGCAAACACTTGCTTGAATCTTGATGAAAAATGAAACTGTTTGTTGAGACAAAATTTTTGGGGAAGAGGGGGAATCGAACCCCCGGCCACAGCTTTGGAGGCTGCGATGTTACCATTACACCACCTTCCCTGTTGACAATATCTTTTATTCACGACTAGTTTATTATTATTAATGACGAAGGTTCTTACAGATCGACAAAACGCAACAATTTGCTGTTATTGTGATTGTAATATTGCTATGCATGAAGGCTTTATGTCACCAATGAACCCATCAGCAATGTTCTTCGCACTCGTTACGTTCCAGCTCTAACTAGATAACCCTGTCACACGTTGTACCGTGTTTCCTCATTACTAAGGTAAACTTCCCGAAGATGCCTTCAATCCAGCGTACTCTCTTAATGATCGATTGTACATGTATGAGCAACAACATGAAAGGCCCAAACAAATCATGGCCAGTAAGAACAAACAGCCTGCAGTGGCAAGTTCGACGTACGCAATTTGCATAATGTCATAAAATTTAACATATTCCATGGGTTGTTTGGCCCTATCATACGACACCACTTGAGGTCTAAATTCATCGAAATAACAATTCACAGTTTGTCCTTTGGTGTATTGGGATTGAGGACTTGATGAAGTGTGGGGAAAGTAAGTGACACTTTCTAACTTGGAAAATTCCTTATCCATGTTCTTGCTATCGTATTGAACCAATGCAAAACATTTGCCTTGAATGAGTGCTGGCTGATCTGAAACGCTGTGAATGAATGGCGCTGCCTTAGTTGTGTGTAGAGCATCATTGGGTGTCACGGCTTTTGCGTTTTGAATCAGCTTGGAAGAAATTTTGTGAATGTTCGAAGGTTTTGTGGCGATCACAATGGTGTTCTTAAAATCTTCCAATGTTGCCGACGAAAAGTGGTCATGCATGGGAGTGTCAAGTACCACTTGAGCCACATGTTCTTCATCGTTGTGAAGTAAATCTACTTGTTGTACTTGACAATTAATATTTGGATCAAGGACCGTACAAGTGGTGCTAACTGAGGTCTCAATGGGTGGAAATTGTTTCACTCTGCTCATAAGAAGGCTCGAGGTAATAATAAAAACGCATCCAAAGACAATAAATGATAATGTTAAAACGAGGAAAATACAAAGCCCGAGTCGCTTATTTTCAAGACTGATCATTGTGTGTATGTGAAATTAAATTACACAAATAAATGTATCACACGCTTCAATGATTGTGTCAATTATTATTTAGAGACTCAATGGATGTTCTTTTTGAGAGGAGGTCTAAGGACTTGTTAACTTGTGCGCGCACAAGAATAATGTAAGAATGTGTCTTTTTTAACTTGACCCTGCAGCAGCTTTGCCAACAAGACTCTCCGAGCAGCAAATTCCGAATCAGGCATTTATACATTTTAAAACAAAATCAAATTTGCTACCATGACGCAGGTATGATTTTTGGTATGATGACGATCGTCCAAATATTAATCATGCTTGAAGAGAATTCTTTCATCATAGATCTGATCGAAGGAATTTTCGTGAAATAGCAATGCTCAAGATTCAAAAAGATTCGTTGAACGATCGGATTTTTTTTATGGTGAATCTGTTTGTATTAATACACCTCCCAATAAGATTCTTATTAAACATCTGCTTTTTCATCAATTGCCAATGACGTTTTCTTCAGTGGAAGCAAGCACAATGAGCTCAGATTCATGGAAACTCCAAACCTTTGGTTGCAATTCGAACAGAGTTTGAGCAAGCACGCTCAAAAGGTATTGAAAAAAACAACAGAAAAATACCAGGTTTGTTTCTCTTTCTCGTTTTTGAAAGCTTGATTTTGTTTTGCTAAATTGATTGTTGGTGGCTTGTCTTTGCTCTCTCCGTACATTTATAACGTTTTTCAAATCCAACGACATTCACGCTATGGCTGATATGAACATCGGCCAATCATTCTGTTGCTGGATTATTCGGTTCAATATCTTCTTGAATGACTCGTGATTAATTTGATGGTACCATTCAAACAACCGCTATTTCTTGATTTTAATTTAAATAACCCTTCTCTAACAACAACCCTACCTTGAACGATATTGGCACTAACAACATCATGTTGTGTGTTTCTAAATTTAATCTATTTTCCCTGTGTGCTCCCGTGCACGGCTTCTTGTTGTTTGACCTATTTATTACGACTTGGGCTTGCTATCTATTCTACTTTTTCATCATCATAACTCCAATATTTTGATTTTGTCCTACCCTACGAACAATGATCAAACTGTTTGTTCATTCCTTTAAATTATCTCATAACCACTCTCATCAATTCTTTGATGAACATAACTCTATTGACACTCTTCTTCAATGAACGATAACGTGATGATAATGATTTTCACTCAACCTGGGCAACTTGAACTCTTCATGGGTGTAAATGATTATTATTGCTGCCATGATTGTACCACACCGTGATGTGTTGATGATGATAACTAATTTTAACAGATGGGTCTTAGACATCCAGTTCCAACCAAGGATACTCACTTTGATGAGTCCGATGAAGCCTTCTGTGTTTGCGTTGGTATGCAAGGTACCAGACCAGAAATGGAGGATGCTCACAGTTTAAAGCTCAATATTCAAAATGAATTGAAGACCCTCCAACAAAAGGCTCACTCATACAAATCTCTGAACTTTTTCGCTGTTTTTGACGGACACGCTGGAGATGAAAGCTCTAAATTTTGTGCAGAGCACATTCTTGAAGTTGTAGATGAACACTTGGAAAAATCAGATGATTTGGAATTGACCGATGATTTGATTATTCGTTCCTACTTGGCTCTTGACGAAAAGCTAAAGACTTGGATGGAAAAGGTTCAAGGCATTAGCCCATTCAATGGAAGCGGTTCTACTGGTATCACTTGTTTCGTCAAGATTGGCGATGAGGTTGAAGCCATCTGTGCCAACGTTGGTGACTCTCGTTGTGTATTGTATCACAACGGTAAAACTTATGAAATGTCCTACGATCAAAAGCCAATGAATGATGGTAAGTTTGAATCAATTTCAATGGCATTTAAAATCGTCAACTTTCACGTTATTTATTAACATTTCGTCATCCATTTGCACAACCAATTCAAATCTTTTACCAATTTTTATTGGAATAATGTAAATCCTCAATGGCATGTAAATGCCTATTTATGAATCATTGCAACATTTAGTTGAGAGAAAGAGAATTGAAGCTGCTGACTGTACAGTCACCATGAATCGTGTGAATGGTAATCTTGCTGTTGCACGTGCATTTGGAGATTTCCGTTATAAGGGCAATGAAAAGAAGAAGCCAGAAGAACAAGCTGTTTGCTGCGTTCCTGAAATTATCCGAAGAAAGTTGGACGGTTTCAAGCGAGGAAACAAGGAAGATCCATCCTTCTTGATTTTGGCTTGTGATGGTTTGTGGGATAAATTCACAAATGAAGAGGCAACACAATACGTCAAGGAACAATTCAAAAAGTATGACATTTTCAATGAAACTGAAATTTCTAGCGATTTGATGCAACCAATCAGGATTACTTGGTTGAACAAAAAGGTCGATGAATGGGATGCCAACGACGTTGAAGGATGGATTGAAAGTTTAGGATCACCATATAATAATTATTTCTTGAGCAAGTTCAGAAATGGTGTAGATTTAAAGCAAGTCATGATGCAAGATGACAAATTCAATCGTTTGAAAGAAACTTTGAGACACGCATCCAACTTTGTGGACGAATTTAAGAAGAAATTCATTGAAAGAAATGAAATTCAAGAAAAGCCAAAGACCGTTCCAAGAACCACTCGCGAAAAGTTGATTCATTTGACAGAACGCATGGTTGATTATGCAGTTTTTGAAAAGAAGAGTGATGACAACGTTTCTGTGGCCATTATTTTGTTCAAGTAAATTGTTCATCACGCGTATTGTCAGAATGCAATATCGTTGTAAACTAAGCAGCCATAAATACCAATAATGCTTAATTCTTAATTTTCCTTTTATTTCTTTGGAATGTCATGCTCTGTTGTCGAGTTGTGACTTCGAATTACATTCACTCTTTAACATGATAAGCACAAAAAAGATACGTGGGTGGTGCAAAACATCACAACAAGATTCTATGGAGAGATTCGTTCATGCTTCCAAACAATTTGACAACACTTCATCATTTAGGGTGAAATGAAATATCTCCCTAACCAATCTCTTCATGCACTCGATCGTTTGCAAAGGTTATCCACTCGCTCACTCCCTTACTGTAGTGCGAATCCTCATTTCTCCATCTCATAAGGAACACTCAAATACTTGGCATCACCCCACCAACACCCTCGTCACTGACGACGGACGCAACTTCAAATTCCAACAATGCACAAACATTCCTCTTCATAAAAAATATTGAAAATTTAGAACCAAAGCAGAAATAAACCCTATCAAATGTCATTCGATTTTTTACCATGAATTTCATTAACGCACCGATTCGCATGATAGTTTCCAATCTTAAATCTTCACGATGTCTTCTGCTTCGCACAGAAATTCAAGTGAGCTCTTTTTCATGCAAAAGTTTGCACACAACAAAAAAACAACTATTCATTGTATTCTTCAATTCACACACAATTTGTGTTATCTTGTCTACTTGAATTATTTCACACACGAACCAATTCCAATGACTCTAACAACCACTTGTAACAATAACCACTCAAACTTGTCAAATGCCGCTCATACCGCTCCAGTAGTAACAAATTGTGTTGTTGTCACGACGACCACGGAAAAAGATTCTTCTTCCATCGAGCAGCAAACACAACAACAACCATCACTCACCAAGCCAACATCTTCCTCGAATGGCATTAAAAAGCAAAACAAAATGAAGAAGAAGAAACTTGGTTCTTCCTTTTTGAACGTGACTGTGGTTGGAAATGAAATGCCACTTGTCACTCCACAAAACAACTCCACTCGAAAACACAAACAAGACCCATGGATGCAAGGTATTCTGTATGAATTCAAAAACGCTTGCTTTTGTACCACTTATACTTCAAGTTATGCTGTTGTTGGTTCCAAGTCATTACCAAATTCGAATTCCACAACCACAACAACAAATTTGACAACATGTAACAACAACACTCGTGCTGTTTAAGTGACCATCCTTCAACAACACCTATAGAATGGTACACAGATATGAAAAAGAAAACTCTTGTTCATATTGTACAAGATGAATCTCTGAAAACTTTTTCTTCACAAGAGCGTGTGAAAAATGGTTATCTCAAGTTGTTCAAACAAGAAGAGGTACACAATGAATTTGGTCCAAAACTGTAATAACAGCTGCACGAATCATTCGAATGGACTTGTGAAGAACATTGAACGTGTTTTTCACACTATTGATTTTGTTACAAAAACCTTTGTAATAAAAATACCATGTAGTATTTATCATGTATTTGATGACGTAAATGTAACAGGACCAGAATTCAGGTCAGCCTAGCAGCAACAGTGTTGTTGATTGTCCAATTTCATTGGTTATTGCCATTTACTCTGTCACTTTCCAAAAAAGAGCATGAAGCAACATGAAATAGGCACAACATTCAATTTTACTGTTTCGAGGTCTCATGATCTTCGTTGTGTCCAATGTCGACGTGGATGTGTTGCATGAATATTTGACAACACTACTTTCTTTCAACAATTTTACATTAGGTCAAATCTTCAAGAAAAATTCACACGATCAACACAATGGGACATGTGACATCGATTCATTCTTCTCATCCTTCTCTTGTAGATGTTGAAACAAAGAACCATCAAGAGAGGGATGCACGAATGAAGAATTCCATTTCATCGTTCAATTCCTCGTCATCTTCATCCAATGGATCATCACAACAATGTGTCATTTCTGTTAATTCCCAATTTTTGAATGAAATGGAACATGTGCAATTGACAAAATATATCATGAATTTAGAGTTTGAAAACCCCAAGTTGTGGAAACAATATGTTGTGCAGTATTATTTAACTACTCGTTTTCAATTTCCTAAAAAGGATTTGACAATGAGGAAGCGTTCATCAACGTGGTCAAATAATGAGAAAGAACAAAGCTCGACGTTGAAGAATGAACACAATTTACATCCTGTAAAGTATCGACATGGTGCTGTATTATCCGAGTCAGATGTCAACCTATCAAACTTATCCATCCAATATTCGAGAATGATCCTCCTTCTACAGTCGACCATTCACACTCCTTCTCCAAACTATTCAAAAAGAGCCCTCCAAACCAATCTTCTCAAACAAAATCAGAACCCACCTTAATAGGAACTGCAAGTGTTTCAAGTGCTCCACCATGTTCTTCATTCCTTTCAGACATTTCCAAAACTGACATGAATTCCAACCAAAATCAATTGCCTTATTCAAAAGATATAGAAACGGAGAGAATGAATACAACGTTGGAAACATCCATCAATTCCAAATCTCATTCATCCATTCCATCTTGTCCAAATCATGATTCACAATCAGAAACAAATTCTTCATTGAATTTACCACCCAAGAGATTGACTGTACCAATTCAACATGACAATCTCTTTGATTCCACACGACCTCGGAGTTGTAGATCTCTTCCTCCGAAACCACTCATTCGTATTTCACAGTACGAAGTTGAATATTCCTCTGTAGAACAAGAATTTCGAAGAGAATTTTTGAATTATCAATTAAGGGAATATAAATTTCCTCAAAAATCTTCAATGAGGAAGACAAGTCGTTGTGAACATGATGTGGCTCTTCCTGATCAGTTTTTATGGGATTTGAAACATTCCAAGAGAAAATAACAATGTTGTTATTGTTGTGGAAAGAATACAATGGAAATAAGGATCCCTTATTGTATGTTGAGAATTTGTTGAACTGTAAAACGAGTTTCAAACCTACGTAGATGGTTATTGTAGACTGAGATGAAGATTTATATTCTTGTTGATGTTTGAAAATTACTTTTTTTGAAACCGAAAGAGTTATACAACACGGAGGACAAATGCATGAAAGAGAACGCTTTTTATTGGAGTTTGTTTGACATTGTGGAATGGCGAGATTCAACAAGCATCACTCCACCTCGAATAGAATATTTGAGCACCAAATTTTACAATGACAAGTGACATACCCTCAAAATGTTCTCAACGACAATATCCATTTTCTGTGGAAATAAATCGAAATTGTTCAGCGTCTGTTCTCTGTAAATCTCTCAAGACTCTTCAAGATCATACAACTACATTCTTGTGAAAATGACTTGAGTGGAAAATCAATTGACCAAAATGGAATCAAATTCCACATGACACCATTTGTCTAAAATTGTATTAGAAGGACTCATTGGGTTCTTGTTTAATATTCAACATGTATTGTGTTCTTGATTTACGCTTGAGCATTGAACTCTCGCTGGGGTTGAAATACAATGATCCCCATAATAACGTTCTATCGATCCATCCCAATGCTCTCGCTCTCAAACTTTTATTGCATCATTTCTCTCTGAACATGTCTCAATTGAATTCAACATCACCAAGATTCATGCACGCAACATTCTTCCTCACCAACTCTGTGCGATCGATTTATTTCTGCAAAAGCTCACTCCAAAAAAAAGGCTCAACACCTCCGCCCAAGTTTTGACGACTTGTAATTCGCACGCATCCTGTTGTTTGCATCTCTCTCGCGCCACGATTGTAGCAACAAGGCTTGTGCTTTGCACACACATCATTGAAAATCAAACCACTGACAAGTGTTGAACAACAAGGCTTGTTGTTGATTCATAACAAATAGAAACATCCGATTATTGGTGGATCATTAGAGGATAGAACACCACGCTAGCCTCAATAATAGTCGAAGAATAGTAGTAGTAGTATTTGAAATTACCAAAGGCTATTGTATTTGAAGTTGTTATCTTTGTGCTATATATTGCATTGATTCTCATTGTACTAGTTTGTAGTACTATCCTTCTCTCATTTAAGAGTTGCAAAAGAATCCATTGTTGTCTATCTGTACACTACACTGGTGGTTATTCTCTAATATTTATACTCACCAACAATTGTCACTAAAGTATCATAATACTCGCTAGAAATACAAAACGACAAAATGAGAAGAACTCCTCCATTGACCTATGGCAACACTGCTGTCAACTCTCGCTCCAACGCAACAGCTCCAATGAATATTCACAATACTCGTTATTCTCCAACCAAGATTCAAAAACCAAAGAAAACGAGCCCAAGCAAATTCCTCTCTCCCAAAACACTGATGAATAGTGCTCGTTTGGCAGCTGCAACTTCTCATCAGGTTCCTGTCAAACAATGTCTCTATTATGGAAGAGGAGGTTCGAACCAGCAACAACCACAAGTCAAGATCTTGACAGACCCACAGCAACAACCACAGGTCTTTACAACTGCTTTGAATCAGCAATTTTCATCCGTTTCCTCTCAACAAACCAAATATGGTCATCAAAGTTTCCCAATGGTCGTTTCTGCAACGAACAAAAATTTATCGTCCTACAATGCAACCACTCAGCGATCAGCTCAAATAAGTTCGAACATAATTGGTACGACACAAAACAAGCAATTGCAACAACCAAACAACCTAATATTGACTCAAAAACAAGAAACAAATTGCTCGACAGCTTCTTCCCATCATAGACATTATCATCACCACTTTTCGAACGATCAACAAGCGTTGTCCTTTCAAAACTCTCTCAATTACAGGATTCTGAATCCTCAACCTGTTGCTCCTTCTTCAGAGATCTATAACAACTTGACATCTGCCACCATGGGTCAAAGTCATTCTGCCAACAACAACAACTCTTCGGGTTGTAGCGTGACACTCACTCAGCCTGTTTCGAATCCTCATAGCAGACAAGCCACCATGGTCACCATGAAGAGCAGCAGCACAAGCTCCTTACCCATTCCCACTTCTTCAATTACTCCATTGTCAGGTGAAGTCTATTCGAACAATACGAGTGTCAACTCGTCTCTTGCTTCTATTACAACCTCAAGCACTTCCATCAGTGCCATTTCGACTCGAAGTAGTGTCTCAAGTAATGTGAGCTCTCTCAGTATTGGAAGTGACATTTCAGATTCTCTCAAATACAGCCATGATCCACGTGGAACCACAACAACAAGTACAAGATTCACCTGGAACAATCTTCCAACCACTTCATCGTTTACAAACACTAATGTTCCCTCAAACACCAACCAACAAGGACATGGACTCGATAAAAAGACAGAGCCCTTCTCAGAGAGAAAGTCAACCCGATCGATCGAACCTTCCATTAAGGAAGATGAGATTTCTTCACAGCAACAGTCCTCCTCCATTCATAACAAACAATTGGGCCTAACATGGTCTCCTACCAAACTCCAACGAGCTCAAGAACGAACCAAGAGACAAATCCTAAGTGTCTTGTTGTCACCTTCGAGTTCTGATTCTGACGAAGAAGAGGAAGAGATCTTTGCCAAGATTCAACAACGCTATAATGAGGCAACTCTCAGAATTAACTCAATCATTAACTCGACACTACCTGGTGTGACCAACCCAACGACAACAACGACAACATCCACATCGACTAACATCACCAATGTACATAATAATAATCAAACAACAACCATCAGTGCTAACCCATCGCAACAAAAGCCCCAACCTAAGGCAGCTCCTCAACTCTCCTCAAGTGCTGACAGTAATGGAAGTAGTAACTCACGATCACGACCTCTCACATTCAAGACTCAAAATTTGACAAGTTCCCTACAACAAGAAAAGGATCGTATTGAGGGTTTGTATTTACCTCCAATTGTCTTCCCACCAAAGAATGTCAACAACAACTTTGAGATTCATGAAGACAACAAGATGATCTCCCTGATGCTTCAACAAGACAAGACCTCATGCAATAGTTCTTTCGAGAGTGGTTGTAGTAGCATGGAGTATTCCACTCCTAACTCTTCCAGTGAGACTTGTCAAGGAAACCAAGCACTCTCTCACAGATATCCTCAAACCAATAATCGATACAGTGGTGTTGTGAGTAGTGTGCTTGATACTTTGTTTGAGAATTGTGAAGAACGAACGGTCATGTTCGATGACGACGAAGACGATGAAGATCTCCTTAGTATCGGTCACTCACCCATGTTTTCGAGTCCAAGTTCTTTAGGAATGGAAGATTGCAGCCTGTCGTCGTATGACGGCGAAGAGAGTCCAGCACTTTCTCCAGAAAGCATTCGACAAGAGGCTCTCAAGATGGAACGAGATCTCTTCTTCGATCGAGTTCCTCCTGAAGCTCGACTCAAGATTGACGACTTCTCAGTGGAGGTCAGAAGCTTTGGATCGACCTCTTCTCGACACATTCCAACCATCACATTGGTGGCTCATTGCTTGAACCAAATTTTCTTGAATGGAAGCAAAGCCACTTCACTCTTCCTTGAACGAATGATGAGCATTGTGTGTGATCGTGCTGAGATTGATCATCGATGTCTCTTATCTGCCTTGTTCTTTATGGTCAAGCTTCAAAATCCATCCTTTATTCAGAATGAAAACAACATGTCACTCTTCAGTTGTGATCCTACTTCCTCAAAGAATCAGGTGGCCAGTATTTCCACCAAGAATTTCATGTTTGTCTTTCATGTCTGTCTCATGATTTCCTCAAAGATTAATGAGGACAATTATTACAACAACAAGACCTTCTTCAAGTACATGGCTCCCAATGAATTTAGATTAATGTTCCATTCGTTCAATATGGACATGGCATTTGATTACATGCCAGACATGAGACGTGTCATGGTCAAGGAAGATGGAAGTGTTCCAATCTTTCCAGTGTTGAGCTGTAGTGAGAGATTCCACAGCCAAACGCTTGCCAATGAACATCAAAAGAAACTCTTCCAACAATTTAACAAGACTGAAGTGAACATTACACGAATGTTGAATTATGATGTTTGTGTGAAGGAACAAGAATTGTACAACTTTTTACACAAGCTTGAACGAGTGAATGAAAGCTTGTTGTCATGTTAATACACCTCTCTCACTGACCTAACTAGAAGATGAAACTATTGATATCATATTCACATTTGTCATTCTTCCTAAATAAATTAATTCGCATCTAGATATTCATATTTTTAACTCCTGTGTTGTCGGAACTGAAAACTCCTGTTTTCGCGAAGCAATTCTCAGTTTTTTGAATGAAATTGATTCAAGGTCCTCTCTTTCAGCACCCCAAACAAAAAATGCAATCAAACTACTTGCCAATGACGATGGCATTTGTACTGTTTACAGGCTGCTTTTACTGATACATCTGGATCATGTGACAGGATTTCATCGTCTTCTTTCATCTCGTGAAAAACTGAAATTACTAACCCGAAACTTCCGCTTCATTTTCAAATGAAATGGCGAATTATTGCTTCGACAAATAACAATGACAGCCTTCCTCTGTATTGGAATCCATTGCCTCCCAATGGTGTCAAGTACATGTTGGGAACTGGTACCACCTATTACAATTGGGATCAGAAAGCCATGTTGGAGGTCTATGATGATTTTTGCGTGCCAATTTTCGGACCACTTGATGACAAGTTGAATCGTTTCCGATGTCACTTTCTGAATGTCAACCTCACGAGTTATTTAATTTCTTTGGATGAATCACCATTTCCTCCCTGTTGCGTATTTGGAGAGCAAGTTTTTCATCCTCCTGAACCAGATTTTCTGAAAAACATGGTTTACAATTCAACTGGACAAATTATGGGTCAACCAGTGAATTGGTGGGTATTAGATAGCGATCCCAATGATCCTGCTGAACCTTTTGGATATGGATTTTATCAAAAGTCTTCTTCGTATGGCGAAATTCCTGCTGCATTCTGGTTTCGAACAGTGAATGGTTTTTCCATTCAATACTTTTACAAATTCGAAGAAAAGCAGCCGGATCCAGCTGTTTGGAGATTACCCTCCATTTGTGTGAATGCTCCTTCATGTGGTTATTTGTGAGTGTGATCAAATTTGGAACGAAAAATTGTTGAAATGCATTCTTAATGAACATCATTTGTGTGTGATGCATGATTTTTTAAGAAGTCTCTACATTCTTAACATTTTAATGAAATGCACACAGTTCAGTTAAACCTCTTCGCCCTTTTCTTCATTGAGAGGACTTGGTGTCGTCAATTGGGGTGTGGAATCATCAATAATGATGTCTTCTTCCTTATCTTCATCCTCGTCTTCATCCAATTCTTCCTCCGCTCCTTTCATGTTAATCATTTGACAAAATTCATCAAAATCCACCGTTCCATTGCCGTCATCGTCGACATCTCGAATAATACCTTCAATATCGACGGTGAAACCAAATTCCATCACAGCACCTTTCAATTTTTCAGTACTAATCACTCCAGTTCGATCAAAATTGCCACCCATTGCGACAAATGCACTCACCGTCTCATTGTCATGCACTGGTCGATCTTGCTTTTTTTGATTTTCAATAAGGTTGACCAATTCTTGAATGGTGACAAACTCATCATTCTGTAATTTTTGCACATAATCAAATAATTCATCTTCATTGAAAGGTGTATCCAATTCTTTAAGGACTTTCCTCAAATCCCACAATTCCATTTTTTGACAATCTCGTTTCACATATCGATTGAACACATTGACAATTTCCTTCACGTCGACAATGGATAATATTTGCTTATTATACGAAATTTGATTAATATCTACAACACCCACCAAATTATGTGTGGATGAGCTATTACCAGAATGCAATGAATTTGAAACGGGGGGAGATTGTACAATTTCGCATTCGGTTATAAACGTACTTCCACCATTGACGGAATTTGAGGAGAGCATACTTTGAGATCGTCTTCTCGAAAACGATGAGGAATTGTTGGTATTGGGATGAAAGGATGGAGGTTCCGGAAAGATTTCGGAAGTGGAATTGGGAGGAAATATAGCACTCACTGGAGAATCGTCCATCGTGAGCGATTGATTTATCATCGATGAGGAATTATTGTTGGGATTTCCTGAAGAACTTCCTGTGGATAATAAAAGTCCCCTTGATTTACTACTTGATTTCCGATGGGAGGGTGCGGATGATGATAGGGAGAATTGAACATTTTTCAGCATTTTTCCATCGATCTAGTCATAGGAATCAGTGTATGGTTGAACTACTAGTAGTTAGAATAAAGGGTTAGCTCCGATCGTGTTTGTTGAGAAGCAGAGTGTTTGATTTACAGTAATTTTTTTTTGAGGTTAAACGTACAGCTTTGGCGGGCTCTGTCAAATGTCAAAGAATGTTGTGTTTATTTCATTCCCAGCATGCTTATTAAAAATCAAAATCATCATCGTCAGCTTCTTCATCAAACATCAATGATTCATCATCACTTGGAATGTATCTTGATTGATGACTCTCAGCTACACGATACACTTTATCATCTGCTGCTGACACGCCATGACCTTTTCCATATATTGAATCTTCGTCACTAGTCTCTTCATCTTCGTCATCACTCAAAGAATATTCTCCATATTTCATATTCATAATTCTCTTAATTGGATTATTCGATTGTTGTCTTTCCAATTCCATCAATTTCATTGAATACTCATAACTTGATGAAAGATTCGAAACAAACAATGGGGATGGTGTATTTCCTTTCTGTGGTATAGTTTTTGCTGCTTGTTTCAAGACATTTCTGTTCGAATGATTGGTTCCAACCATGGAATTAATGACATAGTCGTCAATACTGGAAAGTGAGGAAGTGGTACTGTAACTTGAAGAGTGATTGGTGGAACGACGAAATTGTGAAATGTTTTCTTGAAACATGGTTTTTTGAGGTTCAGAAGGGTGTGCAGCTGGTGTATGGTGCTGTGGTTGTTGCTGTGGTTCAGAGGCTGCTGTATTCTGAGCCACATTCTGCTGTTGTGTTGAAGAAACTGGTATCATTGAAGTTCGTAAAATTGTTGGTAGTTGTGAAGATGATGGTGGTAGATTGGTTGTAACATTGTTATTTGTAGCCAAGTTTGACGATTTTGAAGTGTTTGAAATTTCCGAATGTTCATCAAGTTTTGAGGTAGAAGGAGCAGTGTTGGACCGAACAGAAGCGCTTGCATGATTGTTGACAATGGCAGCAGCAGTAGTAGTGGATGGATGAATTTCCTTATTGCTGTTTGTGAGGTTATTACTTGTCAAATTTGACATTGCTCCCTTAGAATTGTTATTGTCATTCTTTTTTGAGTGTGATGCACTTGATTGATCAAGTTGATTCGTATGAGAAGTGGTTTGAGAAGTAGTATTGTTACTACTCTTGTTTTTTCCTCTTACAAGACTAAACAGAGATGGAATGGCAAACTTTTGTGAAGTGGGATGATTCGAGGATGAATGTTCCTCTTCGTCTTCTTCTTCATTGTCGTCATCTGTGGTTGAATATTCCTCCTCGTCATCTTCATATTCTCCATATTCATCATATTCTTCATCTTTACAGTTATCATCCTCTTCTCGGTATTCATCTTGTTTCATTTCCTTCTTCAACATGGGATGATTATTATCATGCTTTCCAATTTTTTGCTTTCCTCCCTTATTTAATTGACTATTCGTGAGATGAATTTGAATGAGTGGCTTTGATCGTTGAACTCTCTCAAATAATTTCTCTTCACTGAGAACTTGTTTGGTGAGACTGGTAATTGGCCAAATGAATAGGCAACAGAACCAGTGGTGTTTGACATGTTGTCATGATTATTGTCATCTTCTTCAGTGGTCTGTTCATGATCCTGTTGTTGAGAGAATGTGTTTGAAGGTAAACATTGTTTTCGAAGCGAATTCAAAATTTGAAGATCTTCTTCATCTGCATTGCAAACAACGCCTCTTCGAGAGGGATGAGGTTCCATTCGAATGGGTTCTTGACTTAATATTTGTTTCACAACCACTACATTGGGTGAAAAACTGCTACTACTACTATTATTATTATTATTTCCAATGTCTGAGGAATGAAGTGAAGAGCTAGTTGTGGAGCTGAAAGACGAACTTGGTTCTGTGGATGCACTACTATGCTGGTCATGACGATTCAAGTTCTCAACAATACGACGTGTATGTTCTCCAACAACTAGGTGTGGCTCCTTTTTGGATGAAACAATGGATCTCTCACTTTCAACATTCAAAGATGGATTGGATGCATCCATTATTTCTGTCGTCATTGTGTTCACTTCTTCCATCCTCTTGATGTTTGGCACTGCATCTAGAGTTCTATGGTTCTCTGCATGGAGTGTTCGATTCTTTTTGAGTGCAGCTTCATGGAGCGTCTCAAAGATTGGAGGCAACTCACCCATGTTACTCGTGTCTGTTTCAGTCTCACTTGCTGATGACTCCAAAGAATCCAAGCTCTGAGAGGGATTACTGGATGGAGTATAAGGCGAATGACCTGCGTACTGATTATTCAGGATGATATTGTGATTCTGTGGTAACGATGGTGGTGGTGACAAGAAATTTCGATTTGATTTCGTGTCGTGATGATTTTCCATCGTGTTCATGAGATGTGAAGCTTGAGGATGAGAAGCAAAACTGGAAAAGTCCATCGAAAGTGCACTAACAGTAGTTTCAATACTTGAAGGACGTGGTTGACGAGATTGTGGCGTTCCAGCTATAGGAATTCTTACCACGCTACAAGTATCACTAGAAATATCTTCATCGTCACTGCTGTCGCTACTACTCGAAGAAGCTGAGTCATAGGAATATCTTCGAGTGTTTAACTTGTTGAGCAAGTCCTTACTATTTTGATAATTTCTGAGGGCGTTCAAAAAACGTCTTCTACTTTCTTTTCGAGAGTTGTAAACATCATTGATGTGCATGATACTTGTTGAAGAGTATGAACTCTCGTCGTCATCATAGTCTTCATTGTGTGAGGATGAAATGGAATGATTTTTATGTTGCCATTCCAAACTTCTTGCAATGTGACCGTACACTTGATTTTGTATCAATTCAACCATTGCTTTTGATTTCTTTTCATGAAAAGGATGGTTTTTCTGATTTTTCGAATGGCCAAATAGACGAAGTGAAAATCTCTTGTTTGTTTTCTTATCTTTTGTGTGGTGGCCATGATGACGAGCTTCTCTTCCATAATTCCAATCTTCACATGAATCCAAATTTGATGATGTTGAAGTATTGTATGTGGAATCATTCGACGTGGTAGTACTAGTAGTACTGCTACTTCCAACATAATAAGGATGTTGTTTCTGATGAGGATAAAAATAATTGCTTGAACTCGTGCTGCTTCTTGTCAACGAGGCAGTATTGCTGGTACAGCTCGCCAAATCGTCGTCATCAAATTCTGCTCCAACGGTATCACGCCCATACTTGGTAAATACACTTTCCATGGTTGCCCATCTTGGAATTCTCATTGGTTTCTTTTCAAGTAAGATGGGTTTCGCTCGAGAGGAGCGTGCATCCAAAATGTCAACATGATACTCTTCATCCATTCCCTCTGAATAATGATGATGGTGGTGGGGATAGGAATCATCGACAGCACTTGACAAGGATGAAATGGAACAAGAAGTGGGACGACCTCTTGGTGTCGTTAGGTGCTGCTGATGACGAGATTTTTGCTCCAGCTGTTCTTGCCATTTGAGTCTGAAGAAATCTGGGAATGAAACAAGTTGTGAACACTTGGTCACATGACCTTCATGAATCCACTTTAAAACATCAATATCGTGTAAATAGGAGCAAAATGGTGTTGATTTTCTATTTTGAAGATCTTTAAAAGTCGTGCTTGAAGTTGTGATCTTGATGAGTTGAGCATCTGCTTTGGGATGAAAGACGGGATCTTTGTGACATCTCTTTTCGTATCGATGTTGAAGGGGTTCAGGTAAGGTGAGTAATTTTTCGAAAGACAGAGGAGGTTTCATTGGCCCTACCATATTGGTAGTACTTTGAGTGGGTGATAGCCACTCACGTATTGGCTCGGTGGTTGATCGTGATATGGAATTTGAGGGTTTCAAAACAGACAATGAGAAGCTTGATTCTCGAATGTTCAGATTTTCAGTCATTGACTTTTCTGCAGAAGCTTGATTGTCTTGTGTTGTGGTGGCATTGGAAACTTTTCTAGATTTCACTTCATGTAATAAATCAACAGCTCTTTGATGAACCGTACAAGCATCAGTTTCGATGCCACTATTCTTTCGTGTCGCTGCCATTGACATGATAACATGATTATTGTATCTAAATTTGATATCATGTTGTTTTGAATCAAAAGAAGAAGTGGCGTCCTTTTCTGCTGTTGTGAGAATGTGTGTGACATGAAAAAGAGTTTTTCTTTTGGATGCTTCCACTCGATGATTTAAGCTCACAATTCTATTTCCAATTCTATTCACATCTCCTAACAGATCATTAGAAATTTCCAACACAACCTTACAAACGGCTCTAAGCTGCGCCAATAGTCCAATCATGCTCTGGAAATGTTTGTCTCTATTCTTTTGTTGTCGTATAATTTCCAACTCGAATTTACTTCGAGATTTTGTCTTGAAAAGATTCGTGAGGAAACCTTTCGAGTTCTTGCTCGAATTCGTATCCAAAGATAAATGTCTGAGATCAGAAGAGTAGGGATTAGCTGCCATCAACTCTTCCTCGTGAAATGAAGTATTATCAATTTCATAGACTGGATGCTTTCCACGTTTTCGATGATTGGTTGCAACTGAATCAGAAGCGGCGCTTGCAACACTATTATTAGACGAGGATGCTGAGGAAGATGAGGAAGGCCGCATGGCATCCTTAAATGTCACTCGTCTATTCTCAATTCCATAATAGTTGAATGACAAGACAGAATGAGAGTCAAGATCTGAAATTGCCATTGATGAAGCTCGTGAAGATGATATAGATCCCATATCATGACGATTGAAATCTGTAGTTGTCGAAGAATCTCCTCGAGTGCTCGTGGTTGCTGTTGTATTGGATGTTAAACTTCGAGTATGTAATTTTCTCAAGTCATTAATACCAGTACTGTTCAATTCTGGATGCAAAGAAGAAACAACCGATAAGGCATGAAAAGGGGTCGTTTGAGAAGTGTGTTGTTGTGCTGCAGCCGAAGAGCTCGTATCGTGTTGAGGTGTTTTGGACGACCTTCGTCGACGCTGTTTCTTGTTGTTTGTTATTGTTGAATTTGTCGAGTCCTTTTGTTGAGATTTGGCCAATTCATGAACATAAATGTGTCCGCAATTGTCATAGTGATTAATCTTGCGTAGTATGAATACCATATTCACCTGCCTGAACTGATATTACGGCTGTGTTGTTGGAATATTTAAAAAAGGGTAGGTTGATGTTTTTACAATTTTCTTCATTGAACGTTGGAGTGCAGTCTTCGTTGGCGAGGTACATGACACATTTGTTTCACAAATTTCTGTTTTGGGCTCTTTGGTGGGTCATGGTTATTCCCCATCAACACAATTCAGATCTGAATTTGGGTACAAATATGGAAAATGGATTGAAATGCATTCATTCCTAGAGAGGTAAGGAACTATTCATTCGTCCCGTAGCAGTGGGTAGCTCTGACATGGCCCAAAGGATGATTGATATTGGTTGTTGAAGCATATGCATGCATTCACAAAAATTTAAATCCTTGTTGTTCTGATTCTCGGTTTTAAAAATTAGCCCATCGGAATGCAAAAGTGGTGCCATTTGCATTCGTTGTTGAAATTCATAGCACTTGATTCAGTTCTCAAACTTTAATTTCGTATGTTTCATGTTTGAATCACGAAGGGTATGATGTCATCATTATTGTTGTAATTTTGTGTTGTTGGCCAACAACAGGCTTGCTGTTTCTGCCCAGCAATAGTTCGATGCATTTTTTGATTTTAAAAATTTATTTTGGTTTTGAATTAATTGTCTCAACCTGCTTTTAAATAAACGTAAAGCTGACAATAACTTTGAGAATAATGGCAACTACAGCAATGAGTAACACCACTGCCAAAATTAAAATAACAATGGCCATTGTTCCACACTTTTGGTACTTTTCGGCACCAGCAAGTTCCTTATTTCCTTGTTTGACACTTTCAAATGTTTGTTCAATGTTGTGATCGATACGATCGAGGAGAGATCCTTGCTCGACGACTAGGGCAGAAAATTCCTTAAATAATTCATTGAGCTCGACAATGGAAGTTAAAATTTCTCTCAACTCCTTGTCTCTTCTAATGTTTTCTCTTTCGTTTTGAATCAACATTTGAATTTGCTCATCCGTAAATCCAGGATCATATTGTTTTTGCTCTAGAGCTTCGATACGTGCTTGTTCCTCTTCTGTTAAATCTTCGTCGACATGTTCTTGATTATCAGACTTGTAGAGCATGACATTTTGTCTTCGTTGCTTGAGGGCCTTGAGTTTTTGCAAGTAATCTTGTTGTTGTTCACGGAATTGTTTGGAGAGTTCGTTCAATTCCATGACGAGTGCTGACTTGGTATTTCGCTTGATGACATCTTCTTGATTTTTTGGTTTTTCTTCCAAAACGATACGTTCAACATATTGTTTACATCTGACAAACAATCTCTTGATATCTTCAGTGAGAATTTCAATTTGTCTCTCTTCCTCTGCAAAGTTGTTACTCTTTTTTACACTAAAAGTACAATGTTGTTTGTGCATTTGTGAAAGTTGTTCCACTGTGATGATGGCATTCGGGCGAGCCATGCCAAAAATTATAAATATTTATCAAATATCAATGAAATGAAATTTCAATATGAATTGTGAATGGTAATGTTTTAAAATAATATATATGTAGTATCATCATCATTGTTACATAAAAAGCATGCCAAACAGTATTCATCCAAGGAGAATATAATTACAACAAGGTGTCATGATGATTTCATCTTGTGAAACCGTGGCCATGTCAAAAACTTACTGTACTTTTTGATCGAGTCAATATCAACCTTGACTTGAGTCAAAACACGATACCACAACGGAGAGGTTCCCTCTGCCCATTGTTGATCCATTCCATGATTCTCAATGTCCTTTCCAGCAGCGGATGATCCCGAATTTAAATTCGTAGATGGTGAATAGTGTAATTCAATTTCCTCTTCCTCATCCACATTTCCGTAGGCTGATGGTGCATAATAACTCCTTCGCAGCTGGGCATATCGGTTGGAGAGATCCCGACAGAGAATGGACTTCTTCATAAACGGCACTTGAAGGATACTCATTTTTTGTTGTTATTTTCGATCGTTAATGGAACAGTTTGACCGTTGGAGACTCAAACATGTCAAAATTAACTTCTTTGGACTTCTCAAGTGATGCTGTTCAAGATGAGTGCAAGCCGTTGCAGAAAACAACTATTTGAATTCATTCTTAGAATTGAGTGTAGGGGGCAAGCCCAAGGGGCAAACGTTTTCCTTTGCTGAGACATCTCCAATACCAAATATAACGATAAAATTTTGCTGCATAAAACAAATAAACAAAAATACACCAAAAAAAAATGAGAACATTCTTTCGTGGTTGTTTTGTTGGTGCTGACACAACAATGAAACGTAGTGATGAGATGGTATACTCATCGTTTCTTTTGAAATTGAGTGAAGATATAATTTCTGATCAAATAATTCCATATTTTGATGCAAAAAAATTAAATTTCATTTGCTGGTGTGTGTTCGGATTGGAGAAGAATTGTCAAATCAACCAAAGTAAAAGGTGTGCATCTCTGTTCAGTATAATGCCTCAAACCTCATGTTTCAATCTCTGAACGAGACACAAATAAGTGGGTTGACAAAAGGCGACTTGAATGAAATATTTTCAGAGTTCTCCTTTTTGGGACATATTGGGAGAAAATTTAAAGAAAATATCAACGATCAATGTTTAAAAGATTGTTCAATTCAAAAAAGATTGAATTCTTGACATTACAATCAACCAATATCATCACCAAAGACATTCCTTCCAAACGTATTTCACCACTCACCAGTTTGAAATTGATAGGTGTTCATGTAAAGACTGAACAATTGAGAATTATATGCAATAGATTGAAAAATCTAACAGAATTAACATTGATTGGAACTCATATTGACCAAAGAGCAGGACAAATTATTTCCAACTCAAAATTGAAAAATCTGACACAGCTCACCATTGGTGATTTTATTGGAAGCGAAAGTGCTGAGTATATATTGACCTCAGACAAATTGAGAATTTGAAAAAACTGGAATTTGTTATAACTATGGGACAATTAGCAAAATTCTGCCTTGTCAATTATGTTCCGCCGATTGACTCCTCAAAGTTTCCAATACTTTGCAGTTTTACCTCATGTAGGCATTATTTATCCAAAGAAGGAATCATGAATGTCTTAAAAAGTGGAATTTCATGGAAAGAATTGACATTTGTTTCATGTAAGAGTCCTTTTGATGATGATTGCATGTTGCATGTTAGCAAAATTACTTCAATTGAAAAACTATGTTTAGCCGAACGTTATGATCATATGATATGTAGTTCAACATGCAAATACTTGTCACATTTACAAAATTTGGCTCACCTTGAGATAGGCGTGGACAATGACGGTTTTATTGAGTTGTGTAATTTTGAGCCCAATAATTTGAAACATTTCTGCAATTATGCATCAGAAACCTCTGAAATCTCTGAATATGCTATTCAAAAATTTTGTGACACATTTCAAAACCTAACTTTTTTGAAATTGCGTAACACCAAGTTGGGACCAGGTTGCATGTATCACATCTCTAAATTACCAAATTTGACGGATTTACAACTAGAAAGAACATATGTTGATACGGAAAGCTTCAAACATTTCAAATATGAACGTTCTAAAATCACTTACTCTTGGCTCTGCCGTCTCGTATGAAGAATTGCGGTATCTGTGCAATGGTAATCTCATTCATTTGAAAACTCTAATATTTTCATCTTTATGGCCCGCCGGTTCACTCGAAATTAGAGCGTTTGATGAGCTTGATGCTGTATATTTGTCTGGTTCAAATTTTCCACAATTGACATATTTAAGCATCACATATGGACTCTTTCAACGCAATAACTTTTTCAACACTCTTGCTTCAGGATCGTCTTTGAAACATTTGAGACATTTGGAGTTGTTGACTAGTTGTTATGATGAACCATCATTACTTGCAATTATGAACAATTTATGTCCTCAATATTTGACGATTTGTCATCAACGTGATTTGGATTATGAGAAAATGAGAAAGAAAACAACATCTCCAACCAAAATAGTTTTTTATGAAAGTGTAGCAAAGTTTATTTCTCTTCAATAAATTTGTTTGTTTCTGTTTTGTAAAAAGAGTTTGGAATTAAGTTTTGCGAGACATGAATGGAGTTAAAAAAACTCATGTGAAACTTTGTTGTAACCTTGATTTTGCACAACATTGAGTAATGTTAAAATGTGGGATTTGTCCAGACCTCTACAAGCACAAACATCGAAGAAAAGGAGTGTCTTTGACAAGATTGATCATGTGATGAGGGTAGAACTATATATGCGGACATATTGGGGCACATCTATTCTATTGTTTCAGAGTTGACATTTTCACCTTACGGAGTCAGAAGATGGTCAACTGATCCAACATTCCCAATGTAAAGTAATTAATCTTGTGATAGCTAGAATGGTTGTATTATTAATGGATTGCAAGTACCATTCAGATTCTCCTCATCACGTAACACTAAATCTATTCTCCTTCGTAACCTAAAAATTGTACGTAGCAATGAGGTCAGAACAAATAAAGCTGGCATCTTGATACTCATGACAACGTTAGAAGTGTTTTTCTGTGTGATCGAAACATGTTTGAGCAATAAAGTCTTATGACAAAATATGCAGAAAATCCCTCAAACACCAATCCTTTTCCAAAGGATGGATGTTTGGCGAGTTTCAAACCCATTAGTTTAAATTATTACCAAACTCTTGTTGTTTACAATTAGAAACATGTTTTTTCCACTCTTCGAAGAGTTCTTTAATTTTGTTAAGTTCGATCACTTCAACCTCTTGTACAAACCCTGAGCAAGGTGTGCAATGACAAAATCCCAATCCCATCAAATAAATTGTGGAATTTTATCGCACCATTGAATTTTAATCTCAAATGAATGATAAATTGGGAAGATTTAGTTCGTGATCCACAAGAAAATTTTGTATAATTTGCAGAGCCATCTTCGTTTTATTGATCCCGACCGAGAATTCATAAACGGCCGAATACTCATTTTTTAATATTTTGCTCTTGAGAAGCAATTATTGATGATTAAAATTTATTCAAATTGCGATTCTCAAAATACAAGGCATACATAACCTACAGTAACCAATAAGAATAATTATCAAATTATGAAATGACAAGTTCAATTCCCAAATCACAATCTTCTATTCGGAAATGATGGTGGAACACTGAAGAGAAATCTCAGGTCATTGATATGAATGCGCCGCTCCGTTAAGTCAATATAAAAGCAATATTATCATCCTTCACCAACGCACATGTGTTTTATGATGATACAACACTCCAAGTGCATCACTTCTTCTTTCCGAAAGAAAACATCTCCTTCACAACGGCTTTCAATTCGGTAAAAAAGTGACCTCCGAACACTTTGGCTCTTCCCAAATGATCTGGAGCCTTATCCGCTAAATTCTCTGCAGCATTTTCAGCCTTCCGAACATATTCTTGAAACTTGGCATTATTTGCCAATTTGTTTGCAACATGGTCTTGCACTTTGGGTGCAATCACTTTGGTGAAGATTTTGCCAAAAAAGCTGGCGAAAGGGCCAAACATTTTTTTTCTCTTAATTGAACATGGTGGGTTGTCCCTCGATAAAAAATTTGTTTTATTCTACCAAGTTGGGGTATTGTGTATCTACAATGAGGTTGTGGATGGCTGCAATGATCCACACCATCTTTTGGTGATGTATCACACTACCTTTCCATGGTATTGCTAGGACACGAAAGTTGTTCGCTATTTGAGAAAGTTCCGTTTCCACAAGCTTTCTTGTAGCCCTTTGTTGCTTATTCTTCTTAACATCTGTATCAGGGTTCCAGTCCTTTTGAGTTTCACGCTTAGGACATACCCATCCAACCTTTTTGATTTTTCGTTTGACTGTCCTATAATGATCATCTGCCATCACAACATCACCCTCTTCCAAAGAATTTTCAAATCGAGTTTTGTCCCTAATAATTCCATGACCATCGTACTCTGTGGGAGGCCGATACTTGGAAACATATCCAATGCGATAAAAGAAGTCGCACGCAAAATGGTACCGTAGGGCATGATGGTGATTTTTCAATTTATGTGACCTCCACATATCACCTCGCTCTGTATTTTTCTCTTTCCGCTTGTTCAAATTTTTGAGTTTCATGATTTCTGTCACAGCTTTTGGTATGTCAATAGAGTCAAGTGCAACAGTACATTTGTGAAGCCATTTGGCTCTCGTTCTTCTTCGGATTGCTCTTTTTCTGATTGCTAAAGGAAAAAATTTAATTTCATTCTTGATATTGGTATACAGGATAGAACGCAAGATAGTGATTGCTCTACTGATATTTGAATGAGGGATATGAAATTGTATTTCCATTTTGATGAACGAGTCACCATATGTAATATAATACAAGAACAATAATACAACTTGGCGAACAGTTAACATTCCATAAAATTTTTCATTACTTGGACGCTGTACATATTTGATGACCTTTTTGATCACACTTTCCGGAATCTTCTTTTGTACTAATTCAACCAATGTTCTTTCATGTGATGATGACAACGGTTCGACATTTCGTTCATTAAAGACTGGCAAGGATTTTGTCATTTTTTATAGAGGGACAACCCACATGGAATCTTTTTGTTTGTACACACATCTACTGGAAATTGAATAATTTGTTGGAGTAGAAAATAGGGTTTGAAAAATTGGATATCGTTGTTCAAGTCGGAAATTGAAAAACTTTTATTTCAAAAAAATAGCATGATTTCCAATCCAACAACCACAGATCAAATCATCGACGTCTCTCCCATTCCCGACTCCTTCTACGACAATATTTGTGAATACTATGAAGAATTGATCGATCATCCTGACAAGTATCTCTTCAACGCTCGTCAATGGTTGCATTGGTTTCATCATTATCAAAATGAATCTGATACCTATGCTTTGAAATTAATGAGACGAGTCATTCAGAGTGGAACTTTGTATGCATTTCGTACTTTACAATTCGTAGTACCTTCTTGTAATGATGATGAACAAATATTAGAAATGATTGATTCGAATCAAAATTCTGAAGGAATTCCTTCAGTTCATGATTCATCCATTTTCAAAGGAAAAGAGAAACATATTCGAAAAGACATTTTGATTAATAAGGAAGAATTAATTCAAAGTGCATGTCATGTACAATGTTATTCGGATCAATTAGCTGCCAAATGCATTGCTGAGAGTTTGCGAGTGAAACCTGTGTTTGGAAAGACGAGTATTTCGATTGTTGAAGGGGATTGTTTAGAAGTTGCCATTCATGTCATGATGAAACAACGAACATTGTCACTCATTGATAGCACTACTACGACTACCACTGGTATTATTAACTCCTCCTCGAGCAGTGCAGTCCTGAACCTGCCAACTGTCATGTCACCATCCAAAAATAACAAAACTCAAAGAAAATCCAATTCCTCCAACACTTCCAACCAATCAACCACCTCTCCATTACCACCCTTCAAACTTGCTCTATTAAACATGGCCTCTTCCAAACGACCTGGAGGAGGTTATCGTGAAGGAGCAGGATCTCAAGAAGAAAATCTTTTTCGAAGGACCTCTCTTGCATTTTCCTTAGAAGATATTCGATTCGTTTGATTCTCAACGAGCATGGTATTATCCTCTCGAAAAACATGGAGGGGTCTATATTCCCAACGTTCAAGTCATTCGAGGATCAGAATCGAAAGGTTATCCCTTCCTTAATGAAATTTTCACACTTCATGTCATTAGTGTGGCAGCGTTGAGAAGTCCAAAATTAGATCACACAGGAACTCGAATTGATTCTTCATTGGTGGTGGATACAGTACGTCGAAAAATTCGATTAATTTTTGCAATGGCTCTCCAACATGGTGTGACACATTTGGTATTGAGTGCATTTGGATGTGGAGCGTATCGAAATCCTCCTCAACATGTTGCTCAATTATTTAAACAAGTATTAATGCAAGAATATGATGGAAAATTTTCACAAGTGATTTTTGCCATTTATAATGATGCCAATGCTATGAGAAGAGGAGATGGAGGAAATGTGGAACCTTTTGAAAAGGAATTTGGAATTAAGGCGAGTGTGTTTAAGGAACAATGAGCGAGTGGAATGGATGAGAATGGTTCATTCAATAATAATAGTAGTTTTATATATTTAGGATGTGTTTCATGATCGATTTCAATTGAGAGTGTGTGTATTGGAATATATATCTGTGTGTGAAAATATATAGCAATTGTTTTCTTTTGTAACACCCAACATTGATTCAAAAATTGAACTTGTAACAAGAGTATCGAAGTGATTGGTTGACAACATGAGATGATATGGCTCATGCTATCATTCCAGATTGTTCTTCATTGCCAGTGGGTTCCCAAAATGGTCCATTTTGCTTGTTAGAATTTAATTCTTGTTGTGAAATTGAAACATTTTTCGAGGAGGAACATGTTGTTGCAGATTGTGTATTGGTCTTGCTTGACAATTTCGAAATCAAAATGACACCCAACAATAGTGCAGTACCAACGGCAAAGGCACCTACCAATGCTGCAATCACAATGACAGCGACCAACCATTCTTCTAATGTGAGAGTATTCGACACTTTCATGGAATAGGTCGAATTCATTTCTCCCTCATTCAAACCTCCATTCAATGTTATGAAATATTCAGTGCTCATATTCACTCGTCGACTGAATAGAATGGATGCATTCAGTACGACTTGTTCATAGATACTGTACCTGAGGTTTTGTGGAGAGGCCAGCTGACCACGACACTGATATTGCCTGAATACGAGTAGGAAATACCCAAGGTTCGATCCGGAGTGACAATGAGAGTGTAAACGATGGATTGTTCGTTGGCGAGTGTTCCTGTTAGAGTAATGTTGGTTTTGAAATTGAGTGGAATGATGGTTTGGGAGTAGCTGTTGTTGCTCACGAGTGGCGAAGGTGTTATTGATGAAGACGATGCACCAAATGATGGTCCCGGAGATGCATTCGGTGATGACAAGGACGATAATTCATCGTCAGCACGTCCATTCGAGAGCAAACTTGAAATTACCATGCACCACAAGCATGCACTGTAAATGATTCGGAGAGCTGGTCTCTGGAGAATAATCATTCTGTGAAACGAGAAATTGTTTTTTTTAGGTATTCACTAAACTGTCAAGCGTTTCACAGTACTGCGCGCATGATTGGAACATCAAAAGAGCGACAGGCAAAACTGGAGGGGTGGAAGCGCGTTCCCAGAAAATAACAATTTACATGCACTAAAACACTTGTTCTCAAATTTATGCCTTACACTTATCAACATGGAATCCAACTGCTTGATCAAAGACCTTCAATTTCTCTCCCAAAGCTTCAAAGTACAAGTCCAAATGTCCACTCAAGCAATCCTTCTTTGGATCAGCAGCAAAGTGCTCAAACTTCAAACACAATCCAACTTCTGGAATCACATCAACGCACAATGGTGGAATGGAGACACCCATAGACTTGTGAAGGAGAGTCTTTCCTCCCACCTGAACGCCGACATCAATCTTCAATTGGTCAATATTGAAATCAAGCCAAACAGCTGCGTTGAGGTGAAGCTTGTTGGCCAACAACTTTTGCTTAAAGCCAACGTCGCATTCAAATCTCTTGTCTCCAGGTGTGTTGGAGTATTTACAAGAGGCTCCAACGCTCTCCAATGCCTTCAATCCCTTCTCAACGACCTTTTCAGCTTCCTTTATTACCTTACCAGCATCCTTCTCAACTTCTTTCACGACCTTACCAACGGCTTTACCAATGTTGCCGACCTTTAATTTCAAACCTTGAGTGGTGCTACTCATGGTCATCATGAGGACGACCACAACAGCCAAAGCAATGAATACGAAACGGGTAGATGATGATCTCATTTTTTTAAAGTGCGTTTAAATGAGCCTTAATTATATTTTTAAGCTATTGGACCGATGGATTTTACAATGAGGCGAGTCTGAAAAATTCCTTAAAAAGCTGTGAATGAAAGATTGATTGCATTGTTTTCTTTGAGCATGTAATATCTGTTTTAAGGTCCCTCTGTATAAGCTAAGGGATCACATCGTTATTACCTAACCGTTCAAGGATGTATTCAAAAATGTCATAAAGTTTGCGCAAATTCACATAGCTCATTTGATTATGTATTACGGAAACTGAACCAGGTATGCTGAACTTGAATAATCATCATAGGCTGGAGACGATGACTGTCAGCAAAACACCATTTTCATGCTCCAGTGTGAACAACGGGCTTACTCGGGCTGTAAGTAACGAGAAGCAACCCTCTTGAGCAGTGCCTAAAACGGTCCCAAACAAGCAAGTAGACCCTTAACAAAAGATTCTCAACAATAACTGTACTGTGAATTGGTTATGGAAGATCGTTCTTGTTCGTTATGGTAATGTCCATAGCCACGGACACCATTACATTCCTAATGTACAAAGAAACAATCAATGTCGAGCTCTCAAAAACCTGCTCAAGGAAAGAAACTGGTTATGGCCCTGGGGAACGCATTGTGCAAAGAAACGTTTCTTCTCTCAACATGGATTTTGGACAAAGCTAGCGCTATACATGTAAAAGCAAATATGTGACTGTTTCAGCATCGAAACATTATCAAGAACTCCAGCACACTCCTGAAGATCATATAGTACATGTTACCAAAAAGGAATAAATATTTAAATGGACTGTTGCTGCATTTTCTTTCTATACTCGCTTTTCTATTCTAAAATTGTAGAGAGATTATTGTGACACAGGATTCTTCTCGTTTCCAATTCCATCAAAAAATCCATCTACAAAGTCACTTGCCTTTGCAAGTAATTACATTGCAGCTCTTTTAAGGGGAAAATCTGACCGTACCTGGACGTTCACTTATTTTGAATGAAATTACAGGATGAAATAATGCTCAATAAAGCCCATCGTTGGATCGCCTATCACGCATGTATGAACTCGACAGGTCGACAAGTTGATGATTTCACTTTTGTATTAATGCGACTTTTCACCTCTGTGAAGGGCGGTTATTTTGATATAAACAAGCAGCAAATTATAACGGTCAATTGTCAAAAAAACAACAACAACCACCACAAGCTGCGACGATTCAATCGTCAACCACCAATATTCTTCGTTCATGATAACAAGCTTAACTGTTTTTTGATCTGATATGAAACAGTTCATTCATCCTACAGTGTTCCATACACATTGTTAACAGTCGAATACTACTTTTGAACTACTATTGCATGGCATGAAAGGTTGAGAGGAGCTCTTGAAAGATTGTTGATTGTCTGTAAGGTGAAGCGTGCTTATTGGACAACAGGTCTTTCTGGTCCTCCTCTTTTCCTTTCACGCCGTTGTCGCTCGTGTAAACCATATTTCTGAAATTAATCATTTGTTCGTGAAAAGGTAATTAATTATCTGAATTGATCTTTAAATCGAAAACATTTCTGAGTTTTGATGGTAAGCTTCATATAAAGCGAGATCGGCACATACATGTACAAACATGTTGTTTCCAATGATCGAGAGTGATATCCACAGTGGAGATAAACATGCGTTTGCAATGATGGAGTGTCGTAACTCGCGAAGGATTAATTACAATTTGTGGAGGGATGTTACTATTGTCAGTCTGACTCTGCCTCCATTGATCGATTGGTGTCGTTGACACGAAGGATCGGTTCATTTTCGCTCTGATGCATGCAAGTATTCAACAACAACACTTATCTCGATAGTAGCAACTAACTTTGGAAAATTCAAGGTAAAATTGTTAATTTAATTAAAAAATTCACAATTTAAAACATACTGCTTGTTGGTTTCAAACTGTACGTGGTGTTAAGCATGTCCATTTTATCTCGGGTGTATGTTATGAGCAGTGTGTAGAATAAGGCAATCTTAGAATTGGAGCATGAAAAATAGTGAGATAGTGCCACAGTGTGGATACAGAATATTCATGGCTCCGACAATTACATTTTCATGTGTTGTTGCTGTTTTTGTAAAACAAAAGGGAAAGGAGGAGAAGGAGCATATTGTTGATAGCTTCCAGTGAGCGGAATTTCTGGGCATAAATTCACCAAATGTGGTGGCGGTGGTGGAGGAAACAAGAAAAGAGGTGGAACGTTTATGCTTGTTGAAACCTGGCTGGTGCTTGTTGTTCTTGGCATTTCGTGATGGTGCTGACACAGTTCAGAAGCAATAAAAGGAGGATATTCATGATGGTGATGGTGTAGTGAGGAAGAAGTAGTGGTTGTAGACTCTCTTTCCACACGGTTTTTGGTGGCAGCATCCTCCATGATCTCATCCTGAACATCGGGCACAAAAGGAGGGCTTGCCAACTCGGGAGTTTTGATCATTTGTTCCATGGATTGACGAGTTGTTGTAGTGAGAGCGCTTGTGGTGGCAGATGAAGTTGTTGCTGTGGTTGCCATTGAAACACTACCTGTTGCTGGTTGTTGTTGTGGGAGTAGTGCCGTGTTCGAGGGTATCATGATTAATGGAACACCCATCATCATAATTGGTTGTCCCATTCCCGATGCCAAAACTGGTTGTTGTTGTTGAATGGGCACGCCATTAGGTTTTGATGCACTCGTATTGGTTGTTGTTGTTGTGCTCAACAATGGATTCATCACCAAAATATTCGGATTACTTGCTGCTTGATTGGCTGTGTTATTGGTTTGAGTAGAAACCATCAACGCACTGGTAGGATCATCTACAAATTGTGCATAGAAGGCTCTCACATTGGTCTTGTGTTTCCAACCCTTGTAGTGCAACTTCCGAACCGAGATGGAATCGTTGGTGAGAAAGACATCACAATAATCGCAATAGAACTTGGGCATTTTTTTTTTGGTTGAAGAAACACTCTTGCTGGCGTTCCCAACTCCCAGAAATAGTGTTACAATAGCATTTGGAAAGCACTTTATTTTTTAGAATCCTAACCATTTTAAAAAAGGTCGAGCAGGCTGTCGAAGTTTTGTTCTGGTGTTTGCTGGAGGTTTTTTCAATAAAAATGTTAAAACATGAACGAAACGCCTTTGTCGGTCTGTTGAGACCGGAATATCATGTTGCCATCAAAACAATGCTATTCGCAGTCCATCAATATATTAATGTCGAACATTTAATAGAAGATATTATTGATCAATGTGGATTTCATCGCAAGGATTTTAATACCATCCATCGCCATCTCGAACTATATTTCTCATACCTCATCACACACAACAAACGAGTCCCATTTGTTCTATACTGTTGCAAATTCCAGGTTGACAATTCAACAAAGATTGCACAATATGTTACTGATTGCATTGACCCGGACGAGGATAGTGCTATCTATAACATTTACTCTGACCCAAAATTTCAAAATCAAAGACAAAATCAAGAGTTAACATCAGAATGGATCAACAAACTACATTTTCAAGGCTATTTGAAATTGAAAGAGTGTCATGACGAGCTGATGCGAATTCGTCAAAAACGTAAACACTCCAAAACAAGTACAGCTTGCGAAGACCCACCTCAAACCTCAACAACGTCACAACGTTATTCTAGTTCAACCATCATGAAATTACTCGAACCAGAAAAAAATGTCGGCGTTATTGAATTACATAAAATCCTGGATCATGGTTTTGCTGAAGACTACATCACGTTGTCATATTCAACAAAAGAACAAACAGCACCGTATTACATGCTGCAACAACTAATTAACAACAAATTTATTCCAACACACTCATCAATTGTAAATACCAAGTCCGACACCATCTCTCATAATTTTGTAGACCATGCTGATTTTAAATCACAAAATAACGATGATGATAGTTATTATTCGGAATGTGATATATTTGATGAGGATATTCAAGAATTGAAAAAATTGTTTTTTCAGGTGTTAGGTAGTCGCAAATTAGTACCTCGAACTTTCTTTTTCACATATCTTCGTGATGCTTTTTCACAATTAATTTGCAAAGACAGTAGAGGCCATAGATGGAGCCCATCTGTTCTTTGTTTTGCTCAAGATTTATTGGTTATCATGGGATACAATGCGTATGAAGCATTGGCGAGAGGGTTGAAACGAGGACAAGAATTTGAACCCTCTTCTGAAAGATGTAACTTAGTCCTACCTTGTTCATCCACACTCGACCATCATTTTCACACCGCATCATATGGAGAAGGGAATACTAAACTAGACAAAGATGACTTTGATAAGCTAGTAGAAAAAATGAAGGTTATTGAAAATCAAAATTTTGGTCTTGTTCAAATTGATGCAGTAGATGTAACACCGCATTTAGGAATCAATACCAAGCTTGGGCTTGTATACGGTGCCAATGAAGGTCCATTGAAGATTAGTGATTGTACTGCACTAGCTCAGAGTCCGAATTTTCCACCCAAGGGTTTTTTAGCTGAAAAAATTGTTCAAACTTTATATTGCAGTATTAACGGTGAAGTTCGAATTCCTGGAAACTTCAAAGTATGCACTACTGAAACTGAACAAACCATTAGAGACACGATTTCTGAATTTCGTGACACATATACTCGAAACATCGTCTGTACTGTGTCAGATGCAGGGTCTGCTAATTACAAATATTTCACATCGAGCCCAAATGAACTACATCATTTTTGCTACAGTCACCATTGCAAAAACATGAGGAATGCAATTAATGGGAGACCAAAATTATATCCGGTTGCCACTAAAGTAGGTGCTCCAAACCTTCAAATTGCACGCCATTCCTCTGCTTGTATTTCTTCCAACGACAACGGAAACGGTTGCCATTTGATGAAAATTGTTATTCAAAGAACACAAGCGACCAACATACCACTTTCCTTCATAGTGAATGACAAAGACACAATTTCATTTGAATGGAAAGAAAAAGAACCACGGAATTTTAACTCTGGAGGCATTTCTTTCTATCATAGCAGCAATGACAACGAATTAAGTGTTACGTTGTTGAGTGAAACCCTTCATACTAACATTGGTAAAGTGTGTGTGGCAAATTTTAGCAATCAAGACATAGCTGTCACCAAAATTTCTTGTTCTATTTTACAACGATTTGAATTGAACACACTCGATGAAATATATAGACAACAACCTTTAGAGTGGTGTAAAATAGTTAAACGGAGCTCGTTTATCAAATATGATGATCAATCTGAGGATGTATTACGTGATGTATGCAATTTACAGTTACTTGAAAAATTACGATTATTGAACGAGAGAACCAACTATCGATATTTAGGATTCTATAAGTACTTAAAAGCGATACATGATTTATTTCATGTTTACGATGACAAAAATCATGATGGAACATCTTCACACAATTTGCACGAAGTGTTGCAAGTTCTTAAGGAAAATTTGGACTATTTGAATGAGTGGGATACCGTTTTCCAAGACGTCATTATTTCCAATAAGAATAATAATTTTACATTATCCGGAACCCTCACAAAAAACATCATTATCCATAACATCAAAACAATTCAGAAATTGATCAGAATTATTCCACAAGATGCAGTTTTTGATTTGTCTTTATTGGGAACACGTTCTCTTGAAGGATTTTTCGGAGAGTCACGTGATTATTCAAAAAGAACCACAGTATTGGACTATCATAGAAGTTACTCAAACATGAAAATCAAATTAGTGAAAAAAGAATGTGTATATCTTTCATACAATAACGATAGAAAGAGGAAATATTGTGATGCCCCTAGTCAAATTAACCAACAAATTTTGATGAGAATGACTGAAAAACAATTTGTTGACTTTAATAATGAAAGAAAGCAAGCTAGAGAAAGCGTGACATCCATTTCTTATAGTTTTACAGATCAAGATTTAATTTGTGCGAAAGACTTACAATTGCGATGTTTACAACATCGTGTCAACTCCATCCGTCAATCATACCATCAGTCAAGACATGACTATAGGGCCGGATTTGCCACCGATTTCATGGAGACAAGCATTTCCAATTACTACAACATTTCACTTCCTGTTTTCCATATTGAAACAAGTGAAGTTTTGCCAAACTTAACAGAACGACTTACATTAACCGACGACATCAGTTTTACCATTATTCAAACACACGACTCATTAATTCATGCTCAAAATCATATTGCGGCATTTTTGCTTAAAAAGCCCGTAGAATTTGAAATTAAGACTAATCATATTTCTTTGAGCAATGCAACCGTAGAGGTTCGCAATTTCAATGAGAACAATGAAAATGCATCTCGACATTCTGAACCAATTAACTCATTTAAAATATTTGTGGCACCAAATCAGACGGATCCATTCAAATTTAAATTAATTGGACAATTTTCATCAACAACCAGCACCAAGCTTTATCAAAAACAAATTGCTGTGATTGTTGGAAATTATCAGTTGTTGTCACCTCCTTTTTACGTATTTGCAAAGAAAACAAAAAACCTCGTTTCGTATTCCCAGCTGAGCCAGGTGGTGGCTTCGTCTCAAGACATGCAATAAAATGTCAAGCATTTTTCATCACAAAAAAAGTTCGTCCAAAAATTGGAACACGTTTAAAATTGTTCACCTATTTATTTCTTCCGACCACAATTACACCGTATTTTTCTAATCACAACAACATACCTCAAGTCGTTTTATTATTCATTATAGCTCCAGCAGAAGCCTTTGTCCTTCAACAAAGACAAAGCAGCTTTTGCTGGGCGAACAACAAAAAGCTAATGTAACAAAAACACTGAGACGTAGCCCGAATGAACCAAATAAAGGAATGTTACACCAGCGAAGTGGTAGTTGGGAACGCCAGCACTCTTGACCAAGCGACACAATCAACGTACTCTTATTCTTTAGTTAGAACCTCAATTGTGTTCATTGCATGCGTATCAATTGTTGCGTAAAGGTAGAGTAAGTTATGGGAACCCCTAATGGTGCACATTTCTTTAATATTTCTACAAATAAAGTTCATAATTCGGCATCTTAAATGCTGGCCAAGTCAAATACTTGCTGTTGTGGTGGAATTGAGAATAAAAGTCTCGAGTTGTTTTTCCAATTTTGAAAATTGCTCTGGAATAAAATCGCAAAAAACATGAAAACAATGAAATGGTATTGTGACAGTATGTTTTTCAACGTAACAGCCACCATTTTCCAGCATGTCCATAAAGGTTTCAATTTCTGAGCATAACCTTTCATTCGTTGAGTAGGAAAATAAATATCGAGAATTGACTTGTTTCAATCGATCGAGTCGGCTGGAATCGAAATGAATGGGTGACAATTTCTTGGCTCTTTCTTCTTGATGAAATCCAAGGGGAATTCCCCACTTTTTAAATTGATTCAGTGCCTTGTTTGGCAATGCTCGATCACAATGGTTTGGATCATTCATTCCCTTACTCGACATGGAGACGTCACACCACGGAGAGAAGCCAAAGTAGCCTCGAATGCAGTTGTACTGGTTTTGTTGGGCAAATGCAGAGTTTTTCTCTCGTTCCTGAGCCACTCGATCACACAACATGAGCCCCAAATGACCTCCGGCACTTTCTCCGAAAATTATGACATCACTCGGTTGTTTCTCATCGACCAGCCATTTGAATGCTTTAAAAGCGTCCTCAATAGCATCCTCAATATTATTTTCCGGATATAAACTATAGTCCACTCCAAACAAATCAAATCCATTCTCTGAGCAGAGCTTTTCCATCGTGTAGCATGTCGACGGCTCCCCCATAATATAGCCACCGCCATGGAAATGAATGAGAGCAATTCTTTGATCGTTCTTTGTTGCAGTAGTAGTCGCTTGCCTCAATTTCATGTCATGAAAATTAAAGTAAATGCTGGGATTCTTGTTGTGAATATTTTCAAAATTCGTTCTCAAGTACACCTTCTCTTCGGGATAGAAGAATGGCCCTGCTTTCGATTGATGGATTCCTGCAGGTAGTGTTTCTCTAAATTTTGCAATTTCTGCTATAATTTCTTCTCGGGGCTTGTCCTTGTCCATGAAATCATTATCCACGGGCACCTGATTTTCAGCACCATCAAATTTGCCAATCAGCGTATCCATCATGTAGATGAGAGCTAATTCTTGTTCCGATAAGTTTTGGAGCGAGTTATCTTCTCTCGAGTCACTTGAAGATCTCAATGTATCCATTCCTGTCCAATATTTGGCCTTCAATCGGAACGCATGAAAAATCAAACGGGTGATCTGAGCTGGTACGCTCAGCTTGTGCCACCATTTGAAATAGAGCGAGAGAGAAGCCAATAACGAGCCAGCAACAAGAGGGATATAAAGCCAAAACAACATTTTTTCCTTGTTGTTTCTTCTTTCTCAGTTCCAGTTGTATTCATGTTTCCGAATGAGAAGGGAAGATCGTTCTTGACAAAAAGCGATCAAATGCATAAATATTTGGCAATACATAAAAAATGTCGACTTGTCGTTCATCCAATGGCAGCAAGATGATGGTCTGTGGAAATAATGACTATTTTCAATGCACGGAGCAATTCCCTTCGCTTCCTTCTGTTTACAAACCCACCGCATTGCAGCAAAATGAAAATTTTGTTGGTTTTTATGATTCCATTCAAGACATGGTGTGCGGAGCTTATTATGGAATTATTTTGAATGGTAAGACAATAATTGTTTTTTTGAAGTAGTTGTTGTTCAAAGCTAATTTGGCATGTTAATATGGTCGTTTGAACTTTCAACCATGATGAAATTTTTCAATTATTTAAATTCATGACACTAATGTTATTGTTTGATCAAATGAAATTTTAATTTTTCATGATCACACAACTTGAAAATGTGAACCTCTGACAGAGAAGGGTGAATTGTATGGTTGTGGAAGGTAAATATATTCATTTCATTCGATCGACGGATCACATAACCCAATATTGACCATTCTATATGAACTTGGAACCTTGAGCTCAGAAACGAATATGGTGAATTGAGTCAACATGATGAATCTGAAGTGCAGAATGTTGTGACAAATTTCAAAAGAATTCCTTTCACTCATGGATCTGTAAAATTTATTGCTGCAAATTATTTCACCTCGTATCTGGTCACCACCGATAACAATGTCTATTGGTCAGGTAATCAAACCAATAGTCGTCGATTCGTTCTACATGATGGATTTGCAGAGCTTAAAACGAGCGTCTTGCAAGGTCGAAACTATAACATTCACAAAATTGAGACTGCCAATTCTTCTATTCATTTCGTGTTGGAAATTCAATATGACAATGGAGAATGGGAATTGTTTGGTAGCGGCAATTGTACACACACGTATGAAGATGGTACCGATAAATCCAATCAAGACTCTAATCATCAAGTCTATTCATGTATGAAATATAAGGGTGGTCCACTTCGAATTCTGAAATGCGGTGGTAATCATACCATGTTGTTAACTCTGGATTATCAATTGAAAGGAGCTGGATTAAATTCGAGGCATCAAATTGGACCTAAATCTGGCAATTATAACTTGAAAGATACCATTGAACCCATTGGATTTACCACGCATCAAATATTGGACATTACTTGTGGTGAAAATTTCACAGTCTATGCCTTAACGAATAATGAATTGTGGTTTTCAGGTTCATGTTGTGGAAATAATTCAGACACATTCACACTTCTTACCACTTCTCCTGCTCCCTTCAAATTTGTTGCGTCTGGATATGATTTTGTACTGTTTGTGGATATTTTTGGAGTTGTTTATACCAATGTGAATAGTTTGAGCAGCGTGCCATTTGAGGTTGGACAAATAGATTTGGAAGTGATTAACAAGGTGGCTGCAGGAAAACAATTTGCTTATTTCATTCATGCAACCAGTTCGAAACTAGTGACCGAACATTTTTGTAAATTGAGACGAGTCATGCAAGAGGGATTACTCTATGATGTGACTATTCAGTGCTGATGAGTAATATAGTATACATGTAAATGAGCCACTAACTACTTTAAAATCCAATTTTGACGTATTTTATTTACATTTCTAAAGACATTATTTACACTCTTCCAATGAATGATGAAATGGTCAACTTTCAAAATTTCCAATGATAATAATGGTAGTACGAGACAATGACATTGATGATCAACCATCACTACTCTGAAACGGTCCAAATCTCTACATCAGAAAATCGACAGCAATTCTCTCCACGACCGAGAGATGGTGAATGCTGCATCTGATCATGATTTTTAACCATTCCAAACATTTTCTCTCGTTCTTTACAATGAATGACACGAGGATAGACAAACGGAAATTGCACCAAATCCAATCCCAAATTCACCTCCACTTCCAAGTTAATATCTGAACATGAAATGGTTGGTAAATATTTGACTGGATCTTGATGATGTCTCTTGAATTTGTCATTGACAAAAACAGTGCCATGTTTCAAGTTGTGTAATTCTTGACCATTTCTCACGACCAAGAATTCACCATTTCGATGATTCAACAAACAGCCAATGACATCACCTTTGGAGACGTTGGATAAAAACACTCGATCAGCAATTCTATTGGTGGAATCTCTCTCATCATACACTCGCCCATTATCCATATGAAACGCAATGGTATCTTTGGCCCATCCAACCATTCCCTTGAAACCAGCTGGAGCAAAACCAATACCAACCTCAGGAGCTGATGCATTATTTCCAGAATACATGGACTCTGCAATCTTGACTTCAAAATATGTGAATTGAGAATTGGTGTGAATACTTTTCAGGTGTGAAATTTTTGAGGGATGATTAAATTGCATACATGGAAGATCAGTAGGACTCCATTGAGCAGGTGGAGGAGTACCAGCAGCACCTGCACCGTTATTATTCTGTTGTTGTGGGTTTGGAAGTTGAGATCGATGAATCAACAAGGAATGTTTTTGTGAATGTAATCTCAACGAATTATCTAAGGAAAAATTATTGGAATTGGAAATCAACGTTTTCACGTCATAGCAATGAAAGAAACCACCTCGTTTCGAATTTTTACCATGGAAAGGATGAGAGGAAGATCGCTCATTCAAAAAGAATCTCTTGAAATGACTTGGAGAAGGAAGAACCAACGGATGGTTGGTAATGGCAGCTGGATCTTCCAAGGTTGTGAGTGAGAGATGAAGTGATGCTCGTCGAGGACTTGTAGTACTTGTAGAAATGGTTGGAATGGTTGTAGGATTTGCTGCTTGTTGTTGTTGATGTGAGGAAGTATTGGAGGATGACGACGACGATGAAGAAGAAGCAGAGGTCGTTGTTATGATTGTTGGAGGATGTTGAGTCAAGCTCGTTGGAAACAAGGATTGAGAAAGTGTAGAAAGTACATTGAACACTCTCGAAGCAGCAGTAGTGGAAGGTTGTTGTTGCGTGTTGTCATCATGATTAGAGGACGAGAATGGAGTCAAGAATGGACCGCTGCGACTGGGGGCTGCCATGATCGAGTCAGAGGAGGAATGGTGTGGAAATCTTTTTTCTTGAAAGGTTGTGTGGTGTTGTGGTGTGTGTTGAGGGAAACGGGATGCCATTCGCAAGACACCACCACAAGGATGATGAAGGATAAGGTGTGGTGTAAGACATGTCTGGAAAGAAGATAATGGGTGTCATCATCGGATGATGAAGTTGAAGAAAATGTTCAGTCAAGAGTCCTCTCTTTTCTTGCTCGAGATTACAGTTAAGGTGTGTGTTGTGTTGATTGTTCAAAAGCAATAACATTATTCGACTTCGTGTTAAGAATACAATTAAGGAAAAGTGAATGCCAATTATTGGAGCAAAGTGTGATGAATGGTAATCTTGTACCAGGTATGACATCATCAGACAAGTTCTACAGTAGTCAGCTCATTCCATATTCATTCTTGGCAAATGGTCATGTTGAGGATGGGATAGTTTCTGTAGTGATCTTAAGGTCAAGAGAATATATTCTCATTACACCATGATGTGATAGAAGAAGGTGAGAGTTGAAATGGCTTCCAATGCCGCTGGAGGATCATTGTCATTCTATTTGCGACAAGTTTCCAAAAGTGTGAGCTTTTTAGTCCAACTGTTGAAATTTATTTATTAAATACAATTAAAAAATACTCATCATCATGATGAATAATAATCAACAGATCGGATCCTCGGATTATTCCTCTTCTTCCTCAGGACTTCAACAACAAACATTGCAAAATGGAGGTTCTTTTACATCACTTCCGACCACTTCATCAACCAATGTTTCCGAGAAGATTTTGTTTGCTGCGTTTAATCAGGATTGTAGTTGCGTGAGCATTGGTACCGATAGCTCGTATAAGGTGTTTACGTTGGATCCGTTGAGGAAATGTTACTCACAACGTACGTATTATCGGTTTGATTTTTAGTGTTTTGGTAGATACATTCGGTTGATGTTATTGAACGATTTTTGCAAAATATGGTTCTTCTTGAATAATGAATGATTTGATTATAAATCATGATGACGAAATGATAATTTAATATTATATATTTGAATGGATGATTCTTTCAACATGAAATAACTTGGAAAATTATAATCAAATGCACAATCATGACTTGTTCCAATAATACATTTGTGATCATGGACCACAAAAACAATACGGATCATCACTTCCCAAACATCATCATGCTATTAATGCAATTTCCGTAATTTGATCCTTCTTGCCCGTGTTACCACTTTTATTACGCATTAATGAAAAACAAACTCAACAACTACAGCTGGAGGAATGAGTTGCGTTCAAATGTTGTACAGTTCAAGCTTGTTAGCTCTTGTCGGAGCAGGTCATCAGGCGAGTTTGAGTCCTCGAAGACTTCAACTCTTTAACTCATCTGAGAATAAGGCTATTTGTGAACTCAACTTTACATCAACAATTTTGAATGTCAAATTGTCAAAGAGAAGACTCGTAGTAGTTCTTCAGGATAAGATCCATATTTTCGATATTTCAACAATGAAAATTCTTAGAACCATAGAAACAGACAACAAGTTAGGATTATGTGTCTTGTCAAGTGTTCCATCATCAACACCAACTGGCGTCAGTGGAGGAAAGAATGATGTGAGCTATTTGGCATTTCCATCAGCAACAGAGACAGGCGATGTTGTGCTCTATGATGCCATTAATCCTAAACATATAGGAGTTGTTAAAGCTCACAAGAGCGATGTTTCAATTATTCAATTTAACCAAGATGGTACAATGCTTGCCACAGCTTCTGGAAAAGGAACTGTGATTAGAATCTTCTCAATTCCAGGTTGTGAACTTTTGCACACATTGAGAAGGGGTTCAACAGCAGCACGTATCTATAGTATTTCATTTTCAGCTGATTCAAGCATGGTTTGTGTTTCAAGTGATAAGGGAACTGTTCATGTCTTTAAATTGAATCAAAGCTCAGAAAAAGAAGAAAAAGAGTAAGTTGTGAAGGATTCATTTGTTGTGAAATACCAGAACATTATTGTTACTCTCAATTCATTTCATTTGTGTTGTGTAACCTTAATTTGAACTCTAACAATTATTAATAATTATTAATGGACATGATCATTTTACAGAAAAAAGAGAACTCAAAATGTCGGAACTCTTAGTGACACACTTCACAACATGTGGGACACACATCGTAACTTTGCTCATGCAACGGTGAAATTACCGGAAAATGAAACTAGAAATATTTGTGGCATAACTCCAAATAATGAGTCGTTGATTGTCGTCAGTTTTGATGGATATATCCATCGTTTTTCACTCGACACCGTGAATGGAGGAGAATGTGTTTTAGAGTCCAAAGTAAAAATTCTCGATTAATAAAATCGTGATATTGATGAAATTTAATTAAATTTGTTCTGTCTGAATAATACTACGTGCAGTCGGATTGACGTTAATTTAAATTTTATTTCAAAATTCACAGCCAAATTATTTTGCAATAACATAGATGGCGTGTATTAACGCTCCGAAGTAGACTGTCAAAATGAATAAAACGACATTCAAAAAGAAGTGCATACCACATCCTTCTTTTAGCAAGACGGCAAGTGGTGGCAAGAAGAACGCAATGATAATCAGAACAAGTGTTGAGAGACCCATTATGATGACAGTTTGTCAAGCTTGTTGGTTTTAAACGTGTGAGATTTCTTGTTGATGGGGTGACAAAGATTTAACAAAGTGGGTGAGACAATGAATTGGAACCCAAATCCTTTTCGCTCTCATAATAATCAGTGATTTGGCTGTTTTGGTTCTTCCCTCATCCAAAACGAATTCCAACATGGAATGTGGTCCGCTCTAGCCATTCACTTTAAGGCGTCATTCTATGTGAATCTCTTGGGAATAAGCTTGACCTTCTAACATTTCCCAAACCTAGATAGGCCATTACAAATCTTTCCAAGCCAAAACTGCAGCCAGCATGAGGCCATGTTCCATACTTTAAATAATCCAAATTGCACCACTCCATTCCATTACACTTTTCACACTCCTTCTTCAACATGTCATGATCATGAATCGATTGATATCCAGATCCAATACATTGTCCTCTGAGATAAACTTCAAATGAATTAGACAAACGGTTATGCATGGATTCTTCCTCCATGATTGATGGAGGTTTCATGACATGATATGATTTCAAACTTGAAGGAAAACGATACAAAATGAATAAATCTCTATGAAAAGTGTCACGAATGATTTGAGATAATTTCTGTGTGTCATGTGTCGAAAGGCCATATTGAGGTAGAAATATTTCTTCCAATGGATTTTGGTGTTCTTGTCGATAATTGTTGAGTAATGCTATGGCTTCGTGATAGGAAATGACCAAGCATGTCCTTTCATGATTGGTGACTATTGATGTCGAAGAGATTGATAATAATTTTTCTGAATCATCATCTTCTTGTTCCTGCCGTATCAGTGTCAATTCTTGTGCCATTTCAGTTTCAAGACGTGTTAGTATCGAGTTCAATAATTTTTCTACCAGATGAATGATTTCTAAATAATGTGACTGAATGACCATTTCAAAATCTAAACTAGTAAATTCTGTCAAGTGTCGATAGGTAGTTCCTGCATCTTTACGAAAAACTGGACCTACTTCATAGACTTTCATTAAATCTCCTTGAATAGCCATTTGTAAATAAGATCGTGCCGAGCTTGTTAAATATGCCTTGGAATTGAATACTCCACTTCGAAATTGTTACTCCCTTGATATGGCCGTTGACATGTTGATAATTTAGGGGTATGAATTTCAACAAACTCTAATTGCTCCATAAATTGACGAAAGTATTTGGTAACACTTGATTGAATTTTGAAAATTGCGAGCTGACAAGGTATTCTCAACGAAATCACTCGATGGTCCAACAGTTGTGTGTTTGAAATTTGGTTTTCCGTTGAAACATTTTTCACAAATGATGTTTTCTGATTTTTGAAATTCTGGACCATGTAATCTTGAACAGTGAAGGGTAATCCCCTTGCCAACGACAAGATATAAATCCTCTCAATTTTGATTTCCATCGTTTTGAACTTTCCAGAAATTACCCGTTCTGTAATTTCATTTTCTGCCGTACATACTTTTCCAAACACTTCAACAATCGATTCTGGAGTAATCTTTTTCACAAAATGAATCATTTCTTTATCCGTTGTAAACAAAGTGGCCAACACGAAATGAATACCCTCTCGAAGGATCAAAAAGTGTAATTTGCCACTTCCTCTATTGGAATGTACTCGACATTGGAGTCTCACGATCGTTTCAGTAGGATTCATTTCATTTGTGGATGATCCAGAACATTCCAAATTTTTCATATCATGTTTCTGTAGAATAAAATCAGGCAATGAACTGATTTTCATTTCATAATCATCATTACTGCTATTTTCAGTATTTTCATCATCATTATTTTCATCATCACACAAAAAATTAGGTTCTTCCGATGAGGATGATGAGCAGGATGGAGATGCCACAATTAATCCAAACTTTTTTGATCCATTACTGTAAAGATCTTTCCTCGTTACGGTGGGCAATGATTGTCTGTAATGGATTTCCCGAAGCAATTCTTCTTCTTGAAGTTGTCGTTGGCGAGCCTGACGATGTGCTTTGTGCATTTTTTTGTGTTCTGCCATTAAAAGTTCGTTTCAACATGAAATATTGGTTTAATTGATACATGTATATTCGTCCTTATTATCAAATGAATTGTTACAAATTTCTACGTGCCGAGTCCATAGTCATGGCAACATTGTTTTTCGTTTGTTCAATAAATTCCATCAAGTGTTGGTTATATTCAGAAGGATGTAAATAATTGAAAATGTCATTGTGATTGGCATTGGGAACGGTCACAATCTTGAATTTGTTTTGAGCTCGTTCAAACAATTCTACTCCATGTGAATATGGAACAATGGAGTCTTCAGTCCCGTGAACAATCAACACTGGAGCCTTAATGGAAGGTATTTTGTAATTATTGCAAAACATGTCATAGGGTCGAAGTAATGGTAAAAGTGGTTTCATAAATGTCTTTCCTAATCCAACTTGTAGTATCCTGTACGTATAAAGGTTCACATGGTCCATCAACGTTCAACATCTACAATAGAACACTTACGATAATAGCGCTACAATGAAAAAACAGGTCAATTGGTTGCGTCATGTGGTCACATATTACCAATTAAGAAGAAGCAAATACTCACGTGTTTGTAAAATAAGTCCACCAATATTTTGATATTTGTGAGCTAAATGGCAAGAGGGACCGGAGCCAATTGAAATTCCAAAAACATCTATTGGTAACAATTAATAATAATGCACCAATGGTTTGGGGTGAGAAACGCAATCTATGATTCGAGAAATAAATTCACACCCACTTACAAATATCAGATGGATCGATTTTCTGTTCCTTCACCAAATAGTCAAATGCTGCCTCCGCACTGGCATACACATCTTTCATGTATTAATAATTTTTGTTTTTTTAGATAAACCAATACAATCATTATTATAGATTACACTACCTCCTTCCGATGGTTTTTGCCATTGATCATATCCAAAATATTCATAATGCAATACATTAACTATTCATTAATTTCGGAAATAAGTCATTGATGACAATGATGTAACCTATGTGGTTCTAATGATTAAAAAATCCATACCATTCAAAGTTCTTCTCAAAAACTCTGCATATTGTAACTATACCAATGTGTCGTCCACATTATTATTTGATGATAATATTCGGATCCAAATGATGATCATCATCAACCTACCATTTCTACAATATTGGTTCCATTTCCGTGTGATAACAATATGGTTGTTTTTACCTTGGAATCTAGAGCCTGTAAGAAATAAAACGGAATGGTTCGTTTACTACTATTACTCGAATCACGCAATAACAGCTTTTGAAAAGTAGAAAATTGAGCCTTCGGAGTTGGTGGTGGATAAAACGCAAGAAAGCTCAACAACTTTTTAAACGGATAATGAATTCCGATCAGCAGCAATGGCAATATCGTGAGTGTATTGAGATAGCCGTTTGAAAAGAACATTTTTTTTTAGTTATTATTATTATAATTCGAATTCAATGTATTCCATTCACTTTTATTTACAATCAATCATTCACGAATATTTATAATACACACAATTCGAAAATGATTCTCTCTCAACCAATCATTTACAAGTAACCACAATTACAATCGGAAATCAAATCCATTCGTGCATTTAATCTCACATCCAACACTTGATCATAGATGGCATTATGAGAAGGACACATGTAAATAATGTATCGGTTTCCAGTGGTTGCGTTTTGATTGGAATAAATGACGTGACAGGCACGAGTGGCTTTTCCGTCACAGCCATTGACTGCACATTTGGTTTGAGAGTCTAGACTGGCTTGTATAGACCTTTGTAGTGAGAACAACCGGAGGTTCCTCTCAAATTTTTAATTCTATTTCCTTCATTTCCGTGTGCTGACATTTTTTTGTGGGGTGTCAGTATTCATATTTTCTTGAAAGTTATTGATGAATCAAGAGACAAAATCTTGGCATCTTTTAACTGGGCCGCATGTTACAATAAACATGGTTTTTTTGGTCTGTTCACAACAACTCTTATACCACTACCCAATTTCTGAATCTCATGATTACTGCAATCGTCCAATTCAATTTTCCACCACGCTGAATCTCTTCATCGTCCGCGCCGACGGCATACGACCTCATGAGCAGAGTATTAGGACAAATGATTGGATTGCTCGTCCATTCCACTCTTCTAAAAAACGAAAAAGTACCAAACAAGTCATCTTCCAATGGTCCGGTTTTAATCATTCAGAACACACAGAAAACAACATTCATGATTAGAGTGGTTCGTTACTACTGCAGAATGGTGTTTTTGAACAACAATTTACAACAACACAACAGTTCATGGTTGGACAAATTGGTGGTGCATTGTTAAAACACCGTTCAAAAAAATCAACAACAACAAGACAACAACCATCTTTTGCATGACACCTTGGATGCGAGCTGTTCTTAACAATTTGTCACATGTTGAAACAAATTCAATGACCTCTTCCTGTCATGCTTGTGAAAACATGACATGTTTTGGGAGCCATAACCATGATGAATTTTGTAAAGAATCCAAAATGCCGTATCCCAAAGACCATACAAACTCCTCTCTTCACACACTTGCACACTCCCTTCCATGTAGTCATTTTCCCTTGTTCATCACTTCCTTTCATTCATGTCCATCGAATGAACAGTCCATTCATTCCACAAGTTCGTTACCAACTGTGAACATGCATCCACTGGATGATCACTCGTATGGCCACATGTGTCATCCACTCCTATCCAATCCATTACTCGAAACAAGAACGATATCCATGAATGGAACCACCAATTGTGAAATTTCTTTGGATTTTCTATATGAATTCTTTCATGCGTTTCCTTTGAAATTTGAATTCCAACCACTGAATTGTGATGATTTTCAAAATGTTGATCCATGGAATGACAACATGTCTTGTTCATTGAATAGGATCAAGAATCAAAACTTGGAAGAATGTGAAGAAACCAATGAAAATTCTTCTTCATTCTTGTCTCAGTTACATTCGTTTAGACGAGAGAGATCTCTCGATGTTTCGAGTTCAACTTCATCGAGTTGCTCCTCTTCCATGACAAGTAGTGTGAATTTTTCCAATTCCAATGAAATATCGAATTTTACTTCCACTCAAGAAACACCAAATTTTTCAGATCATTCCTCAATTCGCCTACTGAATGATGAGAAATTCTATGACAAGATCATGAAACGAAAACGAGGAAGACCTCCTAAAACTGGATATCGAGTCGAATTTTCTGAACATTCGTATTCCATGATTTTGAATAACAAGATGGAACAAGCAATTCAAATTGAAAAATCTAAAAATCGAAGAGGAAAAACAAAAAAGAGTCGAATTTTAAAGAATATTTTAGCTATTAAGGAACGACAGAATACATTAAAAACGAATAAATAAGGAGAACATGTTTGGAATTTTGATTAATTTTCACACCTTACAAAAAAATGACAAGTCAAGAAGAACCCTTCATCAATGCATTGAGTGATGATCTTTTTCGAAGTATTCTTGAATTTTTAGAAATCAAAGAATGGTTATGTCTGAAATGTGTAGCATCGGAAAAGAAATTCCGAATGTCCGAGTCTGTGATGATGATCTCGTTTGGAAAAATTATTATTTTAAAAAATTAAATGAATGGAAGAGCAATGTTGAAAAGGAACATGCCGAACGTGTTCAATGGTATTCGAATGAAAAAGAAAGAAATTATTATTTAAATACCTATTTTAATATTAAATTGGATTTAACAAAATTGGAACAAGTGACCACAAATTTCAAACAAGAATTAATTCATATCATGAAATGTGCTCATGAACAAGCCGATCAACAATTACACTCTCGAAAGAAATGGATCGATTCCATTTCATTAAATGTCAACAACCAAGAACTTAAAGAGTCGCCATTTCGATTTTTCACATTGAATGAAATTGAAAACATATTGACTACGTTCAACACTGTAAAAAAAGTCGTAGTCATTGGTTCGAAACAAGTTGGAAAAACGAGTTTACTAATAACAGCAACTAGTGGAGAATTCCCACATGAATATATTCCACCAATTTTTGATAATTATTCTCCAGGTGTTATCCATTGGCAAGATTATCCACAATTTAGTTTTTGGTAAGTGAATGAGTAGTATTCAATGTGCATGTTCTTACGAAATGATCTTTGATATTATTACTTTCAATAGGGACACTAGAGACGGTGAAGATTATGCACGATTGAGACCTCTCAGTTATGAGCATTGTGATTTATTTTTATTATGTTTCAGTTGTGTCGATATTCATTCTTTTCATGAAACAGTTGAACCATTCATTCCAGAAATTAGAAAATTCATCAGTGTCACACAAACACTCGACTTGGAACCAGTTCCATTGATATTGGTAGCCACTAAAACAGACGCTCGTGATACAAATTCCATACTTCGAAAGAATCTATTGTTGCATCATCATGAGTATCCCATTAGTATGGAGGAAGGAATGTCACTTGCTAAAAAACTTGGATGTCTTACATATATTGAAACGAGTGCGATTGAGAAAGGAAATCTTTCAAATTTTACAACCTTACTTGGAAAGTGTTTGTCCATTCCCATCACACAGAGATTAAGGAATCAGGTCGACAACTCGAATCGTTCTCCTCGAAAATGTGACATTCAATAATGATGGACAGTAAGATCGTTTGATTACAGAACGAAAAAACTCATTGGTCCATTTAATATACAATTTACAAATAAATCCAACAACGAATGGAATTTCAGAATCTGATCCAATTTTAATTATTTCATTCATTACTTTAAATAAAATTCCACATTCTTTTTCCATTTAAAGGAATCCACATTGTTCGTAGTGACCTGATGCTTATCGAGAGAAATAATTTCATGTTTCGGAACTTCTGAAAGTGATTCCAATTGTGCTCCCCATGAATTTAAAGGCTTTGTATTCATTAATTTCTTTGAAAATTCATTAATCTTATCTTCATCACCTTCCATGGTAATCCATACGAGATTTTCATTGTTTTTATCATTACTCGCTCCTCCTTTAATTCCATGCTTATTGTTTCATAGTTGTAAAATAATTTTTCAATCATCAAATTAATTTCAAAGTTGTTGTAAACTTACATTACTCATACTCTAGAATGATCAAATCATGCCTCATCCATATTTGATGGTCATAGAGTGCTTACCCTTACAATGGTTTGTCGGAACATGACTCCTTGACATCTATATATGGTGTTATCGATCAGCAGCAGCATTCATGAACACATGTTGTTTTTTATAATTCGTTCTGCGGAAGAGATGAATTCAATACGTACTTGCCCACTGCACGAAAACCTTTGCATACATAATTGGACATTTTTTTTTTCAATACTATTATTCATTAATATATTTTAAATCCAAGAACAGAACCTTCATGTTGTTCATAGCGTATTCAATTTAAGTACGATTCAAGGATTATCATGTAAAATATTTTTCTAACCACCCTACATAGTGAAACAGAGATTTCACAAAAAAAAAATGACACTTGACACTCCACGTTCATTTCCTTTCCAAACATCACTCCAACAACAACCTGCCACCAATGATTCCTTCAATCCCTTCGGATTTCATCCTGTCGAACCACAAACTCCCATCGACCTCGCCGCTGTTGGTTTTGGCGGTTCTGTTTTATTATTTAATTTTTGTTGCATGAGTTTAGTATTTTCCAAATATAAAAGTATGGCTGTGAAAACAAAACATCCGATTTTGATGATGTTTTCATTGATTTTTAATGCCTTGTTATTTATTGGATATTGTGTAAGTGAATGAAATTTATTTTCGAGAAAATTTTCGAAAAAACACAAATGTGTGAAAATCATAATGTATTGTGACACTCAAATAGTTCAATAATTTATTGTTGTATCCGACAAATTATGATTATTGTGTCGTATTTAGAGTTTGGTTTTTCAATATTGGATTGGTACGTGGCATCTATTTGTCAGATGCAAATAATTTCACACAAAATGAAATCGGATGAATTCAACAACAACCATACAGTTTGGATGGATCAGTTGTTTATTGACACGACTCCTAGTGACCTACATTACATTCAAAACACAAAAGAAAATCAGATTTCCAATTTCCTTATTTATTGCACTTTTTATGATTCCAATTTTTGTGTATTGTCTCGTCGCATCGATTGTGAAAGAATTGCTCTATGATCCTAAATTACCAAATAATTGTAAATATGGAACTATTGCTGTGGGTGTCAATTTGGCAATGATCACACTCTACTGTTTGATTATTGGTGTGTTAATTTTTCTCAGCAGAAAGTAAGTGAAAGATTTTAGAGATTTCACAACAAATTTGGAATTTTAAAAACAATTCTTCTGTTATGAATGATGAAATATCAGAGTTCAAGAAGATTTCAACAGCTCAGGAACTGAGGCCATGGGTCTTGTGGGAATTGTTGTATCGGTCGTGATTGGATTATTGGCTTGGCTCTTGTATCTGCATCGAATTATTCCGATTCGAATCATTATTACATTGCTTCCTATCATCATTGGATGTTATTATTTTTGGTCCTACTTTGGAGGGATTGTGTATGCCATTGTGACATGCTCTAGTGAGGAATACTTTTTGGATTGGTTGGAAAATCAAAACGTGCATGATGTTGCAACGAATCGTGAAATTCAAGAAGAATTGAGAGAATGCAGAGAGAAATTGCGTGGCATGCAATGTTGTACACTGAGCACGAGCATGGATGTGAATCGAATTCTCAACTAGCATGCTTGAGACATGAGGGGCTGAATTATAGATACCTTTGACCTCACTGCATTTGATGATAGGCTTCCAATGAATATATCAAAAAAGCAATCGATTTATTTGGTGACCTTCAAAAGCTTTTCACAATGACTCGATCACACAAAAAGGTCATTAATATTTCTTTGCACTTGGAGCAGCGAATTTATACTGCGAGTTGAATATATCGTGTGGAATTTCTTTAGAACCTTCCTTGTATAAAATCTCAATGGTTCTAGCTGTTGGGGGAAATGGGAATGATTCTAACAGAGAAAATGCCTTGTAATCCTGGCAATATCGCAAATAACCAAAAAGCATAGTATTGTAGAGACGTTCCCGCAAATTAAGATCTTGAATCTTGTCACGAAACTTGAAAAAGACACGTTCTGCTTCATTGAGATGACCACAAACAACATAGGCATAAATAATACTGTATGCATTTGCAGTACCTCCAGTCTTGTCCATAATGAGCTTTTCTAAATTCTTAATTTCATTGAGTTTCTTTGACTCACCCATAGTAATCAATAATGGTCGATAGCAAGCAACTGGAACTTCATAGCCATCCTTTAACAGTTCAATGTAATAATGATAAACCTTGTCCAATTGTTCCTTGGCAAAGTAATATCCAAATAAGAGAGTATAGATTGAAACAGATGGCTTGACCTTTTCCTTTCTCATGTGGCTGAATAAGAAGGAAATTAAATCATTTCGATCATGTTCGCATGCTGCTACCATCAAAATACTATACGTTGATGTCATTCTCTTGATACCCATTTCTGGCATTTCATGGAAGAATCGTAATGCCAAGTCGAAATTTCCACTCTTGCAATGATGACTGAGGATTGGAGCAAACACGTCGGCATTTAAATATTTGGAATCTTTTAAGCTTAGAGTGAGTTCATGAGCCTTCTCCATCATACCAGCATTGACATAGGCATACACAAGTGTAGTATAATGACGACCATTTGGGTGTGAAACAGTCTTGAATAATTCTTCGACCTTTTCCACATTTTTGCATCGAGCATAAATGCTCATGACAGTATTTGCAAGATGATCATTGAGTGGAGTTCCAGCAAGATTATTCTCGTAAATAGAAATACTTTCCTCTACGGCACCTCGTTCTTCATAGAATTTGAGTAATACTGCAAAAATTGAGGAAGCAGCTAAATGGTTATATTTTGTTTTCATTACTTTCAAATGCTCTAGAATGTGCTCTTCTGTAACTCTTCTATTGCCTAGTGCAAATTCTGAAAATTCTTTGAAGGTTTTGTGCGTTGTGTCTGGTTGTTCTTCTGAAGAGGATGCTTCTTTCACAAATCGGATGACATCATTCAGCGCATTCCTATTCACCTTGAAAGAAGTCTTTTTGTGGGATGGAAGTGAATCATAGATGGATTGTTTGAGAGGCTCTACCGCTTTCTCAACTTCTTCAATGAGAAAATCATCAACAAATATTCCTACGGGTTGTTCTTGCTGTGGTGTTGTTGTTTCCGTTTCATTGTTCGTTGCTGATGACTTGAGAGATTCACTTAACTCATCAGTGCTGTTAGAGGATGTAGTAGTAGTTGTTGTTTCCCGCATCATGTGTGTAGATGCCTTGTGATGATAATGGGCCATCATGGTCCGATGTTGGGACCCCACCACAACTTGTTCATATTCGGGATGAGTCTTTACCGTATTCAAAAATCCAGAATAAAATATATTCTTTATCATCAAGGTTGGTGATATTATGGTTGCAGAAGAGAGGGATGATGATTGTGCCAAGTGTTGCAACATGGCCTTCTTATTCAAGGCCATCCAAGATTGTGCTTTCATCATTTTTTTGAAGCAATTCGATGAGGTTAAATTTTCTTTTCTTCACACAAAATTTATTTGAATTTAAACTCTTTCATTGGAGTCGTGTTGAAAGGGACCATGAATGAATGGTCATCTGATTCAAAAATAAATAACTCACAAATGATGACAAGAAGGAAGTAGTTGAGAAAGTGTCAAGTAATTCTATTTTAAAAATTAAATGTCTTTTTCAGGCATTATTGATGGTGTTGTCGATGTAATTCAAGAAGAATGTCCTCAATGGAAAGCTTAAGTGGAAAAACGGAGCCATCGTCGTCATCAAGTCTGCTCTCGATGCCTGTTGTGGATGGAGGTGATAACGATGAAACATTAGAAGCAATTTCTGCTTGATGTAGTTGAAGTGTTGAAAGACCTTGTGGTCCATGAAGAGGTGATGAAACAGATGAAATGGATGTGAATGGAGTATTTACATGTGAGGGAGGTGGTTGGGTGGATAAATCTTGCTGCCCTGAAAGGTTATTCACTCTACTCGAGTAATTGATGTTCTGTGAAATAGAAGTAAATACGGATGATACACTCGGCACACGGTCAGGACTACTAGTAGGGTATACTTCGGGCTGTTTTCGTGTTTGAATCGCTTGTAAACTATTATTTGATTGATGACCACCCATGAAAGTGAAACCTACACCACTACTGCTATTATTTACATCTCTAGGAGTGGAAGTAGTAGTGGAGGTTATTGCATGATCAACATAATTGCTCGAAACGTTGGTGGTTATACCCATGCTGTTGAAGTTGCATGTATTCACCGAGCCTTGGAGTGGTTGTGTTGAAGCCACATCCATTGGAGACGAAAAATTGAATGGTTCTGGCTGTTGACGAGGAATAGAACCCGAGAATGGAGGAAATTGCTGAATTTGTGGAAGAGAATGCACGTTGAATGAACTTGTTGATTCAACAAGTGTGTTGTTATTGGCATCCATAGTTGTGTCCAAAGCTGTTGGTTGTGGTTGCATTCCAATCAATACGGATGGTGACGGTGGTTGTTGCATGATATCATTGTCCTTCGTATGTTGATGATGTGCATGTTGAACCGGATGTTGTGCATGCGCGGTTAACGTTGTTCTTGGCTGTTGTGGCTGTTGTGGCTGTTGTGGCTGTTGAGGAGGTTGTGACTTGGGTGCTCTCCTTCTGCTTTTTGAACCTCTTGTCGTTGACGGTAGTTTTTGACCATGCATAACAATTTGCTGATTGCCATAGATGGCTGGTATTTTGGTCAACCTCAATTCAGTATAATTACTCGCAAATTGCTCATCTGTGACAAGCTTTTTGATACGGAGTGCATGTGTGGGTTGAAGGAATTTAATAAAGGTTGGATTAGCAGTATTATTACTATTGCTTGCAGGGGTATTGAGTGAGGTATTTGGATTGCCCGACATGTTGGAGGTTGCTGAGGAAGAGGTTGGAGGAGAAACTCTTTGTGTGGTGCTTGTAACATCATGTTGTTGTTGTTGCAGAGGTGGTAACTGCTGCTGTTGTTGCGAGTGATGAATCGTTGGAGTTTCATTCACAAATGTTAAGCCTCCAGTCGACGAGTTACTTTCAACCATGATTGTACTCGAGGCGCTACGAGTTGAAGCGTCATCAAAACCAAAAGGCTGACTTGAAGAAGGATTTGTTGTTTGTTGATGCGCCTCCGAGGAGGAGGAGGCACCTCTCTGTGAAGATTTTGAAGATGCTTCTTGTTGCGGATTAGACATGCAGTGAGGTGAATGGATGAGCTGTGTTGTGAAATGCTCTGTAAAATTTCACTTGAGGATGGTTGTTGGATTTTCTTTGGCTTGAACTTGACAAATGTTATCGGCAGTCAGATGTAGTATTTCATGAACGATTTTGTTTCTACTTGCTATTGGAGTATGTTTGGTATGAACGACTTTTCTGTTCTAATTGTTGAAATCAACTACTATTCAATAAAACCACACAATTGCAGCGAATGGTCTTTAGCTTGAAGTGACGCCAAGTAGTGAGAGGCACCTAGTTGTTGTTCTCTTTGGTGTCGACTTGTAAAAGCAATTTTTAACGCTTGAAAATATTTTGCGAGTCGCACCTTGTATGAGCTAAACACCCGAAAATGTTGAAGAATGACAGTTGCCTTTGGTGTCGGAATGCAAGGCACGGACAAAATTAAGCACACTCCAAGATAATATGCGCTACACGGGTGGCGATGGACTCTCCCACTATGGAGATCTGACATAATTGAAGAGGGTGCATGCAGGCGAAAAGTACTTCCTCGACAATAATGAATGGGCGCATCATGATCATTATGTGCTTGGATAATGGCAAGGGGTATTTTAGGATGTCGTTCCGTTTGGTGTTGTGGCTTTCATGTCCACGGAATGCTACCATCACAAATACCTGCATCTTATCTGGACAACTGGTGAATGATGAAACCTAGAGTGCGTTGTGGTAATCACCGCTTCAGAGTGCATTCATACAATTTGGCAACAATGTCGAATGCTTGTTCTAACGACACTGTCTTCAAATTCTCCATTTTGACAGTTGTACGAGAGAATAACAGATCTTGTAATGACCTGCCTGTTCTGGAGAAAGACCGCAATTGTGCATTGTAATCATGATAAAAATCGAGAGTGTTCGGTGACCTTTCCGGTCAATTTGGCAGACTTAGCCCAAAGGTTCAAAACAGTGTAGGCCACTATTGAGTTAATTGAGCTTTGAGCAAAATAATTCAGGTGGCATCTTTTGTGAATAATCTTTTTCCTTACTCACCCATCATGTGTGACAGTTTCAAGACCGAATATCTTCTCCATTGGAGAAAAGGCAGCAAGTAGTTGAGAAGTTGTGCTGTCCATGGTCTATCATGCAGAATGACAATTTGGTGATGGTCATTCGAACATAAAAATCCAAATGACAATAATTTCACCAAGTCATACACATAACCTACAAGTGCAATGTTGATGAAATTGAGCCACCACAAAGGCACTTGCGGATCAAATGAATAAATATTGCCCAACACAATATCGTAGTTCAACTCTTGGCATGCTTGAACCATTTCTTGTGTGAAAAAGCCATGCCCAGGTCGATAATATTTCGTCATGACACTTGTAAGCGGAGCTTGCCTCTTCAACTTTCTTCGCTCGTTGAGTGGAGCAAGCAGAATATCATTCACAGCCTTCTCACAATTTGCAATTTCCATCAACAGATTAGTTTTAGAGAGAGATGCGTGCTTTGAGTTGGTCATGCCATGATTTGCCAATTCAATGACACCATCATCGAGCCACTCTACAAATTTTTCAACGAGTTGAGTGTTTTTCTGCAAATTCCGAATGGAATAGTTCCCGATCATCATCAATGTGGCACAGGCATTGTGTTGTTTCAAGATTTTACAAATTTCGGAAATACTGGAAATGAACAAATCATGATTTTGTGTGGTTGATGAAATCATTGTGTGTTGCTGCCTTTCACGTCTACGGAGTATCTTGGGCAGTGAATACTTCCAAGGTACATCATCAATAGTGATAGCAATACAATGTCTTGTTGAAGGTATGGATTTATTCTCTTCCAATCTGGCATCCGAGCAATCATCACTGTTATTTACGTTCTTCCTCTTCCTTCCATTGAAAATAATCTTGTTGGAAGAATCCAATACTGAGAGAAGTCTTACACCAAACAGCCAAACGACAAGTATTACGGAGGTGATGACAGGGATTAACCAAAACATTTTTTTTCGCAGAAAAATAAACAACAAAAATTTTGTACAAAATTGCGTAAAACACTCAATGAGTGAAAGCCATGTTAAAGTTGCTCAAAAACTAATTCTATGAGCAGTAAAGAATTGAAGGAGAATATTTCTTGCTTCACTGATATCTATCTATCTTTGTCAATAATCAAGCCACAAGATGGACAATGATATGGCTTCATTGACATTGTATAAAAGGCACTAAGAAAATTCAAAGCTAACGGCATTTTTAATAAATAGCGAAAAAATGTACAATAACCAAGCACCACACTCGTCCAGTCCAAACGTTGTGAATTCAATGAATAGAAGCTCGTCATCCCCCCAAATGAGCCTTAATCATCCTTACTTACAAAGAGTTCAGCAAGGATCATCTTATTCCTCGCAGAGAGGAAGAATGAGCCCACAACAGATGCAACATCCTGTTGCCGATCATCAAGTATTTTCTTCGCCCCCAATTCATCATCGGCAATCACCAATTTTAAATTCTCAAGCAAACTCAAATCAACAAGGTATGACCCAGCAAGTATTGCAACATCATCATCAAAGCCTTAATATGAAATCTCAAACAGCCTCAGCCACTTTGCGGTTTCTCAACGAAGAGTCGGCAGACGATTTGTATTCGTTTCATGATCCGCACAGTGAAACACTTCATTCACCACGTTCTCAGGCGAATCAGAATGTTGTTCCATCTTCATCTTCGGTAAACTCAGCTCAACATTCCAATCCGAATACAGGTATGATGACTCATCATGCAGAGAGAATGAATCAATCTCAAATCTCATCAAAGGTGAGGCACATTCCGAGACAAGATCCATTCTTTCATCATCTTGAGTATAGTGTCAAGTTGGCCATTGGTGCAGTTTCTTGTTCCGTTTCACGAGTGTACTGTTTGCGAGATGCTACCGAATACAATCAATTTAAACAATATCAACAACTGAGCATGAACAGCTCGGGAGGTTTCCTTGATGTATGGCTCAATCTGAATGATTCATCTCATATGGGCTCCAATAACACCTTAGAGAGTATCATCAGTGAAGGTTTTCAAATTCCAGAGAATGGTATGAGAGTGAGTATTGGAAGAATCAACCTTGATCCCAACACCCAACAGATGCATACTTCATTAATAGCAAATCAAAATTTAAGCCGTGGAAGCACCAATACCATCCAACAGCAACAGTACATGCTTCAAATGCAACAACAAGAGTCCTTTCTCGGTCAACCTACCTCTCGTCCTCGGGTGTATCGATTGCTTCATTGTCTGTTGAATACGGGAAGGTCGTTTTGCTTGAATAGAGACTTCAATGAGGAAGTAATTACGATTCCACAAGGTTATGACAGTGTTTACATTCAACCAAGTAAGTACATTGGAATCACTACTCTGTTTTTTGCCAATCATTGTTGTTCATGTGAACTCAACCAGACGAGGCAAACCCCAATTACAGCCACGAATTCATTATCTTTGACGCACGACAAATATTTGCTGATTGTGTCCTCTTTGTCGAGCATGACCAAGCAGGTGATGAAAAAATGTTAAATCAAGTCATGTATAATGACATGCTAAGAAATAGTGATAAAATTATTAGTAAGGCGTACAAAAAGGCGTCAGATTATGTGGACCAGTCATGTAACCCACCCTCAGACGAGAAACTGCTATTACCAGAGATTGCTAAACAAATTCAACAACGTCAACTCGTCATGTTGGAATTTGAAAATATTGAGAAGAGACGTTTGGAGTTGTTAGCAAATGCAGGTCAAATGGAATCCCACATAAGAGAACTGTTTAGAAAGTCCATATCTTCGCTTCATGACATTACGCAACTTAAATTGAGCACGTTGTTGACACGTGAGGCTGAATTGAGACGAAAAATGGAAGAGATTGAATGGATGAATACATTCATTGAATATCAACGAACATTGGAATCCCCGTTGCAATTTCTTGAATCTACCGCTCTTCATAAGAGAAAGATCAAGGAGCGACAAGACTCCATTGATCATTATCTTCTTCAAGGAAAGAATGTATACGATACTCTAACAGTGCCAGACATTACCGTAGAGGGCAAAATGGAGGTTGTATCACAAACCGTTTCTTTGAATGGGTAAGTGGGTTGTTGTTTGGAATATACTACCAACTTGGAAACACAACTTTAGAATGGCATTTAAAACAATCCTCAACAGTTACCTTCATCAGAACCATGATGTGACTGCATCAGGCAACATGACCATGAACGAAAATGCTTCTTCCATTTTTAAACCTTAGCCATGGTACAGCAACCATGGTTTAACAAGATAAAGAGGACAAATTTGTTTAGTCTCGTATCTTGTCATCGCCTTAGATGATTGAGCTCGTCCATTATCATACAGCTACATCAATAAATAAAAAGCTTCATTCTAAACTTGACGAATTTTCGTTACACATGATGATCTGAAGATGATCTTGAACACTGAGTAAAATTAATCATGTTTTGAGGTATTGGTAAAGGAGGTCGCAACACATCAAAAGAAATGTCAGAGCCAGGAAATGGGCCATTACCAAAAACTCGTGTCCATTCTGTCTCAATTACTTTGTAAAATCTTTCATAAATTCCCTTCTCCTTCATATATCTCGAAGTGAAGGAAGAAATGCCTCCGCATATCGAGACGAGCGTTGTAATTTTGGAATCCCAAGTCACAACAGGGCATATAGCAGTACCTGTGATATTTGTTGATTCCGTGGAGCCATGGACGCCTTGCATTTTTGTTCCTTGAAGCATGTTCAAATACCACATGAGACCAATGTTTCGATCTGCCAACATGATTGGAAACGATCCGTATGGAGTAATAATGTCAGTATGTTCCACATCTATCATCATCCATTGTGAATTTCCAAGCACATTAAAAAGGTTTCAAATTGTTGAATGAGCGAATATTTGAAAAAACTTACATTGACTTGCAATCTGTTGAATGCCACAAGCACTCACATAATCAGGATCATAGTCACCTCGTTTGACAGGTTTTGTGACACTTGCATACAATCCTGGTATTCCATTCTCAACAGAATTTACCAATCGAGCTCGTTCCCCATTCAAGAAAATTTGACCATTCACAGGAATATCCAAATAAGGAAGAACTAGATATTTCCACTTTTCGTGAGCGCTGTACCAATACCCTTCCTCAACTAGAATGTCTCCAAAATTCTTTGATCGATATTTCACAGCACGTAATTTAGGTCTTTTAGCAATCCAAATCTTTTCTCTTTCGTTATTGGAGTAACCAAACATTTTCCAGTCAGCCATCATGTCCATGAAGAGATCCATCAATTCTCCTTCATAAGGATCATCGAGGTAGCAAAATCCTTCAGTCTCATAATTGGAGACATTTAATGGATTTCCATAAATATCCTTAATTGTTGTGACACACCTCACGTGGCCATTTCCGTCATAAAATAAGGGAATGACGGTTTTTGAAATTTTCTTAAGTTTGGCAGCAATGGTATTTGCAAGATCAATTCCAATATTCTTCTCTCGCAAGACTTGCTCAAGACCAACAAGTGCCCAAATCATTTGTCCATTATCAAGAGAGGGAATTCTATTGGGCCAATCCCACAATAATCCAGCTCCTTCATCATCAACCTTGAACCATGGTAACAAACTTCCAAAACCAGGATATCTATTGTCAAATAATTCATAACTCTTCAGTTTTGTTTTTAGTGTGGACAATATGAATGTATCAATATCTTGTTGAGAAATTTCCATTCTCAATTTTGAAGTAGAAAAAGGGTTTGTTTTTTCACTTGGTGTTACAATGCTTGAATGTTTCATCGAGGAGAGGAAGAAATTTCTTGCAATTGGATGACCATTAAGAGCTAATGCCATCATGTTCAAATGCAGCGATTCTTTGGAAGGAGCTGAAAATGCGTGCAATGGATCATGAAGACGTGAAGTATCATAATCAATTTCATGGCCTGTTTTTCATGAATAATTGTTGTGTGTCATTTTCACAATAGGGATTGATTGATTATAATGTTGGTCATGCCATTCATGTGTGTGATTCAACAAGGATTGGAAACAACGAATGGAAGAAGTGTCACATATTAATATTGGCATGAATCATGTCGTTGTTGTTGCGTGAATTATATAATTTTTGGTTGGAATTGAAAATTAGTGAGATGCCAAAAAACCCACATACCATCATAAGTCAATCCAGATAACATATTCAACCCAACGCCATGAACTGCAAATTTTCCTTCCCAATAACTCACATTCATCAAGAAGGAATCAATTTTTTGATTTTCTCCCAATTTGTATTCCTTGGGGTGTGTTGATGATTGCGTTTCAAAATCTCGAATGGAATAATCGGGAGCAAACTGACACGGATAGAATTGTGCCATGACCACGGAATGATGATCACTGCTGCTACTACTACTACTACTGCTCATCATCATCAATAGCATCATCATGATCGCCATGATCACAAAGATACTTCTCGCCATGTCTTTGTAGAAGAAGGATAGTATTCGCACCATCATTTTTTTTGTTGTTTTTGGAAATGATTTACAAAAATTGCTATGGTGCTGTTTTCTTTACAAATGTTTATTTCCCTTAGTTTACATGACCTCTTGAAATCATTTCCTTTGAGACAAGTACTTTGTTATTATTGAGAAGCACTACATCGAATCCCATTTCTATTATTCTGTCGTATTTTGGGTTGGTGAAATTAATCTCCTTTCAGTTGTTTCGATATCGAAGGAGAGTAATGTTATTGGTGGATTCTTTCTTCCTTCTTCACTAAACATTTGTTGGTGGCGGCAAAACCATGGTTCAACCTTGAATAAAGAGGTTGAAAACAAAGTCGAAGGTATTGGCTTTAATAACTACAAAAAAAATAACCAACATCATCCAGCCCAACAACATTAGCGAACAAGACGAAGAACCTTTTATAAGTAATGGTATCTCCAATCAAACTTCTGAGAAGGCCCATGATAGTTTAATTTACGAGGATGGAGAACTAGAGAACGACGAGTCTATCATTGATTTGTTTAATATAGCGATGGAGAGGATGAAAGAAACCAACCAAACACGCTTTTCGATAAGTAAATCCTCCAAATTCGAGAAGCTGTGATTAAATAAAAGCATAGAATTCTTGGTACTTCTCTGCACTGTTGATATACTCTGTAGGCTGGTCTACAGGCTTACTACAGGAAGCAACATCTTCGTTTGCGTTCTTTTCAAAAGATGAAATTAATGGTTCCTGTTGATGGATCAGACAGTAAACATTTTTAAAGACGCTGTTATTAGAGCCAAAGCACAAACACAACATGAATCAAATAATGAGAAAAGGAAAGTCCATTCATAGCTTTGTACAAGTTGCATGGTAACTCATCGAACACTCATCTAACAACACATGAACAACCAGTTCCAAGTTCATCTTCACCCTCTCTCGATAATCAAAAAAAAATGCTCGAGTTGATTCTGGAAAACCCAGAAACAACACACGATTTGGCTATCTATGAATTTAACGAACATTCAAGCGAGAATAAACTCGTTGAAAAGTTAATCATTTTTTGTCACGGAGCTGGAGGAAGAGCTGGTCAATTTGAAAATGTTTGTTCACTATTATCGGAACAGCATAAAGATTGGCATTTGATTGCTCTCGATCAAATCGGTCATGGAAAAAGTTTTTCTTCTGACAAGACCTATGACAAGGCCGATTTTAAATTTGAAAAATTGTACTCAAATTTAGAATTTGTAGTCAACCATTATAGAAACAAATACGAGCAAAATGGTCACACGGTGGAGCTCATTATCGTGGGTCATTCGGTGGGCAGTGGTTTATCCATGAAATTTGTTTCCAAACATACGGACATTGTCAAGAAATTGATTTTATTAGGAACGAAAGAAGATGCTCCAGGTCAATCGCCTGTGTGGATATTGCCAGTTTTTGCTTTGGATATGTTGAGAGGAGTGTTTAGTGCAAATTTTAAAAAGCTGGCCTATCACGAGTCAACCAGTGACGAAATTATTGAGAAAGAATCAGAGAGTACCAAAAATAATTCCATGTTCATGATGAAGAGCATTTGCACGCAATTACAATGGCCAACGCATGATGAAATTGCATCCATTAAAATACCAACCTTGGTAATTGCTGGCGAAACCGATGGTTTGACACCGCCCGAAAAGGGAAAGTTGGTACATGAGCTTATTGAGGGCAGTCAATTTGTGGTGCTGGAAAAGACGTCACACAACATGATGATTGAAAAACCTGCCCTAGTGGCTGATGCTATTGAAAAATTTTTAACATGTGAGGAAGATTTGTGATCACATGCATTCAGTTTTTGAGAGTCAAAAAGTTTTATCATCTTTCACCTAGCTGTTGTGAAGCATTTTTGAATTCCATGGATGGCCACATACTGTGTCATGCTTGCACAAAATAAAGCATCCTTGTTGGCCAAAAAATTTGGCTTAATTATTGGCCACGTGAAAACTAATGGTCACTTCGCCAGAGTGTTGCTTCTTGGTCAACATGTACAACTTGTTTGCATATACAGTAATCACGCAATGAAATATAGGGAAACACAACACTGCCACTCCCAAAAACACGGACAAGTAAATGATCATGTTGTAATTATACGTTGTAAAAGCTTGATACTCATCGTTCACACACTGTACTCGATTCAAATTGTCCTCAGTATCCACAGGCTCTCCAAACCAAAACAAGTGTTGATAGGGCACAATGGCGACACATCTCTCCAATTTGTTACTGGCATCAATATTGAAAGTAGTGTTGGCCTGTTGTGAGCTAGCCAATACCAAATCACTACCAAAATAAATAGATTGAAATGAGGCACAGCATTTCGAAAAACTTCGATTCATGCCAAATATTGGTGCACTGCCAATGGCTAAAAACGTCACGAAATAGCAACAAAATGCAATACTCAAAATGATACTGTGTCTACAAATTTTCGATTCTCTCTCACCTAGAGCAGCTGGATTTTTTCTCCTTCGATACACAATGCACCAAATGAGAATGCTTCCAAAACATGCTAACAATGAAAATCCAACAAAGGCAGGATATAGATAAATTCCAGGGAAAAATTCATTGGAAAATGTTGGATAAGTGGTGCCTGAATATATGGTAGAATTTGCTAAATTAATATTCACACTAAATGCATTGGTTTGTAATGTGAACATGTCAATGATTTGGTCTTGAGTGGAATTTAACAATGAAGAGGTCAATATAAATCGAATGACATGTTGATACATTTGTGCACCTGATAAATTCTTTACACTTCTCACGAATGACTTGTTGGGTGACGATCCAGAATTTACCACAAGGTTACTCTCAGGTCGTAGTGTCACTTGTAACCAAGGATTTGATTCTTCGTTGGGCTTGTCGACCATATAAGTAATTTCAACAATTTTCTCAATATTTGAATTTACATTGCTGGAACCAACGTTAAAACTCATCGTTCCATTCATGGATGAAATTGTGAAAAAAGATATTGAATTCATTCGTAAAGCAGTGACAGCAGTGATTGCTGTAAAAGTTCTCTCGAATTGTCGTTGTCGTTTCAATAAATGATTTTCAGTACTCGATAATTTTGTGGAAAACGATTCCATGCTGGCAAGGGTATGTGGAATAATTTCTTTTGGTGGTGAACCCAATAATGATTCCGTGGAGAGAGTTGTCATGCAAATGAGCAATGCAACAGTAATGCTGACAAATTTCAAAACATGATGATGAGGAGTAATGACAGATTTTTCGGAAAGAGGATGATGAATTGTATTCATAATGATGAGCAGATTTTGGTTGCTGTGGCTCGGAATCGGTTTCTCTGGTATCTGTTGTATTTTGCTGATGAAAAATTAAATTTGACGTTGTTGAGAGGTCATGTAGTTTTGCACCTGTTCAGCGAGTGTTTTTTGTTGGAAAATATGTCAACACGAAAAACTCTTTTTGGACAAGTGTCATCATGGGTCATCCAAGCAAAAAGCATATAATTTTCTCCAAGTGAGGACTACGTTACGCCTCGTCTACTTCGTAGAGAAATTAAATGCTTCTTGCCAATTTCTTGAAGGTGTAAAAATTCAACACCTGTCGTCTCATACTTTCATGATGTGGCTGTGTCCAGGTAATTTAAATTGTTTTCGCAATGCACCTTTTGTGAAAATGCGAGAAACAGGTTTTTGTCCTTGACCAATATTGATACCAGATATCAGGTTGTGGCAAAAAGCCATTTGACAGACGTGTCACTTGTCTTTTTATGTCGCTTCGACATTGACACATCGAATTGAGTTTTGGCTACAAAGTGGCAAAACAGAGTCACACTTCCAAAAGTCAAACCCAAAACTAGAAGAAATAGACAACACAGTTGCGCCACCTCTTTTAAACGGCCATTGTTGTGTGCACAAGAGGAACACCCATTCACATCTTATTTACAATTTCAAAACATCTCTTGGAAGAGAAAACAAAGCAATCTTTTCGGCAAGGTGAGCTAGTGCTGTTGTCGTACGATTTCGCAACAAGACCACCAACGTGTTCACAGCAAGAATTGTATTTCTGCACTTCACATATCAACCGGTCATCATCTAAATTTTGTGAGGATTTTGTTGTATTTCTTAAACGTTGATTTTCAAAGAGAGCAAGTTGATCATTCAACGATAAATTCATTCTCTCAGCATCATCATAAGATTTGTTCGTGACCTAATCATCAGCCAATTCAATCCAATAGGTCATCAAATAATCCAAATTAGTAGAATTGTCCCAATACTATGATCAAGCATTCAAATTAGAACGAGCAGTAGCAGTAATCATATCACGTACAAACCCATCATCTTCACAACATGTTCGGCTTTACAAGTGAATCCACAAGTCGTAGCGATAATTTAAATTATTATTCTCCACCTCCTAGGCATCCTGCATTTAGAGCCTCGCAGCGCTATGAAACAACACCATCGTTCTCAGACGATGTAACATCACCATCCACTTCAAAAACATCTTCTCAAGATGCTTCATCAACTTCGGTGGCAAATACCATTCTTCCCATTCAACTTTTAATCCTCAACTCGAGCTTTACACCTCTCTTGGTATCGGGTTCAAGCAGCTCGGCCGATGCCTCCTCGACTTCCTTTCTCAATTCTTTTAGCCAGCCTTCTCCCAACAATACCAACCCTCCTCCTTCATCATCATTGACCACGTCAACAAGTGTGTCTTCAGGCAATAATGCCAACCCTCCTCCTTCATCCTTCTTCACAGCTCTCTCTCAACAACAAGGTAATAATTTAACGTCGACAAGTTCGAATGTGGTGTTGGATCCAACAACCATCACCACCACCACTACTCCGAGTGTCACCACAACAACCAGCGCAAGCAATTTGGACATGACGAGCCCAAAATCAGCCACCACACATAAAGACAGCTCCACAGCAGCCTCCAGTTACCACAGCACGACGAGCAGTGGTAGCACGACGAGTAGTAGTACTATGGGAGGTGCTACTGCCACCTCGCTCTCCATCCTCTTTCAACAACATCAACAAAAGAACAATCCTCTCAACTCTCCATCTTCTAACAACAATAATAATAATAGCCTTAATACCAACCATCATGATCGTAATGCAAGTAGTAGTATCAGTAGTAGCAGTGGTGGTGGTGGTTGCACCGTGGAACCCATTTCCTCTCTCTTACTTTCATCCCTGAGTGGGAGTGCCAGTGCCACAGGAGGCTCCTCAACGCCGAGATCAGGAGGAGCCTCTAGTAGTAGTAGTAGTTCAACAACACCAAGACTTCGACCTCAATCAGCTCGCTATGCTTCCTCCTCACTCAGCACAAGCTCATGGGATAAACAACAATCGGGAAATCTCTCAACCTCCAATCACTCACTGGGAGGCGTGAGCACAGGGACCGCTGTAGGTGCTGGTGCAGCAACCTCATTCATCTCAAGCAAGAGTGATGGAGCCTCTACGACCGGGATCAAAACGAGTGGAACCCATCATGGCATGGAGGGAAATGGAAATTGGGCCACTTCCAAACAATACCGAGATGGCATGGAACACATCCACAAGTTGAGAGAGAAATTTATGGACTATGTCGGAACTGTACATTGGTGGAATGGTGGTCATACAACGTCTTTGAATTCGGGTACAGCTAGTACAAGTTCTCCTACTGTCCTTCCTCCATCCATTTCTTCTTCATCATCATCAACAGCCTCCAAAGACTCTTCCGAAATCAAAAAACAGCGATCCATGATCGAGTGTGCGAGTAAGCTCATTTTCTTGGACGAATTTTATGATGCACTCAATATGAGGGTGAGAAGTTTTGAGACCATCAAGGACGTGATTCAGTGCATTGATACCATGTGTAAGATCTTGTTGAATTTTGCAGAGAAGAAACAAGGATATGTTCGATCGGGGACAACGTCACTATCATCAGGTGGTACTGCAAGCTCCACTTTAAATGTCGACACAGATCAGCAACATGAGACCATTACGTATCAACAACCTGTCTTGTTACTAGGATCCTCGAAGGGAACATCTACAACATCATCCAACTCCTCATCGTCGTCATTGGCAACATCCTTAAAGCATGATCGATCGAAACATCATCCAACGACAGGTCTCAGTCGTGATCCAAGCTCTGAAGAAATGGGCACTAACGATCGCTCTAGTAGTGGTGACGATGGTGGCGTCAGTGGCATGAAAGATTTGGTGCCAAATTATCTAACCTCCAAACCCAAGAAGGACAACATGGATGTACCTCATTTGAAAGAATTTGTCAGTGCCATGGAACAAAATCGATTGTATCCATGTTTTCAACATGAGAGATTGCGAGATTTATTGATTACTGTATGGTTAGAAATTTCCAAATGTGAATCTGGAGGTGAGGAAAAACTCTCTGCTTTTTTCAATAGTCCCATGAAGAGAGCCATTGTGGACTCGGATCGTGTGAATAATACATTGGCCAATTCGAATCGAAATTCCATGAATGCCTCAACCTTACTTGCCTTAAATGAAAAAAGTGGAGTCGATCAACTCTCATTATTCAATTCCAATCTCATGAGAAAGGAGTCTTCCAAAACGTGGTCATTGGACAAAATTTTTCACATTGAAGAGAATACTGCAGATCGACTAGCGAATGATATCAAGATTTTGACAGACATGTTTTTGATCGAGTTGGAGGATGTATTAGCTGTATTTCAGGAGAAGCATTCGAAATTTGTCAAAAATTGGATTACAGAGGCTTATGAAAAGTGTTTACTACCATTCCACGCCATTCAGGCCATTAAGAAGAGAAAGGACACTCTAAAAACTCTTCGTAATGAATTTGTATTTGAAGAGGATGATTTTGAGGCAAAATATGTGATTGATAAGGACTGGCGATTTGTGTCCAAGCTTTGTGAACATACCTCTGATTGGAAACTCAACTCGAAAAACATTCCACTCGTCATGTCGTGGTCCTCTGTTGAAAATTATAGTAGCATGCCAGACATGAGACTGACCAAATTTGTTGGCTATGTGGATTATTCTCTCGAGAATGTCATGAGAGCGTATTGTCATGACAAGTCACTCGATCGAATCTATTCCAGTAAGGTTCAATGGCATGAGTATTGTAAACCATGCGCATCGAGTTCCTTAGAAAAATACCCAACAGCAATCATGACAACTGTGAACGAGTCGAGTGGTCTTTTCAAAAAACAAACGATGGAAATGGTTGTATCTGGAAAAACCAAATTTATTGGTGGTGAAAATATGACTGAACTCTTTCAAGGCGCATTCTTTTTCAAGTCATGTAATCATTTGAAAAACACAAAAGAAGGAAAATCAGATTCAGATTCTAAATTAATATCGATAGGAGCAAGATTTTTCACCAAGATTGATAATTGCAGAACTAGGATTATTGAAGTGAAATTTAGTCGAATTGTTGGCTTTTTAAAAAAGACATTCCTCTTTCCAATGAACATGAAAAAAGAAATGAGTCTCTTCCATGCAAGTATGATTGAAATTTTGGAACGAGAGCAAGAACAAGGATTTCCCATAGCATCCAATGAAGATCATTTGATGAGAATTATTTGTGACTATGCCAAATTATATTGTCGTGTGGATTTTAAACTCAAATATACAAGTACCGACGATGATATTGTGCTGTAGAAGCATTTGAGAAGAATAAACTCTTTTGGAGAGGGAACTAACGTGCATCACACACAACAGAACTTGCCATCATGTTGTTAACAAGAGTTCAATCATATGGACGTGCTTGATGATCAACGTTGCATGTGGCTTACAATGGACAAAGCGACATGAAACAAACATTTGAACATCAGGTGATCATCCATTTCTAATTTTTGCAAAACATGTTAAACTTGGTCGTCACTTTTGCACAAATCGATCGAAACTCAGCTGGATGCAACAAGATTATAGAAACTCCACAGATGCATGAGCCAGTTACTATCCTCCTATTAGAATCCGTGTACTGTACTCAGCATTAAAAGATGCTTTAGGAAAGTTGCTTCATCTACGTTTTGAAAGAAAACAAAAATTCGAGTCAAGGTCCAGCCATCTCTCTCATACAACAGTCCAACGAGATTCACCAAAAATTCAATTCATTGCGCAACAATACATCCGTAACAACATTCAAGAATTATGAGAATTCATCATGTTGGAGAACACAGCAACGGACACTGTTGATCAACAACAACATCCCAAGAAAGCATCACCTCCATCGGAAACAACAAGTAATGTAAAATCACTAAATCTTTCATCAAGCCTAAACATCAATACAACCAGCACCACTCACACCAATGATGAGAACTTGTATTCATCATCATCATCGTTGTCTGAACCTAAGAAATGTACAATCAAAACACAAACCCACAGTTCTTCTCCTCGCAAGCACACTGTTTCTCCCAAAAGTCCTATTAGGGATCATGCTGTTTCAACGCCATATCAAAACACCAGTAACAATCATCAAACTCATGATTTATTGTCTCACGAAAAGGTGATTCAAACAGCATTACCTCCCTTCTTTACACCCCACCGAGTCAACCATTATACTTCACCTGTAATTCACTACGATAGGAACTCATCGATCATTCTAACTTGTAAATATACACCACAAAACTATAAGGGTCATGTCATCCTTCCTCTCGATACAGAAACTGTCTATTGTGTAAAGGTGTCTTTGAATGTGGGATCAATTGCTCAATTGGAAAATGATGCAGAGATTTCAAAATATTTGCACAAGGAAAGCTCAAAAGATGGATTAAGCGCTGCTCCCAAAGTGCTGGCGTATTTAAGTGATTACTTTATATTAGTGAGAGAGTTCATTCATGGAGAGACGTTTAGATCATATATTGACAAGTCTTCGCTGTTAACAAATATCAATACCGATACTGTTGCACCCGAAATTGACGAGCTAGCAAAATTATTAAGAATGGCCATAGAAGCCTGCGATGTGCTTGAACAGCTTCATTCACTACGCATTTGTCATTGTGACGTACGACCTGAAAATTTTATGTACGACACACAACTTTCTTGTGTTCGATTGATCGATTTTGGGCTTTCAAACTTTTTACCACTCGATAATCCTTTCATTTACACGAATAGACCAAAAGGCTGTTTCAAGTATATGGCACCTGAATCCACTGGAAAAATACCTAAACCAATTGGATTTCATAGCGACATTTATAGCTTTGGGTTTGTGCTGTTTGAAATGATATCAAAAGAGCATCCGTTTGGTAACAAACTAAAGAACACGGATTACATGTATTGTCATATTGCCCAAGTTCCAGAGCTATTGATCACTAATCTTTCAAAACGAGGAATGCTTAACGCACAACACAACTCTTCCATATTGAATAATACCATTTCTGCTCTCTCTTTGGTCATTTCTAAAATGGTACAAAAATCCATAGAAAAGAGATATCTTAGTATAAGTGGAGTGAACCAAGATTTATCCTTCATTTTGTCATGTTTGACATCAAATGACACTGTGAGCTTGAACAATTTTACTCCGGGACAGTTTGATGTTCAAACCTGTATGAAAATTCCTTATGTAGTTTATGGACGAGAAGACGTAATCATTAATATTTCGTTAGCTCTAAATGAAATGATGGACTCTCAATCTCCCAAAGCTGTATTAATTTCAGGCTACAGCGGTATTGGTAAGTGAAGCTCCATTTTAAAATTTATTAAGCCAATTATATTTTGTTTTCATACCATACCACCTCAATTAGGAAAATCTTGTGTTGTGAGAGAGTTCAGAAACAAGGCAAGAGAAGACGTGTTATATTTCGAGGCCAAATATGATCAAAATCATAACATACCCTTCTTTGCCATTAACACGGTTGTTAGTGAAATTACAGAAGCATCGTTAGGGGAATCCGAACAATTTATACAAGAATTCAGAGAACAGCTAGTTTCACATTTGAATACTAGCCAAATGGATATGCTTTGTGACGCTATTCCAAATCTGTCCATACTTTTCTTTTCATTTCAAAAACGTCCAAATGCCCTTGTCTTTAAGGACGAGCACAATGAAAATATGAAAGTATTTTCTCAATCAAGTAAGTACAGTATGCATATGTTATCGTTTGTAACAAGCGAAAAATTCATGAAAATCCCTTGGTTGCAGTTATTCACCTCTTACGAGTGTACGCACAAATGAAAAGAAAGAATCTTTGTATTTTCCTAGACGATTTGCAATGGGCAGATTATGAAAGTTTGACCTTGCTTAAAGAAGTACTAGGATTGGGCCAGAGCGAAGCATTTCCTTTCCTGCTGATAGGAGCTTTCAGAAATAATGAGCTCCGTGCTAACAATCTACACCCTCTCAACATGTTTATTCAATCCATCAAAATGAAAAATGTGATCACAGAGATTGAATTATCAGAACTAACAGAAGAGCAATGCAATTTGCTTGTTGCAGAGAGCGTTCACAGAAGTCTTTCTGATACAGCCAAGCTTACATCAATTCTATATTCCAAAACTCAAGGAAATCCCTTTTTCCTGAAACAGTTATTAGTATCCTTGTTTCGGGAGGGAAAAATTTTCTTTAACAAGTCTCTTCGTCAACTCTCTTGGAATTTGGAGGAAATTGAGAAGGCGCAATATACCCAGAATGTGGTTGAATTTTTGTTGTTAAAATTTGGAAATATGGAGCCAGCAACAAAAAAAGCCATCAGTTATGCATCTTGTATTGGTAACAAATTTTTATTCCATGAGCTAAGGGAGCTTATGAATATTGACACGCAAGAATATTCAACATTGGAATTGAAGGAAGTAATTAGTCAAGCGATTAAGGAGGGATGGATCAGTTATTTGGATTGCAAGACGCTTCGATTTAATCACGATAGGTATGTTGTGGCTTGATTTTTGTATTCGGTTTATAATAATTATTGTTTGGCTTGCTCAACAACAATAGATTACAACAAGCAGCAAACGAGTCAATATCAGAACAAACCAAAGCTTTCATTCATTACAAATTTGGTAAATTTAAACTAAAGCAAGTTGAGGCTGGAGAAATCGTGCTTGACGATGTTATCTTTGAAATCGTGGCTCACTTGAATTATAGATCCAAGGATCCTAAAATCTTAAAATCACCGGACAAGAGAAGATATTTACTTACTCTCAATAAGCTTGCAGCCAAAAAAGCTGTTAATACTTGTGCTACGGAGCAAGCTCAAGTATTTGTTAATACTGCTATTGACTTTCTCAAGATGGAAGAGCAAGACGTTTGGGAGGGATCACTCTACAACACTGCTTTTGAACTCTTGATGGCTCAAGGCAATTGCGAATACGTCACCAATGTGGATATCGCCATTCAAACCTTCAACTCTGCCATTCAAAAAGCAAAAACCAAATCTCATTTATTTGAGGCATGTTATCATGCTATCATGGCATATTTATCTCAAAGCAAGTATGAACAAGTGTATGATGTTTTATCAAATCATGTATTCACATCATACGAACAGCTAAACTTTTTACATGAGACACTGGATAAAGAATATTTACAGCTGTGGATTGATAACAAGATTTCCATTATGAAACAGCAATTGATACCAAAGTTAAGCAAGACAGATATTATCGAATTACCAGAGTTAAAAGACCCAGAAACGGTTTATTTGGTGCACTTGATTGCTCAATCTGCTCCTGCTGTGTATCATATTAACAAGCCACATACGAAACTTGTATTGCTAATCATGCTCTTGATGGCCACTGAAATTGTGTTGACTAAGGGCTTGTGCCCATTGGCTCCACTTATTCTTACTCAAGTTGGAGGAATGTGGTGCATCCACGATTTCTATCCTCAGATCAATGTAGTAGTAGAAGCTGGTGTCGATCTTGCAAGGACCAGGTTTAAGAATTTGCACAATTTGGCAAGCTGCTTACTCTTAAAAGAAATGTCATATTTCATATTTCCAAATATTAATGCACAGGAAGTATGGAACATTACTGAAGAGGCCTTTCTATTGTCGATCAAGTCTAACAACAAGTCGTTTGGAGGTTTTGCGATCATGTGGTATCCCTTCCATCACTTCTTTTACACGAGTTGTGATATGAAAACTTCTATTGAGTTGAGCAAAAAGAGTATTCAAATTTGTAAAAATGTGGGCAATTACATGTTACTGGATGCAAGCCAAATGATACTCGAGATGAAGAGGGTGTTGAGTGGTGAGAGTGAATCATTCGATCCCACCTATCATTGTGAGAATATTGTTCAATATCCATTCTTTAGGCAGCTACATTTTATGTTTAAAGGCATCACATGTTTCTTCCAGCAAAACTATGGAGAGGCCTTTTTGTGTATGGAAAAATCATACGAGTATCGACAAGACTCAGTGGGCCTGTGCTCCACATGGATTGATATTGTATTTCAAGGTTTGGTCTCGTGTGCTTATCAGAGACACTTGATTTCAACCAATAATCAAAATCCCGATTTAATTCATAGATGCGAAGTATTGGTTGATTATTCGTTGAAAATGCTTGAACAAGTTTCACAAGCCAATCCTCTGGTTTTTTTATGCTCTCTAGAATTAGTTAAAGCAGAAGATTTATATTGTAGATATTTGAAATACGGAGAGGAGAATTCCAGGAGTATCATTAGCTGCTTAAATAAGAGTTTAAAGTTAGCTATTCGAGATAGAAATCATTTTATTGCGAAAATTGCCAATTGGAAGATGGGAGAGCTTTATAAATCGCTGGAAATGGACGACTATGTTTCTGGAAGCTATTTTTCGAGAGCATATGATCAATTTTTAGAGATGGGACTATCCATTGTGGTGGATCATATTTGGGACAATTATCGGTACCAAATCGAAGAGTATAACCGTGAGACATTGTCACAAAAGAATAGTACTGCTTCATACACCTCAAGCTCTGTGAGTTCGTCAGACAAATCCTCCTCACAATCACAAGAACTTACTCTGTCCGCAGTGACCAAAAGCAGAATCGCTGAACAATCTGAATTAGATTTTAAGGAAATATTTATTTCTATTTTACCCTTGTTGAGTGAGCATACTGACGCGAGTCGATGTTGTTTACTGTTAAAGAGAGATTCCAAGATTAATCTTGATGCTGAATTTAACGCTGATATTTACGCCTCTGAGAATACTCCACTTCCCACCGTGAATCATGAAAATATTTCCATTGACAAGTTTGCAGATACACTTCCCTTAAAACTCATTTATCGAACACTACGTACGAGAGTAGAGCAAAAGAATTTACAAGAGGGAGACGTGGAGTCTTACTTTTCCAAGAATAGAGTGGCCTCTGCGTTGTGTATTCCAATCATTCGAGATAAGAGTGTCCTAGGTTGTGTCTACTTGGAAAATCGAGAAACAGAGGATGTCTTTACAGTAGAAAAGATTTCCATTGCCAAGTTGATCATTTCCATTAGTATTGACAATGCCACCATCTTCAACTCGATTAACAAGTCATATGCAAGATTTCTTCCAGCTGAGTTTCTCAAACTATTAGGAAAGAGTCACGTCACAAAAATTAGACTTGGTGATGCAATTTCTAGAGAGATGACTGTTCTCTTTTCTGATATTTATGGATTTACTGATTTAATGGAAAAATTTTCGGCGAAAGAAGGATTTAGTTTTATCAACAAATTACTTTTTCAGGTGAGTATTCGAACATGATATTTGATGTACCGAAATTTACATGTTACTTTATGTACATTGACTCAATGATGATATACAATAATATTCTCACATATCTAGATTGCTCCACCAATAAGCAGGAACTCTGGATTCATAGATAAGATTCTTGTACGTTTTTATTGTTGTTTTGAAGCAATGATTTTATAACATTTCTATCATTGATGTTTTTAGGGTGATGGTATTATGGCTCTTTTCACAGATCCTCAATCTGCCGTAAATGCAGCACTGGAAATGATTTCTCAACTCGAGGCTTTCAATAAGGAAAATATTTTCAACATTAAGCTAGGAATTGGTATCTCCAATGGTACGGTTAGTCTAGGAACGATTGGATACGAAGAAAGACTGGATGCTACTGTCATTTCGGATACCACAAATGGTAAGTGTTTAATTGTGTTAATTTGCAGATCATCAAAAGGTTCAACTTGATTCAGTTGCTTCTCGTTGCGAAAGTCTTTCACGTAATTTCAAGTCACGAATTATTGTCACTGAAGGAGTCATCAACGCCATGAAACTGACGCCAGAATCTGCCTGTACTGCAATTTATCTTGGAAAATTTATTTTGAAAGGAAAACAGGTTTACAAAGACTTGTATGACATACGAGGAAAGAATTGGCAGAGTGGTATTGCAGTTTCCGATTTCGAACAATCAACACTCACTGAAATTGTGAGCTTGTTCCAACACAAAAACTTCAACAAGTGTTCACATTTAGCGAAGGAGATGACACAACAAACAGACCATCCGTTTGTTTCAGCCATGTGTGGACTGTATTTACAAGCTTGTGGAATTTATCATCGTTGTCGACTTCCAGAAAATTGGGCTGGTGAAATTCGTCTGAGTAAGGACGGAGAACCCAAACCTTACTATTTGGATGATGTGATAAAACAATAAAGATTCCGGCCACCTCATTTATTTCCAAAATGAAAATAATGACTTGAGTGTACTGGTTGACTCCTTTTTCTTGTTACCCTCCAAGTCATCATCAAAGACATCATCGTCATCGCTCTCGGTGCCGGCAGCTTGTGATGATTTCAAATTGCCTCCATTGATGCTCGCGGTTGATGGTGCTACAAGAATTTCCTTATGCTCAATTTCCAAAAGAGGTGACATCTTTTCGCCACCATCAGTTGCTTCTGCACTTGTTGCATAGACTTTTGGACTTGATGATGGTGACTTTTCCTTTTTTTGACTGCTAAACACAGAGCCAAATAATGCCGAGAAAAACGATGGCTTTTCATTCTTGGCTCTCAAATACTCTCGAATGGCAAAAAGTCCCTTCTCACAAACATCTTCCGGAGGTTCTGCCAATGAAATGCAATTGCTCACATCCAACTCCACTAAATTTACCAATTTTTCAATTCCATTAATTTCAGCTAACAGTGGGCAATCATTCAGAAGGAGTGTTTGAAGACCAGTGAGACATGAAATTTCTTCAGGCACCGATTCAATCAAGGTTGAACTCATACTCAAACGTATTAAACGAGTCAATGGGGATATATGTGAAATGGTACTACTTTGTACGGGCTGTCCAAATAGAGCTTTTGGGAATTCTCGAATTCCTCGACAGTATCGTAAATCCAATTCTCGTAAATTGGTCAATTCAGCAATAGCCATAGGTAATGTTGTAATTTTGGAGCCATACAAATCCAAACATGTGAGATTCTTCAATTTTCCAATTTCATCTGATAAATAAGTGAATGGTACTTGATTCAAAGAGAGCGATTCCAATTTGGAAATGTGAAAAATGGGTGGAGGGATGGTGTGAATATTTGGATTATGACCCAATTCTAAATGAGCAAGGGATTCTAGTCGTTCCATATTTCTGTGAATTTCCAATGCAGATATTTTGTTTCCGTTCAAAAATAAAGTGTTCAATTTGCTTAAATTCTCAATCTCTTCTGGCAATTCCGCAATAATTCGATTATTTGACAAAATTAAAATTTCTAACATTTTACAATTGCAAATTTGTTTTGGAAATCTGTTCAACCTATTTCCTGCTAAATTTAAATATTCTAAATGAGTTAAATGATTCCATAATGTTTTTGGTTTTCCAATTTCATCATTCAATAAATTAAAAGTAGTGAGTTTGTTATTGGACATGGACAAGTATTTTAGTTCGGTTAAAGAATTGAGAGAAGTTGGTAATTTCTTCAATCCCATTCCATCCATCCATAATTTAGTGAGTCGATTCAGCGATGAAAACACATCATTGGGTAATTTTCCAAACGTGATTCGATTATTGGAAATATTCAATTCTCTCAAATGGGTCAAAGGTGCCAAGAGACTTGTCTCAATCATTCGCATCTTGTTGCCATTCAATTTGAGTTCTGTACAGTACAAGCATTGCTTGATCAGGTGGAAGGGAATTTCAGGTTCTTCGGAATGGTTGAGTTTTTTCTTTTTTTGAACGCATGTTGATGATTTCTTTCCTACGTGTGACGGTATGGTACTTGCAATATGAGAAGAATATTTAACAATCCAATTTTCTGCATAGATTTGTCTCACATCCAATGGATTAAATCCTGATGAATAAAAATCTTGAACAGAATCAATGGTTAAATACTTGTTTTTCTTTCGTGGTATTTTGGAAAGAGTAAATGTGTCATGCTGTTGTGACGACAAATCTTCACTCGTTGAGGTTTCCATTGTCGTTGTCGTGTACTTGTTGTGTTGTTGAGTGCTTGGCAAGCATGATGAACCTCCATTCTCTGAAACTTGTCTCATGTCATTAATGAAAATAATTTGTTCATGTTGCGACTCTCCATCGGTTTGGCACAAAAATTCCTCTTCATTGTCCTCATCGTCTTCGGAAATAAAAGATCCAAAACCATCACTGCTCAACGTTGGAGTATCCAAATGATGTAACGTTGGTAAATGTTTTAATTGATCGGGATTTTCTCGTAAATTGTTGTAATAACTCTTATTTCTATCAGGATCTTGTTGAGATTCCAGCAACGAAGAAGAGGATGAGCCTACTCCTCCTGAAAATGATGATGAAAAGTTCATTCCCGAGTTCGGATTCCAATTATTATTATAATTATTATAATTTTGAAAATTATTCATGGACATAGTTGAAGAAGTGGAGGCGGTTATGGATCCATCATCATGGAGTGGGGGTGTTGCTGATGATGAAGGAATTGAATCACAATTCGGAGAGGATGAAGACAAAGTGGATGGAGTGGTCAACCGTTGTATCATTTTTTTTGTAACAAGATCCTTTTAAAGCAAATCCATTTATTTATGATTTTGTTCTCTGACCTTGTTTGTAAATTCTTTCAATTCTTGCAACAATTCTTCTCCTGCATTCCAGAACGAAATGTCACTCTCGAACCATAAACCTTGGAGTGGATTGAGAATGGCAATTTTTTGAATTTCATAACCATGTTGTCGAGCAAGATGAGTGTAACAAAGTAATTGTAACACCCAATCGAGATCAACTTCTTTGGATGTAGAACACTTAATTTCCACAAGAGTGTGACCGTCAATGATTAAATCAATTTCTCCAACAATTCTATCCAGTCTTGAGAAGGTGAGATGACTGTGAATATCATGTGATACTTGATTCATGAGATGAGGAATGTATACATTTTGTAAAGTGTCCAATAATTCTGAATAGGAACGATTCATAATGCTTTCCATGTTCATCCGATATTTTTGATAAGGAAAGGCAGAGAGATATAGTAAGCGAGTTCTTCCTTCCTTAACAATGGCCTCACATTTACTAATTTCCCAAATACTGTTAAGAATATCGAATGAATTTTTCGAATCATTTCTAAAAATGTTATAATTTTGTATCATCTGTTGTTCAAATTCTCTTGGTAATGCATTGTGTATAAATACTGGCAACTCTTCCATTGATCCAATTTTGAGCTCTTTTGCTTTGGCTTCAATTTTAATGACGACAGATCTCATTAACTGCTCGTCACTTGTCTCTATCTGATTGAATATTTCTTGAAAATGACCATGTTCCTGCAATGTTTGGTTGAGTATTGCATAATATTTGGAGTAGACTTGGTATTCTGACGATGAGAGGCTTACATAATTGGTGGCTAGCTCAACATATTTACTCGAAAATCCACCACTCTTCGGATACTGTTCTGCAATCATTCGACAAATTAAGGTATCTGTTAAAAAAGAGTAGTCATTATGAGGTATAAAAAATCAGTGAAAGACTTACCAATAAACGTTCCAAAATCAGGATACAATTGATTATAGTGAACAACTTCACAGTAAGAAAATTGTGTCTCAATGAGTTGTTGCTGTTTGAATTTCAATATTGGTAAGTAACCCTTTTGTCTTAGAGTATCAATAGCGGCACCATTGAGACTTCGTACCATCTCTGTTACTGCATACGGGTTTTTGATTCCCAAGAATCGATCGATTCTTACATCCTCTCTTTTGTGAAGGGGACTAATGTTTTCTGTTTTGTACAGAGAATGGTTCAATTCTCTCAAGAACCTGAGATAAGTGGGAGTGGTATCTTTGTGTTGTCCTCCAGTTTTGTCTGGAAACGTGAAATAGAGCTGTGTTTTAGCTCGTGTGATGGCCACGTAGAATAATCTTCTTAATTCTGCTGAATTATTCGTTTCTTTCCAATACTTGTCTGTTGCGTTAATAATATAGACAATATCCCATTCTAGGCCCTTAGCTTTGTGAATTGTAGTTAAGCAAATCTTGTTTGTTAAGGAAGGCATGCGTCGTGAATCTTTTTTTAAGTTATCCATGAGAAGAACGTGTGGAATGTGATGTTTGGCAAGCTCAGATTCAATTTCGTAGAGTCCAAAATTTGAATGGCACAATATTGCAATTTGGTGCAATGAAACGCCCGAGTCTCTGTGTTGTTTGATCGCCTCTAACAAGTAACGAGTTTGATCCATATAACAACATCGAAGCATTGGTAAATGACCACTGCTTCCTCTATTGGATATCATGTCTTTTGGAATGTTTTGCAAGTTGCATGCAAGTGATGCATTGGCTAGTGACACAATCTCCTCTGTACTTCTAAAATTGGTTACCAAGTTATGAACTACCGTATTCTCAAAATTTTTGTGAAAATTCAAAATGTGAAACACATTACTTCCTTAAAATATGAAAGGATTGAGAAAATTAAGAGTTGGCGGTCATGAAATATATGCCTCAATTGGCAGAAGTGATACATTATTTAAAAACATGTTTTGGAACGTGTAAAATAATGACACCAACCTCTCCAAGAATATATATTCTGGGAATCATCTCCAACAGCAATGATTTTAGTTCCCCGTTTGTAAAACTCTGAAAATACTTCCATTTGAGTATCGTCAATGTCTTGAAATTCGTCAATAAATAGATATTTGATTTTAGAGCAAATTTGATCAGCAATCTCAGGATTATTCATTAATAAATTTCTAAATCGATATCCAATTTCTTTGACGCCCAATAAAGAGTCAGAAGAATCCATCACATAATCATAGCTACTGTATTTCTGTAAATACTTGTACGAAATGCTATCAATGGTTCCAGCCTCAATATTTGTTTTTTTCTTTCCTAACATTTTCCCCAAACGCTTTGTCATTTCATGTGCTGCCTGTCGTGAAAAGGTCGTTAACATGATCTCTTCTTCCTTTATATGATGATCCTTCACCAAGTAACAGATTCGGCATAGCACGGTAGCGGTTTTTCCACTCCCAGCACAAGCCAACACCAATATGTTTTTATCAATACTCTCGAATACGACTCGCTGTTGTTCATCATTCAGGTTAATTTGGCGTTTTCCATCGCTGAACACAAGATGACTCTTCTCATTATTGAAGGCTTCTTTGGATTTTGTTTTGCGAGGGGTGGTACTAGCAGTTCTTTTCCGAATGGTTGTTGTTGTTTCTTGTTTGTTTTGTGTTTGGAGAATACTATCATCCACAGTCGTAAGAGATTGTTTTTTTCTTGTCCTAGTCGTTCTCGTGGATGAGGAAGATGAAACTTGCTTTTCTCCAGCAACGTTTGTGGATGCTAATCGGGAATAATTATTAAAACATGATAATGATGAAAAATTGTTGATAGGATTACAACTATGCGAAAAGAGTGATGCTGTGCAAAGCGAGTTTTCTCTTCCGAAAAAACTCAACGGCCTATGATAACAAGTTTCCGATAAACTTCTTCTCCAATGACCTTGATGAGAACGAAAAGCACAAGTGAACAAGTTCAACATCTTTTTTTGATTGAATGTCGAGTCAAGGCAGCGTTTGAATCGACATATTCGTTTGTTGTTTTGAAATACTTGATGATCAACATTGCTCAGCACAAGGTTACTGAACTGGGACCACTGATTAATTGAACACTTTTAGGTGCGTTTCTAGAGAGTTGAACAACAAAAAAATGTACAAACAACAAATTTCTCCCTCTTCCTATCGGTGGACTCAAGAAAAACTCAAAGCTCTTAAAAACTTGTTAATCACCAGTGTTGAACAAAATCATTGTACCACTACCACCATCTCGCAACAACAACCGAATTGGGACATGATTGCACAGAAATTAAATGAAAAATTCGGAACTGCTTTTTCAGCACAAAATTGTCAAGATGCCACCACCCGATTCATGTATGTCGAATATTTGAGTGGGGACATGTGGGCATTGATTTTTTCATTTCTCAATGTGAATGATGTTTTTCGAAGCGTAGAGAGAGTTTGTAAGAATTGGAGACACGTGTTGCTGAGTCCGGATGGTGATTGTAGTGTGTATCTTGTACTAGCGAATGAAATTGCCACCATGTGTGGATTTTCAAATGCAAAATCAACCATTACTGCCATGCCACACGAAAAATCGTATCGAGAATTAGTGAAAGAATTTTATATAACGCCACTGGAAGGACAATTATATGAATCGGAGGCATATACTTCTTATTCAAACAAAGGAGGAGTTATTGATATTTGGAGTTGGAAGCCATGTGAATTATTGAAAATTTTACTTGAACATTTCAAGTCGGTACATGAACCACTGAATGAAAATATGAAAATGATTCACAAATACACACTCATGAGTTCGATTAGCCGGTGGATCGAAGAAAAGTATCTTCTTGTTGGAGCTGATGACAAGCATCGAATAATTGCTTTTCGTTCCAATTTGCAAAGTCCTTCCCCAAAAATATCCAATGTTTCTCACGGAATTCTATTGCGTGAAATGATGCAAAATCTTGGAGAGATCGATTTGGAAAGAAAAAGTTCTTTACCATCTTTACCAGTAGTATACCTTTCAACACTGTCGAGTATGATTTAATGGATGATCAACCCCAGTTGGTAAATTTTTCTGATTCGGAAGCGGAAGATATTTTCGACCGAGCAGGATGTCCTCCCTACAGAATGAAAGACGCATCTAATGAAATTTCACAATTAAGAACTGAGTTATTTGGAGATTCATGTTTTGTGTATGAATGGAAAACGACCACAGCTGACGACAATGATAACACATGGTCCACGTATTGGCTGTCAGGAATGGAATGGTGGGGAACGTATGCTTTTACCGTTTACAATCCTGAAAAGAATTTGTTTTTTGTGACAACAGCTAGCACAAGTGATTAATTTGATGTCAATATATGGCAATCACAATTATTATATGTTACATCGAAGTACAGAATTACATGTGATCAAGCATTCAAGTAAGTGTTGGATGAGAGGTTGATAATGTCAAATCCTCTTCTAGACTTTATTATAAAACTTTCTAAACCTCTTCAAAAACAGAAGAAAATGTGGCAGGTTGTAAACAATTCAACTCAATATCGGAATACCCAAAAGCTTTAGGTCCAACCACCTTCAATGCTTGTTCAGTTTGATACAGGTCTGGACATGCCAAACACAATACAGAGACACGGAATCCAAATCTCAACTCTTCGGTTTGAATAGCCAATCCTGTTTGAGAATCTACCACAGCAATAATGTCAGGTACTGATCCAAGCACTGTTCGTTGTCGTGCGGTAGTTGTTTCTCTACTCTCCTCAGTAGACAGCAATGTGGCAACCAAGAATTCATTTTGGAAATCAATTTCACATTTCATATTTTGGAATTCAGAATTTCCTTGCAAGACACACTTTCCAACGTTGAAACCTGAAGTGGTCTTTCGATCCACATCCACAATTTTTCCAACAAAGATCAATTTTCCCTGATGAGCTTGAAATATACTCTTCACAGGATCCATGAAATTGTGACGTGCCATACTCACACTCTTTCCAATTCTCCAAATTCCAGAATATGAATTTTTCACAGTATATTTCAACACTTGCTCCTTACTAATAGGTGCCATCAATAGACCACACATGGAACCCAACGAGACCACCACAGGTCTAAATAATTCTTCCAAACTTTTGAATGGTTTTCTTGGATTTGTACTAGAGACAATGACATGATTCGATTTATCATCACACAGCATGGCAGGAACATGATTACCTCCATAAATCAAATATGAAATCATTTGCAACTCAGGTAAGGCTCTTCCCATTCCATCTGCATCCACGACTGGAATTCCAGTCCATGCTGACACTAATAATGGAGTAATGGAATTACTTCCTCCAATTTCTGCACAGAATAAGGCCTCAATTTTCTTGTTTGTCATGTTTTTCATGGTTTCAATGGCCTTCACAAATTCCTCAACAAAGAATTTTTCACTCAACACTAAGGGCGCTCCCATAACGGCCAATGGTAAGACAAAGGCATCTGGAGATAAATCTTGAGGTTGAATGATCTTGATTGGATGATGTTTCGAGTGGTCACTGTTGTTGTTGTGATGACATTTACGAATTAAATTTCGAGCCACAATGGATGCAAGTCGTGGAGAACCACCGCCACCACTCGAAATGATTCCACTTCCAATTTCCAAGTAGTCAACATCGGTAGGAGTAAGAATCCATTCTCTTCTCGATAATGTCGAATTTTCAATGATATTCATGATTCGTGGTTCTGAACTAGTGGATGTGCTGTTGGATGACGTACTGGTGGATGATAATGCAGCATTGTTGCGACTACTATTATTGGACTCTACAACTTGTTGGATACTATTAGTATCAGTAGAATCATGAATGTTGTTGTCACGACCATTATCATGCATTTTCCATCCTGAAGAAGAAGAATTTTTCACAACAGAAACATCCAACTGACCCACCGCCTTACAAATGAATCGACATGTATTTCCAGGAACGTATGCCAATGGAATGCATTCAAAATCAATAATCTCGACCGTTTCTGGACGAGCTCCATTTCTAATAGCCTTTTCCTTTGCTTGTTGTTTCACACTCTCAATGACATGTTCACGTGCATCCAATGGAGTCATGATCGACGTTGTCATATTTTCATGGTCACTTCCCATAGAGGCCACATCAATATTCAACACTTTATCAACACGACCAGAAACTTGTGCAAGAGCAGCTCCTACAGCATTGGCACATTGATAATGTTGTGGTTTCAACACTTGACTAGTTCCTTCAAAGGTTCGATTTTTTTCATCGATCAACACGGAACCTCCACCCACGAGCAAGACAGGCAATGGAGTGGACGAAGTTTTCACATGATCGATGGCATCCTCAACCATTTGATGAATTTGATGGAGTACTTGTTGTGCATAGTTATTCTCATTCAATCGAGAGAGAATTTCCTCAATATTGGTTGTTGTTGAGCTCAACGTTTCATTATGATTTTGGGTGAGAACGGATTGAAAACTCTCCATTGATAACAATCCACAAGCAACAGCAATATCGGTCGTGGTGGTGGTTTCTCCTCCGAAAATTAAGGCCTCTTTGAAAATGTTGTAACCCACACTTTGAGGACCAATCGAGAAGGATTTGGAATGTTCTTCTTGATGTAATAATAATTGAGAAGAAGAAGAAACAATGGAACCTCCTCCCAATGCAATGGAATGAACATCTGGTACACGGAAATTGGTCAAGACATTTCCAATACTGACATTGGTATTGGAAAGACGTGGAAAACCATTCACTAATACTCCAACATCGGTGGTTAAGCCACCAATGTCGACCACAATGGCATTTTCAATTTTGGATAAGAATGCAGCACCTGGTGGTTTTCATCACATGAATTTGTGAATATCGCCATCAAGTTACATGTGCATTCCATGAAAATCAGTTCGTTGCATACACATTCCAAAATTGGAAATCACAGAATATCAAAGTGAAATATCCATAGAATATATATACAGTACTAGAACATTCACACACGTACCTTTCATGGAATTCGTAGGTCCAGATTGAATTGCAAAAATTGGAAATTCCATGGCCATCGATGGAGACATGACTGTTCCATCGTTTTGAGTCAAAAAGAAGGGACAATCATACTTGCTACCAATGGCTTCTTGGAAGGATCTACAAATTTTCTGAGCAATTCCTTTCAAAGTGGCATTCAAAATGGAAGCATTTTCTCTCTGCATGAAACCCATTTCAGAAATGGTATGAGAACATGTAATTTTCAACTCTTGCAAACGATCGTGGTAAAATTCTCGAATATATTCAGCAACTTTCTCTTCCTGTTGTTCATTAATAGGAGAGAAAACACCTGACACGACAATATTGGTCAAATTTTGAGATTGAAAACGTTGACACATTTCAAAAACTTGTTCCTTATTAATCTCATACATTTCTCGTCCATCTACTTCATAACCTCCATCCAATTTGAAATAATCACCGAAAACAGATTGACGTAATGCATCTGGAAATGAAGCACAAGGTGGTAAACATTCATTCGCTGTCGAAGTCAATCGGCAAATTCCAACTCTTTCCAAATCAGGAGAGAAGGACAAGATGGCATTGACAAAATGTGTGGTTCCAATAATCACACACATGATATTGGGTCCAATTGTAGAATCATTACTACTACTGCTGCTGGTAATAATATCCTCTGAATTCTGTTCAATCCTATATTGTTCACACACCTTCTCAATGGCTGCCAAAATTCCTTTCGTAATATCACGAGTGGTTTGAGTTTTGAAAGAACATTCGACACGATTGTTGCGTGTGTGATTGATGAGTGCACAATCGGTCGTGGTGGAACCTACATCAATTCCAATGATGAAAAGATCTTTTAATTGTGAAGTGTGGAGTTGAGACATTTTTTCGATCAAATAAGAAACAGCCGTGTATGTGAACTGGAAGAAACGCTATCTAGGTGCGGCCATTCCTCATGTTTCTGACTCATGCTTTTATCTTTACACAAGTAAACAATTATTTTCAACACACATGTTTCCAAAGAAAACCTCGTTGCTTAATTTTCAAGCGTTAACCAGCCAGGTTTTATACATTCATTTCTACCTGATATCAACTCCTAAGATTCAGATTGAGGTATCCAATTCGCAACCACAACCCTTCTTTCACCTCAAACACTTACCATTGGTCGTTTCCTTATGTTATTTGAACTTGATTGCTTGTAAATAGGAAATATCCTCCTTCCGAAATTGGATCATTCCGCCAACAGTATTTTTTTACAACCCATTCGTAATTTGTAAATGCCAAGTTGAGTTCTCTCTCTCTACTACAAGCAGAACTGTTCAATATTCCAATTTGGAGAGAAATTCAATCTCCCAACAGAGTATTCTATACCACGAGCCTTTATCTCATTCCATGGCCTTTGATTTTTTTCTAGTGCGAGAGTTCCCGACAGCATCCAATCTCAGAACCTTTTAAAAAAAAAGAACACCTACAAATTTCGTATCAAATCATCATCATCGGGTTGAGTCTACGCAATTCAACCAACCAACAACCAGCAACAAGTACAGATATTGATTATCGTAGAAGTATATTTTCAAACGCTTGAAATTCTGAATTGATCCAGCAGCTCTGATTTTCAAAATCTCAAATATCATCATCATCTTGTTCCAACGGTGTTATTTTGTTGTATCATCATCAAGAACGATAGGCTTTTTTGAATGAGTAGAAGTAACTCTCAATCATTATTATTTTGAATTTATTGCTTCTACAAACCCGATACCACACACATTCATCCCTATTGACCTACACAATCACATCATCAGTGCAGCTGTCATCCATCAACACAATTGTGTATACATTCCTTCAACACTCGATTTTTACAACATTTATAACCTTTTACACACAATAATTTTCACTGCTCGTAACATCATCATCATCATGGGCTGTTTTGGAAACAAAGATAAATCAAACTCTTCTCAAGATGAAGAAGAAATATTAGACTCTAAAAAGATTCTGCTGTTGGGTGCTGGTGACTCTGGAAAGAGTAAGTAGTTGTCATAATCAAATTCGGTGAGTGTTCACACATGAAAATGCGAGCGGGGCCGTCACCGCCGTGTTGTGTTATCTACTCGGATACCCGTTAATGAATTTCGACGTCTGCTGATAACATTTTTGGAAACTTTTGACATTACGTGTGCAACTCGATTTCGTGTTATGTCTCATGTGAAATTTATTTAGGTACAATATTCAAACAACTTCAAAGAATTTACAACAATGGCTTTCCTGTCGAGGAGAGAGTTTTGAAAAAGAATGTCATTTATGAAAATGTGCTAAGAAATATGATGAGTTTGATAAAAGCGACACATACATTCCAGATACCGATAGAACATGAAGATAATAGAGAAAGGTAAGTGTATAGTGACATTGCCAAGTTTATTTTTTTGTTTCGAAACGAACGGGAATGTATTGCATTTGACTGTTGCACACACTACAACTGAATATTTACAACATTTTCAAAACAAATCTCGAACGAAAACCAATGACAACAACTTGGATTGTACACTTTCATCATGGTCAATTTCGTCTCTTCATATATTCATGATGACAAATGTAATACATACTACAATGAATTTTTAAATTTTCTTGCAAATCAGAGCGGGCAAGATTGACCAACTCTCATCCAAAGTATTACTCTCCATTGAACGTGTGTGGAGCTCGGAACTTGGTTTGGAAATTAAAAAACTGTGGGAAGATCCAGGTGTGCAACGAACTTTTCAAAAACGAAGTGCATTTCAAATTGAAGATTCTGCTCAATACTACTTTGATAACTTGGAACGAATTTGCGAGGAAAATTATATACCTACAGAGGAGGATATTGTGAGAGCCAGAATGAAAACAACCGGTCTCATTGAACAAAAATTCGTATCTCACAACACAGAGTTCGTCATGATCGATGTTGGTGGTCAGAGAAATGGTATGTTCAATCATTAGAGGTATTCAAATTGAAAATGTATTCTTACATTTTTGATCATTGATATTTTGTTAATTTTGGATAACATGTTGGTGAATGAATGAATCATATTTAACATGGTCGGAATCGATTGTCACAAATATTTCACTTTTAACAGAACGTAAGAAATGGATACATCATTTTGAAGGAGTAGATGTTGTCTTATTTGTGACCAGTATGAGTGAATTTGATCAAAAGTGCTATGAAGATGACCAAACTAATCGTATGAAAGAATCTCTGCAATTATTCGAGGACCACATCAACTCGAGATGGTTCACGAATGCTCAGGTTTACTTACTTTTCAACAAGTATGACCTTTTCGAACAAAAAATCAATGCGGGAGTGAAATTGCAAGATACTTTTGAAACCTATACTGGCGAAAAGGATCCCAATGTTGCCAGGGATTTTATAATCAACCTTTTTACATCTAAAGATATCAATTCGAAATTGGTGAACGTGAGTTGTGTGACGGCCTTAGATCTTGGCGAACTCGGAAAACAAATAGAAGCCATGATTCAAACCATTATTTCAAGGTCCAAGCAACAGCAAGAACATCAAAATAATCAATCCAACCAACATTAAAATAAATTATTCTCATTTCCTTCGAATTTTTACACGTTGGAATCAGCAACAACAATGGATCCTTCACTTTCGTTGGGAGTTGAAGAGGTGCTTGATGTGCTCGTGGTCTGCCCCATGCCATCTACTTGCAACTCAGCAAACGAAGAAAAACTCTTCGATTTAAGGCTGTGTTTTCTTCGATTGCGATAATTTCGAATGATGGTGTCATTGTGATGGTTCAGTGTTGGAGAGCTCGGTGTTGGGCTTGCTGGAGACTCCACTTTCATTTCAGAAATGGATTGTACTCTCATCATGACCGAGCCTCTACGGGAAGGTGTCGATGGTTGCATATTTTTCTTTTCTTCCTTTTCAATGTCTTCTTTCGCTTTCTTGAATTGAACAATAAAATCTCGAATAATGACCAATAATTGATCGCTATTACTGCTTCCATTGCTGCCTCCATTACTCGCTTGAGCAGAAGCTTCATCATAATTGAAATGGAAAAAATCACAGGCCATTGTAAAGCTATTCTGGAGCTTGTCAAAGGCTTTTTGTACTTGTGACACCGATTCCTCACATTGGGTCATGAATGTTAAAAAATTTCGACATAAAACATCATCATGTTCTGTTTTTGTTTCTTCGTTAGCTAGAACGAGTGGTTGTTTCTCAATGAAATAATTTTTCACAGTATGGAGTTCTTTCAAATCGAGTTGTATCGTTTCCAAGCTCATGTTCACAATATCTGGATTACAAACACAATTCTCAAGATCTGTTTCAAAATTATAGAGTCCATTACTATCTTTCTTTAAGGTTTCAGCGAGAAAGTGAATTAAGGTGTAAGTTTTTGAATTATGCTGAGATTTGGTATCGCTCAATTTTGGAAGAATATTCAAATGAAATCCTTGAGCATCTTCAAGTTTGGTTTTTCCTCGATTCATGTAATTTCCTAGAAATAAGAGAATGTGAAGAACCTTCACAAATGCTTTTGAGTTTTGTAACTGTTCGTAAGCATTATATTTCGCCTCAATGGTTGAGAGGAGAGTGCTTGTGTCAAATGACTTGATGTATTGCATGAGTTGAATTTTGATTGGTAGATGTTTCACTTGTGACAAATGCCATGTCCATATAAGCGCAGGTTTCAATTTTTGAATATTCTGTTCAACAAGAGTAATCTTTTTTCGCATCTCTTCAATGGCCGGCACAAATTGAGAAATGGCCTTAATTTGCTCTATTGATAGTGGCTGAGTATCGAGATGATTGATGTTTTGCATAATAGAGGTCACGTCGCTATGTTTGAACAGGCCGCTGATTAGAATTTCTAAATTTCTAGATAGGGATGAGTCAATAATAGTATCTAATTCATTGCTGATGATTTTCTTAGAGCCAATTCCTCCTCGAGTTGGTGAGTCCTTGGAAGCTGAGAAGATTGACTCTAATTTTTGTAAATGATCCATAGAAATGACATCGACTTTTTCTTCCACATTCCAAACAGATCGACTTCTCGTCTTGGTAACTGTGACAGGTTTCCAATGAATATTTTTGGTTTTTGAGACTTCTTTTTTTGTTTTTCTTGTTGGAATCACTCGAACATTGGGAGGAAGAGGAATTGTTCCAGGAGGAGGTGGAGGTACGATTCCATTCGCTTCAGGGAACATGGGAGGAGGTGGGGGAATGGGAGAAAACATAGGAGGAGGTGGTGGAATATTTCCTGACGTTTCAATCTCTGCAGGATCTCGCACATCGTCGTCGCTGACAAGAGGAAATGAATATTCTGTCAGCTGTTTCAATGGATATTCGGTTCCATCGAAATAGAATAATTTTGCAGAGTTGGAGAATAAATTCAGCATGGTTTGGCTATACATTGGATCGTTCTCAATGGGATTCTCTAATAGAGTCAATGCATGTAATGATTCAAAATAATTTAAGAAATAGACATCTTCAAATTGAGCAATACTGTTTGCATGAAGATAGAGTTGCTTGAGGCTATTCTTTCCGCAAGCTCGTAAAATTCCTCTAATACCGGTCAAGTAGTTATGTGAAACATCTAAAATTTCCAGGTTGGGAAGTTTCACTCTTGAAAAACTATCAAGAGTTTCTAATAAATTAAAACTTAAATCTAAAATTACTAAATTTGAAGTAACTATACATGATGGAGTATGTACACATGATAGGTAGTTGTGAGACATGTGATATTCTCGAATATTCGGAATGCAGTCACTGAAAGAGAAAATGTCATTCAATTTGGTTTTTCGCATCCTCAACTTTGAAAGTTGTTTCCATATTCTATTGGGTTTAAACAAACAATTCAAGCTAGCAATTTCACACTTTTCAATATATATAGATTTCACTTGATTCAGCACATATTCACCCAAGCTTTGATCGTCCTCTAATTTTTGAAGTAGTTCGTGACAATCAATAAATCGCAAATTCGAAAAAGTGGTATTTTTTGGATCCAGAATGGTGTCAAATGTTTCAATGTTCACATTTCTATTAAACGTTATTCCTCGTAAATTGTTTGGTGGATTAATAATGGAGGAAAGTATGAATTGACAAGTTGTTGATTTTCCCGTGAAAATTATTTGGTTTAAAGCTCCAAAATATCGAAGATTAACAACCACACCTTGGCTCCTGGTATCTTCTTTTTCGTTTCTCAACTTTTTAAAAAACACCTCAATTTCTGTCACTACTGTTCTAAATTTTTGAATCAAAATATCCATATCCGAATTTGTGACATGATGTGAATCAGAGCTATTTACAATTTTATCCAATACCCATTGAAACAAGTTTTTTGCCTTGCTTACAGAGTCTCCATCTCGATTCTTTTGTTGATGAAATTGTTCAAATTTCTCAAACAATCGTTGCATATGATAGGTAGAAAGCGAAATTTTTGCAAGTTTTTCTCGACTTTGATTGGGCTCATCGGGTTTCAAATGTAAATCTTCCGATGAATGAACTTCTTGCAAGAATAAAGACAACATTTTGATAATTCTATCCACTGAAGATGATGAAGTACTTGTAAGAGATAAGGAAGGAGGTGAAGAGGACAACAATGCACCATTATTTGGCGGTGACACAGAAATGGTAGTGGAAGAAATGGTACTTCGGGAACGAGGCGAAGAAGAAGAGGAAGACCCACTGAGAGGATTCAATCCAGGTGAAGACACATTGGCAGCAGCTGCAGTGGTTATGGAGAGGAAGGAATTGGTGGTTGAGATGGCAGTTACACTTGAATCTGTATCTTCCTCTTCGGAATCTACAAGACGATGAGGAAGAACAGAGTCATTCAGAAGAGAGGTACCTAACGTGTCGGTTAGAGAGTTAGAGGAGGCTATGATGATAGGATTGTAATCATCATTCATAAGAGGTAATAATGGTTGTTGTTGTTGATGGCAAAGATGATCCTGAGAGGATTCAATTTGAGCTTCCACAACAACCATTCGTCCGTCCGTCGATGGTAGTTTGGCTGATGTTGCAGGCTCATGGTGCATGCTTTTTTTCTTGCTGATGATTACAATCCTCGAAAATTGTAATAATAATCAACAAAAAAGTTTCAGTGTTTCTCTACAGTAAAAAGTTCTCTCATGTTCTCGATTGCGAAAATTCCCGGTATTGTACCTCAAAGCAATATTGTGATCGTTTTTGATAAAAGCCCGTAAACAAAGATCGCCTGCTTTGGAATTGGTCGTGACGATCATGTAAACCAAAGTGGTGTCATTGGTTGCATTCTGTGTTGCTTGCATCCATGACAAATGCCAATTTTGACTTCCAACTTTTCCAGTTGAAATTCTTCTCAGCATGATCACTTAATGGTTGGAACTTTTAATCTGAGCTGGGTGCAGATCAAATGTCCTGTAAAACGCGTGTGTGATCACTGATCACTTTTGACACCATTGCGATCTCATCACTCTGTTAATAATAAAATTCATCCAACTTTAAAAACACACACAAGATGACCATTAAGAACCATTCTCACAAATGTCTTTCCATTGAAGAGTACATCCACAAGGTGGACAGACAACAACTGAATCAAAACCAAGACTCTGTTCAAGTCATTGACGTGCGTTCTCAACACGATTTTGAACAAGCACGCTTCATTTTGAAAAATAGCATCAATTTACCGTATTCCACATTGGAAACAAATTTAAAGTTGTTGGATCCCCACAAACAAGTAGTTGTTGTGTGTCAACATGGTTGTGAAAACTCGGCTTCGGCTCATGCTTGTTCCATTCTTTCGAAACATGGGATTCAATGCCAATGTATTGAGGGAGGTTTCAATGAAATTAACAAACGTCTTTCTACTAGTAACAATTCGAACATGGATAACACCTTGCTTCCGTTCGTTCTCGAAAATAGACGTAACTCTAAAATATGGACACTTGAAAGACAAGCTCGATTCAGCTCTGGTTTCCTCACTCTCTGTGGACTGTTAGGGTATTTCCTGAGTAAGAAGAGGGTGTTTCTATTGGGAAGTGGCTCATTAGCTGTTGGAGGTACCTATTCAGCCATAACCGATAGTTGTGGTTTGGCGAAAGTGTTGAGAAAGATGCCATGGAACAAGACAAACTTTCGATGGTTGTAAATCATTCTTTGAGAGATGGAACCAAAAGCAAATGTGGTAATGCAAACCAACCTGTAAGCTCACAGGATGAGAATGGAAAGATAGATCGGAAAAAAGAAAGGATCATCCTTGCAAGGTTCTAAGGTTCCTTAGAGTAATCATCCAACGTTGTAGCTATTTTATTTACATTATCATTTGAATGTGACTTGTCTACAAACTTAATGGTCAAGAGTTTTCACTTTGAGCTTCCATCGTTTCAATAAATTCTGGCTAATCACATCCATACCCTCTGTGTTCGAAGTGAGTGAGGAAGTTGACTCGGTCGATGCTACGTGTTTAAATTGGGAAGGTACATTCTCACTTTTTTGAACTCGTGTTATGAGAGCGGCAAGCAGATTTTGGGCAAACTGAGAATCTTTCTTTTCAACTTTTTCCAATTCTTCTACAATGGTCGACAATGATCCTGCTGCTTGTTGTGATTTTGCTTCTTTAAATGACGGAATAATAATGTCTTCCATTATGGAGCTGGAGCTCACAGAAGAGTTGTTGTCTTTCATTAATTCAGACATGATTGTAGGTAATGCTCCTCCGCCTTTTCGAATTGAATCCATTGAGGGTTGTGACTTGTCTTTTCGTTGAACGATGGTATGGGTAAGCGGAGAGGATGATTCATCGTCACTTCTCAAATCGATAGAATCCTGTGAAGCGTTCCGTCGTTTTTCAGATGGGTATGCATTGCTAGAAATTGTACTCACAGATGACACTGAGTTGACAGTATCATTCTTTTGGTCTGATGATGATTTTCGAGTTGGCTTGGTTGGAGGGGTCGAAAGTGGAGTGTTAGTAGGTGTGACATTTGTCGTAGTAGAACTGGTATTGTTTGCCAAAGAAGATGGTGGCCATTTAACTTTTGAAACTTCTCGAACCGTATTCGTTCCATCCGATCCAAATTCCCAAAATCCTTTACCTTGTCGTGTGACATATTTTTGTTTTTCACTACTACTCGTGTCATCATCTGATAATTCATCCAAGGAGCTGTCATCATCGTCTGAGTCTGATGAAGCACCACCACCTCGGCCCTTCTTTAGTTTTTTGTTGTTGTCCCATGCAGCTTTTCTCTGTATGAGATCGACGAGAATGGTATTCTTTTTAGCTGTTCTGATAAATTTATGTTTGAGTAAATCACTTGCTGATAATCGATCTTGTGGATTTTTCTGCAAGCACAACATGACAAATTCCTTAAATGCCTTAGAGAATTTGCTTTCTTCGAGAGTGGGTGGTTCATTCTTTTGAATCAGAAAAAAGGCAGTATTGATGGGTACATGAGCATAGGGAGGTTCTCCTTTTGCCATTTCAATGGCAGTGATTCCGAGTGACCAAATGTCTGCTTTTTGATCAGCTCCTTCATGTTTAATTACTTCTGGAGCCATCCAAAATGGAGTTCTTTTGAAAAGATGAATTTCAAACATGTGAATTTCAAAAAGTGACACTTACCCTACAAAGCTGTATCGCTTTTGAATGGTTTCATCCATGGTTCCACTTGTAGACAACACTCCAACCACACCTGTATGTAGAATGAAACACAATAGTGTATGGAATATTGATATGGATGAGGAAATGAAAATAAACATATATTCCAAATAAATCGTTATAATATCGTAACGATGAATAATTCCTTGTTAGAAATAACATACCAAAATCTGCTAGTTTGACCTCCCCATTCTCGCCTATCAGAATATTTGCTGCTTTCTATTAATGCGTCAAAAATTAATTAATAATAAATTGAGCTCTTCTTGCACTTACCAAATCACGATGAATTTTATGTTCTGCATGTAAATATTCCAGAGCTTTTAAAGTTTCTCTCAAAATTACTGCAATATATTGCTCATCGAGAGGACCAGGTTTAATCAAATCAGCAACACTTCCTCCTGCAAGCAACTCCATGACTATCCACAATTTTTGTCGAACGACATAACTACCATATATTTTGACAATATTTTCGGAATCCATAGTCTTTACAACATGAATTTCTCTTTGAATATCCTCAATATCCTCTTCGGAATTTTCCAAATCTACAATTTTGATAGCCACAGGTTGTTTTGTTCGTTTATCAATTCCTTTCCTGTATGATGACAATGTACATGAATAGTCAACCGTAAAGTCAACTATGAGTTCCGAGTTATAAAGATCACATACCATACTTCTGCGAAACCACCCGAGGCAATCCACTTCACTTTTTCATAGGGACATTCCTCCATTTTTGATGGCTCTTTTTAAACGTGAAAGGCTCAACAAATAAAATCCTAATATTAAAATTTCTGCCTGATGATGAGAAGAAACGTTGGCGATCACAATTTTTACAATCTCACCAACGAAATAAACGAACGGAGCTTGAGTAGTTGTTGCAGATTCAAACGTATCGGACTCACTAAACGGACACTGGTGTTATTTTAGAGGGAGAAAATGCGTGTATGAACCGGTGTTCAATTTTTTTATTCTGCATTGTTCGGATCAAGAATCATAGGACTACACACGTGGAAAACTGATTTTCTTTACAACATTTTTATTTGAGTTGAAAGTAGAATGGAATACCAAGCATAGCTTGTTGTTTTTCAAAGAAATAAAACAGAATGAACACAAAAGCATGGTTTGAAATCGTTTAAGCTCCTGGCACTGCCACAATAATATATATCGCATGAATTAAGGCTCCTATATACACCGTAAAGATCATGAGCAAAATATTAATCACTAAATGAAAGGAACACCCTGTTTTAATCGCTACAGGCACAGGAGGCAATAAAATTGCGAGAATAATGAGGACAAGAGTGGAGAGGACCATGGTTCGATTGTGTTAAGGTGGTTATGCTGCTTTGGAGTTGCAAAAGTGAGATAAAGTTATGGTCCAATTGCTGTTGTGGGGAAATGTGGAGTTGTGCTATTTTTTCAATTCACAATTCACGTCTTTCCGATTGCTTGTTCTAGAGTATTGCCATGATTCGGGTTGAACTTCCGAATTTTGATAAAACCCTTATATGAAAAAGATCTTGTGAAAACGAGTTCCTTGTTGAAGTCCCTCAATTAGAAGTCAAATTTTTGTAACTCCAACATCATTCTCAAAGCTACACTCCAATTTGGACCATTCCTCAAACACTTGCCGCGTGCCACGTAGTAGCGTCATTGATGTTATAAAAACTTGTTTACTAAATTCACGCCATGTATAGATACACTCTAAGTGATCACAGAAATTCACCCAACTATGGTAAAAAATTTGGATGACTGATATGTGGCACTTCTTGAAATTCATTAATAAATAAAAAGGTGATATCATATTTACAATATATGGCCAAATCAACTACTGATTAGCAAAGAATTTGTAATATTTTTGATTTGGATTCTTGGATTTGAACTTGAACTCATCATAAATGTTATGTCTTAGTACATAAGTTGGCATGTAATTCTTCTTGCTGAATAGTGCCTGCTGCTGTTGAAGAGATAAATTAGGACTTGAATTATCAACAAATGTGAATTGAGTACTACCTCCTGGAGAATTGGTGTTGAGTTCTGTTTGTTGCTGTTCAAACATGGTTTGAGGAGAGTTGAGTCCAGATGACTTTTTCTTGGATTGTTTCTGTTCAAACATTTGCAAATTTCCATCACTTTGACTTCTCTTCTTTCTATTTTCAATTTGATTTAATTTGGCAATGGTTGGAGAAGAAGCCATCATGGGTGAAGTATTTCCAACCACTGAAGATGATGCTCCTGTTGTTGTTGATGTTGAATTGGATGACGAATTCATCGTCGTCGTCGTATTGAGAGTAGGTGGAGAGGAAGAAGTGGTATTCGTTGCTGCTGCTGAAGATTGTTGCTTGACATTTCCCTCTTCATCACAGAAAAATGTATGAAATTGCAAACTACTGGTTCTCTTGGGTACTGAGGGTTTGTGTGTAGAGCCTCCACCACTACTGCTCATGGATCCGGAACGACTTCTTCTTGATTGAGTGGATGGTAATGATGAACTTAATGTTGGGCTGCAAGTGGGTGAGGAGGTCATCATCATGTTGTTGTTGTTATTAATCATAATGGGGCTACTTCCCATCATCATGACTGGAGAGGAAGGCTCCGAATAAATAGCTCTGTTATTACCATGGTTGGTGTTTAGAACGAGAGGTGATTGTGGAGTCATGTTGTTGTTGTTGATATTATTATTACTATTATGAAACGCATAGGATAAATTCGGGTGTTGTTGATGCGTGTTGTTGGAATGACTTCTCACATGAATGTGCTTTTGCAAATTCACAGAGGATGAAGTAGAATCAATGCTCATGACGGAATTGGTGCTGTTGGAGCGTTTCTTTCTTCTATCGCTCTCCATCTTGATATTCTCAACAGACTTGATCGGGAAAGAGTTATTCATCATCATGGTAGAAGTTGATTGTTGTTGGAATGGATTGGCAATCACTGTGGTTGGTAAGGGTGAGCTTGGAGAAGAAACCATCATGTGGTTGTTGTTGTTACTGTTATTGATATTATTACTAGTATTGATCATGAATGGAGTATTGAATGATTGTTGTTGAAATTGTGAAGCTTGAAACATAAAACCATTGTTATTGGTACCACTGACACTATTGACAGGTAAATTAGATGGGTTATTTTGATGATGGAACAACACAGGTTGTTGCTGGGAGTAGCCTTGTTGGTGGATCAAGAAGGCATGTTGAGAGTTGTTGGACGCTGGTGCATTAGTTGGCGTTTGTCCAAATACCATTCCAGAACTAGGACTGCCAGTTGCAACAACATTTTGTCCTCCCATACTCATCATGAGTGAAGTTATGGTGTTTGGTTGGGAATGATCATTCCCTTGAGGTTGATGTTGGAATGAAAGTTGTTGTTGCTGTTGGTGCTGGTGTTGAAGAAACGCTTGAATGTTGTGTGCAGGTGCTGCTCCACCAATGACTTGATGTCCTAATGGTCCAACTGAGAGAGTAGGAGTTGTGGTCGTGGTAGTAGCAGTAGTAGCAGTCGTACCTGAGCCAGCATGGCATGTTGATGAATGATTTACTAGACCCGAATTCATCATCATCATGTTACTCAATATCAAGTCTTGAGGCAAACCATATTGTTGTTGCTGTTGTTGGGAAGTAGCATCATGAATAACTTTGAGTCCGAGAGAAGAGTCATAATCACTCAATGCTTGATCGATTTCTTTATAAAAGACAAGCTCATCGGTGAGTGGTTGTTGTTGTTGTGAGAGAAGAGTATTGTTATCATTGTTGTTGGATATTTGTTGCTGAACTGCTGGTGTTAATGTGGTAGTGTGATTATGATGATTGACACTTCCTGACAACATGCTCATCACATAGGACGATTGTTGTGATGGTTGGCTCATGGTCGTTGCTGAAGATGTCAACATTCCAGCATTGTCCAAAAGTAAGGTTTGGCTTGTCTCATGACCGAGGAGTGAAAGGTGTTGGTTATGACTGGAATTCAATGGCTGTTGTTGTTGGTGTTGATTCAAATAATGGAGTTGTGAAAGGAGTGTCGAATTCGTGGTGGTGGTAGGTGGTGACGATGAGGTTGTGGCTTCGAAAATGTTATTTTCAAACTGTGAGTGATTACTCGTGTGATGGATAGAGACGATTGATATTGTGTTGGTTGTGAATGGAAGGAGTGCTGTTGTTCTCGAGAAAGTTGTCCAACAACACCACCAGAACTACTACCACCACTGGTGGTGGTGAGGAGAAGAGAATGAGGTTCACCACCATTTTCCAAGAGGTCATCAAAATCATCTGCCGTTATAAAATCAGCATCTTCAATACTGCTCGAGTGGGTGCTGTTGTTATTGAGATGAGAGTGGTTTGCGGAAGATTGGAGAAAGTGGAATGATGAGCCTTCCTCTGACATTTTGTTTTGTGTTAAAAATTTTTTTAAAATAACGACGACAGTTGAAGGTGCTTGGCAAATTGAGAAACAGCCGTTTCGAATCTTGGATTTGATAGATTCTTTGTTGCGAACAATGCACGGAAAATCTTTGGGACTTGTGTTCTAAGGGTGTCTTTGTGTTGAGATGGGGCCCTGGTCTTCAAATTAATGATGAGATTCTGTGTTCAACCCACTAGAAATTGCTGAACGGTTGTACAGGGATTTAATATTTTGACAAACTCAGATCCATCTAGCTAGAAATGAGAGCTATCAGATAACATCCCTGCAATTGTGGCTGTACAATTTGGAAAGAATTACTATTTTCTATTCAAATCTCACAAAATGGCTGATATTTGTACCATTCACTTCGGTTCGTTGCTTCGAATTGTGTATGTAGCACACATTTCATTCTACGATATTACACCGTTGCAATCATTACTCACTCGCGTAGTTTCTGGCGAATAGAGCAAGTGACGAAATGTTAAGGAAATTCTTCTTGGATAGTTCTTCCTTCGCTTAATTCCATGCTTCCACTTAAACCTAGCGTCCTTGGTCATAATAAGTAAGGAATTTGGTTCAATCAATACTTTGAAATTCATTTCCGGGTTTTCCACATTTTCAAAATCCATTTCACATGAATTCACAAGAGAAAGACCCACAATTTCTTTTCCAAATACATTTGTGTTATCGACATGTTTTGCAATGGTATGATGATAGTACTCTTGAACAAGGCATTGATTAATTCTGTCATCCTCAATAGTTTCATAACCAATCGATGGGCTTGCCAATGTACTTGAATCACTATCTGACGACAATTCGTAATAGTCGGGAAGACCTACAATTTCCTCATCCTTCATAAATTTAATTCCAATACCACTAAAATCTTGTTCAATACGAGTTGTTACAAATTCAAGTTCATGAAGTGGTAAAAGACTTCTTCTCATAGGTTGTAGACCAGCATGAAATAATTTAGTGTAATAATAATGAATTCCATAGCACTGTATTCTCCGAGAAATCAATGAATCAAACCAAGGCCTAGAATCAACATGTGCCAGTAATTTGTTGGCTTGTTCCTCCGAGAGATAATTCGGAATGTAAATCAAACCATCCACTTGTTCCTGCGTATGAGGATTTTTAACAAATTCTGATGAGTAGTTCCGTATGATGAATGCATTGTGTGGCGTGGGTCTCGTGTTGTGGTGTTTCGTAAAAAAGTTGCGGCCACAGCAGCCAACTTGACCAAGTAAATGCATTTTTTGTTTTGGGAAAAGATTGAATACTTCAAAGAAATGGAGTGAGCACTTCATTTTACATCCAGTAAGTAGTTGAAATGAATGAGAGAAGTCAAAATGCAAAGAAGGTCTGAAAGTCCCGTTTGCATTTTGACTTCTCTCAATTCTTTCCCGAACCGCGCCCAACTACAATTGTAGCAGTTCATACAAAAAAATAATGCAACAATTTGAGGACGGGGCAAGGCCTTCCCGATTTTCCGAGTTTTCAACCATGGATGGTTCGGAGCAATACCAGCAACAACAACAAGCATACTATGATGATCAATCTTCTTCGTATGATGAGACAAATTCGGGCTCGGTCAATCATAAACCCTATACATTGGATCCAGCTTTACGAGCAGTTTTAAAATACAGGAGAAGAAAATTTGATGATGCTGTGGATAGTTGCAATGAATTGCTTCGTAAAAATTACAAGGACATGTCCATGTGGTATCTCAAATGTAAATCGCTAACTGCAAAAATGTGGATTGATGATACCGAAATGGAAGATGAAGGAATTGCTGATATTTTACTCGATGAGACTTCTGTCACTACTGCACCAAGGCCAGGTACATCCTTAAAGAGGCCACTCACAAACTCTTCGGGGAAGAGAAGTGCCAATCCAAGTATACGACCTCAAACCAAAGATGGTCGCCCAATTACAGGCTTCTCTCGACCTGGCACAAACAGTGGGAGAGGAACATCGAGTCGTGGAGGAACAGGTACCGCTGGTCAAAGTAGAGGAGGTACCTCAAGTATTGAGAATATCTTTAAAGGATCACGTCCGGGTACAACACGTCCTGTGACATCGACAGGAAGATTTGTCAGACTTGGAACTGCTTCCATGAAAATTTCTGGAATGGATCAAGAGTATGCCATCTCTACAGAACATATCGACTTGAAAAAATATGCTACCATGCCTCCTCTTGCAAAAGCCCTCTATGATTATTTAATTTTTGTGGAGCATGACGTGAAGCGAGCTCTTGAGTTAGCTTCGTATGCCACCATTGAGGCCGAGTTTAAGGATTGGTGGTGGAAAGCTCGCTTAGGAAAATGTTATTACCAACTTGGATTATTACGTGACGCTGAAAAACAATTCCGTTCTGCAATCAAAACTCAAATGATGATTGCAACTTGTTTAGAGTTGGCAAAAGTATTTCTGAAACTTGATCAACCCAATAAGGCTTTAGAAGAGTACGAATCTGCTTGTTTGAAATTCCCAAATGACACACATTTGCTGTTGGGTATTGCCCGAGTGCATGATTCCTTAAACGACCTTGACAAGTCCATCCAATATTATGAAAAAGTGTTGCAACTGAATAGCAGCAATGTGGAAAGTATAGCTTGTTTGGCCAGTAATTATTTCTATGAAGATCAACCGGAGGTAGCCATGAGATTGTACCGAAGACTCATACAAATGGGAGTCAACAATACTGAGCTATGGAATAACTTGGCTCTATGTTGCTTTTATGCCTCACAATATGACATGGTATTCTCATGCTTTGATCGAGCTCTTCAATTGGCCGATGACACTAACGAAGCAGATGTTTGGTATAATATTGGCCAAGTGGCAATTGGAATTGGTGACGTGGGTCTCGCATACCAATGCTTCAAAATTGCAACCAGTATTGATAACGAGCACTCGGAAAGTTTCAATAATTTAGGTGTTTTGGAATTGAGAATGGGAAATTCTGAGGAAAGCAAAAATTATTTTGCTCAAGCAATGGCACTTGCTCCCAATCAACATGAGCCTATATTCAACAATGCCTTACTAGCATTCAAAAAGGGTAATCATCAATTGGCTCATGAATTGACTCTCAAGGTCTTAAAGGATATTTATCCGGAGCATGCCGATTCTATAGAGCTCAAAAAGAAATTGGAGGCCAAATACCTCATGTTGTAGGACATGTACGTTCAAAATAAAGATAGCTATACTTAAACAGCTCCACATTTCCTACAGCTCAGCCAAAGTTTTAAATTCACAACAAGTGTGAAAATAAGTGCTCAACTATTTTCCCTTTGCTTCATGACAATCTTTTCCAAAATATCAGAGCTGTCCGTAGCAAAATAGTCCATGACTCGTGATGGTACTTGATAGAGAGCCATGGCCTTTTGAACTTTCTGAATGCAACCTTCCAGTGTTGGAGAAGCACATCTAATTAATATTCGATCAACATTGTCAGGATAATGATGATAAAATTGAGCATAAATTTCAGCGTCATTCTCGGCACTGTCACCAATGAGAGCAAATTTTCTTCTACTATAATTTTTCATAATTTCGTGGATAGTGACAGGTTTGGAGACCTTACTCGAGCGGAGCATAGTAAAAAAGGACCGATTTTCCAAGTGGGACACTCTCAAATGAAAGGATCCTATTGGAAAATTGTTTTTCAACAAAAAGCTTTCTAATTTGTTATAGAGTACGTAGGGGCTACTGCTCACATAATGAAAATTCACATTTAGATACGTATTCTTTAACTTGATAAAAGACTCGTTCATTAATGGAACTGCAATAAATGGATTAAATGTTGATTTCATCATGGCAGCAATACCTCCAGTGACATTGGTAATTTTGATACTATCATCAATATCAGAAATGATGGAGTAGAGTGACGAAGTATCATCACCATTGTTGTGCTTGAATGTATCACAATTGGAAAGAATATAGCCAGTTTTTACATGGTCTAAAATTTGAACGCTGTATTCAATCCATTCAATATTCCTATCACAAACAAGCTCTCTATATTGTGAGGAATCCATAATCACTTCATGATAAAAATATCCATACTCGTCACTGTGTAATATCAGAGAATTATTTAACATGGGTATACTTAATAAAATGTTAAGCTTCTTGGGTGCTGAAAATCGAAGAAAGAAGTGCTCCACCTCTTTGAATATTGTATACTCAATGTTGAAAATTATTTGAATAATTTTGAACAGAATTCTCAAATATAGTTTGTAAGTCAAATGCAGTAAATGATGAAATTCTGAGAGGTATCTATTGTTATGCTCATCTGTGACATCTCTGTACCGAAACAATTGATGATAATAAAATTCTAAATCCGTATTGTAATACAAGTATCCAAAAACTGGTAAATGGAATTTTGTGTTATTTTGTTTGAGAAGAGTAAATGTCCTATAAACATCCAAATGAAGAGGATCGTAGAACGTATCATTCGAAAACGAAACTGAATTAATAAATAAATCATCATATCTCATTTCATCGATAACTCCATCTTCATCGGAATCAATAGCCTCACTATGAATCATGATTGTAGGTACCACATAACTCAAATAAAACGAATAACTAAATAGCATGAGTAATAGGCATCCATAGAGTAGAAAGGTATATTTGAAGGATTTTTTGGCACATTGTCTCAATGCAACAGCTTTGGGACCTTTCCAAGAGAGTGTCCGAATCGCACTGAATCGAGCCATTTTTTCTCTCTGAGAGTTGGAGAGGAAGAATTTAAAGTTGAACGTCAAAGGGATGAAACAAGGGAAAAGAATCAACCAATTATTATTATCATACAAGAGAAAACGTAACAGACTGTCAAAATGATATTGTTTTCTTTGATCTGCACCATTCGTGTCGACGATTCTTCAAGCTTTCAAATTTAGCAAAAAAATCTTTCAAAAGCAAAGCCACCACCGCACATCTTTGCGTCTGCTACTCTCTTGAGAATATTGAGAGCGTTCATTTATTTTGAAAATCAGTGATCGTTTGAACAAATGTCCTTCTTTGGATTTGGTGGAAAAAGTGGAAGTAGTCCCAACGTGAACTCTCCAAACACATCATCATCATCACCAGGAGGAGACTCTCAAATTTCCTCTCCTTCCTATGATACCGGAAGAAATATTGATGGTATGTTTTTTCGTCATCTTATTATTTCATGATTTTTAAAAATATTGGTTGATTGATGGATTTGAAATTTTATGAAACATTATCATCATCACGTGATGATGGTATGAAATTTTACAATTTTCAATATTTGATGATTTGAAATTTCGGATCAATATCTATCATCATCAACTCCTTTACTATTTGGAATTATATTTCACTTAACGGATTTATAGATATTGTGAAAGGATTACTGATTGCATTGGACGATGCCGATATCAAAGTTCACAAAACCATTCATCAATCACTAATAAGGATTGGTGATCAGTGTGAATTATTGCTATTGAGCAAGTCTCTACATTTCTTGAACAACATTTGCTCCAAATCGAACAAGAAACATCGAGTACTCGTCATGAATATTCTCACCGAATTATTGAACATGAAACCATCAAGCAATGATTTTGCAATTGTTCGTGCATCAAATGTGAAAGCAGCAGATAAACCTTTGAAAATACCAGATGACCTCTCACGTGCACTTGTGGTAATGTCAATTAATGAAATGGTTCAAGATAAATCGATCAATTCCGATTGGCAAGCAAGTGCTTGTAACTTGTTAATTGCCTTGTCACGTTATGTACCTGACCTCGTAACGGGACAATTATTAGAAAAATTTCCAATTAGTAGCTCAAATCCACCACATTACTTTGTGATCAAAGCATTGAGTGATATTGCCTTTTATTATCCTTTATTATTTATTGGTAATTTAAAGGAAGTGCTTTCAAGAACTTTGCCTTTATTGGCTCTCATCAAACACGATAATTTGAGATGGGTATTTTGTGCTGCGTTGGGAAGATGGTCTGAAGCAGCAATTTATTGTTTGGACTTATCCGAGAAACCTTCACAAAATAATGCAATGTTAAATCCTATTGACAAGACAACAATTTCACAATATCATTCATCAATATTGACAGCAATGAAACATATTTTGCTGGAATGGTTGAACGTGAGAGAAACAAAAATTAGATTAGCAGCTGCACAATCCATAGGTTATATGTGTCATATTATTGAAACAGACCAACTCAATCAATTATTGCCAAAATTAATTCCAAATTACGTTAATTCATTGAAAAAGGAAATTAAGGAAGATCCTCTACCAGTTACCATTGGTCTTCAACACATTGTCAAGGTTGTCGTTCGAGATTGTGCAACATCATTGAATGACCAACTGCAACCCATACTTGGAACATTATTTTCTGTTTTAATAACCACAATGGCAAGAAGACAAGTCTACAAGAATGCAAACAGAAACATTACTGAAGTTTTGAGAACCTTCCATTACATTGCAAAGGCCTATACTGATCAAGTAGTTTCTTTCATACAGGCTCAATTGGAACAACCCAATGGAAGTGCCATTGTTCATGTGAGCGCACTGAAGACTTTTAGATACTTGGCCCTAAATAATGATGATGATCTTACTTCATACAGAGATGTCATTGTGAGTGGTTTGATGAAAATCCTCAAAGATCCATCCAATCAAATGATGATCATTGCAGAAAACGTCGAGGTTCACAATGAGTTTAGCATTTTAATTCACACACTCGCTCAACATGATGGTTACATGAACTCACAGGGTGGTACCGATCTCGTACATGTCATTCTGCGAGGTTGTGCCATTTCTGAAAAGAGAGTTTCTGATGATTTGAAAACGAAAATTCCTGCTTCTCTCGTGACCACTGCTGGTAGTGAAGAAAAAGCGGCTCAAGCCATTATGGCTCGAAATGAAAAGGAAGATGCTGTCATCTTTGATGATAAGAGTACCCTTAACAACTCTCAAGCCAATACTGAGGATGAAGAAAATAATTCTGAAGAGAATGGTGTTGAAAATAGAGAGTCTAGTGCTACACCCACCACTGGATCTCCTCAAATCGGTTCCTCGAAAGAGGGTTTGGATCCACAAAATCTTCCACAAGTTTACACTTGGTATCAAGTACGAGAAACATGTGATCGTATCCTTTTAAGTTTTACCACAAAATTAGGAGAGGAAATGGACAAGGTTTTGTGGCCTTTCCTTTTAGAATCATTTGTCATGCCACTCTATGACACTGCCTTCCCAGTGTTGTGTCGAGCCATTGCTGATATCAGCAAACGTAAGAAGAATGACGACGATTTTATCATTGACTTTGATGCTCAAGTCAACATTCCAAAACCTAATTTCATCTTTGCTCGTTTATTACTCAAATTGACTGTTCCATTTGGTAGAAATCAACCAGCGGTCAACATATTGCGTGCCTTGTATTGTCTTTCTCCAAATATTCACCCAGATGTGGTGCAATTGTGGGGAAAAAAGTTACCAACACTGAAAAAGTATATTGACACATGTGAAAGTAATGCTTCATTCGTTCAAGATGAATGGGATAATCAATTATTGAATCTCGTGAGAGAGAGTATTGATAGCGTTCAGGATGATAAGTGGGCTGTTGCATTGGGAGAGGCCTTGTTGGATCATTCTGAACTCTTCTACAAGAATAATAGACTATTGAAGAAATCTCTCTTGTCTACTGTTGGATTGATTATTCAAAAGAGTCAATTGAAACAATTTATTCACTCTGCAGTTGAGAGATGCTTCAAGATTACTGATCACACCAATGACGAAGAAAGATTGGGTTGTGCTCGTGGTTTGGGTCAGGCAGCTGTCAATCACTGTGATACTGTGCTCGCTCAATTACAAAATGTGATGAAAGCTCCAGAAAAGAAGACTGGATTCTTTGCCAGAAATACTGGTAATGAAGTGACACACTTTGAGAGAGCGACGGCCATGTTATCCTATGGATATGTTTCCATGTTAACTCCACTGACCTTGATTACGTCTCGTGTTGAAGTTCACATTATTAAGAACATGATTCCAATTTTGAAACCACAACCTCCTCAACCAATACCATATGAATTGAAAGAAAATGGTTTGAAGGCAATTGATTTGATTGGAAAGTCTGTTCATCCAAGCAGATTGCAAGATTTCATCCTTAAATCACGCGATGAGTTGGTGAGACTTGTCATTCAAATAATGACTCCATCGGCACAATTGTTACAGCAAGCTACTACCGTTCAACAACTTCTCTCAATTAACAAACTCAGAATTTTAGGTCTTGATGCCCTATCCACACTTGTCAAATTACCACCTAAAATTGAAGTTGACGTGCAAAACGAAATTTTCAACAGTATTCTGCCGCTACTCAAGATTAAGACTACCGTAAAAACCGATCCAAAGCAACCACCTGTGACTGGGCTCGACGATTTAGTCTCCACAGATGACACTATCATTGAAAGTCACAATAATGTACTGTTTGCAATCTTACACACTGATAACAGTCAAGGATCATTGGATGATATTCTAAGAGCTTTGGAAACTGATCATATGAACTCGAACAACTCCTTGGAAAGAGAGAGAGCATGTTCTATTTATGTTTCATTGTTGAAAGATTTTGCCAAGCTCATTTCACAATACGATCAATCTTCTACCAACAATGTATTTGGAAATTCAATGACAAGCTTGGGAAGAATTATTGGACAATTAATTCCTCGTATCACAGAGTCAGTTGCTGGAATTAGAAAATATGGTTTGGATGGTATTTATCTCGTATTAAGAGTTCAACACTTTTTAGAGCACATCAAATCTCAAAGTGACGAATTGCCAGAATATATTGAAAATATTGTACCACTCAGAAATCAATTGTTTGAGGCATCTAATGTGAAAGAGTTGTTTGAAGTCACTAAAGAGCTTTCACAAATTCTCTGTGAAGCAGTCAAAGATAAGAATCATTTAATGAACCTCATTGATACTTTAATTGACACATTGAACGATCCTGAAGTCGATGGAGCAAACAGTTCATGTATTGTTTTGAATGGGCTCATACGATCAAGAGGAAAGGAACTTGAACATGAGGCTGCAAATTACGTGAAAAAGATGATCAAGTTAATTCCTCAATTTATCTCTGGACAGAGAGAACAAATTGTGAGTGGGCTGTTGCATGGTGTTAGAGGTTTCACAAGACATTTCCCATTACTGGTAATGAACACTCTCATTGCGTATCCTGTACCTCACACCATTGAGGTTACCAAATGTTTTCAAATTATTTCTACCGATCCAATGCTAAATCAACAATTATTAGATCATCTCTTGGATATTATTAACAATGCTCAGCTCTATGAAGAAAAGAGAACATCAGATAGCGTTGATTTAATTCCAACTCACACCACTGTTTCAGCAACTCAAGCTCTCTATGAAATTCTCTCAGTTGAAGATTTCGCAAGTGTGGCCATGAAGAATTACTCCCAAATTATTGTCACTGCTCTCGTGCGTGTCGGAAGTGCAAATGAAATGAGCGTCAATCCTCCAACCAAGTACGCACAACAATGCATTATTAACTTCTACAAGTTGACTCAAGAGTATAGACGAAATACCAAATTAGAAGCTTTGGAAGAATTGGAGCAAAATGGACATCATGGTGAAGAGGAGAATGAGGATCACAAAACAAGCATCCAAGAACGTAGAGAATTAATTCTGCAACAAACTCCAACTGAAATTGAAGCTCCAACTTTGGAAATGCTTTTACAAAAAACTCAATATGGAGACGCTGTTCAATCGATTCTAGATAGACTATGCAAAGCAAGCACTGAATACGTTCGTCCAATGTTTGAATATGTGAAACCATTCATTAGTAGAACTTTTATTGGTCAACGAGTGATTGCAACATGTGTTGTCTCTGTACTGCTCAATCACATCCAAAATGATCGTGAGCTTGTTCATAATTGTATCAATTCATTGTTGGGAAGAAGCGGAACTGATGAACAAATTGTTGTTAAATTGTACGCTTTACGTGGATTGAGTAATCTCTCCATTCATCCAAAGGATATTTTGCATCAATATGTAACACCTGTGATTGGAGCATTATTGTCAAATTTGGAAGATTTGAATCAAGCAGTTGTTTTGGAAGCCATGACCAGTGTGAAAAAAATTTTCAAGATTGCTGAGGATCAATATATTTCACCACTCTTAATGAACCTTTGCGTACGATTGAAACCATCCTTTGAAAAGAAGGATCCACAAATTAGAGAAGCCTCAATCAAATTGTTTGGAGCTCTTTATCGTTTCTGTGATGGAGTGATGAGAGAGACTCTTATTGCCACCATTTTCAATAATTTACCAATTTTACTTTGTCACGTTCATGATCCAGAGGATCGTGTGAGTTATGCCTGTCGACTGGCCCTAAGTCAATTGGTTCCAACTCTAAAGAGTGAAGCTTTCACTAAAATATTCGAAGAAAACGAATCATTTAAAGTGGTCGATCAAGATGATCCCAACGCTCCACTGCCTCCAATGACTCCACTCAACTTTGATGAATTTGCAGAAATTTTCGCCAAGACCTGGATTCGAGAATTCCCAGAAAGAGTGAGCGATTTGGTCATGAATTTAGTAGTGTTCTATAAGAGCGAATGGCACACTGTGTGTGCTTGTGCTGTGCTAATTATTGGACATTTATTGGCTAATTTATCACAAGATCAGAGAAGTAGAGTGAATTTGAGACACACCACACAAGGCCTCACTGAATTACTGAAATCGCCATCTTCCCTTATTCGAGAAAAGGCCTCTAAAATGTTAGGTCTGCTCTACGAAGCTTAAACTAGTGTGTGAAAAGTATCTATATAAAATCTATTTATGCTTTTAGTGAACGCATGTATTAGAATGTGTGAGTGGTGACATTTACAACTCACAAAATTTCACATTTACATTTCATGAGTGATGCAAGGATCAACCATGGATATAGAATAAGGTTTGCTTGTTGTTGAGTGGCAGAGTCTGATGAGCTGGTGTCATTCAAAGTTTTCATATTTTTTGGTTCTTCAGTTAAATTTCTTGGAGTGGCTGCAGAAGTTTCATCTTTGGGTGACAATGTCGAAGAAGAATTAACAGTATTATTTTCCTCAGTTGCTGCTATTGCTTCATCGGATGAAGATTTGCCTTCTTCCTTTCTTCTAGGGGTGTTTGTAACCTTTTCAGAGTTGGTACCGTTGACACTGTTGGTCACTTCAATTTTTGCCTCAATTGCACTTTGAATGACTTCCTCAATTCCCTCTCTCGTCAAGGCACTGCATTCTCTGTAAAAATAAAAACCATTTTCTTGAGCAAATTGTTGAGCTTTTTCAAAAGAAACAGGTTCCTGTCCAATTTCTTTCAAATCATGCAATGTACGTTCATCTGTTCTCAAATCTGTTTTTGTTCCAACCAAAATACAAGGCACTGTTTGAGAAAATGCTTTTCCATGTTCAGAAATTTCTTTCATCCATAATTGTTTAATATTTTTCAAACTATCTGGACACACGACTGAAAAGCAAACAATGAATATATCTGTTTCTGGATAACTCAAAAGTCTTAAATTGTCAAAATCTAATGTGTCATTTCAAATATTAGAGTTCAAATGTTCCATGAACAAAAATTTCATCAAACAAACCTTCTTGACCAGCTGTTGTTGAATCATGTGTGAATCATGATCATTTTGTAAAAATTGGTTGATTCAATATTCACAGAGTTTTTGAATCGGAATTCGAAAAAAATTCAAATACACTACCAGTATCCCATAAATTCAAAATAACATCTTCATCCTTGTATTTAACAGTTTGAATTCGGTTGTCAATGACTGTAGGAACATGATCTTCATCAAATTCATTTTCTGTTGGTCATGGTACCAAAAATAGAAAAATGCCAAGTGTCATCATAAATCTCATCATCCATGCAATCATCAAAACTCTTACCAGTGAATGAAATCAAAAGACAAGTCTTTCCGACCGCACAATCACCTTCCATGATCAATTAAAAAATGAATCAAAACGTCAAACATCACCATTTGGACATGTCCATGAGACAACAACAACAACCACAACAATGAGAACAATTTCCATGAACCTGCAATTCAACTCACCCACAAAAACTACTTTAAATCTCTTCTTATCGTTTGACATTTTTTTTTTCATTGAAAATTTTCAAAATTGCGAAACCAAATTTGTATCCTTGAGGTAAACTTTTGGATTTTCAACCTTATCGACAAGATTTTGTTGGACAATGATCATCCTACGACAAGAATAATCGTGATGAAATAGAGAGTTACATTTATATCAATTTATTTTACATCAACAATAAATGATTTTTAACATTAACAGAAATATGCATATTTTCTTTTCGTGGTTCGTGTAGGAGTCAAGGCATGCTTTCGTGAAGGAGAAGTGTCTGAATAATTATCTTCAATATCATCTTCGTCTTCTTCTTCATCCCCTTCACTCTCGCTTTCACTTTCATCTTTTTTATGACTTTTGACACCTGAACGATGGGCATCAAAGATTTCTTCTCCAATGCATATCGATTCCAACACTTCTGAAATGTCTTCACACTTGTCATGATCGACGTTATTAGCCTCAATGACTTCTTCTTCCTCTTCTTCAGGATAAGAATACTTTTTTGTTAAATTAAACGTCTTGTCTTGTTTTTTGTACATTTTGGGACTTGCATTATTGTCATCGTCAAAATTAAAACTGAGGCTCACTTTTCCTCCTTTCTTTTCCTTAATTCGAACCATGTTCTTGACTAGATCGAGTTGAGAGGTCAATTCATTGGTCGATTTACTTCTCATCTCTCGGAGAGCTGTCAGCTGTTCAATTTTCTTTTCTTTCTTTTTCAAATCACAGCATTCTTGTTGAGGACTTGGACTAATCGATATAGTTAATGAAATAGGAGGTGTCATCATGAGCATCGATGAATTGGACGACGACGAAGAGGTAGAAGAACATGACGCGATCGAACTTGTCGATAAGGAAGATGAGGAACATTTCGACTTGCCACTTTTAGGAGGTGTCAAATAAGTAGGTTTTGGCGATGAAGTTTTAGGAGAGCAAGTCGGTGATGACGATGATGAAGTGGAGGAAAGGTATGATTTTTTGAAATGATTATACGACACTGCTTTCATTTTGAAATTTTTGACTCTTGAGAAAATGAATGCCGATGATAATTATTATTTGAAATGTCTTTGATCGATCGGTAAAATCAATGAACAGAGAGTGATTCACTACTACTACTACAGGGATGGAGAATGTTTTTTTAAGAGTGTTGGATCTGTTATGAAAATTCACCTCACTCCCGAGTGGTGTGTGTGTGTCACATTATCTCTTTCTCAACACTGGTTGATAGTACAACAACAAATGTATTGATTAAGGATCATTTACCCTCTTCTCCGATTTCTAACCTTCTATAGATGCAAATGATTGGTCCTGACGCAAGAGAGTCTCTCGAACCCTCCATTGTTATTGGCTCTTATTGTACTATATGTTGTGCGTATAACAACACCCTTGGAGCTACAAATGGATGTATTTGGGAAAGAGACAAAATATTGTCACATCTAGAGCTGTCATGGCACTTTTAAAAAGAGTGACAACTGACCTTAACAAGTGATGAAAGTACTGGATCGGTAACGTATCACCACCACTATGAATATTCATCTCTACCATTTCGAGTGACCGTACGTGGCATTGATATTCCGCCTTGTCAATGGAGCATAAACTCTTCTCATTCTTGGTAAAACTACACACCAAGAATAGAGTGTAGATGAGAGAAGCATGTTAGAGTGTATCCTACTTTTAACACCAAGTCCATGACATACTCATATCTCTTTGTAGTGATGATCAATTGCAAACACTCCACAACATTCTCCAAAATTTTCCAATCCGAGAAATTCAGAAAATTCAATTTACGGTACTCCATATTCTGAAATGCATTCAGGATTAGATGGAACTGCGTGTTGTATCGCCCAAGTTTGTGAAGATAGAAGAGTTAAAATCATTGTAAAATGTTTGATTGGTCGAAAGTACACCAACTTAAATTTGCCATGCTTTTGTTTGGTCTTTGTTGGTCTGGAAATTACAAAAAGGAAGAGGAACTGCCATCTTCAACAGCCACGAATGAACGTCATGAAGAAAGTGATGGTGTGATTTAGAGATCACTCTTGTAAAACTTGTTCAACAATTCTTCGAAATCTGAATCGGTTTGAATGTCATTTACGGTGCATTCTTTTCTTGTAAGAGGACATGTTCCATTCAATTCGACTTGTTGTTTTATCGTCTTATATTCGTAATGGTGTCCAAATAACAAACCTGGTTTTCGAATGGGTTGTAAAGTGAGTGGACATTTTACTTCAGGAAAATTCTCAACTATTACATCCAAATGTTCAGCACTCCCAACACACCAATTAAATACCGTAGAAAGCAAAGTCTGTTCCTCGTTTTCATGAAGTTTCTCCAGATGAGACATGAACACACTCACACTCATGCTCAACAAAAAAGAGATCACAAAACACACCACCGGATGGAGAGAAAATGTCAAAGTGATCGCCCATGAACATGTAAAAGCTAAAAAGATACACAACGCAGCCAGAACTGCCTTGGTAGCCAATCTGTACGCAAACGCTTTGACTTGTTCTCGGAATTGAAAATCTTTGGTGACTTTTTTAGAGTCCATATGGGTAGTAGGTTCACCTTGTTGATGATTGTTTTGATCAATTCTCAACTGAACCAGTGCAGTAATTTGGTAGTAAATCTGTTGCTTGGCTTCTGATAGTTGGTGGATTGAATTTGTCACAGACATGAGTGTTTCAACGTTGTTTTTTTTGAATGGATTTTGTTTTGGTGTTTACAAGCTGTTTTTTAAATCGAAAAAACTTTGTTGAATTCGAATAGCGGATCGATTGTAATTCGCGACGACGTTATGTTAACTATTCGAACTCAAAAAAGTGTCTCAACTCAATTCGTCACATGTATCCACCTTTTCTCAACAAGAGCTTGATTAATGACCTTTTCGCAATTACAACACGGTGCCATTTTAATTTTGTAAAGACGTAGAGCAGCTGTTAGACACAAAAAAATGCAGTGTGATGACGATTCTGAATTTCTTATTAATAATTCAAAAAACAAAAAGAACCCGGGAATCTTCTCATTCCTGTTACAACACGGAATGAAAGATTTATTTCTAACGTATTTCCTTCCTGATTTTTTCTCACCTCAAGAAATTATTCAAATTTTCTGTTCTCATCATGCATCGAATCGAGCCTTGCGCAAAGAAATTCTCACTTGTGAATCATTATGGGATTTGCAATTTAAATACTTGTTTCCCACATTGTATGAAATGAAAAATCAAATATTGAACTCGCAATGGTGGACTTCTCAACGGGAAGAACAATTAAATCAATTAGTGGACGAATCACGAGATGTATTTATTTTTTCATCGGATGGTCAGTCGTTAATACCGCTCGATCAACATGAAGAGTACACCAAAGAAATGATTCGAATTAGTTGTAGAAATGAAGTCATGAGTCTAGTATTTGGAATGATGATCGATCATGCGTTTTATGAAACAAATTTCTATGAAAATGATAATATAACAAGTACTCACTATGCCAAGAATTTTGTTCTTCTTCGGTTTTTTTACTTGATGATCAAAAGTAATCGATTATTGGACACTACTACAAGATATGAAGGATTATCCATTCATAAAATTATGCAGAATAATTTCATGAAACAACAACAGCAGCAGCGTATACCACCTCGATTTCACATGATGGACTATTTCAAAATCTATGAGTCATTACTGGTGGACATGATATTTAAATCGAATATGCCTCTTGCTGCATATTCTCTTCTGAAATTCGGATGGAGCGATGCATGTGACGATGAAAAGATACCAAGTGATGAAACAACATACTATCTTCCGTATATTGATTTTTCGTATGGTGACAGGAGAAGCTATTACAATAGATTCTTTCAGATTCATCCCTTTGTGAAATTAAATGAATGATTGTGTGATCAAGTATCAAAGCGGTATCTACTGCACCATAGTTATTGATGAAGACCACAAACAATTAATATATCCAAGAGATTTGCCGAAAATGATTGACATGTTTGAAACATTTTGCATTCGCACACATGAGGCATATACAGTCGATATTCCTTTTTCCAATATTATGGGAGGCAGATTTAATTTGGATTTTGCTCTTTCATACGCTCACTCGAAGAGTGGTGATTGCACTAATTGCCAACTAGGACAAATCCCAATGTATCACATGCATTACCAGAGAACTAATTGTGTGGACTTGCAGTATTCCATAAGATTGTATTATCAGAAACGAGTGGATTATCTAGTTCACAAACTAATGTCATGTTTCGATAGAAACGAGTTGCAAGCCAATGCAACCTTAATTTGTTCTGCACTTTCTCAATATCCATCACCAGAGGAAATTTCACACCTATTACGAGACTCATCAGACTATCAGGAAATTTTTCCTTTCGATGATCCGTCTTATGCTCAACAACGATCAACAGTATTTGTGGAATTGAAGAAAAAGATTTGGAACGCGTACAGAGGTACATTTAAGACTGAATCATCACTTGTGAGAGCCATTGATAAGTGCATTCGAAGATATATTCATTTATTTGTGGTCGCTCAACCTCACATGACTCGTCACAATTCCTACATTTTCATGTGTAAGTAATTCGAGTCATTCATGGTATGATTGTTTTAATCAATGATGGTACTGAACGGATACGCTCTGTGTTGTGTCATCCTCACAATTAGCTCTTGAGCGAGTAATTTACAAAAATTGTGCATCTTTTATATACTGCATCAATTTAACACTTTTACCACATGTTTGTTCATTGGTCAAGTATCGAATGGAACGATGTCTTTTGGCATCAAAGACAAATTCACAACATCCATGCATGACTGATTCTTTTGAAAAGATTCAGCAACAATTCGATCATATTTTTAATCAACTCAATTTCCTCAATGAACCATTGTTGCTACCCTAGTAATACCCTTCTATAGAAGAACACAATTCAAATACGATCATCACGAGTCAAAAATTGTGCATCTTTTAAAAACTCAACAAGATCTTTACAAGTGTCAGAAAAGAAAACAAAAAAAAATTAAAAAAAAAATTATTCGACAACATCCAAATAATAATTATCATCATCACCAAAAATACACAATTTTGAAAATGAGCAACAATAACAACAACGATTGGAAATCCGTGCAAAATAAGCCAAGAACTGGAAGAAAAACTCAATCCAATAGTGCTACATCCACTACACCCACTGGTTCATCGACATCCTCCTCATTATTTTCCTCCGCATCATCATCCACAACCAGTGGCAGTACTTCAGGCTCTTCCGCCGTCGGATCCAATAGTATCAATTATAATGTTGTAGCAGCAACAGGATATAAAACTGCTGCTGTTGTATCCGTGCCAAACCTTGAATCAAGGGGAACAAGTATGCAGCATCATCATCACAATAATTTGTCTGTACCATCCTCCTCCTCATCATCATCATCTGCTTCTTCAACAAATCAACCATTGGATAAACATCCACTAGGTCATACATTTACATTTTCCTACTTTAGAAAGGAGAAGGGTATTGATTATGAAGATTGTATGAAAACTGTAGGCGATTTTTCAACTGTGGAAGAATTCTGGGCACTCTACACTCACATGAAAAGACCGTATGAGCTTAAAGTATCGATGGATTATCATCTATTTAAACAAGGAATTAAACCCATGTGGGAAGATGAAAAAAACAAAAACGGAGGCAGACTCATGCTTCGATGTAAAAGTGGCTATTCTGCTCGAATTTGGGAAGATTTACTCTTATCTTTCATTGGTCAACAATTTACAAATGACGATGACATTAACGGAGTGGTAATTTCTATTCGAGACAATCATGACATTATTTCAATCTGGAACAAGAATGGAGACGACGAGAAAATTCAAGAAACATTGAAGCATGATGTCATGACCTTGTTGAACTTGCCTTCCCAAACCAAGCTCGAATACAAGGCTCACAAGGATGCCATTCAAACACATACCAAGATGCTTGAATTGTGGGGCAGTAATTTTAAACCAAGCGATGACACTGACATTCAAGATGATGCAGACTTGACTGAATCAAATCAAATTGAAGAAACAACAAAACAACGATAAAGGAAATGAACTTATCCAACCTTGCCTTTTTTTCACACTGCAATTCATTGAACAATTTTGAGGTCAAAGCCACAAATTCAAGAATTTTCGTTTTAATGCAACCCTAAAGGTTTGTTTAAAATTGAACCAACAAATTTGAAAAGAGCTGTTATATACAGGAGGAAAAATGCAAAGCAATCCATCTCGAGATGCTTATTTACCAAGTCTTTCAGTCTTGAAGAATGCTTGCTCAGCATCAAGTCTTGTCTTCTCACCACCTTCTTCCCAAGCCTTCAATTGTTGTTCGGTCTTGAAGTGAGAGAAGTCACGCTTTTGCTTAGCATTCTTATCAACACCAAATGTAGCTAAGAATGCCCACCATTCGTCCTCAGACATGGCAAGCTTCTCTTCCTTCTTCTCCTTCTTTTCACCTCCTTCCTTCTTGGCCTCTTCAGCTTGACTCTCAGAGGAAGCTCTCAATGAAGCAACTTCAGATTCCAATTCCTTGACACGACGAGCACCATCAACGACACCGTGATACAAGTTTTGTTCTTCTCTCTTCTTGGCTGACATGGTGGCAGACTTGGAAGACATGGATCTGTATTCTTCTTCTTCAATCTTTGATGTTTCCTTGATAATCCAATCCTTGTTACGGAGCAAGATTTCATCAGGATTCAATCTGGTTGCCTTGAGTTCATTGATGTATTCAACATCATAGTCGTCCTCCTCAATTTCTTGAATCAATTGGTCACGTTCTTCTGGGTAGTACTTGTCAATGAACCATGGAGCCATAAATTGTTGATACAATCCGTTTTCATCCTTCTTCAAGAGTGGAGTTTCACGGACCAAATCATCTGTTACTTGCCTGATGGATGGAAGAGCTTCAACCATGTCATCTTTCAATTGCCCAAAAACTGGTCTCATCAATTCCTCAAGCTTGTCTTGAATGGCCTTGATTTCAATGCGTGGACGAGTCTTTTCCATTACCTTTTCCAAATCGCGTCTGATCTTTTGGGTCGTACCAGGTCCGAGTCTCTTTTCCCAATCTGCCCAATCAATGGTAACTTGTTGTCTTTCGGCTTCTTCTGCCAATTCCAACTTGAATTGCTTCATCTCCTTGAATTCTCTTTCAAATTGTGGAAGCAAGGTTTTTTCAGTTTCAGTACGTTGGAACAATCTAGCAAATTCAATCCAATCGACCTCCAAATCACCATCTTCAGATTTTTTATAGAATTTAGGCTCTTGTCCTTGGAGCACTTCTTGTACTTCCTCTCTGGAAAAGTCCAAGGTCTTGCTGATAAAGTTGATGTATTCCTCATCGTAAAAAACAGGTCTAGCCATTTGTTCTTTCAGTTGAGCCTCGAATTGCTCGTGTGTCATTTCGTGTTTTGATTTGTAGTTTTTAGTATCTTCATCGGCCAAGAGTTCTTCCAGCTTTCGCATAATATTTTCTGTTGTAATCAAGTCATCGTGATAAATAACTGGATCAGTGTCTGGAAGATTGGCAGTGGAAACGCTTCTTGATGAATTGATAAAGATTTGATTCAACAAGGCGCGAGTGTACTTCTTGTTGAGTGTCCGGCTAGCAACTTGACGCAACATGATGATGATGACGATGAAAAAAATTGCCTCGCTTGCGTATTTTTTTTCGGTTGACTCGGCCTTTTACAATGGCGTTGTTGGCGCACTGATTTTGGCTTGATTTTGATTTCACGCAAAGGATGACAATTAATTACACATGAAACATACAACGAAAGATTGGAACATAGGTATTGAATTCTGAGGTTTTGACACCACCAAGCATGGCTCACCTGATAAGGTCTTTGATTTTCAAAATCCTCTTCAAAGAGCTATGAAAATGACATTCGATGACAAATACACACTTTGAAAAAAATTTAAAAAACAACAACAACATTCCCATTCGTCCCGACACCAGCGTCACAACCACCATAACACTTGGTGACATTGATACACAACAATTGACTTTCACATCAATATAACAGCATCACTCAATGGGTTACAAACAAAAGAAATACAAAAACGGAGAGGAGTACAATGGAGAGTGGAATAACAATAAGAGACATGGTATGGGTGTCCATCAATGGCCCGACAATCGAGTTTATGTAAGTTTATGGTGTTTTAACTTTGTATGTGTTTAAACAACTTTGTATGATGGACCCAAACTCAACTCGTATGGATTTGTTTGTTGCATTGTCCACAACAAAATTTCTTTGAATCATGACATCTCACATCACTTCCATTTCATGATCACTCTACAATTTGCTCTAAAGGAAGGACAATTTAAAGATGATTTAATGCATGGTCACGGAAAATATCAATGGCCTGATAATCGACTCTACGTATGTTATTGCTGAGCGCTCATTGTTGCTGAATGATTGTCAACAATTAATGGTACACATACGAACAAATTTTGATGATTCATTTATCGTCATATGATGAACCCAACTTGTCACACTGTCATCTCACACACATACTTGATTAATTTTCGGATTAATACTACATTCCTGTAATCATTCACTCTAAAATAGGAAGGATCATTCGTTCAAGATCACATGACAGGTCGAGGATATTACTTTCAAGATAAACGAGATCCCTTACTCGAAGAAATTAGTGGGGAATTTTTGAATGGAGTTTTACATGGTCGAGGAGTTTGTTTTAAAAAGATTATCACCAATAATATCACAACTGGATTAATCATAACAGTAGGATATTGTTGGAATCGAGGTACATTACATCACGGATTTGAAATTATTGTCGATACAAATAATATGGTACAATCCATCAAACAATTCAAATCAAATTGCAAGTATTCGTTTGATCCTAGAGGAGGAGGCATTGATTATTTTCAAGATGATTCTGGTGGAACAGTTGGTGCAGAACAAACACTTCATTCACCAAATGCTGCAACCTCATTGAGATCAGCATCAACCTCACAAGATAAATTGAATGGAACGAACATTTCAAATTCAGTTCCTCTTCTCAATTTAATGAATATAAGTACGAGTAGTGCCACCACAGCAGATTCCATTTCACCTCGATTCAATACATCGACGACGACAACAACCACAGCAACCACATGTTCCAATCAACAACCACAACCACAACAACAAGGATCCATCACACCTCGAACACGATCTTCACCTCGAACGCCACGCAATGGTAGCCATCTCATCAAACCTTCTGGAACGACTGAAATTAAAATTGATCAAATTGAATTTATTGATGCCAGTGAACTCGCTCAAGCCAAAGCAGAACTTTTAGAAAAACAATCCAATTTGGTGCAAGCATGGAAAGAAAAATTGAACAATGTTCAGGAAAAGATCAAAGCACTCTCGAAACAAAAAGCAAATTTAGAGTCCAAATTGGCAGAGGCAAAGGAAGAACTCACTTTTTATCACAATAAGGATATTGAAACAGAACAACGACTCTCTCAATACATTACACAACATAAGGAATTATTTGAGGAATATGAAATTGCGACCAATTCAAAATTCAAACACTTGAAACTATTATCAGTGAATTGAATGAGAGAAGAGAACGAGATTTAACACTCAAAAATCAAGAATTGGAGAATTTGAGAAATAGTCTTCACAAAAAAATTGAATCTCTCGAATTGGAATGGAAAGATCGATACAATCGACTCGAATGTCAAGTTGAATTATTGGATGATGATAAAAAGATGCAACAACATCAACGAATGGATGACCTCAATAAGAAATCTTCCACAAACATTTATAGAACTAGTGATGAAAATAACACAAAAAGTACGACAGTAGAGGAGGACATCAAGTCCATGACAACAACATCATCGAATGATGACAACGACGACGACGCACGACTCATATCCAACACTGAGAATCAACACTTGATCAATTCCATTGCCCTCTCTCCTCATCGACCTGTCACTCGACACCGAAGATCCATCAGTAACATTCATCACGCTCATTTACCATCTTCACTGGTTGAACAACATGCATCATCGAGGGATTCTTCACCATCCTCATCGACCTCTCCCATCTCGCATGATCTCAACATGACGAACGGTCAAGCCACAACAACAACAACAACACCAAACACTTCCTCAACCATTCATAGCCCACCACCAGAAGATGACTTTGATATTGAAACCACTCTGAGAACGACAGCATACAAGACAGCCACCAATGTTGCCAACACTCCATCCTATGAAACTGCTCAACAAAAAGAAACTAAGAATATTGGAAGACCTCGTTCCAATTCACAAGATAACTCCTCGGTCACTTCGTCATTGGATATAGTGAGAGGAACCATTACGGGTTCACAATTATTGTCTGCTTCTTCTAATGCATCGTCATCATCATCATCATCAAATAACCTTAATCAAGCAGCAGGAGACCCAAATACTACTAATAGTACCTTGAAAGAATCTCAGTCTGAGAGGACAAATTCATTGAAATCAGAGCAAGATGCTCAAATGTCCAGTTCAGCCCTTTCAAGAGTTACAGAGAGCTCTGAACAATCATTCTCCTATCAGTCCCAATCCAATTATCAACAACACCAACAACAACCACCACTCTCTCCTCTACAAAAACATTCATCATTGTCGTCCATTCCAAGCAGCAGTTCTTTGACAGCACTTGGAGAAAATTCTACAAAAAGCAAAACTCACCAGACATCGATGGACAAGAATGGATCGATGGGCAATAACAAGAGCATGCTTCCCAATCAATCGAATTGGATTTCTGCCGACATTCTCTATCAGAAAATTAGAGAAAATCTCAAAAAGACATCCAATTTTGCAGAATTGGAGAATTCAAGCAAGAGTGTAAATAAGGAACAAATTGATTATCGACAAGTTCTGAAAAAGAAGCATTAATTGAAAGTAAAAGAATGTAAATAAAGAATTTTATTCTATCGAAAGAGAGTTTCAAAGAAGCCAACTTGTTCAACCATTCACTGTCTGAAATATTATTTTAATGCTGCGAAGGCAATGATAGAATTGCATTCATGTTGTTGAAAGAGAAACAAAAAATCAATATGCCCTGCAGTGCAAAGACTCGAGCAAAGAACAATTAAAAAATTGCGGATTTGTTATGGACTTGCTGTTTACTCAATAACTCAGTTGTTCTCTCAACAAACAGGAAGCCAGTTGTCATTTAAATTACTATTGGGTCAAGTGTCACAATGGCTGCTCCAATCACAGTGTGTCAGACCTGCAATATTAAATAGGACTGTTTGTGGCTGATACAGGATTTCATCAACGTTTGTTCTTTTTGTGACAATTTTCAATCATTAATGTCTGTTCCCAAAATCACTTGACGAACTTACTTGAGAATACAAATTAATGCCGTTGATGGAGAGAATCCCTTCTCAAACTTACTCGACATACTTGTTCTGGGGATGGGAATAAATAATTCTCGAATGGTAATCTTGAAGATTGATGAGTCTCTTTGGTAAGCCAGCAATTAAGGCACGAAACAAAATGTATTGAGGTAAAATGTACACCGAATCCTGTTGGATGATGAACAAAGGTTTTCAGGAGTGCTAACTAAGGACACAAGGTCTTTGTCTTTCATCTTGTAAGTGGTTTTTGAGGAGTCTGACAACGAAGAGAGCTAACAGTATTGGGATTTCAGGCCAATTCCTGGGAAACACCAAGTGCAAACATGTCACTCACATGAGAGAATGTTTGAGCAGTTGAATTTGTGGATGTTTCTTTTGAAGAATTAAGAATTGGTGAAAACATAATTTCAGGTGCATAAAGGGAGGACCCTTACAAACTTGTGCATAATAGTCGGACGTTGTGATGAACATCGGTGGGACCTTGAAAAATTCATTGGACAGCAGGCTTTGTCAATGGGCGAAAAACGGGCTTGATAGGACGTTCTTTAACGTCTTCTTTGTAACATTCAGTTCCTGCAGTGTTGTGATCACGAGTGAGATGATCTAACGTTTGGGCCAATCCAAAATCACTCAATACGACATCAATGGTTGAGTGTTCAACATCCATCGATCGTATCAAGATGCTTTAATGCTTTACATCTCCGCATACGGCATAAGGTAGGTTAGTAAATTTTCCAAAAATTCAAAATCAACCATGAACCTTTAAAAACACCTATACCGATGTACAGTTCCAAAGTTGGTACTCAAATACATCAATGTGAAAGATCATATTTCATAAATTTCACAACGATGTCCTTTACTATCGAATTGTCATAAATTTAATAATTGATATTAAATTTAATAGAAATGACCAAATCCTCCTCGAGCTATGAATGAATATTGGTTTGGATACTTTTCATCCAACTACGTTTCAATTTCAAAGTTCGATTGAACTTCAAATCACACCATTAGACTTCTCCTTAGAGAATATTTCAAGACGTCTAACAAAAACAATTCTTCTCATTGACTGAATTTGAATGACTGGTTTGTACATATGATAGTTCCAGAGTCTTCCAATGCGAGAATATGAGAACTTGCAGCAGTGGTGGAATTTGAATATGGTTGACAAGACTTTTCATTTAGATTCAACGTTGTTGCATAACATGCATCTTCCACTACAACAGGACTCAGAAATGCTTCCGTAGTTTCAGAATTCTCCTTTGTAGATGGATTGCTTGCTCTTGAGAACTGCAAATGTTCTGCATGTACTATTTGTATTTTCCCAAAAATCGTTAGGCAATTCCGGGCGGACCTGCCTAAAGCTTTACAAGGCATACACCCTCTCGGTTGGAATTGAGGCAAGAGTTGTTGTGCAATAAAGTACATAAACAAAAGCACTCAAATGATGCATCAAGAAACGTTGACGTCTTCCACATTACCACTGTCGGTACTGTCACTGCAACAAGTAGTTGATGGCATTTAGTGCACACAAAGTCATTGTGTGGTTCAACGCAACTCCCCTTTTGTGTTAGACCCTCGCCAACTCGCCAACAAACTCGCTGGAGCATTTTGGCTCGGGTTAAACCAATGTGTGTCACTCTTAATTTCGTAAAGAAATCAGCCACAGCGAAATTCAATTTTTTGTAAATTAAAAAAAAATTTACTTAAGCTTTATTTATACACTACTACTCTTATTAATACCATTGGTATTGGTGGCGAGGCAGTGTCGATAGAGCTCTTGTAAAGCTTTTAATGCGTATTAAGCTTCACGTGTGATCAGGAGTTCCTCCACCTAGTGTCAGAGTCTTTTTCATTAAGCAAGTACATCTCCCATCCATCACTAGCCATGTCTATCACCCACTTGATTCAATCCCATTCTTGAACACCCTGACGCGCGGTACCCCGGGTAGTATAGCTGGCGTTCCCAACTACCACTTCGCTGGTGTAACATTCCTTTATTTGGTTCATTCGGGCTACGTCTCAGTGTTTTTGTTACATTAGCTTTTTGTTGTTCGCCCAGCAAAAGCTGCTTTGTCTTTGTTGAAGGACAAAGGCTTCTGCTGGAGCTATAATGAATAATAAAACGACTTGAGGTATGTTGTTGTGATTAGAAAAATACGGTGTAATTGTGGTCGGAAGAAATAAATAGGTGAACAATTTTAAACGTGTTCCAATTTTTGGACGAACTTTTTTTGTGATGAAAAATGCTTGACATTTTATTGCATGTCTTGAGACGAAGCCACCACCTGGCTCAGCTGGGAATACGAAACGAGGTTTTTTGTTTTCTTTGCAAATACGTAAAAAGGAGGTGACAACAACTGATAATTTCCAACAATCACAGCAATTTGTTTTTGATAAAGCTTGGTGCTGGTTGTTGATGAAAATTGTCCAATTAATTTAAATTTGAATGGATCCGTCTGATTTGGTGCCACAAATATTTTAAATGAGTTAATTGGTTCAGAATGTCGAGATGCATTTTCATTGTTCTCATTGAAATTGCGAACCTCTACGGTTGCATTGCTCAAAGAAATATGATTAGTCTTAATTTCAAATTCTACGGGCTTTTTAAGCAAAAATGCCGCAATATGATTTTGAGCATGAATTAATGAGTCGTGTGTTTGAATAATGGTAAAACTGATGTCGTCGGTTAATGTAAGTCGTTCTGTTAAGTTTGGCAAAACTTCACTTGTTTCAATATGGAAAACAGGAAGTGAAATGTTGTAGTAATTGGAAATGCTTGTCTCCATGAAATCGGTGGCAAATCCGGCCCTATAGTCATGTCTTGACTGATGGTATGATTGACGGATGGAGTTGACACGATGTTGTAAACATCGCAATTGTAAGTCTTTCGCACAAATTAAATCTTGATCTGTAAAACTATAAGAAATGGATGTCACGCTTTCTCTAGCTTGCTTTCTTTCATTATTAAAGTCAACAAATTGTTTTTCAGTCATTCTCATCAAAATTTGTTGGTTAATTTGACTAGGGGCATCACAATATTTCCTCTTTCTATCGTTATTGTATGAAAGATATACACATTCTTTTTTCACTAATTTGATTTTCATGTTTGAGTAACTTCTATGATAGTCCAATACTGTGGTTCTTTTTGAATAATCACGTGACTCTCCGAAAAATCCTTCAAGAGAACGTGTTCCCAATAAAGACAAATCAAAAACTGCATCTTGTGGAATAATTCTGATCAATTTCTGAATTGTTTTGATGTTATGGATAATGATGTTTTTTGTGAGGGTTCCGGATAATGTAAAATTATTATTCTTATTGGAAATAATGACGTCTTGGAAAACGGTATCCCACTCATTCAAATAGTCCAAATTTTCCTTAAGAACTTGCAACACTTCGTGCAAATTGTGTGAAGATGTTCCATCATGATTTTTGTCATCGTAAACATGAAATAAATCATGTATCGCTTTTAAGTACTTATAGAATCCTAAATATCGATAGTTGGTTCTCTCGTTCAATAATCGTAATTTTTCAAGTAACTGTAAATTGCATACATCACGTAATACATCCTCAGATTGATCATCATATTTGATAAACGAGCTCCGTTTAACTATTTTACACCACTCTAAAGGTTGTTGTCTATATATTTCATCGAGTGTGTTCAATTCAAATCGTTGTAAAATAGAACAAGAAATTTTGGTGACAGCTATGTCTTGATTGCTAAAATTTGCCACACACACTTTACCAATGTTAGTATGAAGGGTTTCACTCAACAACGTAACACTTAATTCGTTGTCATTGCTGCTATGATAGAAAGAAATGCCTCCAGAGTTAAAATTCCGTGGTTCTTTTTCTTTCCATTCAAATGAAATTGTGTCTTTGTCATTCACTATGAAGGAAAGTGGTATGTTGGTCGCTTGTGTTCTTTGAATAACAATTTTCATCAAATGGCAACCGTTTCCGTTGTCGTTGGAAGAAATACAAGCAGAGGAATGGCGTGCAATTTGAAGGTTTGGAGCACCTACTTTAGTGGCAACCGGATATAATTTTGGTCTCCCATTAATTGCATTCCTCATGTTTTTGCAATGGTGACTGTAGCAAAAATGATGTAGTTCATTTGGGCTCGATGTGAAATATTTGTAATTAGCAGACCCTGCATCTGACACAGTACAGACGATGTTTCGAGTATATGTGTCACGAAATTCAGAAATCGTGTCTCTAATGGTTTGTTCAGTTTCAGTAGTGCATACTTTGAAGTTTCCAGGAATTCGAACTTCACCGTTAATACTGCAATATAAAGTTTGAACAATTTTTTCAGCTAAAAAACCCTTGGGTGGAAAATTCGGACTCTGAGCTAGTGCAGTACAATCACTAATCTTCAATGGACCTTCATTGGCACCGTATACAAGCCCAAGCTTGGTATTGATTCCTAAATGCGGTGTTACATCTACTGCATCAATTTGAACAAGACCAAAATTTTGATTTTCAATAACCTTCATTTTTTCTACTAGCTTATCAAAGTCATCTTTGTCTAGTTTAGTATTCCCTTCTCCATATGATGCGGTGTGAAAATGATGGTCGAGTGTGGATGAACAAGGTAGGACTAAGTTACATCTTTCAGAAGAGGGTTCAAATTCTTGTCCTCGTTTCAACCCTCTCGCCAATGCTTCATACGCATTGTATCCCATGATAACCAATAAATCTTGAGCAAAACAAAGAACAGATGGGCTCCATCTATGGCCTCTACTGTCTTTGCAAATTAATTGTGAAAAAGCATCACGAAGATATGTGAAAAAGAAAGTTCGAGGTACTAATTTGCGACTACCTAACACCTGAAAAAACAATTTTTTCAATTCTTGAATATCCTCATCAAATATATCACATTCCGAATAATAACTATCATCATCGTTATTTTGTGATTTAAAATCAGCATGGTCTACAAAATTATGAGAGATGGTGTCGGACTTGGTATTTACAATTGATGAGTGTGTTGGAATAAATTTGTTGTTAATTAGTTGTTGCAGCATGTAATACGGTGCTGTTTGTTCTTTTGTTGAATATGACAACGTGATGTAGTCTTCAGCAAAACCATGATCCAGGATTTTATGTAATTCAATAACGCCGACATTTTTTTCTGGTTCGAGTAATTTCATGATGGTTGAACTAGAATAACGTTGTGACGTTGTTGAGGTTTGAGGTGGGTCTTCGCAAGCTGTACTTGTTTTGGAGTGTTTACGTTTTTGACGAATTCGCATCAGCTCGTCATGACACTCTTTCAATTTCAAATAGCCTTGAAAATGTAGTTTGTTGATCCATTCTGATGTTAACTCTTGATTTTGTCTTTGATTTTGAAATTTTGGGTCAGAGTAAATGTTATAGATAGCACTATCCTCGTCCGGGTCAATGCAATCAGTAACATATTGTGCAATCTTTGTTGAATTGTCAACCTGGAATTTGCAACAGTATAGAACAAATGGGACTCGTTTGTTGTGTGTGATGAGGTATGAGAAATATAGTTCGAGATGGCGATGGATGGTATTAAAATCCTTGCGATGAAATCCACATTGATCAATAATATCTTCTATTAAATGTTCGACATTAATATATTGATGGACTGCGAATAGCATTGTTTTGATGGCAACATGATATTCCGGTCTCAACAGACCGACAAAGGCGTTTCGTTCATGTTTTAACATTTTTATTGAAAAAACCTCCAGCAAACACCAGAACAAAACTTCGACAGCCTGCTCGACCTTTTTTAAAATGGTTAGGATTCTAAAAAATAAAGTGCTTTCCAAATGCTATTGTAACACTATTTCTGGGAGTTGGGAACGCCAGTAGTATAGGGCCTGACAACAACCTCGAAAGATTGGTCAACGGGGGAATCGAACCCAAGACAGCACGTTGCCAATGCTGTTGGGTCATGGTTGTGCCCGTAAATTAAAAAAAAATGCGAAGAGTATCATCGGGTTCGCCTCTCTTGAGATTTGTATGGTTGGCCCATAAACCAACAACAACAACAAGTGTTTTGAGTCAGGGAGCTTTCTCATCATGTATTCAACAACAACAACACTCGTTTAGTTCGTGCTCTATCCGAACACAACAGTATAATTTTGAAGAGGAAGAAGAAGCTAAATTACCACCAACAAACATCATTCAAGATAGCTTCCCTGTTGCTAAATCTCATTTGAAAGAGAGATATATGCAACCACCTAAACTTGACAGGCACGGTAACCCTGTTTGGGACTACACCAAAATGAAAGCCTTTGATAAATCTAAATATCCAGCCATTGAATCACCCTTCCTCACCATTCCAAAGAAAAAGAGACACGAATGGAAAGTTAGAGATTATGATGAAAAGATGACCGTCGAGTTCCGTTGTGGAGTAAAGTCAGACGATTTTATGGCGTGTGGTTTAACTCCTTTGGAGAGTCCTCTTGGCTCGAGCTCAGAGGCTACCAAATTTGTTTTGCCAGTTTCGGAATCTAGTGTTGAACAAGTGAAGAAGATTTTCAGTTTTTCCACAGCATCCAAGCCCGAAATGAACAAACAGAAAAAGCAAGCCCAAATTTTACGTTTCCAAAAGTCTCCAAGAGATACTGGTAGCGCTCCTGTTCAAATTGCTGTTTTGACTGAGCGTATCAAGGCACTCACTGAACATTTAAAGACCAATCACAAGGACTACACATCGGCAAGAAAATTGCAAGTCATTGTCAACAGAAGAAAGAGAATGATGAGATATTTGAAGAAAACAAATCCTGACATTTATTGGGAAACAATTCGTAACTTGGATATGAAGATTAGTTTAGTCGATTAAAGTTAGGTAATCACCACTTTTGGATATCAACACGAGCTCGTTTTACCAACATTGGAAATTTTCTTGTTTACTTCACGATTTTCATCAAGTTTTGTTTAAGATTGTACAGTGCACTTTTGAGGAAATACTTTTCGAATCACATTTACTTGCATGTCAACCAATTGTGATTTCCACTACTTGAAAAAACCAAGTACTTTCACGTCAACAAGGCACTTGATTTCCTACATTAATAATTACACAAATTCATCATTCTATTATTATTGTAAATCCACTTCTTGAAGGACTAACCACACACTCACTGTTGTTGTGATTGAAAACAAGCAGTTTGAATTGTTGAAAAGACACAAAATGTCCACATCTCCCATGTTAAAAAGTGGAGACCAATGGTCGGCAACATCATCAACCAACAACCTTCCAAAAACCGAAGGAACAACAACCGATCAAACAAACGTTGTCGGCGAAGAAAACTTGCCATCCTCCTCGACCACATCAGCTACTGAACCCATAAGAGCAGAAGAGGGTGTGGAAGGACGAGATCAAACCTCGACTGTTCCTTCCACGACTCCTGAAACTACTACGACTTCCTCCTCACGACTTCAAGAGCCCTCTGCAATGACCTTTGAAGATGTTACCTCAACCACAAGCACAGGAGAACCCAGTGAGGAGCATCCACCTATCATTACCGAAGAAGGGACATCTCCAATGGCACCAACGAGTACCACTGAAGAAGCAGGTGTTGTTAGTGGTGGTGGAATGAAACAACCAACTACCACCACGACAATGGGTTCTGCAGAACCCACCAGTGCTGCTCCTCCACACCTTGCCTCGACCACTGCCAGTGTAACCGTCGTGAGTGGTGATGAAAATACCGATGATCCACTCCGAGCCAATTACCTTAATAAGAGTTTTTATCATTTGAATAGTGTCGATGATGAAACCATTTCAAGTTATTGCAAATACTTTGGAGAGAATGTAGAAGGTATCACGTCCAAGTACAGAAAGCTCGCTCGTTTAATTTCTCATTACCCAAACTTTGTACGGAGAGGGATGGAACGATTCACTTTGGATAATTTGAAGGAGATGTGCCAAGAGTTGAATTTGTCAACGGAGGGAAAGAAGAGCATTCTCATTGATCATCTCTTTGATTATTACATGAATATCCATAAAGGAGACTCCCTCGAAATGATGGTTACCAATGAAGTGGCTTCTAAGGCTGAAACATCTACTAGTCCTCAATTGAGAAAATCCACTCGTACACACAAAAAGAGTCCCAAACTAGGAGAAGAGGAACATGAGGAAGAGGAAGAAGAGGCAGCAGGTCCCACACGTGCTCCAAGAAAAGCCAGAACACAACGAAAGACTAAAAAGACTCATGACGAAGAGGAAGAAGAAGAGGAAGGAGCAGTAGCTGAAGAAGAGGAAGAAACAACCACTACTCAGGGACCCAGTGGCTCTAAAAAGAGAAAGATGTCTCATGATACTTCCTCCTCCACTCAGGAAACTAGCATTACCAAGAGCGAGTTCTTGAGATTGGCCAAAGAATTGCGTTTCACGGTGGATGATAAGGAACATGTGGCTCATCAAAAAGGCGAATTGCATGGCTCTTTCGGATGGCATTACAGTGGAAAATCGAATATTGTGTTGGATCGTTACAATGTTCCTGTAACCATTACTTTGAATGTGGTTGTGAATAAGAGTGGAAGAAAAAAGGAGGAATAGAAAGTCTTCTATAATGACGCCTATTCCGGTTTCAAACTTAATAAAAAGTATTCTAGATTCTTGAAATTACCATTACAAATGATACTTTGTTCTATTCGCTTGTTGTAAAAAAAATGTAAATATATTCATATTTTCCTTAATTCCTCAATAAGGCTTAAAATTATATTTCGGCATTAAGTGCTCTTCTTGAAATTTAATTGGGTTAAAAATGTCATCGTTTCACCTGATGAGGATTAAACTCTGTGAATTTCAACTTCTTTTTCCGATGTTTCTGTTGGGTTTCATGAATTCCTTGCGAAAAACTTTGATACTCATTGGTATTAAATGTTAATACGGAGGATTGTTGTGGAGAGGAAGGTAAATTATTGCAATAATCTGCATTATGATGCTGAGATGGATATTTTGCACTGGTGGTTAACGAATACGATGAAGAAGCAGACAGCAGCTTCTTCTTCTTCTTTTTTGTAGCCAACGAAAGAGGATTCACAACACCCACATTGCAAGGATTAAGGGAGGTATTATTCACAACAGGAATGTCGTACGAGCTGCTTGAACAAGTGTTCGGGATGCTACTTTCTGTATATTCCGATACCGTGGACAGATGTGATGGATTGGTTTGACTGGTTACAAAATTCGTAATCTCATGATGAAGTAATTCGTGAAGGGAGGTGTTGGTCGTTGTGGTTGTGTTATTGTCTTGATTCATTGGATGACCTGACGATGGTGTGCATGAGCTACTCGCTCCAAAATTGGAATTATTGAGATTCATGGCGGAGTGATGAATGAGAGGAGAGTCTTCAAAGCAATTTCTCATCGTCATCATCATCATTGTGGATTGTTGTGCTGGTGTTGGTAGTATTGTTGTTGTTGTTGGAGAGCATGTAGATATCATAAATGGTTGTGTGCTTGCAGGAGAATAGGGAGAACAAGCAGTATTCGATGATGCAGACTCTGGAGAGACAGTGTTCCATGAACGAAACGTCCATAACCCTTCTTGTATCAACTCTTCATAGGACTCGGTTTGATAAATGAAGGAGGATGACGCTATTGTTGGTCGTCTCTGTGTGCATGTTGTGGTAATGTTGGTTGGAGAGTCCTCCTCTGAAGAGAAGCATTGCATCATCGGATTCAGTTGTTGTGAATGTGTTTGCATTTCCGTTGGTAACATGTCGAAGGGATTGGACTTGATTTCGTCTAACCTGATTTCTGCTCTGTCTAGGGTACTAGTGACTCGATGAGGGATAAGAGAAAGAGACTCCGAATATGATATATCGACACAATTTCTTGTTGCCTGTTGAAGCGAGTCATCAATGTCTTGCATTTGGTGCATGCTGATGTTGTTTTCATTGTTGGCCTTTTGCTTGTTGTCGAGTATCATGCTGACGACGTGAAACAAGGGGCTTTTTGTTTCTGTTTGAAACATGTTCTCATGAGAAGGTGCCGCCATGAATGACAGTTCATGAAGAGGAGTGCGTTGGTCTTGCTCATTTCTAGTTGGTGTCTGCGGCATGTTGGATAGGACAGGAGACGAGGATGGAGTTGTTGGAGAATGGTAATTGTTAAGGTGTTGGTGACTTTTGGCTGTCTTCGTGATGGAGGTGTCCAATTGTTGAGGTGTTGATGGTTGAGAAGAACCAAGCATGGGAATTGGTTCGGATTTCAGGTTTTGGCTTCTTTGACCGTACTTGTGTTGAATTTCTTTTGACACAAGGGAGCAAAACGATTTTGTTTGCATGGAATTGACCAATTTTAAAGAATCTGCACACAAGAACAACAAGAATATTTGAAGGAGATCTAGTAAACCATGCACACAGGATTCCCTGGTTTTGTTTTTGTGCTTGGAGAGCACGGATATTCAATGTCGTTTCGCACATGAATAGAGCTGTTGGACGTTTCATCATGCAAATGATTCGTGTGATTCTTTTCGTTAAAAATCATCTTGCCTTGCACCACAAACTACGCCATAAGAAAACTGCCAGCGAAAAAATTCGACTCAAAAAGGCAAAAATTTTTTGACAACGAAATGCAGAAACTCCGGGATTGGTTCAGAATCTTGTAAAGTTTTATTCAATAGTGCTGTTTGTTCATTAAAACTGTCCTCCTGATTATGACCACACCTATTGTACCAAAGCCAGTTACTAAAGTTTCGAAAGCAATTCTCTTCAGCCTTTCGTTATACAAGGATTGGTTGATTGTTGATGATAATACTCACATTCACCGTCATTACACCGTTCAACAAGTTTCTCGTTACACGATAAAAATCCATCTTTTGTACTGATCACTTGGTATCTAAGTTACATCAAAGTTGTTCCACGGTGTTGCTGTGTAATCGTTGTTTAGGTGTGTGATTTAAAATACTGGACCTCATCTTTTGGTGAAGGCATTTTTTTTGGAGTGAAAATTAATGTCAACTTGAAAAATTAAATTACAACAAAAAGCAAAAACTCTTGTTCTTTGATTTAATAACAGCATCTCCTTGGAGCTTAATTGAGAGAAATTGAGATCAGCATTATCAATAATATTTTTCAATTTGTTTTCTGTGCTCGGTGGACCTCCTCGCTTTTGTTTTATGCGAGTGAAGCTAGCTTATCGACAAAGTAATTGTTGTATTTTGTTGTGTGTTTGAATGTTGGTTTGATTGGTTTCATGTTGTGAAGGTTGAGATGATAATGTGTTCGGATTGTCAAGGTTATGTTGGATTGTGGAGAAATTATGAGAAGATTGTGGATAATAGGATTGATGATTTTGAAATAAATGTTCACATCCTCCATATTGAATAGGGATATTCTGATAGCTCATTGAATTGGATTGGTTTGGTTGTATCAGATAAATTCTTTCGAAAGATGGTGTGATGTTCTTGGTGAATCAAAAGAGCCGGGATTAATGCTACTGAAACCGGTAGATGACGGTGATTGCACATTGAAAGAAGATAATGGAGAGGAACACCATGTGTGGTGATTTTGATTTGAAAGTCCATATGATTGACCTTCAAAAAAGTTGTTGTTAGATGTGGTTTGGTTTGTGGACGGTGATGAAAAGTTTCAATTTGATGACATTTTTTGTGATTTAGAGTGTATTGAGGATTGAATTCAATTGTTTTATTGTACAAACTCGAATTCTTTGTCAAACTTGAACGACGTCCACACTTGATTAGTTTCCACATTACATGTGAGAGAAATGTATACAATTTTCATCTTGTGTTTCGTAATCTTCTTTCCGAATTTACGTGTAAGACGTGAGTGAGTAATTTCCAACTCAGACCAATGTTTGCATTTGTCTAAAGGAGGAACACTGTCAGTAAATCTGAATTGAATGCACTTCTGTCTCTTCTTTAGGCCATTCCACAAAATGTCTTGATACCATTGGTAATATTTAGCCTTTGTTCCCCTCAGAGCAAGATAAAACACGTTTGGGTTGCAACACCCAACCGTTTCATGGCTGATGGAGTTTGAACATCTCATCTGTAGATGTTGATAAATAATATTTCTTGCACATTTGGCGAACTGTTCCCATATAATTCCATAAATTTGTTTCTTCTCATCTGGTACTTCTTTAAAGGAATTATATTTTGGTACAAATTCAAACAGTCCTTTCTCTAAAGTGAATTGATATTCCTTGTGAGTGTCTTCAGCAGCTTCATCTGTGGTTCTTGATTTTCGTTTTTTGCTCTGTTGGGAAATATTGTCATCATCACATTTGTTGTTTGGTGTTATCGTACATTGTGTCTCATCAACAATACCAGAGAAGCTGCTTGTGCTAGGCAACAGACAGCAAGGTGGAAATGATATAGTTTCGTCTGTGAAGATCCATTCCTGAACAAGTTAAGCAAACACATTGTAACAAATTTGAAACATACTGTAGAGGTAGTCATTACTGGTGATGATGGGTGAGAAGGGTTCATTTCGATGCTTGATGATGAAGGAATCTTGTGAAATATGTTACTGCTGAATACTGGACAAACATAATACTTACATTGTTCGTACTCTGGTTCGTTGTGGATTGGCTATCCAATGCTGGTGATTCATTGGCCTTGATAATTGAGATCAATACAAGGTGAACGATATTCACTAGTACTTACGTGATTAGTATTTGTTTCGCAACTCGAATCACAATCAGAAACACCAAGCTGAGGTAAAGATTAGTGTAGGTGTTGAAATTGTTGTTTGATGATGTTGTTGTTGTGGTAATAATCAATTACTTACACAGTATAGAGGCACAGTGCCCTCTTCAATGACCACTAATTCAGCTTCCATGTTGTGTGTGTTGTTGGTGTTTTTTTTGTGTGAGAAGCAGAAAACAACACCACAGACCAATCACTCCATTTTTTTTGACTCCGGGACTTACTAAAACGAGCCGAATTTTTTCTTCGTCAGTTTTTGCACTTTACGCTCAGGCGTAGTTTGTGGTGATCATTTTCTTTCCATAACAATATTCGATGAATGTGGCTCCTCTCTTCGCCTTAGTGCGTCTTTTCAGACTTGCAATTTTTGGATGCCAATTTGGGAAGTATTTCTTTTTAGCACTAGGTCAGATATGTCGACACAGCTAGTCGTTGCGATTTATTGGTCTGTGAGTGCAAACCATGCCTTATTAAGAGGTGGTGACCACATCATGCCTGCTTGCTCTCTAAAAACTGTTGCTCAAAATTTGATTAAAGTACGCAATCCAATCTTGTGCAGTAAAATCTTCTCCATTCTCTACTGGAACCTTGTTCACATAAAAACTTGGAGTGGCAAACACGCCTGTAGCTGTCGAAAGTTTAAATAAAGTTCTTGTTCTCATATCAATAGAAGGATCATTCACTAATTTCATATAGGCTTGTTGCGTAATGACATTCAAACTCTTAATATTATTGGAATAAATTAAATTCATTATTTGTGATTGTGTCATGTCATTGACAATATTATTGTACAAGGGTGCTTGATTAGTGAAAAAAGAATTCACCATTCGTTTCAATACATTCTGATCATAATTCGTGTATCGATTCACACCCACATAGGTCATGGAACCCAAATACGAGGCTGTATGATATGGCAATGGCAGCAAATATAGATTCATTCGAATGGGTGTTGAACTTGTTGAATTACTAAAATAAAACGAATCAAGTTGTGAGAATACACTCGTCCACCATGCTGCACTATCACTACATAATAAATCGACATATAGATCAAATTCAATTAAAATTGGTTGTTGTTGCTTAAAAGCAGGTGGTGTCAAGCGCAAAATATCATTCCGAGAAGAAAAGGGAGGTGAGAGAGGAGTTGTTTTTGCGTAGGAGAATGATGATGATGAGGAGGATTGAAATATGAAAAACAAGATCCAACACAGACTCAGAGTAGAAAGGACGAGGAACGAATGGTGATTCATGGAGTTTGAAAACATTTTTTTTGAAACAGCGGAATGCAAGGAAACGATTCTCCTGAACTCCGAGTGAGTTAACAATTATTATTACAAACATTTGGAAATTCAAATATACGTTTACTGTACAGTAAGATATAGTTTTTACTCCTTGACTGACCAGAGAGTGGTAGTCTTTGAAAACTTGAAGTTCTTAATTCCATATTGCATCATGATATGTGCATGAAAATCCAAACACTTAACAACATTACATGATACTACACATCTTCTTCTTCTTCTTTCGAACGTCAAGATCTTCGAATGGCTTCTTGGACTTTCTCACTTCTCGAACCAATGCCATAAAACAATCATCCACATTGAATCGTTGTTTAGCACTTGTTTCCATTAAAGGAATTCCTAATTGCTTGGCATAGAGTTTTGCTTCATCCATACGAATGACTCTCTCTGATTCCAAATCACACTTATTTCCTACGAGGACCATTGGTACTTTATCACAATCTTTCACTCTCAGAATTTGTTCATAGAATTCATTAATTTCTTCAAATGTCTTTCGATCAATCACCGAATAAACCATTAAGAAACCATCAGCAGTTCTCATATAGGAATCACGAAGAGCTTTGTATTCTTCTTGACCGGCAGTATCGAGAATTTCCAAAAAGCAAGCTTTATCATCAACTTTGGCATGTTTTCGATAGGAATCTTCAATGGTTGGATCATATTCCTCAATGTAAATGTTTTGGATGTATTGCACAGTGAGAGCACTTTTACCGACACCTCCTCCACCAACCACAGCTAGTTTGAATTCTTCCATTGAGGTGTTGCTTGAGTAGTTGTTGTTGTTATTACTTGGCATTTGTTTTTTTTGAATGTAAGACGCGGCGGTCGAGTCTTGTTGACTTTTTTTTGTTGATTGTTGACAGCGAAAGGCTTTTTGGTGTTGTTCATTTTAAACGAAATGAGAACTTGGAAATTGGTAGACTTTGTTCAACTTGTTCTTGAGAACAGAGTGAACAAGTGGTCAAAAAGAGATCGTTATTCTCTATGAACAAACGAACTAGCATGTCCAAAAACCTTACTGCACCATTTTCACCAATTCTCGAATATTGACTTGATATCGCTCGACTTCTCCTTTTGAAATTCCAGTGAAACGATAATTAGAATGGAGTATAAATTGTTCAACATTCTCTGAAGACAATGAAATCATACATGAAATCAACTCCAAACCACGAACCACCTTTCCAGATTTGATTGAAGTTCCTGTTCCTCCAACCACACGTTCCAATACTCTTGATACTTGTGTGTCTTGTGTGTCCATGGTATGATAATACTGAGCATAGGTCAATGAGAGACACAAAATGGCATATCGTTTGAACGTTTGAAAAGCAGCAGGTATTAAACTAATGGATGTTTTTTCTTTGGATTTGAGAGGTTTCTTTTTTGAGGAGCTGTGGTTGTTGTAGTTGTGGTGGTTACTTGAGGACACGAGTGGAATTTGTTCATTCATCAATTCTATACTTTTTTGAATCAGTCCTTCGAGCGAAAGGACAATACTTCTTAATTGATTGGTTTTTTTCACTTCCTTATCAGAGAGTGTGACTGGATGTGTTGCTGGAATGAGATGTTTGGTCATTGCCTCTCTAGTGCCAATGTTACCATTCTTACCATTCGAAGGACGAGAAATATTGTAATACACTTCTGTAAAATGAATGAGAGAATCAAGTTCCATATTCATAACTTCTAACAAGTTCAACAAGATTTCATGTTGTGGATCTTGGGAAATTACCTCTTTTCGAACTTGAACAAATGAGGGTGATTGTATAAATTCCTCAATCAATGGTTCCATTCCTTCCATTTGTTCTAAACTTTCAAAGGTTTGTCTCAATTGTCGATCCAAAATACTCTTACAATGAAAAGGAGAGTCATACACGTTATCAAAATAATTCACAGCACGTTGAATAAATTCAGGAAGATTTGAGAAATAATGAGTGTCATTGTAGAGTACTTGTCTCACATCGAATTTGGTAATAAGAGCAAGCATGAGTTTGATAATTTCATCCATTAATGCATGAGGTATCGTATCAATATTAACATTTCCATGAGATATCAAGTCTCTAATTCTAGGACTTTCGACCCATATCAGTAAATCGAAAATTGGATTCAATAACTTGTTGTCAATAATGTCAAAAATTGCATTCTTCTCAATTCCATAGGAAAGTATAGGTTTCGTCGTAAAAAGAATATCGAGAGTAGTATATAAGCTATTCTTCTCTGCAGTCAGTAATCGATTTTCACACTTGTTCACACACACGAAAATTCTTCGTATCGAGTGCTCAAACAGTGGAAATATAATGGAAATTGTTTTGTAATAATTTTGATGATCAAAATATTCGATAAATGCCTTTTTCCAAAGTGGTATCCATTCATCCAATACAAATAATGAATTTTCTAATAGTTGAAAGAGCTCTTCACGGTCTATGTTGTACGTAGTGGTAATGAAATTATCTTCCAGTGACTGATTCACTTGGAATATATTTTGTAAAGGTTTACAATTCGCCAAATCAATGATTGGTCGTTTCAGAGATGCTTGACTCAATCCAATCGTGTTCTGAACATGTTTCAAAGATTTTTCTGCTATGGATGGAATAATTAGTAAAATTAAACTCAAGTAACAATCTTGAAATTCTCGAGTTGAGATGAATCCATGGAGAGCAACATTTCTCAAATTGATAGAGTTCAAAGGGCCAACTAAACATCTCAGTAAGAGCACAATGTCCTCTCCATAAATGTCCTTCAATTCTTGCATGACTAATAATTCACTAAATTTTGGTAATTTTTGATAGTCCTCAAATTGTTGAATTCTTTGTTTGTCGTTCTTGTATATCAAGTCAATATATATGGAGTCTTGGAGACCTCTCTCAAGAAGAGGAACCAGCAATGAAAAGGCAACTAATGAATTTCCAGAAAAGTGCTCCTCAAGAGCCATTTCAAGAATTTTGTAAACAATCTCTTTAGGATATCCTACACACATGAAATTGGCATAATCATCCTTGAATCGTTCAAAGAATGTTGACTTGTTCCATCTTTGTAATCCAATAGTGGGCTGTTGTTGCTGAGCATGTTGTGAATATTTGTGCTGTTGTTGTTCTTGCTGTGAATATTCGAGAATTTTGTCTCTAAATTGTTGAATGCCCGCTCGAATTTCTCGATTCTTGTCACTTTCACTGTGAAGCATTTCTTGTGTCAACTCAAAGCAATTCTCATGAATAATCATTGCAATGGGTTGAATGTATTCAGTGGCCACACTAAAAAACTCATTGCTTCCGTCAGTGAGATCTTGAACCAAGTGGGTCAATTTGAAAATTGCACAATTCCAATTTAGATAGCCAGTGGATACATCAATGATGGTGTTGGTATGATCACCTGAAGACAATAATAAATAATTATTTTGTAATTCCACACATCGTTCCACATGAAACAAGTGAAGTAATTTGAACACATTTTCGGAGAGAGAGGTAGATTTTGTTTTTCTGAATTTCACAAATTCCTCCATTTTGAAATTGTCCATTGGCTCTTGAGAGATTTTGATCGTGTTCATCATGCATTGATTGTGTTGTAATAGCATGGACCAGCCACATCTCCATTCTGAAACCAGTGGGTGAATCAGGCGGACATCAAGCTCACCAAACGACTCCTCACGATTATCCGTTGCATCTGATACATTTTCCTCCTTATTATTATTGATTGAAAGATCAATTAGAGCTTTCTGCATTTGCTTCAACTTTCAAACAATTTGATGAGCACGAATTCACAATGAAAAGTCCAAAAATAACTGGATTTGCAAAATTTTTTTCTCGCGAATAAATGGGAGCGACACCTGAGGCGATTCGCCGTTGCACAAGACATGTCCGCAACGATGTGTGGAATTACAAAATAATTACTTTTTATTCAGATTCAAAAAAAATTTTTTAAATCATCCTCGCAAGACATGTCCGCAACGACCACACTCAAACGTTCCTATGACACATTCGTTACTGAAGACGAGAATAGCCGCCGTTTGCTGCATCATCATGACTACAACAGCAATTGCGGTGCAAAACCATTTTGTTTTGGATCATCAGCAACGATAGATTTTACAAGTCATCAAGGAGAGTTGTCGTCGTCGTCTTCAGCATCGTCTTCGTCGTCAACGGCACTGGATGCGGACACGATCAAGCAATCAATGAAAAAACGACGAGAACGATTATTGTATTCAAAAACTCAACCTAAAACAACGCATACCTATGTTGCAAGAGAGGAATCTAAAAAGCCTTCTGTTCAAGAATTCATTTCTTCCTATTTGAAAGAAAAACGCAAGTTTTTACTACAACATTTTCCTGATCAAAAGTCTAACATTGATTTTAATCAAAATACATTCACAATGGAGGAAGTTGAACAATTATTGAAAGTACGAGATGAACAGAATTATCAAGAAATGAACGAGAAAATTCAAGAAAAACTCTCTGAACAGTATGAACTCTTTACAAAATTCAATCACGATTACATTTCCAAGCAATTCAAGGAAACTGATTTCAGCTATACGTCTTAATGTCTCCGTTGTCATGGTGATCGTTGTTTGATTCAAATCTTTATGAATTGATCCACTGTTGATCGTACCATCCCTTGACCAACTCTTCCTACTACTTTGTTCAGATCAATTCTAATTACTTTTGTAAAGCAAATAGCATTGTTCATTAAGAAGTAGGAATGTTGATCCGTTTCATAATGTTCCTGACTCTTTCTCCAATTTCCTTTCTCTTTGTACACTTTTGAGCTCTTCTTCTCCAACTTTACCAGTGATTCCCTTCTTCTTCTACATTTAATTCATATCCAACAACAACAATAAACTTGTGTTCTTTAATTTGGTGATGTGGTGTCTGTGCAATGGTGTCTTCATTTGTGGCTCATCACACATTCAATTGACTCCACGACACGAATGTTCTCTAGTGACGGGTAAGGTTATTATGACAAATTCGGTGCAGGGACAGAAAAAATTAAAAAAAAATGATTAGCGCCGTGCTCATTCTCAACTCTAGAGGACATACTCTGATCTCACGTGCCTACAGAGACGATGTTGAAACGTAAGTAGAAGATTTTACATCCTCCATATAGAGCTCATCATGGTGTTCATGTATACAACAACAATAAATTTTTACATCATGTGTGGATATCCCAACAATAACAACAACAACACCTCTTCCGTGCCTTGACTGTGATGATGTTATCCACTCGGTACGACTGATGAACAACATACACAACAAAAACAACAACTCTAACAATAACCTTCATCAAATCCCTTTGATGTTGCTGCTTGTATGTTCCAACGTACTCATCCCTGTACGCACGAACCAATACCTTCAAATTGTCATCATCATCATCAACACCCACAACAGTCGTTCCATTTCGAGTGCTTTCAGATCTCAAATTTTAGCAGCCAAGATCGCCGACAGATGTCCAGTTAAAACAATTGGAAGTGTTACATTCATGTTCATTCGTCATGAAGAGATGTACTTACTTGCCGTAACAAAACAAAATGCCAGCGCTGCTCTAGTCTTTGAATTTTTGTATAAATTGATTTTCATTTTCCAATCATACTTTGACGGAAAATTCACAGAAGACGCATTGAAGGAAAACTTTTCACTTGTCTATGAATTATTGGATGAAATTCTTGACTTTGGTTATCCACAAAATCTAGAACCTCAAGTGTTAAAGGCTATTATTGTACAAGGTGGTATGAAAGATATCAAGCCACACGAACTTGAAGCTAGATTAAAGGAAGTCACAGGAGCTGTATCTTGGAGAAAGGCAGGTATTGTTTATCGTAAGAACGAGGTGTTTTTGGACGTTATTGAAGATGTGAACATGCTATTGAGCAACAAGGGTACTGTTTTGAGTAGTGACGTTACTGGTCGTATTGTAATGAAGTGTTTGTTGAGTGGAATGCCAGAATGTAAATTTGGTTTGAATGACAAGCTCATGTTGCAACAAGAAAAGAGAACTGCTAACAAGAAGAGATATAAGGAAATTGATATTGATGATATTACTTTCCATCAATGTGTCAAATTGGGTAAATTTGACAGCGACCGTACTATTAGCTTTGTTCCACCTGATGGTGAATTTGAATTGATGAGATATCGTATCACTGATGGTATTGTCCCTCCATTCCGTTTGCTTTCTCCAATTGTTCGTGAAGTGAGCAAGACTAAATTGGAAGTTAAGGTTACCATCAAGTCAGTATTCCATGCTCGTTTGTTTGGTAAGAATGTCATTGTCAAGATTCCATGTCCATCCAATACAGCCAAATGCAAGATTCATGTTGCCCAAGGTAAAGCCAAATATAAGGCTGAAAAGGGAGCAATTATTTGGACTGTTAAACGTTTCCCTGGTGACACTGAATTGACACTCTCTGCTGAAGTAGACTTGATTGCGCAAACTGCAGAAAATAAGAAATGGTCCAGACCTCCAATTGGCCTCAACTTCCAAGTACCAATGTTTACTGCTAGTGGTTTGCACGTGAGATTCTTGAAGGTCTTTGAGAAGTCCAACTACCAAGCTGTCAAGTGGGTCAGATACATTACCCAAGCAGGTGTCTATGAGTCTAGAATTTAAACAAATTTTTTGAACGTAACACATCATCAACATAATACAGTGAGTGCAGTATTTTGAATTCCAAAATTCAAATTAAATTTTACTCAAAACCTAAAATAAAATTGTAAATCTATCATGATCGCAAAGTTTCATGGGTATGATTGAACCAAATGATATTGTCACAAAGATCGTGCAATAAGGTAACATTTGCACGATTCATTCCATTGCTCTCTCATTCATCGATCACATTTGGCTCATCTTGGTCTTCGTTCGCAGCTGTTCCCACACTACTTGGCTTCCTAATATTATTCTTTCTGAACTTGAGATGATTCATGAGAGCGTAATTGTAATGAGAACATTTTTTAAGCGCCTTCTCCTCATCTTCACAGCCATGCATAAACGAACTTTTCGATAAACACTCCTTCAATTCCTTTTCTTGGTTTTCACAAAATATTTCTCCTACACAACTCACAGCCTTCTTTTTAAAGTCATCACAGACAGCATAATACTTCTTTCCTTCTTCAATTTCTTGTTCTGCAGCCTCACTGAAGGCAACATCTGTCTCCTTCTTTATACGTCTTGCCTTCAAAAATCTATTGCACAATCCTAGTTTATAAAACCATTCCGAACACTTAGCATCACACTTCGGAATCTTTTCCTCTAAATTATATTTTCTATTTTCAATTTGCCAAACTTGGTCCAACACTTTAGTCTCCACAAAAACTTTGTTTTGCAAAATTTCATCTTTGCATTTAAATATATGATCTTTTGTTTCCAATGAATCCACACAAGAAGCAAGTTTGGATGCTCTCACGGGATCCAACAAGTGTCCAGTCAAACACGAGTAGTAAATATAGAGAGCTCTCCGAACCATCGTTGGACTAACTTCATAATTACTCATCTCGGCAACATCACTCAAACGATTCAAATACTCTTTACATGTGGCGTATCTTCGCTCACGAGTATCGTATAAAAAGTGTCCGAGACTATCATATTGACTGTAAAAGTGAAGAAGAAGGTGGTAATCGATGGATTTTTCCAGAGGAGGTTGATGAGAGGGTTTGTTTTCAGACATTTTTTTGAATTTACCAAAGCGTTCGTTGGTGTACAGGATCTTACTTTAGATCTTAAATAAAGAAAAATGAAATTTTGAATTCAATTTTGAAGCTGAGAAATTTGAACATTAATATATCTGAAAATCTTATCTAAAAACGCAGAGCTCATACTTGGGATTCAAAAGGCTTGTTTTTGCTGGAAATTTAAATGAAAAAAAATGTCCAAAAGAAGCATCAAAGAGTCGTTATCACTGTCGGATCATGTTGAACGAAAGAACCGAAAAATAGTAACAGAAAACAAACAAGAAATTTCGCAAGATGTATTGGTCAATGTCTTGTTCCGATTTTTTGACTACAAGTGGTTGTTTCAGACGGCAAGTTTGGTGTGCCGAGAGTGGTATGAATTGGCAAAGAAATCACAGTTCAAGCTCAACATTGTTCTCTCGAAAAATAATCATCAACCCTTTGTCAATTGTTGTGCATGTGGAAGATTAGAGTCCATTACCGAATTTGTTGTGAGAGAATTGACTTGGAAAATTTTACAAGAAATTTGCTCTTTCAATATTTCATTCAAATTTTTAGAAGTTTTAGATTTATCTCACAATCGTATTGGAGATGATGGCGTGCAAATATTATCCAACCATTGCAAAGTGTTTGAGACGGTAAAAATTCTTAATTTGAGCAGTAACAAGATATCACACAAAGGAGCTCAATTACTAAAGGAAGCAACATTTACAAGGCTCACGCATTTGGACTTGAGTATGAATCCTATTGGGAACGAAGGATGCACGCATATAGCCAATATGGCATTTGGTCCTTCGTTACTGAAACTCAAGCTGTATGATTGCAACATCAGTGACATTGGTATTAAGAATTTATTGAATTCTACAAATTTAAATTCTCTTACATGGTTAAACTTACGATTTAACAAGATTGGCCTTGAAGGAATTCAATATTTAGAGAACAACGGTCACATCATGTCCAATCTTACCAAGTTAAATCTTCGCTTCAGTCTTCAGCCCTCCTCAAAAGATTACATCAAAAAGAGTTCCCTTTTTACAAAATGCCAAGTGAAAATGTAATACCATGTAACCTCGAGAATGTGTCTTGACACTATGCATTTAATGTATGAACATATTCTTCTACGTATTCACGGATCGGGGTTCGAGTTAGAGAGGTATGTGTTAAAACGTTGATCGAATGAAACTCAAATTAAAAAAAATGTGCTGTTCTGAAACGTATTCCTTCTACTTTTTTGTGGTGTGTGTTGCGTTGAGTGGAATTATTCTCTACGATTACACAAGTCTCATGTCACCGAAATCAGGATATTTTCATAGGAAGGAACAACTTGAATCTAAAATTTATCAATCTTCGAACGGACCTATTCAATATCATGTTCACAATTTGGAAAATATTGAAAATATTAAAAAGAATAATGGGAAAATATTTCTGTACTTGTATGTGTGCGTGAGATGATAAATCACTTTTGATATTAATTTACCTCTGAATAATTTGTTGAACGAAATGAATTGCAATGAACTCGGATTGTTATTGATTAATTATTTAATATATTATAATAATATTATTATCATTATTAATATGGATTTATACAAAGGCATGGAACACCTGGAGGTTTCGAAGAAGGAGCTAATTTTATGAAAGCATGCCCATCGGATTGGATCATTGTGTCTCCTTCAAGAATTGGATACGGAAAAACGAATTTCACACAATGGACCAAATCAGAAAAGGAATCTATTGATTTTTACTTCCCAAAAGAAGAGAAATTTGTGGTGAATCCTCATGCTTTTGATGTGACTCAAACGAGACATTTATTGAAAATTGTTGAACTCGATGAATTGAATGTAAATGCAACAACAACAACAAATACTAGCAGTATTGAAACTAGTATTGGTAGCAGTGATATCCGATCGAACACTTCAGATTCCACTCCTTCTCTCAATTATCCCAAATTGAGTTTCATCTTGGAAAAGAATGCAATCATGATGATGGATTTAATGAATCATCTCTTTGGACGAAATACCAAATTCAATATTATAGCTGTTGCTGGAGGCGGCCCATATGGACTCGAGTTGGCTTCCAAAAATCCCTCTCGAGTGGAAACCTTGCAATTGTTGGCACCTGTTGGAAGAAATTTCATTATTGGTCGAGGCGATTCTCCCAAGAAAATTTCAACTCTCATTACTCAAGTGAATCATCGACAAGAACACCATCTACAAGAATTTGTTTTCAACAAGAAAGATATTTCCTTTAGGCCCAAGAGTGTGAATAACGATGAAAATCTTTCGTTACAACACGAAAATGAGGAAATGGAAAAGAAAATTCTCTCCATGGAGGTGGAAGAGCCAAAACCGTTCAACACAACTCTTGCTTTATCGGCCTATGTCATGGATCCATTTCTCATGCTTAGAAATAATCCACTAATTGTCAAATTTATGAGCTATTCAGTGGTTCGTTTGATGAAATGGTTTCCCAATGTCGCTTTCAGAATGTCAGTCATTAACACAGAACCTGAAATGCTTGATAAGAAATGTTTCGAACAAGTGAAACAAAGTTTTATGACTCATCAATTGATTGAGGGTTTACAGTTTAATGTTGGCATGATGGATAGCAAAATGAGAGGATACATTCTTGATTTACTATTGTTCTTGCAATTTTCAAAGGATAGAAAAGCACAATTAGAATCCATATCCATTCCAACCTTAATTCAAGGATCCATCTATGACAAGTCTGTGGATTTTGAAGATCAAGTGGTTTATATTTTCCAACACATTCCAAAAAGTACATTGATAACCTTTGGAGATTGTGGACAATTATTCTTTATCAATAATCTTCGAAAAGTCTACTCTTACATGGATCAATTCATTATGAGCCAAAGATCATGAACGACGCCTAGTCAAGATGTTTCAATCAAAATTTGAATCTTTTCAACAACAAAAAAATGTTTCAAAAATCATCTCCTATTTTTTCAACGAGTTTTAAAAATTTGTTATCATCTCATCATCCACATGTCTTTTCTTGCCGTAGCATTGGTCTGAAGAAGAATCATGAAATGTCAAGAGAGATTAAATGGTTCTTCTCTTGGATGGGTTCTACTCAAAACATGTCGTTCCATACATCGGAAAGGAATCCGAAGAGCAAGAGCACAACAAGAAATGAAGGGAGCGTTCATAAAAAGGTTAGAGCAACTTCCGAGCCAATGACTACTAATAGCACCACATCTGCAACAACAACAACAGCACACCAATCCACCACTCCCGCATTGCAAACTTCGCAAATAGACAGTACCTTAAAGAGCATGATCGACCAGTTCATGTCCTCACAGCCAAGTACATCAGAGCCTTTTGATCCGAGATATGAAATTGAAATTGTGAGAGCACAAATCAAAGAAGGCTTTACTTCCCGAAGAGGTTTTGACACGATTCTAAAGTATTATCACAAAATGATCGATTTATTGATGGATATCAAAGACTTGGAACAAGCAACAACGGAAATAGAATATTGTATTCAAATTTCAGTGGATGTTCTCGGTGAAAATCATATCAATGTGTTTCGAATGAGAGAAAAATTAGCATTAGTTTATTTCTATTCACAAAAATATGGAGAAGCTTTAAAAGAATTGCACAGCATGTACTTTGCCGCTTTTAATCTTGCCGAAGCAAATGAAGAACACTTTGATCTGGTGAGGGAAAGTGTCAATGCTTTAAATTATGTGACTTTCTTCACTGATTACTTTTATGGAGTTTTTTCACAGGAAGAACTTAATACAATACTCAAAATCTATACATCCAACACAGAACTCTCGTCCAAGGTCACTCTCATAAGTTTAGCCAAACAATTCCCTGAGTGGAGGCGATATGAAATGGCTGACAAATTTCTCATTGATAAACTCAAACGAGAAGAAAATAAGCTGTCCAGTTTGTCACTTATGAGTTACAAAGCAGATGCCAAATCAGAAATTAGAAGACAACAAGACCTGATCTTTGAAATTTTGAAAAAACAAGGATTTTTATACGAGTCTGAAAAACGTGTACAGTTAGCATTTCATCAATATGAACGAACTCTCACAAAGGCCATGACCTTTTACGGAAAGAACTCACTTCAAGTGGGTGAGGTGTTGGTGTCACTCGCTGCCATTGGTACACTCGCAGAAAAATTCGAAACCAGTATATCGTATGCAAAACGTGCTTGCGTCTTGCTGAATGCCATTCCTGACAGTATCAACAAGAAGAATCCTGAATATGAAGCAAAACTTGGAAAAGCTCTTATTACCATAGGTGAAATTTATTCGAATGGAGCAAAGGACCTTCCTGCCTCTGAAATACGACCTTATTTGGAGGCTGAGAAATTCATCTCGTCAGGAATGAACATTATTGACAAACATTATGGACGAGATAATCCCACATGGATTTTAGCTGCTTACAGTCTTGCTTCTAATTATGATTTATTGTGCTCTTGTATTCATGAGTTGGCACTGGAAAAAACCATAACTCAAATGGGTGAAGCTGGCATTCGACAAGATTCGGCAAATTTTCAAGTCATTCTTTCTGAGGAGGATCAAAAAAAAGTGAACGATTGGAGAGAAAAATCTGACAATTTATTCGAGTTGATTCGTGAAGTCATTAGCATGAGTCCTGCCAAATACTTGCTTAAAATTCCGCTTACCAAAGGTTCACTTTTTTTGGACGAGTTCATGGCCAATGATTCGAGAGCATTTAGACAAACGACCATTGCCAATGAGTATCCGCAACCTGAAATTATTCACGAGCTATATTCATCGAGTCGACAATATCACTTGGTTGGATCTCTAGAGAAGGGAATTGAACATTTGAGAAATGCCATTCAATTATTTGACCAACAATATGGTCCCGAAGATTATTTGTTTGAGAGAGAATTTGCAAGCACTGAACTTGCAAAGCTTTATAACATTACAGGGAATATTGATGAAGCATTGTCATTGCTGGAAAAAAGTATGGCCAGAATTGAAAAGGTGTTTGGAAAAGAGAGCAAACTTTATTTGGAAGTGAGTGATGCATTTCAACAAATTGCTTCTCTGAAAGGACTTTCTGAGGATCAACGACAAAAACATTTCCAAAACATTCTTGAAAAGTACAATAAGGATTATGAAGAATTGGCCAAGCAAGCTGAGAAGGAGATTGTGCAAGAGCAGGGAAAAGCCAAGCAAGAAAAGGTACCACAAGGTCACTCTACAGACACTACTACTGAGAACAGGTCGGAAATGGACCTTATCAAAGCTTCCTCCGCCAATCCAGAAACAAGTCCTTCTTCAAAGAAAGAATCATCATCATCTCTGAAAAAGAAACCTTCCAAAAAGAAAAAATAATATATGAACGAATGAGTTGACCATCCTCACCTCACGAATCATCATGAAATAGTCAAAGATATATACACACAGAGATAACAAGATGTGGTTCACACATTTCACAAAATTTTTGAAAGTATTGCTCAATATCCAATAACATCCTTATTATCTGTTGAGGATGGACCAATGACCTCCGAGTAGTCGTATTTTGTTTTCAACTCCTTGTCTCTAATCCTCAGTTCCACTCCATGTTTTGATAATACTATAAAGAACGTCTCTCGTTCAGAATCATGATTCAAGTAAGGACCAGAGAAGGTATATGTATTGCCCTCGGTCACAACCTCGATGTTGTCAACAAACAAGTTTTCTCTCTCTTCAAAGACGTGTGCAACGTTCACTGGTAGTGTGTGAGTTTCTTCATCTCGATCTTCTCCTTCTGCTGCTTTGAAATAGACCGTGACGGCACAAACGGTTGGTAATTCGTTGGCTATACGGACGCTAAAGAGCTTTGGTTGCATGTTGTGGGTCGTTTATAAATTTGATCAAGACGGACTTGTGAGTATAGTAGAGAATGTGTAGCGTTGTTTGGATCTCTCAATTTTTTATTATTTTCAAAGTAAAATGAATGTAAGAATCAATTAAAATGTCTTTTTGCTAAAAAAGTAAGCATTCTTGGAGTCTTTTTAAGGCGATTTCATCTGCAGTGAGTTGGTACAAGTAAGTCACACACTAAAAGTATGTAGTTCAAAGAAAGATCGTAAAAAATGGGTAAAAAATGGTTGAAGTCAATTCAAATGCATTGTCTTTCTTGAGAGGTTCTTTGAAATTGCACACACGTTGCTGGTTTTAAAACGTACCGAGATGTGAACTCTATCACTCCAACCAAAAAAACAAAAAAAATGATTCCATCGAGCACAGAACGCCTTGTTGAAGATATTCTTGACAAGTCGGAAAGTTCAACAGATGATGATCAAACGATCGAACCAACAACCCAATTCGTTTCCAAAGATAAAAGAAAAGGCCATTCGGGAGTCTTTATTGAAATTGGTGAACGTATGAAAGCCTATGAGAAGAATCAAGGACCAACACTCGCACTCGACAAGCCATTCATGGCCCGTTTGGATGGTCATAAATTCTCAACGTTTGCGAGTCCTTTCAGAAAACCCTATGATGATTTATTGCATGCTGTCATGATTCAAACGGCAGCAGATTTGTTGGAAGAGTTTACCGAAGCCACTTGTGCCTACACTCAATCGGATGAAATTACTTTGTGTTTTCCAAATGTCAATCATCCAATGGTCAGTAATAATGATGATTCGACAACCTTGAATTCTCAAACACGACCTATTGCATTTGGAGGCAAGGTCACCAAATTGTCGACACTTCTCGCAAGTTATTGCTCTGTACGATTTAATTTTAATTGTCAGAAATTGGCACCATTATGGCCAACTAAGGAAGAATATATGGAAAAACAATGTCCTGCCAATCAAACTCGAAAATCCTATAATCCTGAACAAGTTCAAAAAATGTTGACAAGAGGAAAAGCTTATTTTGATGCTCGAGTCTTTCAAGTCGAAAGTAGTGATGAATTTGTGAACAATATTCGATGGAGATCGAATTATGATTGCGAGAGAAATTCACGAACCAATTTGGGAGCATGTTTTTTCAGTACCAAAGAAATGAATGGACTTCGTGCCAGTCAAGTCGTTGAAAAATTGAAAACAGAAAAACAAATTGATTGGGAGTCTTATCCTATGGGTTTCAAGTATGGTACTTTTATCAAAAAGACCAAGTATGAGAAGACAGTACATGTAGAGAAAACAGGTCAAACCATGACTTGTATGAGAACGAAAATGGATGCATATTCCTTTAAATTGGACTCTTTTGATCTCAAATACACTCCACTCTTTACTTTGAAAACTTGGAATGAAGTATTTGAGGCAGGAATTTTGGATGAGGCCAATCTTGAAAAAGAGAAATTATTTCGTGACCTGCTTACAGAGCAAGCATCAGAAATGCAATAATATTATTCAATGACTATGATGATATTTTTCAATTTGAACACCCCTTCTTTTGCGGATTTAATACAACACATTCTCATAATTTATTGTAACGTACATTTCATCAACTTGTTTCCTTAGTGTTAAACCAATAACACACGGAGAAAACTTGAGCTTCGGAAAATTGTTTCAAACATCTCCACGATCGCACAAAGAGGAAGAATAAAAACATTGAAAAAAATGTCTTCATCATCGTCATGTCGCAGACTCTCCATGCTGCAACAGCACTTGTTTCCTTCCTCTTCTTCATTGGGAACAGTAGGAAATTTTAATCATCATGATCAGTCAACTTGCTCATTTTCGGAACATCACGGATTGGAGGAATCAATGATTGGATTTAATGAGACTTCTGCTTCTGTCAATTCATCAACAACAAAGAGAAAGGCAGTGATTGTATGCGGAGCAAGAACACCTTTTGTAAAGGCATTTGGTGATTTGATGGAGGTAAGCATATCGATTGAGATCGCACCATTCATCTCTAAATACACTCAATACAACGCTTTTGAAATTCAAAAATAATTCTAAAACCGTGGAATGATCATCCGACCATGCTAACCTGTATTGTTTCAAATCTCACCGACCCATTATTTATGTAACTATGTCACAATCAATGAAATGCAACAGGTGGACTCTATCGGATTGGGAGTTTCTGCCGTTGAAGGTCTATTGAAAAAGTCAAAATTGGACCCCAATCTTATTGATGAAATTATTTGGGGAAATGTTGTTCTCAACACAAAAGCTCCAAACGTTGCAAGAGAAATTGTCATTGACTTGAACTTGCCAAAGAAAATTACAGGTGTGACTGTCAGCAGAGCTTGTTTGTCTGGTTTGGAAGCAATTTTGCAAGGCATTCGGTTGATTGAACATGGACAAGCTGAAGTTGTTGTTGCTGGTGGGTCAGACTCAATGTCCAACGGAGAAATGGCTCTTCCAAGGTTTGTTTCAACTCGTGTTGTATTATTTTGTTTATCAACCATTAACTTCTTGACATGATTTTCGTCCGCTCTAAATCTCAACAACTTGGAATAGAAATCTCACATTGGCCTTGGGTAAATACAATTACGGAAAAGATAAGGGAACTATGAAGGGGTTGATCCAATTGTTTAAGGACGCTGGATCTCCATTGAGCTGGATACCAACTCCACCTGCCATTGCTGAAAGATCTACCGGTAAGGTAAGTGTGTGTCCTATGCTTTGTTAATTCTTATTTTTGAACCAATGAACAATATTGGAATTTGTCAACGTTGTGAATTTTTTATTCTCACCTTCAACATATTCACAAACCTTTCGAACGTTAATGACCTCTTGTTCAGACTATGGGATATCATGCAGACATGATGGCAGATCTCAATAAGGTAACCAGAAATACTCAAGACGAATTTGCAGCACAATCTCACAAAAACGCAGCCAAAGCAAGACGTGAAGGAAAATTAGATGAAGAAATTGTTCCCGTTCGATTGAAGAATGGTAAAGTCATTTCCAGAGATAACCTCATTCGTGAGGATAGTGATGCATCCAAGATGAGCAAATTGAAGCCAGTCTTCAGAAAGACCGGAACTGTGACAGCTGCCTCTTCATCCCCTCTGACTGATGGAGCCAGTTGTGTACTTGTCATGAGCGAGGAAAAGGCCAGAGAATTGGGATATCCTGTTGACATTAGAATTTCATCGTATGCCACAACTGCAGTTGATCCATACCCACAACTTTTACTTGCTCCAGTTTTGGCATTCCCAAAGGTTTTGGATGGTGCTGGTATTACTTTGGATCAAGTGGATTTATTTGAAATTCACGAAGCTTTTGCTGCTCAAGTGTTGTCCACTACAGCATGTCTTGCAAGTGATGAATTTTGTCAAAAGAGGCTTGGTAGAAGTAAGGCCATTGGAGTCATTCCTCCAGAAAAGTTGAATATTAATGGTTCCTCAATTGCCATTGGACATCCTTTCAGTGCAACAGGTGGAAGATTGGTCACTTCAGCCATGAACGAATTGAGGAGAACTGGAAAAAAGTATGCCATTCTCTCAGTTTGTGCTGCTGGAGGTCTTGGAGGTGTCGCGTTAGTGGAACGAGTGAGTGACAATAACAAGCAATAGCTTTTGATAACCACAATAATAACACACAAATAACTTATTAAATTCAAAGATTTTGTCAAAGATGTGAACGTTATGACGTGTTCCGGAGGCTCTGCGTGCAGACAGATTGTAAAAAAATGGCCATCCAAAAGAAGACCAAAGATCCAAGAGAAAAGGAGAAGAAGAGAATTGAAAGACTCCAAGAGAAAGTAACACCTCCCGAAGATACAGTCAAGAGATTTGCCATTCTGATTGGAGGAGCTCTAGTTGCTTTCATTGCTCTATTGGGTAGGTTTTATTTTGATGATCATCGTACAACAACTAATTTCCTTGTCATGGATTTTCATCATCACGCGATCTTGTGGAATTATTGTCTGATACGTGAATCTTCATTTCATTGAAATACATCATGTCGATTATTGTCCACATTCAAAATCATCACAACGTTGTACCATTGCACTCAACAACTCGCGTGTGTGTAATCTTTGATGGTCCACACATTTTTCTTCTTCATCAATTCTCATCATCAATTTTCAAATCATATACATTGAATGATGGATCATACACTCAACAATTACAGGCCTAGTATTCTTACTAAGTGGAGAAATTAAATACAAGAAGACTGAAGAGGGTCTTCCATATCCTGTCAAGCTTGAAGTCACTGAAAAAGTCTTTTTCGATATTTCTATTGGTAAGCCTTCGAAGAGAAATCCACCTGTGCGTATTGTTCTTGGTTTATTCGGTAATGCTCAACCAAAGACTGTTGAGAACTTCCGTTCACTCACAACTCACGACAGACAAATTGGATACAGAGGCTCAATCTTCCACAGAATTGTACGAGGATTTGTCATTCAAGGAGGTGATATCACTAAGGGAGATGGTACAGGAGGAACTTCAATTTATGGACCATCTTTCGATGATGAAGATTTAAGCATTGAGACATTCCGTGGATGTGTTGCAATGGCCAACAAGGGACCAAACAGCAACAACTCTCAATTCTTTATTACGATGGCTCCAACTCCTCATCTCGATGGAAAACATGTTGTTTTTGGACGAGTGTTGAAAGGATGGGAATTCTTGCAAAGATTGGAACTTATCCGAACCAACCAAAATTACAGACCTGCTGTCGATGTTATTGTCGTGAACAGTGGAATTTATAAGGAGGAAATGCAACAACAAGAACAACCAATTCCTCAAGAATAAATCAATCTCATGATCTTCAATGTAAGAGGTAGGTTATTTTTATTGTACTTGTGGCTTCTATTTGTCAAATGCTGTACCAATGTACGTGCTGCAGGGATCTGATGGATGTATGTTGAGTTTTTTTTTGGTTCAAACAAGTTCCTACCACTCAAGCAACTGTAGATTTTCAATGACAACGATTTTAACGACACACAACAAAAAAAATGTCTTCTGCATCTACAACAGAGAAGATTAAAATCACGTATGAGAATAGTTACATGGGAGATATCAAACTAGCTCACATGTACGTGGACAATGTATCGGGAAAGTACATCTATCTCAAATTTGTATTCACGTTGGCGAACATGTTCCATACGACCGTGGAAGGAGCCCAAGACTCTAAAACTAAGGAATTTTCCTTATTCTTGTATCCCGGAGACACAAAGGTTTACCTTACAAGCTTTCCTATCGTTGATCGATATAAGAGTTGGAAGTATAATTTCATGTACAATTACTCGTTTGCAGATAAGCCAACCGAGTCTAGAGAGATCTATGATGGAGTTTTCTTTGAGTGTTTTCATATGGGCTTTGGAAGTTTGATTGTTGCTCTCAAGAACAACAACGTCATTTTGAACAATCGAGGAGGCGATCGCCATGTTTTAGTCAAAATTAATTATACCACCCTTACCAATTTGAAGCCTAACAAGGTGTATGATGACTATGTTGATTTGTACGACTTGAAAATCCTGAATGAACTTCAAATATTGGACAAGCAGGAGAAGACCACTTACAAGTACAAGTATTTCGTTAAAAAGCCAGAAAAGCCATTGACCGACGATGAGGCTGGCTCTACCCTCTTGTCCTACTACTTTACGAATGTATCTAAGGCTCAGGCTCTTGTAGTGGAGAGGAGGGAGCTGAGCCCTGGTGTCTTTGGTGTGTTGGAAATGACCAAAGAAGGAGTTGCTGTGTTGAGCATTGAGAATAACAACACTTCGAGTGCTGTGATAGTGTACGATCTAAAGGTCATGGGAGGAGAAACAACGTTCATTCAGGAGAATTTGAGTAGTAGTAGCGATATATCCAATCCTCAGATTGTAGTATTTCCAAACGAAACGAAAAAACAACTGGTTCGCATTAAGCCACCAAAAGGGCTATTTCAAATCACATACGATTGCAAGGTGGCTGAAGGAAAAGTTGTCGAAGAGAATGAGGTCAAAACTTCACTGTTTGTATATGGATACTACTTCAAAGTATTCAATTGTGTTGTATTGGCTGTCAAGAATAATTGTGACAAGGCTCATAATTGTTACTTTTTCATGAAACAGCTAGAAAATTGCAAGGTGGTAACCGAGTACAGTGACCAGCATCGAATGACGGTGCTGCCCTTTCACACCAAGTTGTATTCTTCCCTTTATTTGATTGATTCAACAAAGCCATTTGTGTATTCGTACGCGTATCAAATCAGCAGAGTTGTTGAAAAAGAAGATTCACTAATTGACTTGAAATCTATACACACAACTTCCAAAACCAACAGCTCAAGCTCCATTCAATCCATTGCATCTGTACAGGCTCATACACAGGCGAACGATTTACATGCTGCAAGTGTGGACAAGGACTTGAAAATTGCATTGGAAAGTATTGAAAATTTGGCCACCCAAAGTGAAGTTGTGAAACATCAAATTGCATCCAATGAGAAGTTTGTTGACAAGGACTTCCCTCCTCAAACAGATCCTACCATTTACGAGCCATCGTTTTCTGGAAAAAGAATTGAAAATATTAAGTGGGCTCGCGCCTCAGAAATATTAGGAAAGTCTCTAGAGGTGTTTTGTGATGGAATTGAACCTGACGACATTAAACAAGGGTCGTTGGGAGATTGCTGGTTGTTGTCAGCAATATCGAGCATCTCTTCCAAACCTTTACTTATTGAGCGCCTCTTCACAACTCGAGTACCGAATGAAGCTGGAATTTACGAGGTTAATCTTTGTGTTGGAGGTGAATGGACTAGAGTTATTGTTGACGACTTTTTCCCAGTTCAAGAATGGAACAGTCCTCTTTTCGCTCACAACCATTCTGCTGAAATATGGGTAATGTTGTTGGAGAAGGCATATGCAAAGGTTTGCGGTTCCTACTCAAAATTAATTTCGGGCTTTGCCGATGAAGCATTTGAAGATTTGACTGGATGTCCAACCTTTTCCATACGTCTCAATTCAAGAGACCCCTCTTTTAATGCTCAAAACATTTGGAACGAATTGTGCGAGTACATTCAAAAATCATACTTCTTTTGCTGTTCCACACCAAATTCACCCAATTGCGAAAAAGTTGGGCTCATTTCGTCTCACTTTTATACCTTACTCGATTGTAAGGAAGCTTTGAATGGAGTAAAATTGGTAAAGCTACGAAATCCATGGGGAGGTAGTGAATGGAAAGGAGATTGGTGTGACGACGACACTAGGTAAGCTATTTATTGGTGATTTTCATGATGTAGCTCAATATGATATTCCAGATGGACCAAAGAAGCAAAACTCGCCTTTCAACACATGGCATTTATGGACGATGGAGTTTTTTACATGCCATTCAACGATTTCCTAAACTATTTCATTAATGTAGTTGTTTGTAAATATGACCCCAAGTTCTCACGAAACCAAGTGAAGGTCGTTTGTAACACGACCAATCAAGTAGGATCATTTGAGGACAAATCATCATATCCAATTATTGAGGTGAAGTTTGATGATGATCAAGATGAAGCATTCTTTGGAATTCATCAAAAGGATCAACGTTACAAGGACGGTCCAACCATTGCTGCTGGCATTGGATTCATCCTGTTAGATTCTACAGGCTCTGTGGTCGGCGGCTGTCCTATTAGTAGCTCGAGATCCTCCTTTACCAAGACCTAACTCTCAAAGCTGGTACATACTTTATTGTACCTATATGTCATGCAAGAGAAAGTATCAAGTCCTATACGATCAGCAGCCACACAACTGGTAAAAGAACTTCGCTAAAACTGAGTGACTTGACCTGCATGACAAGCGGTGACCAAGCGTTAAGTTTGCTCGATGTTTATTCTTTAGGTGTCAAGTCATTAGGTATTTCCAAAGATACACTTTTAAAGGAGGCCAAGGCAAACCTCACAAGTTACAACTGGGGAACTTCGATGGTTTTTGCTACCAACCACAAGAAAACAGTTTCTGTTGAAATGTCAGTCACAAAGAACAATCTTGTGAATGCTGTGTATTCTGAAAAGTTTGACCTTAATGCCACCAAATCGAGCAAACTTGCATGGATTGGTTATTGTGACTCTCCACGGGATGGTTTCTCCTATTCTTACAGCTTTGCTTTTTCTTACATGTATTAGAAGTATTTGAATAATATGATACTAAATTATTATTCAAAATAATACTTTGAACGGATGGTTATTGTGGAGAGTCTTCGGAATCACTTCTTCTATTTGTTTCGATCAATACAAAAAAAAACACGTGTTTGAAACACCTTCGGAAATGTCGAGCCGCACCATCTCGTCATCTTCATTTCAAAACTTTTGGCTTCTTCTTGTCACTCTCTTTTTATCCTATCTCTCCTATCATGTGCTCATCCAACAACGATCCGAAATTGATCAATTAAAAAAACAAGTCTCTTTTCATCGGAATTTGTGGAAGCAATGGTTTGAATTTAAAATTCAACAACGAGGAGTACAAGTACGAGGAGAACGTCAAGTACAAAAAGCAAGTACAACCACTCCAACAGCATCCTCATTGGACACTTTGAAAGCACTCCCTCCTGGATGTCAAGACGAAGCCATTGATCGACAATTCTTGCTCGAGATGGAATCTTACTTTTGGAATAGAATTGCTCAAGAGGAGAAACGAAATGTGTATTTATATTGTAATTACATGACAAGTAGTAGTAGTAGTAGGGATGATACCGATGCTTCTGTGGTTGCCTTTTCCAAATCTTCATGTGAACAATTCGTTAAATTTTTAGAACATGAATTACCTCACTTTAATTACACCATTTTAGGAAGAGATGAAAGAGTATTGGCAAGTGAAAATGATTACGTATTAAATGTTGTCAATAGCATGGATGGATTAAGAAAACTGAAAGATGTTTCCGGTAGCTTGATTGCATTAATTTTAAATGAATGCTCACAAGTCATTGAAGTCAAAGATTCCGATGTGGCCACTGTTTTAGAAAATAATTATTTGGTGAAATTTAAAACGAGTACACCTGTCACGCAATCCAATGATTTTGGAATCAAAACTTGTGATGACTCTGTTTTGAAATTAAATTATTTTGTCATGAAACAAGAAAGCAAAGAACAAGATTAGAAATTGAACAGCACGTTGCCAATAAATAAGAGTATGAACTGAGCTCGATGGCATCATGTTACAGGGTTGACTTTAAAAAAAATATAAAAGCAATGTCTTATGGAATATTTAATATTTTCGACACTCCTGCTGAAGAAAGAGAATTTTTAGCTGCGACGGACAAGGTATTCAAAGAAACATTGAAATTCAATGCGAGAGAATTACCACCTTAATCGAATTTAAAATGGAACGGTTGGTTTTGAAAACTCAGTTAGAACATGAATCCTTTCCATCATCAAATAAGACTGGCTCCGAGGTCTTAATCGATGAAGATGATGAACCCGTAATACTACAACGATTGAGCTATTATGATCAGAAATATCAAAAATTGAAACAGGAATTGCATGATGAGCTTTTTGGAAATTTCATGCATGCTCCGATGTTGTTGTCAGGTTCTTCTTCAGAGTGTCGGCATGATGAGATCGTAGATCAAGTGAGGCAAAAACAACAAGAATATGTCCAACGAACGGAGCAAGCAAATAGTATCATGGCTCTCAAAGAACTCTTGGGTGAATTGTTAATAGATCAATTCCAAGCCTTTCCAATGACGGACGATGATTTTTGACTGAAAATCATTTTACGAAAGTATCATTCAGAGACCACACGCGGAAGAGTAACCTAGGTCTTTACGAAATTAAGAGTGACACACACTGTGAAACTCAAGCGAGTTTGTTGAGTCTAGCTCCTTGAAAAGAGGAATGGGTCACCAAATAACAATGGCTCTCGTATTTCCTCAAGTACTCACAAATTCTCGCACAACTCAAATTTCACCAATTTCAAACAGGTGCAGCAGTTCCACCACGCAATCGACGTAAATGAATTTCAAATTTAATTTTAACTTGAAAAAAATGGGCGTTAAAGAATTGTGGAAACTTTTACGTCCGGCTGCTTTCAGTGTACAAAGCCTTGATATTTTATCGGGTAAAAGAGTTGCTGTGGATATAAGCGTTTGGTTACATCAATTCATGCTCGGAATGGGTTTAGAGGATGATGATTCAATGTTTGGAGGATCTGGTAGTGCGCACTTGCACCACCAAACTTTTCAAGTAAGATTCCTCCGAGCATTGTTTAAAAGAATTTGTAAATTATTGTACTACAATGTAAAACCAGTGTTTGTGTTTGATGGTGCAACACCGTTAGTGAAACAAAAAACGTTACAGAGGAGGAGAATGAAATCGACAAAACAAAATTTTAGATTAAAGAAAGCTGCAAAGAAATTATTATCACGGGTTATACAAGATAGCGTCGGATCATCATCGAAAAAAAGGATAGAAAATATGAAAAAACCAAAGATGAAGAAATCCGAAGAGAGTGACGAGGAGGAGCCTGCATCCTTTAATTTTGCATTACCTTCTGAGAGTACCGTGCCTGTAAAGACAGAAAAGACAGAGGATACACAATCATTGCTGTGTGACGTTCGAAATTATGAGATTAATACTGACGAAGAAGAGTTTGAAGAAATACCTCCAGCTTCGAACGATCATGAAACCTCATTCGCTATTGACATTGATCTGGAATCGGGTATTGACCCAGATGTTTTTAAATCGTTACCACAAGGGATGCAACAAGAAATTTTAAAACAACTAAAGGCATCCAAGAGACACAGCTCCTTGTCTCACATTAAGGAATTGAAAGAAAAAACTCCAGAAAGGTTCTCATCAACACAGCTACATTCATTCATTAAGGGAAGTGCTGCTTCGATACAATTACAACGGTTAATGAAAATTACTGAAAACGAACAATTAATAGCCTCTCTTCCAACCAATCAAACAGGAGAAAGTTCTGCTCATGGAACGTCGCAACACGATCAGATTGTTGTAAAAGATGAACCTCAAGAAGAGGAAGAATTGGGATTTTTCCCTGAGGAAGAAAATACGTTGTCAACGCCTCGTTCGTCGTCTCAGCTTAATTTAACTCCTTCATCAACTGTGGTCCGAGAAAACTCTCGAGAAGAATATCGAATATTAGCAGGTGGTCGACTTGCTTCAAATCCAAATCAGGGATTTATTCTCATGGAACATACACCTCCAAAAGAAAAACAAGTTTCTCCACCAACCAATACAAAACGAAGTGAATTAAGCCAAGAAACAATCACTCGATTTAGTAATTTTCTCTCAAGAACAGAGAAACCTATTCAAGAAACGGCCACCGAACCATCCCAACCAATCCGTGACAATACAACGATCCATATTGTTGATGATGAAGACAATAACTGTGAAAACAATGCATCGGCAGACGAAAATATTGAAATAACATTTACACTAAATGGCATCACAGAGGATGATATGCTTCCAGATTCTATTTTCTCAACAAGTGTAGAGCAAGATAATAGCGATGAGAATGAAAATTTGTCAGCTGCCATACGGAATATGAATGAGGAATTACGAGCATTTGAAAAAACAACTAGTTCTGTAAATAATACATCCTCGTTCTCGAATCAGGAAGAGGACGATGAGTTTGAAGAAGTCAAGAATGAGATGGTCTTGGATGAAGAATGGGAAGATGTACAACAAACGAACCGGGCACGACAACAAATTGTAGAAATTATTGAAGATGACGATGAAATTCATGAATTCGATAATGAAAAAACCAAAAAGCGACCATTTCCCGCGATGGAACAAGACGATATTTATGAAGAACACAATGATGACGACGATGTCATTTCCATTCATTCAATAGAAAACAATGACGAATCTTCGAATGTATCAACTCCAATCACTGCCTCTCAAAGTACTGTGACCACAAAAGATGCAGTTTTTGAAGATAGCTTTGAGCGATCCTTTGAAGATGAACAAAGCTCTCTGTTGCAATTGAACGTTCCCATGATTAGTCAGGAAGAAGTCTCCTTGCAAGATCTCAATGCTGCCAGATTTGAACAAAATCTCTTCGATTCTGACTATCCAATGATTGATCTTTCGAATGCAAACTCCAAAACTGCAAATTTATTTCTGTCACTCGTGGAACTTGCAAAGGAATTATTGGCTCATTTTGGTATACCGTACGTGATGTCACCTTCTGAAGCAGATGCCCAATGTGGATTTTTATGTCAGAATGGACTTGTAGATGCTGTTATTACTGAAGATTCAGATCTTTTCTTGTTTGGAGCCAATTGTGTTTACAGAAATGTTTTTGGTTCTTCGAATAAGAATATTAATAAGAATACTATTGAGGAATACAAGATGGAAAATATTGAAAAAGAGCTAGGTTTTAAACGTACACATTTAATCCAATTAGCTTTATTACTAGGGTCTGATTATACAGATGGTGTACATAATGTTGGAAAAGTGACAGCAACACAAGTACTTGATGCATTTAATCCTGAATCGTTTGAAGACTCAGATTTGGATGATATTGATCAAATTGTTTATGGATTGAAGGAATTCAAAGCTTGGGTAGCTGATGATACATATAATATAGGACAAACAGAAAAATCATGGGGACATAAGGGAGACTTTCAATACAATTACAGAGGCTCGAAGAAGAAATTTATTTTCCCAGATACATTTCCAGATACTAAAATTATTGACGCATATATCAAGCCTACTGTTGACAATTCACTCACAGAATTTGAATGGGCAGATATTGATGATCCTCCCAGCAGTAGTGATAGTAGCAAAAGTGCTAGCTCCAGCAAGAAGAGTGGAAATAGTGTAGCTGCAGCATCTTCTAGCAAGCAACAAGTGGATAGCAGCGTCGGCTCGAGCTCACATGTCAAATTAAATTGGGACGCATTTTACAGATTTTGTGCTGAGAGAATGAACATGGATCAAGAGGAAGCCGATCGACATTTGAAACCAGTGCTGGCCGAACGAAAGAAACGACAGGCCCTCAAAAACAAAAAAGTAGAGGAAATGACTCCCTTAGAACGATTTATTTATGAAGCTGAAAAAAAGAAGAAAAAAGCAGCCAGTATTGAAAGTAAGAGAGTGTTGAATGCAGTTGGATCGATTAAGAACAAGCAACAAAAAAAGAAACAGAAAAAGAAGTGATAAATCCCATGTAAAGGTTGCATTTCTAATTTATTGCATAAAAGTACCAGTGATCAATCCCAATAACAAACCAGTCACAATATCATTAATTGGTGTTGCTATTTGGCAAAGTATTTGCTGCTTCCGTGTTGGAACCTAGTAGATGTTTCTGGAGGAAGGCAACCACTCTGTCTTCAAAGTCATTTTGCAAATGCCTGTGAATACATGAATGAGGTGCATCTTCGACAACCCAAAATTCTACATGCCCAACAGCAGAGCTGCGAATAATTTCTGAATGTTTAAAGTGAACAACCTTGTCCGTCTTGGAATGAATCAATAACATGGGTTGTGACATTTCTTTGACAGCTTCAGCTGTGTGATAATGATTACCCATTCTAAAATCACACATTCTCCAGTTGACCAATACTGAAACAACCTTAATAAATGATGAAGGAATATAATTGCCGATGACTTCAATCACAGATGACATGAATTTGGGTAATTGATGACTCCAACCGTTCTTGTATAATGCTACTTCCAAAACGTCTCTAATTTGCAAAATACGATCTGCGAAAGGATTTTCTGCAATTACTGCCTTAATTCTTGGATCTTGTGAGGCTGCAATAATCGATGAAGCACCTCCTGTAGAAGTTCCCATTACAGCAACCTCCAAGTTGGGAATGATTCCTTCCAAATAATCGACAGCTCCAATTACACCCATCCATTCACGACATGCCAAAGCACAACCATTATCGCCATCACTCACGCCATGATTAATCATATCAAAGAGAAGTATGTGAACTCCTAACTTGTGAATATACGGAACATGTTCCAAGACATCTCTTCGGTCATAGAATGCACCATGAACGAGAATGACTGCCTTATTTGACTCTATATTCGATGCTGGAATGTACCAAGATCGTAATTTCATTGAGCTATCAAAAACAGATGAAAATGTGACATTCTTGTATGGCAATTTGAAATCAATCCAAGGATCATTCTTGTATGGTAGAGCCTCAATATAATCAATTAAGCGTTCTCTGTGACTTCCCTTCATTCCCTTCTCATGTTCCAAATTCGCAAATGGAGGATGCACCTCAAGATGAGAATTTAGAAGAGATGAGAGTTCTGGCAACGAAGTGGATTGAGAGAAAAACGAAGAGTCTTGCTTGTTGGTTTCCATTGGATTGGATGCTACATGATGATCAGATTTCAGCAAGTGAAAACGGGAGACATCAATCATTCGGTTTCCACTGTGTACTAAACCAATACCTACTCCTCCTGCAGTGCTACTATGAGGTCTTGCTCCCAAATGATTTTCTTCATCACTATTTCCCATAATGGTATTATCTGGAAATTGCATTAATTCTTCTGGCATATTTGAGGAGTGAGTAATCTTCCGATAGGTATCTCCATCCTTGCTCATCAAGATGTGTTGCTTGGAAGAGACTGCCATGTATGCCACCGGATGCATGAACAAATTGGACAATAAGAAGGTAATCATGGCCATGAGAAAGATGCTCGTACTCACCGAGCAAACCGCACACGAAGCAACAAGAGTAGCCTTCTTCTTCCTACCCCCTCCTACCATTGGATTTGGAAGATGAGAGAGTAATTGTGGTGTTGAAGCTGACCTTTCCAAGATGGGCGTATCATTTTGCGTTTGTTGTTCTTGCCGATGATGAGAGGTGGATGATTCAAACCATGAAAAGGAAAGAAGTCTTTTTCGTGTGGTGGTAGGTACGTTTGTTGTGGTTGCTCCCGAACTGCTCGGAATTAATGATTGAGTATTTGTTTCATCGCCCGGTGATGATGATGATGGTATCTTGGGTTGAACCGTTTGCAACACATGATTGAAAAAGTAACTCAAATCTTCATGACTCCAAATATGAGGGAGTTGGTGATTGGTCTTGTTGCTGCTGCCTTGATGAAGAGCTGAATTATTATTTTTGGATGAAACATGGTTGCTTAATGCTTGATGGGTCATGCCGTTAGAAGTACTGGTAGTGGTGCTGCTGTTGTAGGAGCCAACGCGTTGATGCCATACACCACGACGGTTGTTGCTGTTATGATTTCTAGTGTTGAAATTGGAGGAGTGATTTGTATTGCTGGTCGATGTGGTGGTCGGAACAAACAAAGATGACGAGGAGGAAGCTACCAGAGTAGCAGCTGATGTGGCTGCTGAAGGATGAAGCATTCTTGTTGTTGTTTATATTACAATAGAGTAAATATTTAAATAGATTAATTGTAGAAGTTGGTTGAGTGGTTCACTCACTCGCTTGAATCATGCGCTTGAGGGTAGCGTCCAATAAAACCAATTAATTTAAAGAAGGATTTAGAGAATGCACGAAAGACTTTACACTTTTGGTATCTCTCTATAATTACAATAATGTACAAATAAGGGGATTTCTATAATACAACTGTGAGGTTGTTGTCTGGTTGAACAACTGTGATTCGTGCGCACTGGCTTGGTCTAACGATTAATATTTATAACACTGTCATGCAAACGTTGATGATACCAATGCAACACTGGATGTATTTTTTTTCCTGGTCTTGTGTTTACAAAAAAAGAATCGTTTCGGCGAGATAAAATTTGAACGAACACCAAACTTCCGATTTCCTCTTGCATTACTTGGAAATGGACGCAGACAATGGAGTTGTTACGGAAGTATCTTCAAAAGATGTTCCTTGTAGTGTCATCTGAAGTTGGCAATACCAGGAGAAATACGTCCCATTCCATCAACATCCTAAAAAAATGGGGTAAGTGTCAAGATACAGTTTATTGAACGAATCGTCTGTAATACTTGGTTCTATTTTATATTTTTAATAGGCAAAGTCCAAGTGGGAGAGAAGATGCTGGTGATGGTAAGTGATTCCGTTGATATATTCATTCGGAAATTTATGAAAGATCATTGAATGAAACATCTTGTCCTTCCGCATGTGCACGAATTGAATTACGTAAAATATCATGAATTTTCAATATAATTCCATATAATATCCATCATTATCATGATTAAACGTTAGACATTCAAAACTTTTGGCAAACCGACCCCAACAGCACCGAATTGTCATCTCCCGAACTGAAACAAAAGAAAAACTTTCTTCTCAAATTATTTAAAATTCATCCCGATCAATTGTTGAACGGACATGTGAACACTCCACTCTCACCCACAACAACAGCCACTCTCAAAACCTTTACAAGTAGTTTGGATCCCAATCAATTAAATATGGTTCAATCGGCATCCATGATGGCATCACGATCAGCTCTTTCTAATATCATTGGAAATTATACTATGGACGATGAAGAAGATTTGACATCAGTTGGCTCATTTGTGAGAAAATCGGAAAAAGCAAGCGAACCACTCGTCATGAGAAACGTCAAGGACTTTAAAAAATTTAAACATTTCAATAGGATTACATGTTTGAAAGTGAATAGAGATCGAGTGTGGACTGCTTCATTGGATAAAACAATTTGTTGTTGGGATCGAGAGACTGGAGATTGCATCAAGCTATTTCAGGGACATTCCAAAGCTGTCACATGTTTTCATATTGACAACAAAAATGGCTTACTGTATAGTGGCTCGTATGATCGATCAGTTAAAGTGTGGGACATTGAAACACAAAATTGTGTTCAAACCTTTGATTCTAACGAGAATTGGATTTGTTGTCTTGCTGTTGGAAATGGTTATTTGTTTTGTTCTGGTTATGATTGTGCCATTTCTGTCTATGATGTGAAAACTGGAAAGAAACTTGCCAAAATGATTGGACATTTCAAAAAGGTGGAAGACATGATTTTTAATCACTCTGAGGGAATACTATACACCACTGGTGCAGATTGTACGGTGCGAGCATGGGATGTATCTTCTCTGACCTGTGTCAAAGTTCACCTTTGCAGAGAGTATTGTCACTATTTTGCACAATATGGAAATTGTATCTATGTGAGCCAACCTCAAAACATTTATTCATTCAACGTGGAGTCCAACAAATCGAATCCACTGCTGGTTGGAATTTCCAATTTTTGCATCATGACAGAAGAGAATGCCGAGGATGGATCCTATTTAGCTGGGTGGAATAAGGAAAAGAGACAATTCGAAATTTATGATTTGAATGAGCTAACTCTGTTGCATACTCTTCCTCAAGATAATATTCTGGATGCAACCAACTTGTACGGAGATTTATCTTGCAATCGACTCTACTTTACATCAGGGTGTTTTGTAAAATTTATTGATGTTTCAGTTATCTACAATGCAAAGAATAGCATTTCTTCACTGAACAAACCTGTATATATGCAATATGAGGAATTATTTAATTATTTTGTGGAAGTTCTATTTTATCCTGTAAATAAGGTGGCAGATGCCATCGAACAATTAGATTCCACACAACCTTTGAGCGAATGTAAAAATTTAGATGACCAAATTGAACGACTTTCTACCTACTTTAAACAACAAGTGGAGAAGGCATCCAACGAGAGCTCTGCTTCACTCATTTCACTACAACACTCATTTCACAACACAAGTCATCACTCGCTGCAACAAGACGACGTATACTACATTTCAAAAGGGGCAGCTCAATCATATGAATCTTCAGGAAGTATCATGACTCCCAACAACGACAAGGTAACAAATGATCATGACTTTTTCATACCATTTCAACGCAACAACAATTCTATTTGTTTTGAACTCGCCGTAGTACCCCAAAACGTTATGAGTATTGCTGAGCGAATGAAAGCAATTGCCAGCTTGTGTCTTGATGGATGTAACAACACCAATTCAAGCAATAATAATTTCTCAATTCCATCAGTGATCTATACAGACAGTGAGCGAGAACTGGACTATGAAACACGAAAAGAATTATTCTATCACAAGTTACGGCAATTGAAAGGAGAGGGCCTGCTGCAACCAACTGTCGTGTTTGTGCGGAGAGAACAGCTTGTTTATGATGCTTGCAAAAATTTCTCCATTCTCAAAGGCGTTGATTTGATGAAACCAATGTTTGTTTATTTTGCTGGAGAGCAAGGTTTCGATGTGGGAGGAGTTACAAGAGAATTCTATCATTTGTTGTCACACAAAATTCTAGATCCTAATAATGCCTTATTTGTGAGAACTGGGCATGCTAACACTTATCATCCAAACCCTACTTCAGCTGTCAATGCTGATCATTTACAATATTTTCATTTCATTGGTAAGCTCGTAGGAAAGGCACTCTCTGATAACAAAATAATGGATACTCACTTTTCCAAAGTAATTTTTAAACTTATTGTTGGAAGACCTGTGACATTTGAAGATTTGGAAGCCGTAGAACCCACCATGTACCTATCTCTCAAAAAGATGTTGCTCTTGGACAATATCGACAGTATTATGGAAATGACCTTTACTGCAGATTTGAACGATTTTGGTGAAAACAATGTCTATGAATTGTGTGAAAATGGAGAAGAAATTGATGTGAATGATGACAACAAGTATGAATTTGTTGAAGCTTACGCTAAATGGAAATTAGTGGAATCGGTACGACCGCAAGTCGAGAAGCTGCTCGAAGGAATTTACGAAGTTATTCCTCCCGAATATCTTACCATTTTCAATGAAAGCGAATTGGAATTATTACTTTGTGGAAGTACAGAATTTTCCATCTCTGAATGGCGACAACATACATTCTACGAGGGTGGATTTGAAGAACATCATCCTACCGTACAATTCTTTTGGAAAATGCTCGAACAAGAATTTTCACACATTCAACAAGCTCAGTTATTACAATTCGCGACAGGAACGTCCTGTTTGCCATGTGAAGGATTTTCTGGACTCTCTCCACCCTTTACATTGTGTTTATTGAGGCATCACGTTTCAACAGAATATTTACCAGTGGCTCACACTTGTTTAAATCGAATTGATATTCCACCATATGAAACTCTTGAAAAGATGACTGAAAGATTCAAGAAGGCATTGAGATATGGCGGTTCACAAGGATTTTCCATGCATTGAGGATCCATCATGGATTGATGTATCATCATTACTAGTATTGTCCCATAATCTCGCTTGTTCAATTTGAAAGGAGACACAACAATTTTGATAAAGGAGTCCTTTCTGAAAAAGGAAAACAATTACGTCGAAAAAAGATGACACTCTGAATTTCTGATTGTTTCAAACTTGACAACTTGATGATCAGTCTCAAAAATAACAACCATTCAACACCTACAAAATGCTTACACACAAACCACAAAACAACGACACGTATCTCGATCGCTCATCCTCTTCTACAATTGTCTGTCCTTCCTCCATTACGACACGAACTTTTGTTCCATCGAGTAATAGTAGTAACAGTATTAGTAGTCACTCAGTGAGTTCATCTAATGAATTCTCAAATGTATCCGATCTGTTAAAAACATACAATAACTTTGAAAGTTTTATTCAGCAACATGATGGAAAGCAAAGATTGAAAGAATATTTAGAGTCGTTACGAAATGAAGAACAATTATTGTTTGTGGAAATTATGGAACCTTTTATGACTCGGAATCTTGAAATTCTAAATAAGGAAAATATAAACTCCAGTTCGAGAACATGCGAACCATCACTTCAGAACCAACATGTGAGTACTAGTACTCGCGATTGGAGCGAAAAGAGTAATAGCTACTACTACTACTACTCGGAATTGATCATGAACCAAGAGAATGAATGGCCTTCCAATGACATTATTATGGAAAGTGTGAAAAATGCTTCTCGTCATCGACATGGTCATTTGCAACCTTCTTCTTCTTTGATGAATCAAACCATGTTGATGAATTTGGACATCAACACAACGAATTCTGAAGGAGAACCTCATTGGACCAGTTTATGTCAAGTTGTATTCACACAATTTTTAAAAGATGACTCTCCTCATCAATTGAATGTGAGTTCCAAGTTGAAAACAAATGTGAAACAAGCATCTCTATCCAATTGTGAACAAGAAGCCAAGAAAGCTCTCACCACTCTCTACCATGAAGTATTATCACAAATGAAAGAAGAAGCATTTCATCATTTAAGAAAAAGTGAAGATTTTAAAATTTGGATTCTTTCGAAGGCCATTGAATTTTCTCAAAAAGCAGAACAATATTCAGTTCAAACATTTCTTGAAGAGAATGAAATGGCAGAAAATTGGCCTCTCTTCAAAAAGAAAAAACTATGTACCATGAAAGATATTCGAGAAATGACAGAGGATGATTTTAGAAAATTGGGTGTGAAAAAATTGGGTCATTTGAAGCGATTAGTGAGGAAAACGACTGAACATTTCATGTGTTCTGTTCAGTCGACGAGTTTGGCGAATCAATAAAAATTCCAATTAACAACCTTTGTTATTCTTGATTGGTCATTATTGGAATGTATAGGTATAACTGGATGCAAGGTCAAGAGACACGCGATATTTATAGTTTTGGAAATTCCACTCGATAATTACTAAATTCAAAATCGGTATGCACATTGTGTTCATCATTGGTGTGAAATGCATGTTCCAATACACCGCTCGAGTTAAACATGGCTTGACAGATTAAACCACTTTCATTATTGGAAGTACCATTACTACTTCCTTCCTCGACCTCTTCATGATTACCATCTTCTCCATTGTTACTAATCTTCACATATAAAGGTTCATTATACATGGTTGGTCCATTTCGTTCCATATCATACCAAAATCCTCTCTCAATCATTTGTAATTGATATTTGAGTGATTTGTGATCATCTAAATAACCATTGGGTAAATATTGTTGAATGATGGATGTAAATTCGTTAAATACTCGTTGATTGGTAAATGTAATACTACTATTGCTACTACTACTATTGTTGCTACTACTACTACTTGACCAAGTATTTTCTCCTCCCATTCGATTCAATTTCGATATTAAAGATTCACTTCCAAATTCAGAGACACATTTTTCTAATTCTGGCATACCATTCAAAGATACTGTATTTCCACACACTCCACAACATTTAAATAAATCCAAAAATTCTTTCACATGAGATGGTAAATCATGCAAACATTCAATATTTTCCAAAATTGTTTTACAAAAAGTAAAACCATGAGCATGTAAAATATCAAAATCTTTTTGTCCATTCCAATAACATGCCCATTCGGATAATTTCGAGAGAAGTGATGCAATTTCATCATTTCCTTTCACTACTTTTGCATCATAGAAAATGACATGATGTGCAGTGACATTTTTCACATGTCGCACGACAGCCATTCCATAACGAGTCCATTCTAAAAAGAAAGGTCCAATAATGAGAGCAGGTGTGTAGGCAGCGTATTGAATTCTAGAGCTTAATAAAGTAATTGAACACGATGACGATTGGTGAGATTGTAAATCTTCTTCATGGTTGGAGGAAGCTTGTTGTAATAATTTGACATATTCTGCAATTTCATCAGAATTTAAAATTCGAACTGCAATTTTGATTCTTAAAAAACTAATGTGACTCTTCTTATTCTCCAAAATGAGATTTTTCAACAATCGAGCTGGATTTAAATACTTGTATGAAAATCGAGAAGGAATGATTAAATTTTGAGTAATTTCTTGTAAATTCAACTGAGAAGGAGTAACGAGTGAATTCTTGTTGTGAAGTGATGCATGATGGTTTTGATTACTATTGCTGCTGCTATTACTACTATTGGATTGTAATTTTTTCAGTTCATTCACTCGAAGTTGAATCATGGATTCAATTTTAGCATGGCAATAATTATAATCTTGTTTTTGATTCAATTTCATGCTGTCAATCTCATAGGGTGGACATTCTTGAACATCATCTTGAACAGCCAATGATGAAAACTCACTTCCCATCACATAGGAATGATTCAAATGAGAGGACAAGCTGTTCGAAAGAGGAGGATTATGATTCAACACTACATTCGAATTGGATGAATTTCCCATTTCAGAATTTCCTCCTTTCAAATCATTTAACAATTCATTAATTTCAGAAATTAATCCTTCACTACTACTACTGCTACTACTCGAATAGTTGGATATGGATGCACTCTTCGAAGAAGGTGAATTGAATTTGTGTGAATTTGTTTGTGGACTCGTTGAAGAACTATTGCTTCTCATGATAATTGCTCCTCTGTGAATACTTGGATCTCTTTTCTTATTCAAATTATTAATCAGGAATGACCCTGTCAAGGAAGTAGTCGGTCCAACAAAATGCACTTCTTCGTTGTTTGAGCCAGGATGGCTATTGTCACTTGTCACTGGTAACACTGTCACTGGTTGAGTTGGAACGGATGTTGTCAATCGAATAGATTTTCTAATTTCATCTGCTGATTGTTTGGGTTTGTTTGGACACTTTTCCTTTTCTTCCATTTGTTTTTGTTTCAATATTTGAATATCTGCAAAGATGGATTTTGCAACTCCGGAAGGAATTTTCGAGAGATTGAGATCTGATTCTTGTTTTAATTCCATCAATGAATCTCCATTCCATTTCTCTTTTTTCAATACTATTCCATCAATATTATTTTCAATTATTATTATTATTTCCAATTTAGAAGTATATATTTTGTAAAATATTTAAAATGGAAATACTTACTCTTGATGATTTTCTTCTTGTAATTCTTTTGAGCGAGCCAATAGGCAAAATCATCGACTGTCCATTCATGAATGTCAATATCTTCGACGTTGTACATGACACTCGTTGAAGAATTGTCTTGATTTCTACTTCCCGAAACGGATTTGAAAAAACCTGGCATGATGATGCGGGAAATGCCAAATGTCAATATGAACGAGGTGTGTGGTTGTGTTACAAGGATGCAATTGGTTGATGATGATGATGAAAATTCATTATTCAAAACAACACGGCAGATGTCAAGATATGGATTCCAACAATTTTTTTCCGTCAAATGTCGTCAAGATGACCTGATCTATGGAAATCCCACTTCCAAATGGCTGACTTGGAAAATGAACGCTTCTTCTCGTGCTGTTACTCTTCTCCAAGCGAGTTGAATGATTTTTTAACAATTCGATCAACGTGTGTTACAAATAAAAATAATTATAAAACTAATTGAAAAGCCATAAAATAATAATTTATTGAAATTTAAAAAAAATGGCTTATCGAGTAAGAAATGAACGTATTGAACAGGCTCATAACGACGGAATTGTAGCCATCACGTGTGCCAATACTGGTTCCGATAGCAAGATGATTCTCGTAACTGGTTCTTTGGATTCTTCCGTTAAGGTTTGGAGGCAAGATACATTGGAATTGGTTTTGACTTTGGAAGGACACCGATTGGGAATTGTATCGGTGGTGAGTGATCCGACTGGAAAATGTAAGTGTGTTTGAGTTGTTGTTGTTGTTGAATATAAAGAATTTAATGAATTTTGATGAATTCATCATCATGGAATTTTCTTTAAATTTTCTTGAATCAAAAATGATGAAATATTGGGATCGTGAATGATTTTGGGACCCGCATTAGTGGTTGCAACAAGTTCAATGGATTCCGTCATTAGAGTTTGGGATATTGAGAAGGGAAAATCTACAGTTGTGATTGAAGCAGCTCCTCGTAGGTATTTAACTTTTTTATGTTAAGAATCAGAGATGATATTAAACCATTGAATATGAAATTGTGTACGATTTTGGACATGAATTTGGATTGACACATTGACATATATTCATGGATTCTTTCGAATACACTCACCATATTTCACTCCCTTGTCTGATTTAACATTATTATTATGAAAACTATTTTACACCTGATAGTGGAATCATGGACCTTAGCTTTCAGCGCTGATGGCCACCATTTAGCAACTGGTACTCGATCTGGAAATGTCAATATTTTCAATGCACAAACTGGAGAAAAGGAACAAAGTTTAGATACTCAAAAGAAGACATTTATTTTACAAGTTGCTTATGTAAGTGAAAAATACATTGACAACAAGTTGCGGAAATATTTACAATGTGTCAATGGATGTTCAACACTTTTATGAATTGATTGTCATTCTGATCATAGAGCAAATGTGGAAAGTATTTAGCATGTGGTGGAAATGATGGCAGTGTTTGTGTTTTTGATATTTCAACTTCCAAATTAATGCACCATTTGGAAGGCCACTCTATGAGTGTAAGAAGTATTGTATTCACCAATGATTCACAAAGATTATTGACTGCCTCAGATGATAAGCACATTAATGTGTATGATGTGTAAGTCGTGTTGATTTGTTTTTCACATTATGTTAAATAATTTACAACACCTATAACACACGAATTCGAAAATGATATTCAATGGTTCATCAATGGATTCCTGATACAACAACCTCAACAATGACAGTAATTCTGGCTCACTTGTGAAATCTCTGAGTGATCATCATTCGTTTGTGTTGAGTTTAGCAATGTCTCCTGATTCTCAACATTTTGCATCAAGCTCATCGGATCGACAAGTCAAAATATGGGAATTATCAACATTGGAATGCATTCGTAGTTTTGAAGAACACAAAGATCAAGTGTGGGGTCTTGCATTCAATAGCGTTGGTGATGCCTTGTTCTCAGTTTCAGATGACATGTCCATTGTGCAATATATTTGCCCTTTGGATGCATCTAAATAAAAGTGTCAATAGTGAAAAACATTCATTTCTAGAAAAGGAGATGCAAAAAATCAAGCCATAATTCAGATTATTACATTCATGTAGTGTTGAAAAATTCAACATATTTGAATCTCTTTATATTCCAAAAGGAAATTATCATGGCCATCAAATATATATATTTATATATAAAAAAAACTGTGTTTCACCCAAAAAGTACATTATCATTCGGGTACTAAAATTAAACTCAAAAAAAACATTTTACATTGGTGCACCACACACAACAACAACCGTCAAACAAACACACCTCTCTCTCTCGAACAATGTCTATGGATCCAACGACAGATCTTGAATTAGGAAAATACGTACAAGAAGAAGGAAATGATGATGATATTGATACTCCTTTGAATCCTAATGTGAATCCACAACAAGTAAGCTCTTCCGAAGATCATCAACCAATTTTATTACCAAAATTCAAAGCAACCATCATTGGTACGGAAACTCGAGAGGAAGATCCAGAACATCAATCTCTCATTCATGATAATCGTTATACGGTCTATGAAATTAAGGTTGTCAATGAGAATGATGCATCCATTCATTTTGTATTTCGTCGTTTCTCGGAATTTGCAAATTTGAAAAACAAGTTAGCAGAAAAGTATCCCGAGAGAGTGAAGGAAATTGAAGCCATGGAACACATCTTTCCCAAATCAACATGGTTTTGGACTAATAAATTATCAAAGGAAGTGGTCGAACAAAGACGAGAGAAATTGGATGAATTACTCAAGTTTATTTGTTCCGATTCGGTTTTCAGTGGCGACGAAAGGTTTTATGAATTTTTGCAATGCGACATGAAAATGCTGGAGAAGGCACTAGGATTTTTCAGAAACAAACTCTATCATTATCAACAAAGTAGAAAGGATTTGAAAGATAAGCAAGAATATGAACGTTCTCAAGAAATGGTTAGACAATTGACAAGAAAAAGAAGTGAGAGTTTGAGCAAGATGAAGGGTACACAGAATACCAATTCAGCAAGCATGGTTCATAATCAACATCATCATTAGTAATTTTGTAAAATAATAATTAATAACTTGGTACTATTAATTTTTAAAATTCTACCATGTTGCTGAATATTAGTGATTGAGTTTTCAAACTTGGACATTGTGACAAGTTGATCATGAGCAGTTTTCTGTTGAATTGTCACTCAATATTGAATTATCCTACTGGTTAGATGAGCCCTTGTCTGATGCCTTGACAATTAACATCCCCAAATCCACTTCATCAATATGATAAGTATTATTGCAATATTCACACGTGGAATCAAAAGTTTCTCTTCCTCCCTCAACAATTTCTCTTCTCATATCACATAATTCTTCCAATCCAATATGCGACACAGCTTCCAAGACCTTATCTTTCGAACATCGACAATAATAATCAATTGGTTTGTATCTCACAGTAGATGCATCCTCTGGCACAAAAAATTTGTAAAATAACTGATCATGAATATCTTGTCGGGTCACAATTTGATCCTCCAATTCCCTTAATTTTCGTTTAAAATCCTGTAATTGTTCCTCAATAACGCTCGATTGAATATTGGCATTGATTGTATTGTTGTATTCGCTCATAGGCAACCGTTGAATAATGACTCCATACGATAGCAGAGGCGGTGATTGTGAAATACCACTGTTAGTGGAAGAACCTTCTTGTGTCGTGCTGTTTGCTGCCTGATTTGGTTTACACACCAAAGTACAAGCAGTAGGTATTTGTTCAGACTTGTCAAAGAATTCTTGAAAATCTCTCCTTAAATCTACATTGTCTTCACCTTGCATTAATAAAGGCAATGAACTCATGACTGGCTTTGAATGTTCCATCAAGATTCGAGACACTGAAAATACAGAATGTAATTCATCATCCACAAAATCCTTTGGATTTTCCTTATAGGAAATAAATCCTCTCACCTCTCCAACTTGAATAGACTCTGCTACCACATGATGAATGGTTGGATGATCGGAATGTAAATAAATTTCTAACTTAATTCGTTCCTCTCCTTTCAACAACGAACTCAGCAGCATGGAAGCAGAAATGCATTGTCCCATCAATTGAGAGGCTTGATGATGAGTAGGATTGGTGTGAGGATTCAAATGAAAACGAGAAATGAATGATTTGAGTGAATCGGAACTATCAATGAGACTCACTCGGAATCTTCCATCACTGCTCATGAATGATTTTACATAGTCTCGTAATCGAACTCGTTTTTGTGTGCTTGCTGTTGTTGAGGAAGAAACAACTCTTTGGAGATGATGCAAATTTGGTTTGAACATTTTTTCATCTGGTGGCGCATGCAATCCAGCAAAGTTAAATTTCCAGAGAACCAAAGCTCCAACACACATGAACATAATAATAGTATGATTGAGAAATAACACTTTTACTGACAACTTCTTGTCCAAACTAAAAAGAATTCAATTTAGAACTTCTTCTTCTTATCCTTCTTATCATTGCTAAAATCATCTCTCTTTCTCTTTGGTTGGGTAGAAGCATCAGCACTTTCATCGTACTTGGCATTGGCACCCTTCACTTTGCCACGGTGATCCTTTGAACGATGTTGTTGAGAAGAATCAGTTTGTTTTTGTCCCTTCGTGAAAGCAGCACTTGAGCCATTGTTATACTTCTCCAATTCACGCAAACGTTTCTCAACAGATTCTCTCGAGTCAATTCCAATGGTGGCTTGTTCCTTTTCACCCATAGCATCCACACGGGATGAAATGGCACATTTAGCTGCTAACACTCTTGCAATTTTACCCTTGTACTTTTGTGGAGCTTGACCAATCAAGGAGGCATGATAGAGCAAACCATACTTGGGTGTGTTGTGACGAGACTTCAAAGCTCTAAAGAATGCCTTCTCAGCACCCAAAATTTGAACAGTACTTGCTGGATGTTTTGCCAAATTCATCAATGAACCTGCATGAGCAATTAGACGAGCTCCAACCAATTCTCCAACCAAGTGTGTCAAGTTTGGTGCAATAGCTTGCATTCTATTTTTCAAATAATCAAAGAGAGCTGCTCTGTATGCTGTAATACTTTCTACTTCTTCAGCCAATTTAGAAATGTGAAGAATGTCATCTTGTGAAATTTCAGTACCCATAGAAACGATAGCTGCTTCCTTAACTTCATTTGCCAAATCTTCTGGTAACACATCTGTCAATGGTGCCGTTTGAGCATTGTTTCTATTTTGAAGTGTTAAAACAGTCTTAATATAAGCATTATTATCACGCAAAATCTTTGAAAGTTCAGGGAAATGCCATCCATACCATTCCTTAACTCTCATCACATAAATATTCAATTCTTTATCAATATCATCCAACAATGAAATGGCCTGAACGATCATTGTATCAATCTTATCTGGTGAGAATTTGAGTTTGTAGCGAGAGAGTGAGTGAGAAAGACCCAAAGCCATACTTTGTAAATCCTTTTCTGTGGCAACATCTCCTAAAAGATTACTCAAGTTGTTACGAATACCTCTCATCAATGCAACGACAGAGTCATCACAAATACATTGAATGCCAAGTTTGTTTTTAATGGCTGCTCCAAGTGATTTATCACACACTGCCAATTTTGCTGATTCAGCTTCAGAGAGTTGCTTTTTGAGGAACTTTTTCAACTTTTTATCCAATTTTGATTCAACAATAGCTGTAGCTGCTTTGAGAGCCTCATTGGTATCTTTGAAGTTTTCAAAGGATTTGAGTTTGATACTATTTTGTTGTTGATATCATGAGAAGTGATGATAAAGAACGATACCATTTCATGTTGTTGTTGTTGGTATGATATATTCATCGGTGGTTGTTCATTTTGTGTGTACAAAGGTACGGAATAGCATCAATTGATAATGATGGTGAATTCACCATACAGCATCGTAATATTTCATCATCATGAATTTCTCGTTCCAACCAAATACTAAATATCAAAAAGAAAACTTACTTTTTATGAAGTTTAGAAGTATTGTTGAACATTTCATCGACCGAGGTTGGAGAGGTAATTTTACCCTCATCTAGGATGTTGAACAGGGCATAGCCTGCTGGTGTTTCAAAAAGGACGTACATGTTGCGGAGAGATGAAGTGATGATGGCAACAGGCTTTGTTCAATATTTTTTTGCAGAAGAATTTTTATCGAACCCTTCCAACATTTCTTTGAACACAACAAGGGATGAAAGAGAAGAAACATGTGAGCGAGTGCACATTCTTCAAACAAGAACAACATGTATAGCTATACATGGCCCAATGATAGAGGAAATTCAAGGTGCTTGACAATAATGTGCAATTTCAAAAATTTCACATTTAATTAGAGTCTCTTGATAATTTGTACAATATCTTCATCGAGTAATTGATGTTCTTTACCAACTCTCTGAGGTTGATGTTTAACAGATTGACCCCACACCCAAGCATATTTAAATTGTTTGATAATGTGTTTGTGAATTCTGTTACAAAAATCTTCAACTGTACTCTTGTCTCGTCTAATAATGACTGGGGCACTAAAGTCTGCAAGTTGACCCTTAGGTTTTGTGTATACTCTAATCAAATTCAATGATTCCCACATCTTTTCCAACAGTCCATCTAAATTCCATTCGTGGTGAGCAGAAATAGGACATGCATGAGGAATTCTGTCAATCAAGTCCAATTCTTCAATGGTAATTTGATCAATCTTGTTCATAGCATAAATTGCAGGAATATAAACACGATTTCCTTCAATAATATCAATCAATTCGTCAGCAGTTGCGTCACATCTAAACATAATGTCTGCGTTAGGACACTTGTATTCTGTGAGGATAGCTTTAACGATATCTTGGTTTAAATGAGTGAGAGGAACTGAGGACATCATATTGAGACCACCTTTTTCCTTCTTTTTAAATGTAATATTTGGTGGTTGTTTGTTCAATCGAATACCGAAACCCTCCAATTCATATTCAATCTTCTTTTTATGAGTGAGTGGTTTCAAAGCATCCAAAACAATCAAAATCAAATTGCAGGTACGTGCTGTGGAAATGACTTGTCTACCTCTTCCTTTACCATCTTTAGCGCCTTCGATAATACCTGGCAAGTCCAATAATTGAATTTTAGCACCCTTGTATTGAATCACACCCGGAATACAGGTCAATGTAGTAAATTCATAGGATGCAACCTCTGAGAAGGTATTTGTGAGTTTGTTTAAAAGTGTTGATTTTCCTACTGAAGGGAAACCGATCAATCCAATACGAGCATCACCCGATTTGTTTACATCAAATCCCTCACCAGCACCACCTCCCTTCTTTTTAGTCGACTCGGTTAAGAGTTCTCTTCTCAGCTTGGCAAGTTTAGCTTTGAGTGTACCCAAGTGGTAGGCTGTTGCCTTGTTCTTTTGGGTTCTTTCCATTTCATCTTCAATGTTTTTAATTTGTTGTAGGATGGACATTTTGTTATGATTATTACTAGTTGATGATGATTAAATAATTATTGTTGAAAAATCTTCTCGAAAGTCTTCTCGCGCGGAATGGGATGATGAACCGATACGTAACCAACAGAGAGAATACGCAAACAACAAATTTTTTTTAAAAACAACAAAAAACTTTTTACAATTCAAACTCGGATCTCGTGTCTTTGGTTCAATCGATTTCGAGACGATATCTTTTCTAAACAAGATTGTGATGTTATTATCTTATTGAATTACTTCATTTAGGGGTATTGTGTATTGAACTTGGATCGTCATGACGAAACAAGAAGAGTATGGTTCAATTCACAACTTTCTAAAACGAACTCCTTTTCGTCTGTTGCCACTTGTCAACCTGTCAATTTTTTTTATTCTCAAATTCAACAACAAAAAAACAGACAACTAGACCACACACAACACACACCCTTTCCATCTGTGTTGTTGTTGTGTTGCTGAATTTCATCCAAACACTACCAAATCCTTCTCTCTGTACATTAAAAAATTACGAAAATGTCATCCTCTTCGATGGCCATCGAAGACATTTTCAGAAGCAACAATTTCACCGTCTATCTCCTAAGCATTGTTTTTAGTTCATTCATTCTCGTTGTTTTCACCGTATTGTATTTCATTGTCCTCACCATTCGATGTTGTCTTCAACACAAAGTCGAAAAGAAAATTCGACTCGAGCAACAAGCTCGGGACAAGGAAGAATTACAGAAACAACAACAACAACAACAACACGGAAAACATGCTTCGAAACGTAAAACACTCCATTTATCAACAACAGCAGCATCTTCACCACAAGTGTCAACAAATGCCATCCATCAAGAGCGATCTTCTGCGATCATTAACATTGCCGATGATCATCAAATTGAAATTTCTAGAAATTCTCTTGCTCATTCGAATCAACATGGTGAGAGTGGACTCATGGTTCAAGGAGTGAGTATGAATGGAATTGAATCCATTACTGGAACAAGTAACTCGATGGTCGGTGGCGTCGGAGTTGGAGGTGTGACGACTTTATTACAATTTGATCCATTTGCGTATGAAGATGAAAGTGAGGAATGGACGTGTGGAGCATGGAACAAATCATTGAAGTGTTGGATTGGAATGGAAGTGTTGTATTTTGTGGAGAATGTGTTGTTGTTGTTTATGGCATATGCGTTGATTACTTATATTTCATCATTGGTGGCATGTAAGTAATGTGAATGGTCAATTAAGCAGTTGTAGGATTTAGTATGGAGAATTGAATTATTTATTTATATTTATTTATATTTATTTATATTTTTTAAATTGATTATTCATAACACTCTTTAAAAATTTGGAATATTGTAAATTTTCTAGTTCAATATCTTCACTGGGGTGCAGGTATTGCCATTAATTTATTTCTCACCATCCTTACAGTACTTCATGGAGTTCGTTATCGATTAATTCATGACAAACTCAATTCCATGGTCGATTTAGAAGAAGAAGCATCCAACGTCACTTCTCCAAACAATGACTATCGTGAAAGCATGGCCGAACATCACGAGACTATTCCAACCATTACGCTTAATCACGAATTATCATCCAACCATAAGGAAATTCAAAACAATACTTCTCTTGATCCAAGTGCTCCATCTCCTCCTACTTCCATAGATAGTCATCCAGCAGCAGCAGCAGCAGTTCACACCATCATTGGAGATTCTCAACAACAATCTTCACAAATGCAATTATCGACTCACACCTATGATCAAAATTCAGTGGTTGCTTCTTCTCCTGTTCCTTCGACACCATCCAATGCTGCAACCACTCATGGATACGATCAACAAATTGAATTAATGCCAATGAATACGAATGGTACTACTACTAGTGTCGTGACAAGTTCATTACAAACTCTTCCAACGAGTAGTAGTGAAAATATCAATTCTGGAAATACCAACAATATTGAAATGAATGTCACCGTTCATATGGATGAATTAACGAGTGTGAAACGTCAACAAACCAAACTCGTCATTTTACGACAAGAAGATGTCAATGAAAATGTGGATATTCACAAATTTAAATTACTCGATGGACCTCCAAAAGTCTATCAAGATGATCATCTTTCCACAACAGCTCCATCTTTCCACAAGAAAGAACGTTCATTACACAAACGATTGGCCTCTCCTTTCGAAATTTACTTTAAATCCATTCAATACGGAATTGTGAATCGATTCATTCTCTTCATTCTCTATTTAATTCTAGCCATGGTCATTACCATTGTGTTGACTTCATTCTTTTATGGAACTTGTATTTGTTTGAATGATTTTGAATTTTCAACCACTTTTACAAGATATGTCAATTCGAGAGAATCCCTTTCGGTGTGTGGAGAGAGAACCATATGTTCTCAAGTACTCATGCTTCCAGAAAAACCTCAACGAGAAATGATTGTGAAATTTTTCACAGAATCTCGACCTCAAGGAGTTTCTTTTGTGATTTATTCGAAAAATTCAACGCAATTGAATGCATTCATTCAACAATCAAGTGTTTCACAATTACTAGATGGAAGTGCTCTCTATAGTAATTTAACAGTTTTGAATTCTTTATTGAGCGAGGCAAATCGAAATCAAACAAATGTCGACATGTTGTTACAATTACAAACATGTAGTGTGGAAGATTTAAACGAATTTCAAGCAGAACTCATTCAACGTTATGTCCATACTTGTAAATTGAGTGCACTCACTCCACAAACGTCATACTATTTTTCAACATTTTATTTCACCATTGTTGAGAGATTATCGAGTGAATTTACAAATAATGTTACTTCCAATTACAAAACTCTACTTGTGAAAAGTTCTACACTCAGCAAGTGGACAACCTTTTCAAATATGATGGCAAATCCAATTAAATTTATTGTGAGTGGAGAAGTTGGATTTAATGACAAATCTCTCAATATGATGAAAGAGGCCATTCAAAATTCAAATCCATCTTTTATTGCCTTTACTGGAAATATTGCATTTGATAATGGATTTTTAACATGTTATGGAAGATGGGTGAAATTTTTATCGAGATATCAATCCATTGCACTTGATTCGAATAATAATTCCATTCCATTATTGACAGCTATTGGAAATCATGAAACATTATTTTGGAGATTTAAGGCCAATTCAGAAAATGATTTAAGACCTTATCGAGCATTTATTTTACATGAAATCAACAAGACGGGCGCTTCACAAGAATTTTCACACATGCATTATATTTTCAATGAAAACTCAACGACATGTTCCATGATGGTATTAGATAGTCATGTGGTAAAAAGTCATGAATCTCAACAATCGTTTATTGTTTCGAAATATTCGAGTGGAGTTGACAAGTATCGAATGGTCATGTATAATATGCCACTGTATCCATCAGTTTCAGATTTTGGTAAGTTATATTTTGTGTGTTTTTTTTAAATCAGTAGTTCAACCATTTTTTGCTTAAATATTATTAGACACTGAATTATCAAGAAATGGTAGAAATTATTGGTCACCTCTCTTTACCACTCACAATGTAACGCTTGCATTTGAGGGTTATGATCGATCGTACAAGAGAACAAAGGTGATCGCGGCCACAGCAGCAACAAACAATGGTGTCAATGTGTCGCCAAATGTGCTTGTGCAAAATCAAACGAGTTGCTCCTTCTCTTTAGGTACCACTCATGTTGGAGATGGCTCTATGGGTGCAGATTTAGCTAGATCACTATCAAGCGTTACGACATCTGTTGCAGATTTATTCTATACTCGACAAATAGCTCACAACTACAAAGAAGTAACTTGCGACGGTGTGAATGGAGTGAAAGTGAAAGTTTTTAATGATAATGGAGCTTTATTAGATTATTTTGAGAGATATTAATCAACCAATGAATAATCATACTACAGTACAACCTATTGTTGGAAAAAATTAAAATTGTTTACGGATTGTTTACATTACTTTTGTGCTGCGTTGCTTGATCGAGGGTCGTGTCTCAACTTGGCAAGGATGGACTTTGCTTTTGAGGTTGAAATAGATTGATCAATCAGCTTATTAATTAAGGAGGCGTTTGTGCCGAGAGTGTTTGTGGTTGGCGTTTGGGATTGTGACTTCTTTTTGAAAGTGTTTGCTGATGAAGGGGATGTACTTGGTTTTGTCTGAGGTTGATTCATTGTCACAGGCTTTGGTTTTGGCTGAATGCTCAAATCACCTGGCCCGTATGGAAGAGAAAATGATTGATATCCCATTGCTCGTTTCACAAACTTTCTCATCTTTTTTTCCACACTCTCGCTTCTCTGACGCTCTTCTTCTTCGAGCATAATTCGAAGCTTCTCTTCATCCATGTTGATCGTTGCTCTTTGAAGTATGTTGTGGTGGCTGTTAATCTTGTTAAAGTTTGAAGCAGTATTCATTTCAATTTGTTTGTCCTGAATTTTTTGGATAGATCGAAGCACTTTTTGTTGCTTTTCAACATTCAAGTCATGAATGTACATGGTCTCTGCTAGATCAATCATGGTTTGCGTTTTTTCAATAGCTGAAAGCAGTGTAAAAGATTGAGTTAGCAAGTCATCAAATACTTGAATGGAGCTCCTGTAGAGATGATCATAAGTTGCCTCGTCCATGTCAATAAATAGAGATGCTTGTTCTCTTTCAACTTTAACCCCAGAAAAAAGTGACTGTACAAAGTCGATTCTTTCATCTTGGAGAGCTTGTTTAGACTCTCTAAGTCGTTCCTCAAAAATAGCGTAATCAACCAAATCTGTGGTAACCTCAATAATAGAAATTACGTCATCTAATGTGTTTTTGATTGCTTTCAACTCCATTCTATCTAAATGATCGATAATGTTCAATTGTACTTCTTCTTCAACCATTATTTGCAGCAATTCTTCTTTGGTTGGTCCAAGCACAAGCCGGTCCACTTCACAAACATCTTCAATATTCACTTCTACATCGTAAACGGAGCATGTTGAGCGCTCCAAGTCTTCTTGCTCATTATTTTTCATGTTTTGCATGACAAGGTATTTCTGTTTCTTTGCCTCAACTTCTTGCGAGTCTTGAGTCTTGAATAGCTCACTCTTGTACTCTTTGAAACCTTTCTTTTTTCCAATAGTGTGGTCGTAAATCAACTTGGCATACGTTCGACCATTGGATATAATTTCTACAATTGGCTGTTTTGATTGAGCGGTGGCCAAATAGCATGATATAACACGATAGGGCCATCGTATCAGGGATATCGCCTCTTCTGCTCTTATCATTTCTTTAAGCCTACTATTATCAGTCACGTTCTTTCTCCGTAAATATTCATCTGTGGATGTGGAACTATCATTGAATATTGTATTGTCAAAAGATAATTGCTTGCGGATGGTGCTCATATATTGGTCTAGAAGAGTAGGATAGAACATTCCAATGTGAAGAGCTTCAAACGAAACTTCATCTCTCCATAAAAACCTGTACAGGTCGTTGGTAATGTTAAAATTAGTGTCAGTATCAATAAAAATGATAAGTTTCGTTTTGTCACTCAGTTCAATGACCTCATTCTTGTATAGCTGACCCAAGCTATCCTTTCCAATCTTCTTTTTCAGTTGAAGTTGCGACCTGAACATTTGTTTTTCAAAGGTGTCACATTGATAATCTGGAGTATCTTCAGTGACAACGCCTTCAAGAGAACGAATAGAGTCAACACCTGCAGTCAACAAGTCCTTGAGCTTTTTTGCATCGTATTTGTCTGCTACTTTGACAGAGGGAGTCATAAATCTGCATTTGTCTTCAACAATAAGCTGATACGAGCCATTGGGATCTAGTTTGAAATTAAAATAGCTCATCCACAATCCTTCAGAATATGTTTTAGAAGTTATTGATCTATAATAGTCTATTGCATTGTTGACCCATCTTGACCCGTTATAATGACTCTCTAACTTGTCAATAACAAAGGAATCATCTAAATTTTCGTACTTTTGATATTGTCTATATTCAAAGTCTACAGCATTGTCCCACTTGTACCCGCTTGGAACTTCAAATTTTTCATGTTCGACTTGCTTAACCATGAGGTAGTACAAAATATTTTGGCCCTTCATGGTAACAACCTTATCTAACAGTACTCCAAGGTCAGTACTGGGTTTTGTAGATTGATTAATGGCCCTATGTAGGTCGTTAAACCCTCTTATAAATTCGGTTCTAAAGACATCCATCACAACTTGTGGATTTGATAATGAAGGAGCAAGTTCAAGGATCGACTTTGAGAAAGAGTGTTGTCCTTGACGCATAAGCCATTGCCAATCGGGATGATCTAGCCTTTTTGCGGCTTCAATATGGTACATTAATCTTTCCAATTTGACAGATGGCAAGTTATCGTTACGGTCTGACAAAATTTCACCACTCCTAGTAAAGAACAGTACGCCTAAAAAAACGCCTGATGGTAGTTTTTTCTGAATAATCGATTCTCGCATCAGCTTTTCTTGTTGAACCTCTTTTTTCGCTTTTAACTTTTGTGATACAGGTTGGAAATCCTCACCAAATGGGACTATGACGCAAAAAAACCGTAATAATCATTAATTACACTAATTATTAGCTCAATTCAAAAAAATTTAACTTACCTTCTTTGAGTTTGGCTCTAGATCTCCAATATTCAATTGATTTAAAGCACAAATTGCCCAACTTGATTGTTTCATCGATTGTCTCATCGTTAATTTTCTTTGATTGCTTAATATCATGCATCAATTTAAGAAAAGTATTTCGCAATTCAGGCTTTTCGGTGGTTGTTGGATTTTTGAAAATTATTTCCAAAATGCGGAGACACTTCTCTAGTGTTGTTTTGTCCATCTTCTTCAAGTTTTTCTCAATATATGATAGAGCTTCTTGTAAAGCCGCATCTCTTTCGAATGGGTTTCTTGAGACGATGTGTAAGTATCTTAGGCCTTGCTCGTATTTACTAACAACAAATGTATCTGTTGTTTCTTGAATGCTCTCATCTACAGTTTCGAATGGATCGGCCTCAATAATGGATTTTACAACTGCTGGTCCGGTAGTTTCAGTAATTGGCTTGTAATATGAGTTGGCAAACTCAACAGAGGCAAGGCGGTAATCTGAGAGAATACGTACGGCATATTATTCAGCATAATAAACCTGTTCATCAGGTACTTACAATGCAAGTCTATTTCCTTTTTACTTTCAATTTCGTTATAGGCTAATTCCAATCCAACCTTTAGACGTTCCTTACTTATAGTAGGTGCTTGAAGCACTAGCTCTACACCGTCAATAATGAGAACAAACTTGGAATCTTTCTCATCATTTATATCAAAAAAGTCAATTAACGGTAGGGCATTCAAAATAACATTTTTCTTACTTCTTTCATGAATCGTTGCAAAGAGAGTTAGAAAAGCATTAGTAACATTGAGAATAGAAAAAAAAACATACGATTTTCCATCTTGTCCTGCAATGAACAGACAGAAGGCGCCAACAAAGTCTCGGGCTAAAATAACAATTCGGTCCTTCTTAGTTTTGGGCTATTGCAAGTAGGAAAAATTTTTTTGCTTGATCGCAAATTACATCAAATTACTTACTGAAACAAAAAGGCTGGATTTGAAAGCAGTGTGGACATGCACCTCTCCCCTTCCGGGCAGCACAAACAATTCTTCGTTTTCGATGATTAAGCTAAAATAAAAAATTAATTAATAAAAACTTACCGTCCTCAATTTGGTCGTCAAATTCTGTTCTCGCCAAATCTTTCTTTGAATAGTTTTGTTTGGAGTTCAAGTTCTTTCTGCCAATGAAAGATAGTTTCTTTACGGAAGTAAAATCTTTGAAATCCTCTTGAGAGGAAGTTCCTGCATTGTCCTGAATCGTTGTCATTGATTTCTTTGGCTCGTTGGTAGGAGTTGTAGGGCTATTGACCATCGTGGCAGCCCTCTTTTTTACTTTCTCATTGTCGTCAACAATGGTGACTTTCTTCAATTTGGATGCCTCAGACTCTGTACTAACAGTTGATCTGTTCTCTTGTAGACCCTCGTCCGATTGTTTGAGCCCTTTATGTGGACTTGTCTCACCAGTGTTGTCATTGGAAGCAACAATGGTGGACTCCTTGCCCTGCTGCTCTGTTTGTTCCTTTGTAGTAGTAATAGGTTGTTGTTGTGTTGGAAAAGATATATCCTTGCTTCTGGTTTCTGGAGTAGTTGGAGTTTGTTGTGTTGCTGTTACATTGCTCTTGGAGGCTAGATCTTGAGGTTTTGTAGTCTTGCTGTTTGGATCTGATGACGATGCTGATGATGATGAAGCCTTGTCTTCTTTTGCTTGCTGAGGGACTGAGGTGGTGTTAGGCTGTGTGGTTGTTGGAGTAGTAGCGGGAGGAATTGAGGGTGTTGAGGGTGTTGAGGGTGTTACAGGTGTTGAGGGAGGTGTTGATGGATCAGAGGTGCTTGCTGTGTTACTGTTGGTGGTCGGTGTTGATGCACTTTGCTCCTCCAATGACACATAATCAGGAAAGTCCAAATAACTTGCAAGGAATTGCTTGGAGCCCCAATGAAAGTAGGCTAACTTTCCTGTTCGTGGATCTTCCTTTTCTTGATAAATTTTACTATCATGATGATCATCATTAAGAATTGCAAGTCATGGAAATCAAGTAAATTGAAATGTACATACGTTCTATCGGTTCGATAAGGACGTGGATAAAAGTATGTTTCTTTAAACCTCACATATTCTGTTTTTCCAATTTTGAAGACATCCGGAGCTGTTTACCCAACGTATATGATGCACCAGTTATATCTTGGTTTGATTAAGGCTACATACCTCTTGAAGGCTGCTGCGAGTTGTTGTCCGACATCTCATCACACGATTTAATGTTGCAGCTTTGAAAATTTTTTTGCAATTGCTGTAACGGAAAAAGGTTGTGCTGCAAAGGAAATTCCTTCAAGATAACTTCATAGGAATGCTGGAGGTTTCTCTCTCGTCATGTTCATAATTTCGTGCACTTTAATTTGTTGTTCCATCTGAGTGATGAGCGTCGAGTTCTGAGTGATATGAGTCACATCCAATTCTGTTAACACATTCGAGTAAAAATTCAATTCTGCAAGAAAATATAATAATTTCAATCGAAGTCTCTGTTTTTGATATTTCAATGCAAATAAATATAAATTTGTGGCATCAATTCCGAGTAATGATTTTGAATCCGAGTTGTCACGACGATACAAATTATTTTCAATCATCAAATGTAAACCCAAATAATGATATTCGAGTAAGTATCGAAAAATTAAATTCTTTTCTTTTTCAAATTGATGTTTTTCCTTCAAGTGTTTTCTCACATATTTTGAAAATTGAACTTGGTGATTGGAAGTTGGCGTGGATGAAGCAACGAGATTTTGTTCAGTAGTGACCATTTTTTTTAACAACACCAGAGCGTTCCTTGCAGCCTTTTATGAATACCCTAGTATCTTGGACTTTATTGATAAGAGGTCAATATGGAAGCCATGACTACGACTACTCCTCCTCTGTTACAACAACGTGGACAACTGATTCTTTGCAAATTCCTTCACTTCCTTATTGCGGTCACCATGTAATTGTACCAGCTTTTTGCACAAATCAACACAACCAGACTTTTGTAAAATGGTTGCGTTTGAATCCAGCTCATTCAATTGCGCAACAAGTTTCAATAAGGACAAGCTCAATTCTCCATCATGATCACTATGTGTGAATGTTTGAGTGCATTTCACAAGTGATTTCATATCATCAACACTCACTTTGAAAGTCTCATAATGTTGAGCAATTCCTTGCAATATGGAACATAAAAAGATACATCCTTCTTTTTCCATATTCGTCGCGTCTTTCAACTTGGAAAAACATGAAGAAATTAATTTCTCACGAATATCCTTGGAGAGAATATTTTCAACCAATAATTGACGATTGTCCTTCTCAATGGAACTTCGTTTCATTTTGAATTGAGTGTGTGGTATCACAAGAGACAATACATGAAGAGTCAATGTCAAAATGTGAGGTGTTGTAGATCGTTGAATAATATCGAGTAGGGCAACATGGAAACCGAATGTGCTTGCGAATTGTGTTCCTGCACTCTTTGGATCATTCTCTAAATGTTTCAAGAATAAACTCATCATCATTTCATAGAGTTCATTATCGTTGAACTCGCTCAATGAGAGTATAAGGGTTCGAACGTGTGTATAGACTGTTTGTGAAGATAATTGTTGATCCGCAGATGTTTCACTCCATGCTTTTTCTAGAACACTTGGATAATACTTTTCAATTTCATACAAGAATTCAACACAAAATGAAACCACCCAACCATCATCGGCATATTTTGAGAGAGCAGCAAAAAAGAGACTTCCAAATTCTGTGGCTAACACTTGTATCAGCTTTTCTCTTGCATCTGTATCTGATTTGTTTCTGTAAATGGTGTGAATGACATTGAGTGTGTTTGTCACCAATTCCTTATTCTTTAAATTCAACTGAACGATATTCTTGAATGATTTCATAATGAGAGGGGAAGAGTCTGATAATTCTACAAATATTTTTGTAATATATTGCTGAATATTGGATGATCGCGTTACGGAGGTATTTGTTTTGGATGATGCAGAAAGTAGTGAAGACACACCTCCTTGCATGACCATGGATTTGGCCAATTCCATTTTAGCAATTTTTGAAGTGTCCTTTCCTGTCAATGTCACAAACTTGGTCAATGGAATAATAATCGCATTCTCATCGTCATTGATCTTGTTTGGAATTGATACTCCATAGTGATAAACGACGAATTTGATCATAATGTCAAACGCTCCTTGTTTCCTACTGATGGTTTTCAAAGATTCAATATTGTGCAAACAAATATTATTCAACAAAATGAACATGTTTCGTGACAATTCATAACTCAACGTGAGTTGCTTGAGAGTATAAACTTTGGAAATAACTTCATCACATTGCTTGATCATATTTTCCAGTTGAGTAAGCAGCTCATTCACATGATCACTTGGCTTCTCGCTCAACATTCCCAACACTTGTACAGCCAAAGAAATGACACGAACATGTTCCACATGAGTGGTTGTAGAAGTCTTGCTCTGATTATTCAATGTCATTCTCTTCAAAAATTTGCGATAATGTCTCTTAATAATATCGATGCATGCACTCATGCAACCAGTTAATCTCATGAGTGCCTTGTACTGCTCATTGTTTGGAGCTGTACTTTCAATAACTTCCACACAAATGGACAGTCCTGTTGATACAATGGAATAGCTCTTAGTATTGTCATTAATCATACAAATACACGATTGTAAACCTTCATGGTGGAGAAGATCGTCAATCAATTGTTTCTTATTTTTCACAAAATGTGAATGTAAATATTTTGCACATTTCATTGCCTTAGCTCTGCAATTCGAGTTATATTCCAACTCCTCAATGAGTTGAGAAAGTGATGAGATGGCCTCACCTTCTTCATTGTCAACATCATAATCATCGTCATCATCTCGATCGTCCTCATCTTTTTCATCCTCAGAAAGTTCAAAGAGTGGATCCATAATATTCACCTCAACAATGGATGAGTTTGCAGATTTCAAGCTATTCGATGAAGCGTTTTGACTTGAAGGTTTTCTTATGATGGTATTATTGTCATCTTGTTCATTCTCTTCTGTCTTGGGTTGAGAATTTTCTGTGCTTCTCTTTGGAGGTGCTCCAGAAGATGTAATCGTTTTAGGAGCGTCATCATCGTCGTCATCGCTTTCATCTTTGAGAATTGTCTTTTTTGACTTGTTTGGAGGACCACCGGATGGTGAAGGTGTGGTGGTACTACTACTACTTGTTTTTTTCACAACTTTGTCATTCTCCTCATCAGAAGAAGAATCGTCATCTTTCAATACAGTTTTTTTGGCCTTATTCGGAGGACCACCCATCGAAGAAGAAGTGGATGATTCATGCTTACTCGTCGTACTTGTTGAAGTATTGGTTGTGGTTTGCGAATGGTTAGGGGTGGATTTAGTTGCTGAAGGAGAAGTAGAAGAGGATGAAGGTTGTTTCTTCTTTGTTACAATAATGTCATCATCATCAGAATCCTCATTTTTCAAAACAGTCTTCTTTTTACCATGATGTGAAGAAGATAATTGTTGATTTTCATGATCCATGGCATGATCTTCCTCAACTACTTTCTTGGCCACTGCATTTTGTAACACAAATGCAGGTTCTTCCTCTTCATCTTCGTCCAATTTCGCTGGCTCAATAGGGTCTAAGTCATCATCCAGTTGAGCTGGTTCAATGGGATATAATTCGTCATCCAATTGGTTTGCTGGTTGAATGGGTTCCAAATCTTCCTCTGCTTTGAGTGGTAAAGAAGACGAAGCAGCAACGATATTTTCCGATGTTGATTCTTGTGGAGCTGTTGATGGTGTATTGGTCGTTGTTGATTCGGTACTGCTATTGATGACACTCTTCTTTAATTCTTCGACTTTCAATGAGGAAGAAGTATTATATGTGGTGTTTGTTGCGGTTGTTGCGTTTGGTACCACCGATGATGATGATGACGATTGTACCACCACAGTTGTTGATGAGTGTTGAAATTCTGGTACCACGATACCTTGTTGTGTATCCAAATGATTTGTCGTTGTTGTATCCAAATGATTAGTAGGAACACCAGCAGAACCTCCATTATTCACACCTGCTCCTCCTCCTACTCCTCGATTCATCAATTTCTTGATGGACTCTACCCATTCCTCACATTCGGCACGAGACGAACACTCCAAGATCCATTCTTCTTCCTTGTGCTTTCCTTCAATGTGTGATTTAATTGAAAAACAATGTGGATGTTTCTTGTTGATACTTTCATTGGTCAATAGCTTCACTTGAGTATATTGAGCATCGAGCATGAGTGTAGATTTACGAGAATGGGCTGGATCTTTCTTCTTCATGATGGCCAATGTATTCGGATGAGAGAAGAGTGAGAGAGGAATCTTCTTCCATGATAAAAAGGCACTCTTTTTGATATCTTGTGAGTGTTTGACGAGTTTGTAGTGAAGTTGTTGAGTGGATGATGATGATGGAAAGGGAGAGGAGGGTGTTGATGAGGTACGTTTCATGGTCACAACCCCTGAGAGAGGTTGGTCGATGGATTGCATCATTTCGATTTTTTTTTGAGTTTGACATGTGAAAGTGTACTTTTTATTCGGGGACTAGATTGGGAGAGAGATTTCTTGCGAGCTTGATTGTTTTGTATCAAAACGTTTATGTACAACATTATCGCTTTGAGGGAACATGTATTAACAAGACATACGTTTACCAGAACATGGCTGTCCAGTAATGAACCACACTTCCTTGATCTGCAAAAACCCAATCCTGGCTATTTGGAGAATAACCAAAGCATGAGCGATGCTATTATTATTCCACTTTGCCCATATTATGACATTTGCAATCCTGTTGCATCGCTCCTCCAGTGCATAACATTTTCTTTGTTGCATTCTTCGTTTAAATCCTTTGTATTTTATAAGTCTAAGGAGAAGGTGTTTCAATTTTTTCCTTCAAATGTTGTTGCAAATTGATGTGAATGTACCATTCGATAATCATTTCATTCGACCAAAAAAAAATATTTTGAGTTGATTAGTTTTTCCTCTTGCGCCATCAAAATAAGACAACTCTTGTTGAAAGAGGTGTTGTTGAAGCAGCAAATTCATCATCAACAATGATCAATGATCGGGCTGAAAAAGTTGATTTCTCTCCGACAAGTTCAACCGAAATCAATGGACCATTCATTGATGATATTATTTTTGAAATTCTACATTTCCTTGATTCATTGTTTATTGTTCAAGTTTGTATGAAAATTTCAAAACAATGGAGACAAGTATCATTTCAAATTCCTCTCTCATTATCATTCAAACCATATCGCTTCAAACAAGGTGGTGAATCAATTAAACTTTTTGCTGATTGTGAATGGTTGAAGAATTTGATTTCTTTGGATCTGTTTTGCAATGAAATTGGTAATGAAGGTGTCAAATATATTGCTGCAAGTGAATGGTTGAAGAATTTGACTTCTTTGAATCTGCGTAACAATGAAATTGGCAATGAAGGCGTCAAGTATATTGCTGCAAGTGAATGTTTGAAAAATTTGACTTCTTTGAATCTGGGTAGAAATCGAATTGGCAATGAAGGCGTTAAATATATTTCTGAAAGTGAATACTTGAAGAATTTGACTTCTTTGAATCTGAATGACAATCAAATTGGCAATGAAGGTGTTAAATATATTGCTGAAAGTGAATGCTTGAAGAATGTGATGCATTTGAATCTGGAATGGAATATAATTGGCAATGAAGGCGTCAAGTATATTGCTGCAAGTGAATACTTGAAGAATTTGATTTCTTTGAATCTAAACAACAATGTAATTGGTGATGAAGGTGTCAAATATATTGCTGCAAGTGAACGGTTGAAGAATTTGACTTCTTTGAATCTGCGTAACAATGAAATTGGCAATGAAGGCGTCAAGTATATTGCTGCAAGTGAATGCTTGAAGAATTTGACTTCTTTGAATCTGGGTAGAAATAGAATTGGCAATGAAGGCGTTAAATATATTGCTGCAAACGAGTGCTTGAAGAATTTGACTTCTTTGAATTTGGATTCGAATTAAGCTCAAATTGGTGGCATAATCGGAACAACTATCAACATTGTGAAATACAAATGTCGAACTTTTACGTTACATTGTTTGAGCTTCATAACAATAGAGAGATTGTAATTGATGTGACAGAATTTTTTCACAAGTTTTCTGGTCTTTGTGCTTTCTTTTTTAACATGTGTCAGAATTCAGTCCTATTGAGTTTCACCTTTAGGAGACTTCCTGTCCAACCATTTTAAATTATCGTTTTACTGTCCTGTGATGATCATCACGTATAGGTACCACAGCGTTTTCGGTAGGAAGAAACAATTGCAAGTGACATGTTCTTGGTTGAATCTGTCTTTGGAACCAAGTACTCTCGAATTTCAAGCTTGATTACTTAACGACTGACCTTGTCGGAATTATACCAACCTTTGGAGGGTCTTGAGAACATTCATAGTGAAGCTAATAGTGCCGTCAATATAGGCTGTAATCACTCTCGTGAATCTGGTCAAGCCACATAGAAGAGCAACTTAATAAAATTGGAAGTTTATGAAATTCAAAGAGGAGGCTTAGATAATGACGTTCAACAACAAACCCAGAGCTGCCTTGAATAAAACTGATGCAACGATATCCGTAGAATAATTTATGGATGAGATACACTCAACGAAGTCCAACGACGTACTCGAATGTTGAATCCAACAAACGTTGTTCTTCGTTCTTGTTAATGTCAGGCACTAAACAAACCAGACGCAATTAAATTTGTTGACATTAAAAAAATGGAGCGTTTGATTGCATTGATCGGAAAGCCTTTTCATTTCGCAAGTCAAATTCTGCAGAAAGCACAAATCGGAAAAGGCAAACTTGTGGACGATGTAAAATATTTATTTCCGTTCTTTTTTGTTTGTGGATTTTCAATGGAGGTGTTTATGATTAAAACTGGATTTTGTAGGTATTTCATGGAAGAGGGGTGTTGAACAATATTTGTGAAATTGATTTAAAAATTTAAATTATTATTTATATTTTGTGAACACATTTTCTGTGTGGGTGATGAATGGACATGATATTTGTTCGAAAATATGGAATTCTAATAATTATGAAATGATCAATTCAACGTCATGGTGAAACTAAAATGTCTTCAGATGAGTATAGAAAACGAAAAGAAGCAGATAAATTGACAGCCAAGACTGCTGAATTTATGCTCGCTAAGGAAAGAATTATTGAGAAGTTTGCAGAACAATATATCAAAGAGAGACATCTGTAAACATCACTCTCATGCACTTTTTTAGCTCATAAAAACGTTTTTACATCAATCTTGAACCAATGTATTGAACCAACTTCTTTTGGTAAGATGAACACTTTGCTTTTTACTACAGGTCTCTGTCATGAACACCAATGTGTTGTCTCCATGTCAGAGATCTTCAGTAATTATCAAAATAATGGCAGAGATCTTCAGTAATATCAAAGTAATTGCCCTTGATACAACAATTCGAGGGTTTCCATTAAATGGGCCACACTCAAACTCTGTGCCAATCCGTTAAGGATAAAATTTGCCGCCACTCCAAATTACAATTTTATCAAACAGTCGTAGATTTGAAACAACAGAACATACTCTAAAAAAAATGTTCAAAAATACATTCCAAAGTGGCTTCCTTTCAATATTATACTCCATCGGGTATGTTGTGGAATGATCCTGTACGCTAACGACGAATTGACCATGCATCAAAATACAACACTCATGACAGATCTAAACCCCTTCAAATTTGGGACAAACAAGTGAAGAATGGGCATATTAAACGCATAACTGATCAGGATATTCAAAGTTCTGTTCTTGAGCTCATCGGAACCAACGTGAGCACCACGTATATTACATGTCCAGCAAGTTCGAAAAAAACACTAGGAATCAAGTTACCCTTCTTGGTTATGGTCATCAAGAATGTAAGTTTTCAAATAGAGAAGCATCTCTCTGATGTGCTATAACACGTTCGTTGCGTATGACATGCAGCTCAAAAAATACTTTACATTTGAAGTTCAAGTTTTGGATGACAAAAACATCAAGAGGCGGTTCCGAGCTTCCAACTATCAAAGCACAACCAGAGTGAAACCATTTATTTGTACAATGCCAATGCGTCTCGATGAGGGTTGGAATCAAATTCAATTCAACTTGGCAGACTTTACAAGAAGAGCATACGGAACCAACTACATAGAAACATTAAGAGTTCAAATACATGCAAACTGTAGAATTAGAAGAATTTACTTCTCTGACAGATTGTATTCAGAGAGTGATCTGCCAGACGAGTTCAGATTGTTTTTACCAATTCAGAAAAACTAGGCCTGTAGATACCATGAGACGTTTTACAATTTTAATAAATGTGAAAATATTAAATACAGGTTTATCTTGCAGTTCGATCAAACACAAGAACAAAAAAAAAATGGCTTCACAACATAACCCCACAAGCTACATTTCTCTGCTGCGAGGTATCAATGTCGGAGGACATAGATCCATTAAAATGTCAGAGTTAAAGACTATTTATGAAAATGTCAACTGTACCAAGGTCAAGACATTAAAGACAAGCGGAAATGTTGTTTTTGAATATTTACATCGTGATGACACTGTCCAAAACCTGGAAGAAGCTCTCTCGCAAGAAATTATGAAACGACATTCGTATGTTGTGCCTGTTTTGATTCGAACTGTGCAAGAATTAAAACAAATCATCAAGAACAATCCCTATTATTCAAGAGATCGGAGCTCACACAAGGATTTATATGTGACTTTGTTGGCAGACACACCCAGTGATGAAGCTATCAAAGAGGTGTGTGACCAGAGAAAATCATTTGAACCTGACGAATTTCAAATTGAGGGACGAACCATTTATATGAAATTAGAAAGTAGCGCAGCGAAAACAAAATTAACAAACACATTCTTGGAGCGAAAATTTAAAACACAAGCCACCACAAGAAATTGGACGACCATGCTCGAGCTGGAAACATTGGCCTCCAACAAGAAGTAAACAAATGGAGTTTCATGCCATCAAACAGACTCTTCAAACAAGTTGTTGAAAAAAAAGAAAATTTGTTTCAAAAAAAAATGAACCCATTCGATCAAGATGATTTATTCTCAGTATTCGGAGTGAATAACAACAACAATAACAATCCGAAAAAGCGAACACTCGAGGAATCCATTCAACTTGCTGAGCAACAAATTCAACAACGAGAATTAAAGAAAATAAAACAGCCTTCTACAGATGAAGAATCAGCGGATGGCTCAAGCACAAGTTTATCAAGAGCCTCATCATCCAAATCCATCGTGGATGATATTCCGACACCCACTGTTATACCTAACATGGATGATAGCAAGGGAGATTCATCTACGAATGGCCAATCATCCTCCACTGATGATAATAACGGCGACATGGACCAAACAAATAATTCTTCATCATCAACAACAATACCAACAACACATAAAGCCATCGGAAAGTTAGGAGAAAAGAATGATTGTTTGCATGAAATTGCACTCCCACCCGATTATGTTATTTCGTTAGATGTTGATGGAAAGATGATTCCTACTCCTGCCTCCAACGAAGATGCTTCATCCATACAGGCGCATACCAAAATAAGCGACGCTCAAGAAATTATTCATTATTTACTTGAACAACAAACACAAGTAGAGCTGGGTCTTAAGCCACCAGCAAAAATATATCCATTTACATTGGATGCTTTCCAACGTCAAGCAGTTAGGGCTATTGAATTAAGTCAAAGTGTGCTCGTTTCAGCTCACACATCAGCAGGTAAAACAGCTGTGGCTGAATATGCCATTGCAAAATCTTTAAAAGACGGAAGTAGAGTGATTTATACATCTCCCATTAAGGCCTTGTCCAACCAAAAATTCAGAGAACTACAAGAAGAATTTACAGATGTAGGATTAATGACAGGTGATGTCACTATTAATCCAAATTCAAGTTGCATTGTCATGACTACAGAAATTTTGAGAAGTATGCTTTATAGAGGATCAGAAATTCTGAATGAAGTTCAATGGGTTATTTTCGACGAAGTTCACTACATGCGTGACAAAGAGAGAGGAGTTGTTTGGGAAGAGACTTTAATTTTATTACCAAATTCAGTGAAATATGTATTTTTGAGTGCTACCATTCCAAACGCAACAGAATTTGCAGGATGGATTGCAAAGCTGAAAGGCCAACCTGTACACGTCGTGTACACTGACTATCGACCTACTCCATTGCAACATTATATTTATCCAGTTGGTGGTGAAGGAATTCACTTGGTGGTTGAAAAACACTCATTCAAAGAAGACAATTGGAAGAAAGCAATTGAGGATTTAACCAATGCGTCTTCTCAAGTTAACAACAACAGCAGTGGTTCCTCTTCAAAGAGAGGAGGAGGTAGTAGTGGTGGTGGTACTGACCGTAAAAAGAGAGTTGACACCTCTCTTGTCAAGTTGGTGAACATGATCATGAAGAGAAATTTCCAACCAGTGATTGTGTTCAGCTTCAGTAGAAAGGAATGTGAATCACGTGCCGTCTCGCTTTCAAAATCCAATTTCAACGATGAAGAAGAAATGAGTCTCGTTGCTGAAGTATTCAACAATGCCATTGATTCTCTGAATGACGAAGACAAAAAGTTACCCCAAGTAGAAACCATGTTGCCACTCTTACAAAAGGGAATTGGAGTTCACCACTCTGGTCTTCTCCCAATCATGAAAGAAGTCATTGAAATTCTCTTCCAAGAAGGTCTCATTAAGGTACTTTTTGCTACTGAAACCTTTGCTATGGGTTTGAACATGCCTGCAAAAACAGTTCTATTCACAGGAATTGAAAAATTCGATGGACAAATTACAAGACGCTTAACCTCTGGTGAATATATTCAAATGAGTGGTCGTGCTGGTCGTCGTGGCCTTGACGACAAGGGTATTGTCATTCTCATTTTGGATGATCCTGAAATGAGAGAAGAAGATGCTCGACAATTAATGAATGGAATTGCAGATTGTCTGAATAGTTCATTCCACTTGAGTTATTACATGGTTCTGAATTTATTGCGAGTGGAAGAAATTTCACCTGAGTATATTATGGAACGATCTTTTTACCAATATCAATCAGAAAAGAAGAGAGCTTCCTATGAACAAAAATTACAAGAGTTGGAACAACAGAGAAACGAATTGGCCATTGAGAATGAAGCTCAAATATCTTCCTATTATTCATTGAAGAACGATTTACAATCATACTATGAATCTCTGAGACAATTAATTACCACTCCATCCTATTCCATTCCAGTGTTATCTGCTGGAAGATTACTGCGTATTCATGGATGGGGTTGGGGAATTTTATTGAAATTCACAAAGAAGAAGCATGCAGAGAGATTACAAGTGGCTCAAACAAAGGCCTCAGACTACAATATTGAAGTATTAATTCCTGCACACCCACAAAGCGATCAATTACCATACCCAATTCAAGAATATCAATCCAATGCTTCGGGTTTGGAACCAAAGCCAGTGATTAAGACCTTTTCGCTTGCTAATGTGGAAGTTTTCAGCTCAGTCAAAGTTTACTTGTCGAAGGAATTGAAAACGAGACAACCCGATGCTACCTCTTCCGAATGTAAATCTTCAATTTTAAAGTTATTGGAAACAATCAAGAGATTCAAAGTACAAACCGTTGTGGAAACAACGGATGGAACCATGCAAATTGACAAATTGTCTACCACAAAGTATGGAGATCTTCCAAGATTAGATCTTATTGAAGAAATGGGCATTCCAAAGAATAAGGTGAAAGAAATTGTCGATGCTATTCAACAAATTGAAAGTCGATTGGCCTATAGTCCATTCTATCAAGAAGAATTGTCCAATTATAAGAATGCTACAACAAACACTGGTAGTAACCAAAGTGGTTCTTCATCTAAAGCTGTGTCACCACTCTTTGCTCAAGTGAAACTCTATGAACAAAAACTCGAATTGAATGCACAAATTGAGGAAATGAAGAAACTTGTGAAATCTACGGCACAAGTCGTCATGAAAGAAGAATTAAAAAAGATGATGAGAGTATTGAGAAGATTAGGATTTGCCACCGAGGACAATGTGATTACAGCAAAGGGAAGAGTTGCATGTGAGTTGAGCAGCGCAGACAGTTTAGTTATTACAGAAATGGTGTACAATGGCGCCTTCTCAGATTTAACACCTGAACAATCCATTGCTGTACTTTCATGTTTTGCATCAGAGGTCTCTGGTGGACAATCGAGAGAGGATGATAAGGCAACACTCGCTGAAGATCTTCGAAAACCTTATGAAGATTTAGAAAAAGCAGCACGACGAGTGGCTGAAGTCTCAATTGAATCAAAACTTGATTTGGATGTTGAAAAATATTTGCAATCATTCCCATGCAATATGATGAATTTAACCTACGCTTGGTGTAATGGAGCTCAATTTGTTGAGATTTGTAAAATGACAGAAATGTTTGAGGGATCCATTGTGAGGTCGATGAGACGTTGCGAAGAAATTGTCAGACAAATGTGTGCAGCTGCAAAAGCAATCGGTGAAGAGTCTCTAGAAAAGAAATTGTTACTAGGCCTTGAAAAGATGAGAAGAGATATTGTCTTCAGCAGCTCACTCTATTTGTAAATAATCGTTCCACTTGAATATACTCAATTTTTCATTTTCAACATGTTGTTTCATAAATTCACAAGGCGAAATATAAGCTATACCTTTTCCGTTAAAAATCGTTTATATCGATCTTCCATAGACGCATTTCCAATCAAACCTCCAGAGTGAATATAAATCAAATGATCGTCAATTGAGATATTTGTAGCTTGGCTCTGTAATAACTTTTCGTACTGTTCTTGGAGTGCTAGAAAACCTTTGGCATCGTACAGATACTCAAATTGAATTCCAATTTCATGTTTCAAATTTTGAATCATTGCATACATTTCCTTATACAGTTGCCCATATCTGAAGTATTTGGTGGTTTCCAATATTGTGGGGTGAATGGAGGAATCGAATGGCTCTAGTTCATAAAATTGTTGTCGTAAATACTGATCAGATCCAACACAATTGGTCGTGAACACTCGAAAATGATAATGATTGCAGGACTTGTTCAATTGGTTTAAAAATTTCGAGAGAAAGAGAGCTGATGTTCCAGTACCAGATGGAAGAAAAACATTAAATCTATAATGTTGTGAGCTGAATCGTTCTGACATATCTTCTTTCAACAATAATTCTTTTTGAATCATTTCATTCAATTCTAGCGCCATTTGAGAATAACCAATTTGCGCTTCGTACTGAGAAACTCCTTCTCTAATATACAAAATTCCATTCGTTTCATTAAAACTCTTTCGCTGCACAATGGTTCGAGAGAAAAATTCTTGTTTCAAATTCTCATACTCTTGTCGTTCCGTGAGAGGCACAAATTCCATCTGTAAGCCTTGTGATTTCAAATTCATGACCTGAAATAAATTTCCAAATTGAGAATTCGACTCGATATACTTTAAATCGCGTTCAATAAAATATTTAAATGAAATTCCTAATCGGAAACATAAATATGCAATGGAAAGCATGGCATTCGATTGAATGGATCCATACGAATGAATTTCTTTTAAATTTTGATAATTTTTAAAAACGTTTTCATATTTTAAACTTTCGGCCTGATTGTTATGATCGGAGAGTAAAAATTGCAGTTTTCTAAACTTGTTTCCACTCATAAATGTATTCAAATCCTGTAATTGTATGTCTGATCCATGATGGTGATTCATTTGTACGTCATCTCTAAAGACATGAAATTTTAATTTCGAACTTTTGGATAAACATTTCGGCCATGGAAACGATTGGAGCTTTTTGAAAGGAGTTTGTTGCATTTTTTAATGAGACTTTGATAGACAACATAACCCCAAAGACAAAGCATTCTATATCCACCCTGATGGACACATTGACCAATGAATGATACACAAATTGAGATCAAAACTTGACCATTTCCAACAAGTCATGATGCAATGAAAATTGATCGTTCTCAATATAACTCTCCCATAAATCCAAGTGGTTTAAAATTGGAGAGAGGGCTACAATGCTATGAAAGAGTTGATGGCTGTGTGTGAAGTTTCATGAGAGTAGAACCAACTTGGTAAAAACAGTGTAAACAAACTTTTAGAACTTACCTTGCACCAACAATGTCAAATGTGTATGGAAAGAACTTTTCTGGGAATTTCAACACTCGAATAACCATTGCAAATGCCAACAAGGAGAAGGAACGTAAAATAATTTTTCGAAAGAGTAATTGATTAAAATTCAATAATTGCAAAATCATTTGCATTGTATCATTGTTGATGGCTGTATCATTGGAAATGATGGAAATTTCATTTCCAAACAATGTATTCATGAGTAAGTCCAAAAACGATAATTTCCCTTCTAGTGCAGGTTGGAAAATATATTCAAATTGCAGAAAAAGTCTCACAAACATGCACACCAGTCCAAGTGTACTAAAAATTCCAAAATACAATGTTCTTCGATTTGACAATCTTCGTTTCACCATGTGTGGAATCCAAAACCATAAATAGAAATATCCAGCAAAACTAATCGAGGTCATTACAGTTGCCACTCGATCAAAACCTTTCAACATGAAATATGCACACCAAATATTAGATCCAGAAAACATTGAAATGATACCTCTCAGATCACATATTAAACAAAAATGGTAAGCACTTTCGCTGTTCATTCGAAATACATGATAAAAAGCACTCAAGTAATAAATCAATGCTGCACTTGTATAGTAAAATAGAGAAATAAAAATATCTGCTCTATCTTTTCCAAACTCATAAGCTTGCCAGGTACAATACACAATTAAATATGAGAAATAAAAAGCTGGAAGTAAATGTGTCCATATATTGAGCGTTTCATTGTGGAGTGTGAATATAGAATAGATACACTTTTTGATGGATTGAATTGGTAATTTCCGATAACCACTCACTAGATAGGGGTTATCTTGATACAGTAAATGATGAAGTTGGGTCTTGAATTGTTTTTCATGTTGATGTTTGCACGGTTGAATATTCTCCAAATACGGATACCAAGGCCATGCGTATGGGGAAGTATTTGAATCATGACATGAACAATGCTTGTGTTTCGGATGATGATTGTGAGGAGAGGGGTGCAGAGCTATGTCTTGAAGTTGGCTCATTTTTTCTTTGTATTTGCGCATTCATTTCTTGAATTTGGATGTTGTTATGAAAGAGTGATATCAATAAGGATCCCATCCTTACTGTCAGAGTCACTTAGATAAAAGGGTGAAAAAAGTGTCCCCTGACATGGCATTGTTGTCTTGGGTTTACAATAAATAAAAACGTAAGTCAGCAAATACATCACTTTCCTCAATATCACGTTACTTGGAAACAAATAGAGGCATGTTAGAATAAAAGGTATTTTTGATAAATCAATGCAATCAATGATCGTCCAATTGTTGTACATGTGCCTTATTTCATCGCTTCACCACACAGTGATCTGATCGAGAAAAAGCCAACTTGGTTTTCCACCTTGAGAATGATGCCATGATGGAGTGGTACCATGATTGTAGGCATAAACGATAACCTTAATGGAACGAATGTAGGAATTACCTCGTAAATGATTCATTCGTCGTTCGGAAATGATATTACTGAATTCAGAAAGACTCACATCCAATCGATAGGTATTTTCCTCATTGTACAATGACGACATGACATTCTCATGAGAGAAATTTCCTCCAAACTGATCTCCTTGAATGATGCACAACCTGGGTTGTGGATCCCAACATGAAATCTCTCCAAGTAAATTCCATTCCTCAGTACAACATTCATTGTTCTCTGTTTGATAATAAAAACAAATCTTTTCAGGCATAAATATCCATGATCTTGGTTTGTGCAAGCATCCGACCGAAATACCTTTCAAAGAATCGAATTCTATACCATGTGGATCCTTCCATTGATTGCAAATGATTTCAACCATGCAAATTCCTTCAAAACCAATCCAATGCTTGGAATCTAATAAAAAGGGATTTCCCTTCATTCCGTTCACAAGAGTTCTCAATCCAAGAATGCCTCCAGAATATCGTTGTTTGGAATTGTTAGTATTGATACAATGTTGATACGAATTGTAATCTAATTTCGTTCCATTGTTTAACTCTAGAGTTGCTTTCACTTGACAAAATAAGGCACGATGAAAAACGACATGAAATTCCTGTTCCATTCCGTAAGTGAGAGAATTTCGAATCACTTTTGTACAAAGTTGCACTTCTCTTGGAGTGTGAGAAAACAATGTTGTTGGAGAGAGATCTTCTTCAAATTTCACATATCCATTTGTGCATCCTGGAATGGAAAAGTAAATTTCTTGCTTTTCATCATTTTCATCCACTTTGGTAAGATGAATATTTCCATTCTTTTCATCCAACTCACATTCTAATGGATAACATTCCTTTCCAATGTTAAACTTGTTCAAAATGGTACAATAATGTTGTTGGCATCGATCTAAAAATTCACAATAATACTCATGCATGGAATGAGTCATTTCATCTTTACCAAACCATAACGATTCACTCATGGCCAACAATCTTGGTAAGATCATTTGTTGAAGCTTTTCCTTAGTTTGCATTCTCTCTGTCCAACAATTACATTCACCTCCAAGAATGAGTTGTTGTTGTTGTTGCAAAGAAGTATTCTGATCTCCACACATTTTAAGAGGATCAAATAAAAGGACTTTCTTCAATGGAATTAGCTCAATGCCATAATCAAAATAACAGTGACTCGTGGGAGAGAGTATGGTGTGAATATTTTTGCGGATGGCTCTTTGTGCTCCTTCTGTGCCTCTCCAGGATTGAATCATGAGAGAGGACGAATTGTCTTTCATCATGACCGTGGCCTTGTTGGTTGAGTCCATAATCACTTCATCCCAACCAGTCATACATTTACCTTTGGATTTTAAGAATGTGAAAATTCTATCAATGAAATAAGAGTATAATTGTTTGGTGGTCATTTCAGGCAAATCAAGTTGGTGACTCTGTTTTTCTTCTTCTTGATTGTTTCTATTGCATAATAATTCTTTGCATTTGGAACAGCGCGTCCAAGTAGAGGATAATGGTACTTCATCTCCTCCAATGTGAATAATTGGGGAATGAGAAAATAATTGCATCACCTCTTCGAGAACTGTTTCCAGAAATTTGAAAGTATTTTCGTTTCCAGCACAATAAACGTCACCAAATATTCCCCATTCATTTGGTGGTGTCATGTCCGTGAGAGTATTTTTATCAGCAACTTGACATGCCAATTCTGGATATGAAATGACAGCAGCAGAGGAGTGTCCAGGTAACTCAATTTCTGGAACTATTAGAATTCCTTTCAAATGGCAATAATCAACAATTTTTAAAATGTCACTCTTGCTATAAAATCCACCATAGAATTGATCATCATTTCCTACTTGTTGTTCATCTAACCTGTATTTTCTCCAGGCTCCAATTTCGGTGAGTTTGGGAAATGCTGAAATTTCAATTCTCCAAGCTTGATCTTCTGTTAAATGCCAATGAAAAACATTAAATTTGTAAATGTATAAAATGTCAATCAAGTCTTGAATTGTTTCAATAGAAAAGAAGTGTCTTTGTTGCAATTCCCAATGAGTATCACGAATGATAAACAGTAAAAAATTAATTTTTTAAATAATAATCATTAGTTTGGAGTAAATAGAAAATTTTTTAACATGATACCAACTCTCCCTGTTTCTTACCTGCAACAATCCAGCATAAAACCACGCCATGGAAGCGTTGGTGTATCATGATCAATTTTAGTGGCCTCTCGATCTAATTGAATGCACTGTATCAAGGAAGCCATGGCAAAATGTAAACCACTCAAACTCTCTCGAAAATGTGTAATGAGAATGTAATGTATATGGTCCACATTCTTTTTCAGCCAATCATCCATTGATTCGTGCTCTCCATGGATGGTATTAAATGATATCATGACAGAATGATGTGATGAATCATGATTGGTTTTTTCATGATGCAACGAATAAGATTGAAGTAACTTTTCAATAAATTGAGCTCGTTGGTGAAGAATTATGTTATTTTCTAAATGTTGAAAAGTATAGCCATTCACACGGATTGTCATTTCTAAAATTAATTCATGATCTTGGTAATTTTGATTTGACTCATGATTTGATTTCCATTGAATTTCAATTTCGTTAAGAGTCTCTTCACGTGAGGAATTTGAAATATGTAAATCCAAATAACGGAATAAATTAAATTTCACACAATTCAATATTTTTTCACTCAAGTTTGATGAAATGAAGTCCGATGATGATGGTTGGGAGAGATTGCAAGAGAGCACTAAATGATGTTTTGATTTGAATAAATGAGCCTGTAATTCAATAATGGTGTTCGAGGGTGACAAGAATTCACAAAATGAAGTCAAGTGTGAGGAAGGGTTGGGAATGAGTGGAGTTGCTGAAAGAGTATACATTTTTTTTTGGGATTGTCCCAACGTGTTCGTTGAAGAGCAGATGCTTCTCGGCAAATGTGGATCATCGTCGCTACCATTATACGATATCTTCTTGACGCAGGATGTGAACACCACAGCTCATGCGCAGAGCGCAAAAAGTTTGCTGTAAGGAACCATAGCTCAGCGGTTAGAGCATTGGATTGCAATGAGGTTTGCAGCAGCCATCCGGTGGTCGCGTGTTCGATTCACGCTGGTTCCTAATTTTTTGTTTCCGACTCTCGTTTTTGTGTCCAGAGTGCTTTAACTTTTATGGTTTGTTGTTGCTTGCATGATCTTGCAACGTCGAATGCATGTCATTCACTCAGGAAGTTCAGGTCGAGCAAACATTGGAAGCGTTTTCTTTGTAAAAAAAAATCAGCTCTGACAAATGCTTCTGAACAAAACCTAAGCGAAAATCTTTGACGTGGTTTCCTTGAGACCGTGCCACAAGTGCAATGTACTTGACTTGGAATTGTATATCCATAATTCGGCAAAGTGTAAAACCTTGAATCCTTCGATCAAATGCACTTGTTTTTCATGCGGAACAACATACTTTGCATGTCCTTTTTGCACCGTTTGCTTCTCCGACTCTCATGCATCCAATTTTGTAAAACACATGAAAAGATGTTCAAACAAAGATGAAGCTCAGAATCCTGTATTCAAATGTTGTTCAGAACAAACGACAGAGTTTAATCATTATTATTCTCATATCATCAAAAATCATTGTGGTCATTTGCTGTCGTTTTTTAAAAAGCGCAAACCTGTAATTGACAAGGAAAAAAACAATAAGAAAAAGACCGGACACGATGTTATAGAGGAAGGCTGTGATATTGATGGATAACTTAGAAGCTCTTACTGCTGACGTGCAGGACTCAAATACTGAAATCAACATTTAAAGATCTTCCTGAGTTGATGAAATCATTTGTGAACTATGATGCCTTGAAATTTGAGAGGCATTTGTGTTTTTGCTATCGTCATGTTGGCCACTACGTGTCACTCTTAATTTTGTACTTTCTCGAGTTGTTTTCAAAAAAAAAATTCATCAATAACGATGGCTATCGAATTTGTTCTTCTCGTAAACAAGCAAGGACAAACAAGGCTTGCTCAATATACCAAATTCAAAACCATCAATGAGAGAACAGCATTAGAAGGAGAAATTGTGAGAAAATGTCTGAGTAGGAATGAAGATCAAGTATGTATGGATAATATTAATCTAATTGGCAACAATATATACTATACACATGATTATGATCTCGGAATTATTGATTTTTTGTATTTTCATCAATACCGTTCAATAATTTGTTGGACTATCATAATTCTGAACACATGACTATATTTGAACGGTTGTAATAGTGCTCGTTTATTGAACATATGGGATACAAACTAATTTATCGAAGATATGCATCTCTATTCTTTATTGTCGGAGTGGATAGTCATGAGAATGAGCTAGCTATTTTGGAATTTATTCATTGCCTAGTAGAGACTTTTGATAAATATTTTGAAAATGTGGTATGTTTGGATGTTATTATTGTGTGTTGGAATTTATCAACACAATGATCAATTTGCATGATTCATTCAATAATTATTGTTGTCGGTTATTCCTACGAAAATTCATTTCGGAACTGTGGTGAACTGGTTGGAAATATTGTGTATCATGTTATTAATCTACTCAAACAAATTTCTCAATAGTGTGAATTGGACGTCATGTTTAACTTGGAAAAGGCACACTTCATTGTTGAAGAAATGGTTGCCAATGGTTGCATTGTAGAAACCAATAGAACAAACATTTTAGAAACTGTACAAATGATGGACAAACACACCCAACAATAAGAACCATGTACAATAAAACAATTCAAGACTTGATATCTGAAATAAGCAATTGGATGACCATTGAGTTCTTGCTGTCGTGTCCCATTGCTGCTCGAGAAACCAGTCATGCTTTTTGAATTAGAACAACGACGCAACATCATTTCAAAATCTATTTAAAAAATCTTCCCATGTCATCGTCCACCAACAATCCGGCCAACAGTGCTGGGAACCGACCCAGACAACAACCACCATCTCAAGCCAGTAACCATCCCGTACAAAATTCTACTACTGCCATGAAACGATCCAATACAACAACGAATGCATCTTTGGCACAACCATCAAGCACACCGTCTTCTTCATCATCGGGAAGTAGCACCGGAAGTAAATTTTCATCAGGCTTGAATAGTGCTTGGAATATGGTCAAGAAGGGAATTGAAGGATCATCAAGCTCCAACACGAGTACTTCCTCATCATCATCATCAAATAATCAACACACTTCCTCTGCTGCCTCTTCCGGAGTCACAATATCGGTCGAGGAATTTCAAGTATTAAATCAACAAATTCTGGAGTTGAAAAAAGCTAAATACGAACAAATGCAGCAAATTAAATCATTTGAAAAACAAATTGCAAACGGAAATGAAATGATGAAATTACAAAACGAACAAATGGAAGCATTAAAATTAAATTTAAAGAATATTTATTTGGAAAAGGAGCAATTGGAGAAGGAAAAGGTTGAGTTAACGAATCAACTCAAAGATGCACTGAAAACCAATCAAGAAAAGACAGATGAAGTGGAGAGGCTAAAAAATCAAATTGAGCTTCAACAACAAACTATTCAAACGTTGACTATAAGTCACGATCTCATTGTATCCAATGCTAAAACTGAAGCAAGCTTGTCTTCATCGGAAAAACAAAATGCGGAGCCCAACAATGACAATATGGTCACAACTGGTTCATCCAGTGAAGAAACAACCACTACTGTTGTAGATCAAGTTCCTCCCACAGACAATGTCCAAGAAGTGGGAATGGCTGACCAAGAACCAAAAAATCAAGCTTCCAATGAAGATGGAGCAGTATCAACAATAGCAGACTCATCATCCACTCAACATGCAGATTTAATCTCCAAAGACAAGAGAATAACAGAGTTGGAAAATCTCAACCAACAATTGAATGTACAGGTGTCACAACAATCACACAAAATTCAACAATTACAACTAGTTCAACAACAATTTTTACAACAAACGCAACAACTCCAACTTCAAATTCAGAACCATACATTGACCATTCAACAACATAACCAAAAGGTTCAAGAACATGAGAATCTTTGGAAAGAGGAGAAAAACATCACGACCCAATTAACAAAAGAGCTTTCAGACACCAAGGAACATCTTCGAACGACTACAGATGAACTTCTTCAAGCTCGCTATAATTTACAGGCCCAAGCAACACAAATTGTACAACATGAAGAAAAAACCAAACAACTAGAAAAAGAGAAGAGTATTTTACAAACCCAACTTGAAGAGTGTAAAATAGAGTTGGATAGTTTCAAGATTGATCTCACCACTGAACGGAACGATCATCAAAAACAGATTGAACAATTCAAAATTGAAAATAATATTTACAAGCACCAACTAGAGCAATCTAGGAGCGAGTTTAAACATATTACCACTGAGATGGAACAAGTTCAAGCTCAATCACAAGGATGGAAAGAAAAATTTACCAAAAAACAAGCATTGGTTATTGATTTGCAAATGAAAATCCAAGAAAAGAAGGAACAAACTGAACAAATGATGGCTCAATTTGAAAAGGTAGAATCACAATACAAGGAAAAAATAGCGAATTTAGATACACAACTCTTTCAATCGAACCAAACAAAAGAACATCTCAAAAAAGAATGTCTCGAACTTCAACGAAGAATCAAGCACGATTATGAACCATATCATGAGAAGGGTAAAATGTATGATGAGACGAAAAAACAATTAGATCAACTTAAAAATGATTATTTGGAATTGGAGAGAAAATACGACACGATCAAGACAAAGAATATTGATTTGAATGTTAAAAATAATTCTCTTGAGGAGCAAATTGCAAAGCATTTAGAATATATTTCGAATTTAGAACAACGAAGTAAGGACCAACATCAAGAAATCAAAACTCTCACCAAACGCAACGACAAGCTCCATCACAGTTTTGAACAGTTGGATCGAAAATTTATTTCATTCTTTGTCAATGACATTTTCAATAATCTTTACACGACTGATTTCAAGTCAAGATATGAAGCTGCATGTGAAACACTCTCCCAACTTGTACACCTTCAAGACGAACATGAAACTTTGAAACAAAAATATCAAGACGAGAAACTTGAACTCCAACTTCAACTCAAAAAATTGAAAAATCTCAATATTGACCTCAAGAAACAACTAGAGGAAACGATCAAGGTGAAAAATTCTACACCTTCTACACCACGAGGTGATTTTCAAGAATATGCTCAATCGCATCCGTCTCCCTCTGCAGTATCTGTCAACAGTTCATCTCCTCAATTGGTGGAAGCACCTTCAGCTGAAACGGAAGCTCTGTTAGGACAATTACAGAGTGACAATGCAGTGCTGTTGGAGCGAATTGGAATTTTGCAACAAACGAATTGGGATTTACAAGAGAAACTTCGACTCATCAATGATCGACAGATTGTTTTAGTGGACGATTTGGAAAAGAAACAATCTCTGTTGGAATACTTTTATTCACAAATACCATTGGGAAGGTTTACATCACCAGAACAAGAGAATGTAAATAGCAAGAGCTTGTTGTCATCCTTCTTTTCGTCCTCAAATTCTTCAAAGAAGGAAGTAAGTCCGCACAAGGCGTCTCTTTCAAATCAAGGATTGGATCCTATTTCACTGGAGGCGTATCATCACATGCAACGAGTCATGCAGGATACTTTGTTGCATAACATTACGCTTCAAAAGCATATAGAAATGCTTGGGGAAGAAGTAGATCGGCTATCCAAAAAGCTGGCAAACACATCCAAATGAATGTGACTTTCACAAAGACTCGGAAAGAAGCTTCTTACTGCATCATCCACCACCGTTTGAGATGTAAGGTTGCATGATGTATATATAACCATCCTTTAATTAGTGGAAAACTTTGTCATGAAGATTTCAAACGTCTTAGTGTCAAGATTTGCTGCTATTATATTATATTATATTAAATTATTGGGTGAATGACATTTATTGAACAGAGGAATATAATTTATTGGATGATGTCGAAAAACAAAATTATGGAGAGGGGTAAATGTTGCGATGAATTGAAATGGCCAAAAACATTAATCATTCTTGTTGAGCAGCAACTTTTTCACTTTCGTCAAGTTCTCTTCAACTTTTTCATTGAGGGCAGCAATGGAAGGATGCGAAGCCACTCGAGACACAGATTTCTGAAGCTCCAATTCAATGCCTCCCTTTTCTCTCAAATTGGTAGCACCGTAAATCTTATCCATATGAGGTTTTTCAACTAGCTTGACAAACAAGTAAGTGGCAAATTGAGACAAGACAGCCAATCCCAAAACAGCCCACGACTTGGCAATTAACGCCATACCAAAGTATGCACAATAACCAAGAACAATTTCAGGATTGTTCAAATATCTGTAAATTCCAGTGTACGATGGTTGTTTGCTTTGTTGTGTCTCCTGATAGAAGAAGTCTCCATAAAACCATCCATAGTCTCCCAAAACTTCATAGGTTGAGGTAGATTGATAAATATTCAATAAAATCAAAATAATTCCAGCAACCAATTGTGTGGCGTATTGCCATGTCATGAGTTGAGAAAATCCTTCGTAGTAATAGTCGGTAGTTGCAGATCCACTACTATTATAATCCACCCATAAGAAGGTTGTAATAAATATTTTGAGTGTCAATGCGATCATAATAGCATGATTAATGGTCAAAGAAAAGTTGTAAAGCCTCTTAAAGAAGCTAAATGCTTGTTGATTGGTACCACCACTCTTTGTGAATCGTTTGGTGAATGCTTGGTTCTTACTTTGTCCGTATAAAATGTATCCCATTCCTAAATGGTGAATCAATCTCCACAATACAGCGTGACAAATGGCAACAAAGAAAGGAGCTGTTAAGGAAGTGAACATGGCGTACACGGTGATTACAACCAAGAGCAAGTCATCAGGGTGTTTGAAAGGGTTCAAATTATAGAACAAAATTGGTTCACGCTCTGCCTTTGAATCTTTGGATGTCTCTGGTGTGCTCATGCCTCCATAAATCTTTTCAATGTGAGGATTTTCAACAAAGACCAAGAAAATTAATTGCAACATGTGAGCACAAAATGACACAACCAATACTGTGTATGATCTTGACATGATGGAAACTCCATAATAGAAACTATATCCAACACTGTACATTGGATGAGGGAACATTTGGAAAATGCCGTCGAACACTAGATTCTTGTCTAACAAGAAGAAAAAGTCACCCCAGTACCAAGCATAGTCTCCCAAAACACGGTGAGCATCGGACTTGGCCCAAATATTGAATAAACAGAGAGCAACACCAATAGCATATGAAACAATTTCATAAAAACCAATACTAGTTGGAAGTTCAAAATATGCCAAGCAAAAAACAATGTAACCTGCCAAATCGCTACTCAAAATAATGTCAACAACTGTACGGTAAACCATCCAAGCTGTAAAATCCAATGGATATTCATCTACTTTGTACTTCTCGTGCTTAACCTCGCCCTTCTTTCCACGAAGAGATAAATTGGCCTCCAAAAATGATTTGTTGTTCTTCACCAGTTGTTGGACGTATTTGGTGAATTGCTTTCCGTTAGACTGTGTAGACAGTATGTATCCGAGACCACAGTTATAGGCCAATCTCCAAAATATATAATTCACCAAAAAGAACTATTTCAAATGTGTGTTCAAGTCATGCCAATAACAGTGTGTTTAAACATGATGTTGGTGTTTGGTTCAAAGATGTTGAGGAATCACGTGTTGAACACGTAGCAGTCAAATGCGAAGTTGTTGTCATTGAGTAAATATTTGATGATGCAATTAATGATAACATTCAATGAATTTCATTCAACCGAAAACACAATATTTTCATTTAGAGAAAGTTGAGAATGAGCCTCATGATATCAACCAATAAAACCTACCCATTTAGGAAGTAACCCTGTCAGGAATGATATTGAATAAAAACCAATTAAAAACAATTCAAGTATGACTGGAATTTCAGTCCACTTTTGTGGATGAGTAAAAACATCGGTACAATCGTACGTCAGTGGTACACTAAACCTCTCTTTCGTCGTTGTACAAATTCCCACAGCTTCTTCCTCCTTTGTTGTTGATTCATCCTTCTTTTTAGCACTATCCGATGATGATGGTGATGATGAGGTAGGAGAAGAGCCAGGCGACGAGTTGTTGTGAGAGTCTTGCTGCTGGACGCTTACCGACATTTTTTGGAAGAGTCTCGATTCATGATGACGTGTTGGGTGTCTGGTCTCCAACAAGAAATTCAAAGGACTCGCTCGAGAATTTCCAGGAGAATTGAATTTTGAAACATTCACAAAGCTTTTGAAATGACTCTCTCTGAAAGGAAAATTTATTAGCAAAAATTCACTCACACTTCTTCTCGTTACAATGTAATAAGGAGGACATACAATGTAGCACCTTACACCTTACACTTTAGTGCTGTTTGCAATGGCACGTAGTCCAAAAAGGAGATACAAATAGCACTTAACACTGGAGTGTTACTGGAGTGCCAAATGCAAACAGCACTTGACACTGGAGTGCTGAGTGTCATCAGCACCTGTAATTTCGAAATAATATAAACATGCTGCACGGCATTTCGAAGAACTGATCGTATCAATAATTTTCGAAATGTGATTAATATTTGGATTTGAAACTCAGGTGAAGGTCGATGATGTCAAAGATTGGACCAAGTTTTGGACTGCTGTGAAGAGTGGAGAGTTGGTTTGGACGACGATTGGGAGAAAATATTTTCGGTGATGGCCCGTCTAATTCCAAAATCAACGTACACCTTGAATAATACACGTGAGTGGATAAATGCGAACATCAAGACGTCAGTTAAATATACGTGGCTCCATCGTTGTACACTATGATCTACAATTTGCAAGAAAGAAGATAACAACGAAACGTAGATGGTTGTCGATATTCCATCTTGGTAAAAGATACTGAATGTGAAGAATATGCGTTCATGCAACTAAGGTCGTGATGATGAACATCACCGCTTCACCAATTGTTCTCTATCGTTACTCGCAACAAGGGACCGCTCAATAGCAGCAGCACGAATTACCTTCCTTTTTGTGTGATTCGTGGCACAGTTAAACCATTTCGTAAAGAGGTGACGACGATGGATCAGGAAAATAAAAAAAATGAGTAAACAACCCGAACACCAAAAAGATATTGCTCACCATCATCATCACCATGAGGATCATCATGATTGTTGTTGTGGATGTCATCATGAGAAGCCTCTTCAACTCTTCAAAATGTATCCCGAGCTAGAAACCATCACTCCCAATGACGCCAAAAAATCCCGACTTCATGAATTGTTGGTAGATGATAACAAGTTTTTGTGGAGTGGATATCGAAAGCTTCCAGTTAATGATTTCAAAAGGTCCTTCCTCTCAATGTTTACACTTCATAATGAAACTGTAAATATTTGGAATCATTTGATACCCTCTTTAATTTATTGCGTGGTTGCTTTCTATATTGACCACTATGTTACATTGGTAAACCCAAAGGCAAGATGGACCGATAGAGCTAGCTTTATTTTCTATTGTGTAACAGGTATTTTCACATTTGGATTCAGTGCCATGTATCACACTTGGAGAATGAATAGTGTGAATGACTATCATTTTTGCTTGCTATGTGATATTAGAGGAATTGTGGTATTGGTTTGCGGAGCCAATGCTCTCAGTATTACTTTGCAATTGAAGGATTATGAATATTTGCAGTATATTTATTCGATCGTGAATATTGCTCTAGTTATATTTTTCATATTTTGGATTAAGAAGATGGTTCGAGAGAGATTGACCAACCAGAGAACTCTCTACTTTACTCTTTACAGTTTAATACCATTACTAACTTTGGTTCATCGTTTCATTTTGCAATCAAGTACCACCAAGGATTTTGTAAACATGGTGATTTACTGCATTTTACCAAGATCTTTCCATGAGCAATTCGGAATCTCGCATGCTCATGTCAACATGAACATTAAGGATATCATGTGGCACAACAATCATTCCAGCAACTCACATTTTCCAAACGGCGTTCTTGATGTGAATCATGACTTGACCCAGTTGTACATTGCAAACTACTTTTTATTGGGATTTGGAATGTTTATCCGAGGATACAAAGCACCAGAGCGTTGGATACCATTCAAATTTGACTTGTTTGGAGCAAGTCATCAAATTTTCCACTTTTTATCAGTTTACACAAGTTGGCTTATTGTTCATGGATTTTATGTCATGTACTCAAAAGGAGCTTTTCCAAATGAACATTTATAAGTAAACCATTGGGATCGTCATTGATTGATCATGGAGAGTACTCTTTTTTTGTAGAACAACACATACTTGAACAAAAGGTCTCTAGGAGATCTTGGCTCTTTGTCCCTTCCGCATGCCATCCACTGAATTTCTGAAAACACCCTTATTTCTTTTTACCCTCAGAAAATGAGTCACTCCAATTTAGTTTTGAAAGGTGACGCATCTCGTTTCTCATCATTAAAAAAAATTTTACGCTTGGGCCTTCAAGTCAACCCATTTTTATTGACTTCAACAGAGAACAATTTTTCATCAACCGATTGTGTGTTTGAACCGAAACAACAAGAACAACATTGTTATTGATTTTCATCACACACGGATTGATTCATTGTCACTCGAGCGTTTATTCAATTTTCTGATTCATTTATTCAATTTTCATCATTAATTATTATCAACAACAAGAACAATAAGAACAACAACAAAAAACAGGATGAAAACAAAATCCGTCGTGGTCTTTGCATTATTCGCATCATTGATGGTATTGTTCATGATCATGGGTCATGTCCAATCAAGTCCAGACTCTGACGACGCAGCACCAATCAAGTCTTCTTCTTCTCTTGAACTCACTGTTGAGAATATTGAACGAGGAAGCAATTCGGAAGAATCTTACTCTCAAAACACAACGTGTTGCAATACTTGTCCAAAACCAGAGATCATTGTCGTTCCAAAATGTACCGTCATTAAAGTGCCCGTACGAATTCCTTATCCTGTGTTTAAGCCCATCCCAAGACATGATGAAACCAAATGTCCCAACGGTTATGAATTTGTCAAACCAAATCAATGTAAAAAGACCATTGTGATTAAGAAGGAAGCAAGTTGTCCAATTGGATTCGTACGTCTCAGTGAAACTGAATGTTTACGAGTGATTACCATGTGCAATGGAGGTGATTCAAAGGATTCATGTCCATCTGGATATACCGAATTTCAAGTGGAGGAAGATTCCAAAGAGTATGACAAGTTAAAGAAACTTGAAAAACAAGATAGAGCCTCAGTGTTCTTTACCAAAGTCGTTGAAGGTTTAGCGTTTGGATGTAAGAAGGATCGTGGTCATGATCATCACTTTACATGTCCTCGTGGATATTATCATCAAAATCCATATCATTGTGTCAAGGTTGTGGAATGTCCAAAGAAGGGTGGATGGATTCGTACCAAGGATGGTCGATGTGTTCGAACCTTGTTTAAATGTCCAAAGGGATACAAGAAACTTGGACGATTTGGTTTGAAATGTATCAAGATGAAATTGAAATGTCCAAAAGGATATAGACAATCCAAGAGATCTCCTCGATTGTGTTTAAAGACCAAGATTATCGTCAAGATTAAGTGTCCAAAGAGAATGATCTATAGTGAAACTAAAAAGACATGTATTTGGAAGAAGTGTAGAAATGTCAAGTGTAAGACTGATTTGAAATGTCCACCAGGTCAACTTCCAAAATTGAGATCAAGAAAATCATGTTGTCCAACTTGTGCTCGTTGTGAATGTGGATCTTCATTTAATCCTGTTTGTACACGAGAGGGTGTCACAGTATTTAACTTGTGTACAGCTCAATGTTTGGGATTGGAAGTTGTTCATGAAGGATCTTGTACCTCGAAGGAAATTCAAAAGATTCTCAAGATTTGTCCACCATGTGAACAATGTAAGAATAAGAAGAGACGTCCAGTGTGTGGTGTTGATGGTGTTACTTATCCAAATATTTGTGTGGCTAAATGTGTGACCAGTGGTCAATTTGTTTTGAAGAGAAAGGGTGAATGTACCAAAGCTGATTGCAGTGAGGGATCTTCTATTACGATGGTTTCAGAGTTCCTTCCATTCTTTGAACGAGTTTTGAAATCTCAAGCAATCAATAAGAAGAGAAGACAAGAGGAAGATGAGGATTAAACTCTTTTTTTAGTGGTATTACATTTACAGTAATGATGTGTGTGACAACATGCAACCAGTTCGAATGCGACTTTGATACTATGTTTCCATTCCAAACTGCCCTCTCCGTGTTGTTTCTTGTTGAATCCTTCTATGCAACCAAACAAACAACCTTGGGTTGCCGTTGAGCCTGTTGATGGTTGGTTCGACAACGGTTTCTAATTCGAATTCACACCAAAAAACGACCTTGTCAGATTCCAACTTTCAAAAAAAATATGATCGCTTTCGTGATGATCGAATATCCCGTTATTCTCAGTAACCAGAAAGATCCTGCTCTCTACTACATTAATCTGGGAAAAATCATAGAAGAAATCCGCAACGGAAGTCTCTCATACCACTGGCATACCGAAAGGATTTATGAAACAAGGCTCCAGTCACTCTCGCGAATCTGATCAAGCCGCAAACAGAACCATAGGGTATTGTCACACAATGTTCGAACCCGAAAAGAAATGATATTTCAGCCTGGGGTGCCCAAATTGTTTTGTTTACAGATGCCATGACCATAGAAGAGCAACTTATTCAAAGAGAAACCTTAGATAATTATTTTCATCACTGGATGTGATGAATACACACAATAAGTCCATTGCGTACATCGACTTGTAAATAAACAGTTCTTCTTCAACTTGTTTTTGTTTAACAAGATCATGTTTCAGTATGTCTGTTCTTTTGCCATCATGTCTGCAAATGAATATTTATTGTTGACCACCCTAATAGAAGGTTTTTTGGAGGTTCAACAAAGAATTGATTAAAAAAATGGTCAAACATCAACAACGTTCCTTGATGCGTCGTGGTCGGCAAAGAAAAGAACACGAAAAGCAACGGAAAGGAGCGTCCTCTAGGAAGGCTCAACAATTGGAAAATATCGGAATGATGGCAGCCAAGGGTGTGGATGAATCTGCTCGTGTTTATGAGATGCAATTTGAGCAAGGTCATAACAAACCTGTGAAAGGAAAGGAGGAAAAACATGTATCGTCAAAAAACAAGGCCGTCATTGCTTTTATGAATCAACAAAAGAATGCACAAAAATCATCAGCAATGAATGGTGATGATGCAAAACATACTTCTACACAACAACATAGGCGCAGATTGAATATTGACACGGATGCAACTACAAAGCAACAACGATCATCGGAACAACCACAACAACACTCATCAAGTAGTATGAATGATAGCGTTAATAGTAGTAGCAATATGAAGAGTTCACCTTCATCAACAGAAGAAGGAGCCTCACGAGAGAATGTAGGTTCTGTTCATTTGAGTCGACCAACAAGAGGAGCTCTTGTCACAGCAATTAAAACCGGAAATTTAGACCTTGTGCCAGACACATTGAAAGGTCTATCCAAGGATCATGAATTTACAAAAGCAAAACTGAAAAAGAAAGTCTATTGGAAAATGAAGAAGGAAAAAGAAATGCTCAAGAAATTAAAAAAAAATCTCAATAAGGAACTTGCATTAGAAAAAAGCAAAGTAAAGAAACACAAGATGAAGAATGCCAAATTCGAAGATTTGGATGAATTCCTCGATGAAAAAGAATATCTCAAGAATGAACGAAAGAAGAGAGAAGCTCTCATGACGCTAGAAAAGGACGAAGTGGCCGATGAAGTCACCTATGATTCTGATGACATGCTCGAGCAAAAGAGAGATGAAGTTGCATTTGGTGAAGTCGCACAAGAGCCTCCTCGACTCTCAAAATTAAGAAGCAATTTGGAAAAGAAAATTGAAAAGAAAAAGCAAGAGGATGTTGAAATGGAAAAGATGCGAGAGGCAGAACGAAAACGAGTCATGGAAAATTACAATAGAAACAGACTGTTACGACAGCAACAAAAAGAGGCTGGCACTGCTCCTACAGAACAGTCTCTCATGCTTGACAAGTTAAAGAGTTTGGCAGCTCTCAGGAGTATGAAGTTAGAGTAGTGCCAGCTTGAAAGCCTTATTTTCATCATGCAAAGAAACAAATCGAATGCAATACGAATCATTGGCTTAGTATCTAAACCAACAATCCCGTTGATATCCCTATGGAATCACCCGTGAGTAAGTGAAATAATTTAAAAAATAAAATTTTGAACCCACAAATCTTGCTTGCTATTTTTGTTTGGAAACTTGGTGAAGGAAACAAAGGAACGAGATTCAGCACTAACCAATCAAAACTCCAAGTCTATGGTATGGAGTATTCTCATTATGGAACGAGAATGCAACTGTTCGCGTAGACAAAATCGAAAACTTCGCGATATAACTCGGGAAAGTTTCATTCCACCTTTGAAACTACGCCTTAACGTGTATCTCAAACAATCCTGATCTGTTTTTTGTGGGTTTGCTTTGTTAGTCATATATTGATATTTTCCTTGGTGCGGATTTATATCTGTTTGTCCTAAATCTCCGTTTTCAAACGCAATAAATTCTCACGCATGTTTTATCTTGCACAAGTCAAAAACAAAATGTCCTCTCCATCCATCCAAAACACTCAAGAAGAATACGCAATTCTGGGAGGTAAGTTTCTCATCATTGGGTTATTTTTTCGAATGCATATCTTTACAAATAGCCACACAAGGCATCGGAAATGAACTTCTCAAACTTTTACTCATCCGAGGAGTGAAAGTCCGAGTGTTGGCTCGAAATCCAAGCAGTCTTTCCCAACTTGCCTCCAATCCTTTACTTACCATTGTCAAGGGAGATGCTACCAATGCAAAAGATGTTGAAACACTCATCTCTACTTCCCAATACAAATTAAAAGGAGTATTTTGTGCATTGGTGTGCATCAAAACATTCCTACGACAGTGGTCGAACAAGGAACTGTCAATGCCATTCAAGCCATGAAAAAACATATCCCCAATGAGGAAACACATTTCGTATTGATCACTTCGGCAGCCTTGATCGAGAATGAGGAACAACATCCATGGTTCTATCGAGTCCTCGTTAAGCAATACTTGTTGAATCACAATTTGATGACATGAAAAGAGCTGAAAAACAACTTGTGAAATTATGTGAAAATTCAAACATTACGTATTCCATTGTTAGACCTCCAGATTGGTCGATTCATGTCTCACTCTCGATTATGAATATCGAATTGGAAATGATTTTTTGAGAAATGCGACCAATGTCATGTCTCGAGCAGATGTTGCTGCTTTCATGCTTCGATGTATGTTTGACCAAACATTGAAAATATCTGCAGGATCCAATCAGATATTCAATGTCGACACGAAACGAGTCCTTCCCAAGGAACATGACAGTAATTTTGGTCTAATGACCTTACTGAGATGGACTCTCCCTCGACATCAATACCTCATGATCAAAATGGGTGTGCATTCCATTCAAATCGCTGGTGTGGCCATGCTCGCTTATTACTTTTTTCCTCAACAAGTGAGTGGATGGTGGAATGCTCTCAGTACAAGTGCTGTCAGGTTTTTTGGAGTTTCATCCACGGGCTCTGATCACAAATGAACTCACACCACGCGTCACATCACCAATAAATCGTGATGCATCTTTTTGTTTAAAAATTATAATGAGATGGGACAAGCAATATGGCATCCAACGAATGAAGATGGGCAAATTCACAATAGCCATCCTCATCTTTTGTAGTTTAGCGATCGTTGTGCTGTTCATGACGAATTTCATGAGTATCACGAGAAGAAGATTATTCGGAAGAAGAAAATCCTTTCGTCGTGCCCACAACTTGTCGATTCAGAAGAAATCTTCTACTACTGCACCATCATTATGTACTCTCCAATTTCTAATCATGACAGCTCCGAGAGAAAATTTAAAACGACTCGGTCATTCTCCTTTCATGTATCTCAATAGAACCATGAAGGGTATTTTAGATTTGGAAACTGTATTCTTCAAGCCCTGTATCACCTTGTTGAACGTGAAAGGAAAGAAATTTAGGAAGGAATTGGAATCTCTATATTCTTTTGAAAAGAGAAATGAAAATTCCGAACGTATGATAACCATTGTAGATCTTGATGAGAAATCTCAACGTGATCTTGTGTTTACTAGTGTGTTATTACCTCTGAAAAAGAAACAACATTTAAATGATTTTTATTCGATTTTTAATCAAATCAAATTTAACTATTTGGATCAATTAGTCATGATCATGGAAGATGATTTTGTCATGTGCCCTCAAGCAACACAGCATCTTGTTTATATTATTCATGAAATGGATCGGCGAAAATGGAGCGGAGTTCGGGTTTCCTTTGGCTTAAATGGTATCATGATGAACGGAAATGATCTCTATGCCATGGTTGAATTTTTAAGGCAACACACTGGACGAGCAACTCCTGTCGATTGGTTGCTGGAAGAGTTTTGGAATCAATTCGATGAGATGGGGATGAATTATTTTGGAAAATCGAATCGAACGTTTTACACGTATCGTTTACAATTAATGGAACACATTGGAGTGGAATCATCATTGGGTCATGTACGTCATAATGATTTGGATTTTCCCAAGTGTTATGAAGCTCAAATTGCTGCCAAGTTAATGTTTCATTTCAATATGGATCAGTGTTCACACTCCATGTTTTCTCCATGTGATGAGGTGGAGCTTGAATTAAATTCTGAATCGCGTACTGAGATGAGGAATACACACGGGAAATCCTCAATCGATCAACCATCACGACCACGACTAAGCAGCAACAACAACAACAAGTTGTTTCTCTCACTCGCTCATGATCAATTCCATGAAACCCAAGCTTTCACGCCCTCTGCAACCTTCTCACTTGCTCATTTCAAATCCAATGTTCAAGCCATTTTCTGTCAAGAAGGAGAATCCTGTGAGCATTGTTGTCTTCGTCATGGAAAGAAATGTGATGGTACCTATTTTCCTTACATTAATCACTGCTCTGAATTGAGAAAGTACAAACCCAATTGTAATTGTCAACGAGAAAAGTATTTAATCTCACGTGCACCATACATTACGAGAAATGTTTGTTTCATTGGTACACGACCAAGTCGATTTGATTGCACGACAAGCAAATTCATGAGTTCAAGATTGTGTCCATGCACTTGAAGTGGTTATTTTCGAACTACGAACAGAATTGCAAGGAGATTTTCTATCCATGGAGAGTTCAATGTCCCAAGAAATGCAAGAGAAAGACGGTACATGATGACCACCCGCCAAATTATTTTACAAGTTTAAAAAAATGAGGAAAACCACAACAACGACATTATCAACGACGACGAGTAGCAACAGCTCTGCAAGACCAGGAGGCTCAAAAGGGATTTCTTCTCCGAACATGTTGGGCAAGTCATCGGGAGGTGTTTCTGGCACTGCCTCCTCACAGAAGCGCTCTCCATCCACTGGGAAAGCATCATCTACAACTTTGAATCGGACAACAACACCCTCTTCAACAACACAACCACCAGAATCGAAACATGTCAAGAGATTCACTCAGGAACGATATGACAAGCATAAGACAGCAAATCCTTTCACGGCAAAAAATAAGTTTAAAACAACCTTTGGAGGCGTATATGAAGCTGGTGGAATACCTTGTAGAATACAACACACCGCAGCAAATATGCATTTGAAATGGGATCAAGATCCTCAAGACATGTTTTCATACGACCCATTAATTGTGACTATAGCGGATGGCCTTAGAGAAACGGATCATCCTTATATTGTCATGGTTCAAAAAGCAATTGTGGATTTATGTACTGCTCCTGGAGCGAAAGAAAAAATTGAACCCTTGCTCCGACAAATTGTTTCATACATTAGATTGGCTCTCCAAAGCAAGGAGGAAGTAGTTTTTGATAATGCCTTACTGGCCATCACTCAAATTGTTTCATGTGTTGGAAGTTCTCTTGCTCCTCACCTTGCCCAAATATTGGTTCAAATCAGTAAGAAAATCTTCGACAAGAAGTATGCTCCAAAAATACAAGAATTACTGAGGCACATTGACAGGTGTTGTGATAGTGATGAGGTTGTACGGCTGATAAAGTCAAAAGTACCAACGTACATCTCTGTTCGATAAACATATGTTGTCAAGTTTCATTCGATTGTTTTTGTGGAAACCGAAATAGTGCAACAATAGTCGTTGTGCTAACTATCTCGTTATGCTTCACTGAAATATCACTTGTCACCACACTGTTTGAAAAACATCAAAAAAATAATTATCAACTGGAAGCACTATTCCATATGATGAATTTCAAAAGTGGTGTTTCGCTCGGTCAGCTCAACGATGACTACAATCAATTGAGTAGAACAAAAAACAGGCTAGCAGCCAAAAGAAACATTTTAAAGACCTCCAGTGATAACCCTCTCGATTTCAAATCAACCATTCTCGACTCTAAATTCGGTGGTTTATCATTCTATGAATCGGGTTTGTTCCCGGTCAATGTTGATGATCAATTCACGTTTTTAGCAAGTGATGATGAAAAAGTTATTTTACATGGTAAATTAGAACCATGCCGATACAAAATGTTTTTGGAACGATCTCAAAACAATACAAACGAAGCAGTCACGATTCATATCGAAGCTTTGGAATTGTCATTGGATTTGGAAGCAGTCATGACACAACGAGAGCAGAAATGGACCACTGAGTTTAATTTATTTAGAAAGGATGGTGACGTGCAACGGGTAAGTTGTGTGTGTTCAAGTCGAGACATTCGAGTGAGCTTTTTTTCCATGAATTTGTTGAAACCATTCACTTGTATATATATTCATTTATTATATGATCGATCTCACACATACTACTCTTATGAAACAATGATTTATTTTCTTCACATGTGACAGGATAATTTAATAACAGTATTGATAAAAGTCTCTCGATCTGCTACAGGAACAACTTCCTCCTTCGGATTTCAACTATATAAAAAGAAGGATGTGGTTCATTCCACTAAATTGAACATGAAACAATTAAAGAAAATTCCAGTCTCAAATATTGAACCAGGAATTTATGAAGTGGTCGTGCATCCAATTGTGACTGATGGATTAAATCCATTAAATGTCAAGATTTCTGCGTACGAAGAAAGAAGCTCGACATCCACATCGACAGGAACTACAGGAACGTTTTTAGAAGGTTCTCAAGATCTTGTGGCACTCAGTTCAAGATCGTACCTTCATCATGAAGTGGCACAAGGAGTTGCACAAACTTCTGATTGGGCCTCTGATCGATTTATTATTTATGGTAGAAGTAACATGACTACTCCTATTACTGCTCACATTTCTGTGTCTGTTTCCTTGTCAAAACCACTCGCTCAAGACTCTTACCTCAATGAGTATAAAGTATTTGTGTATCGAGTTGGTGACGACACACGTAAGTATAGGTTATGCCCAAGAAAATAGACTATAATACTGGTATACTAATATTTGAATGATATTCATCATTAATTTTTTGAAACTTGAATGTTCATTTCAATAATATATATAATTATATCAATATATATTTTACATACAACATTCGATAGCTGTCATGGAAATTTCACAACACGAACTCGGTCAATTATGTACTCACTTGGTAACAAGAATTTTCTATGCCTATAACGTTAAAAAGAGCGTCAAAGAATTGGATGATATCATTGCAGTTTGTGACAGTTATGGTACTGTTCAAGACAAATCCAAAAATCAAAACGATCAAAACTCCATATCGGTACGACCTGAGCCAATGGTTAAAGTCAGAGAAATTGCTGTCAACAAAAAAGAACAATTGATTGATTATTTCCGACGAAACAAGGAAATTAAAAAGGGAATTGAAGAAAAGAATCTCACCGTTCTTCTCAACTACATGAGAGACAAAACGACCTTCGATGAAGCATTACCTCTCACAAAAGAAGCTCAACAAGTGGTTCAAGAAATGGAAGCAAAAACCAAGTTTGAAAACGAAATTTATGGAATTTTACAACAAGAAGCACTTCGATTCGCTAAAAAACATCCTCATTATGACATTCAAGAAATTTTCGCAGAACATGATCAAACCTTGGAAAAGTATTACAAAAGTATCCAAAAAGAAGAAAAGGAAAATGGAGGCAAAAATTGTGGACCCATGTCCTATGTTCTGAAAACATTGTATGAAACGATCAAGTTAGTGAAAGATGAAATTATGAATAATCACTTGGAATCATCAAAGAAGGATCTCATGACCAAACAAGTGGTGTGGAGAAGGATGGCTCAAACATCGTCAGACGATCAAGATCGTGACGAATGGAAAGTGAAATTGGATAATGATGAAGATGAAGTGTTCTTCTTTGAAGAAGAATATGAAGATTCTGATGACGATTTGGATTTCGATTCTGATGACGAAAAGAAGAAACCTGAAACACCAACCAAGAAGGGTGCTAATCCTTTATTGGGCAAACTCTTCTCATCACTTTCAAAACCTCCCAGCAAATCAAATCTCAATTTAGGTTTTATTGCATTGATGGGATTTGCCTTGTATAATACTGATCAAATTGTTCGAAAAGAAGGTGACAGTAATACAATGGTCAGCAAATTATCACAAGAAAATTTCATGTCCATCTACAGAGTCGCTCGTTATGTCATTGTTTACGGTTTGAGACATGTCAAGAAAAATTCCATAGTTCAAGAAAAGCTTACTGCTGCCATTGTTGATCAACTCACTAGTAAGATTGAGTTCACTATCAATTCTCTTGAAAAATATTTACCAAAAGAAGAAGTGACAAGAATGAGAAAAATCATTTATGCCATCAATGACAGAAACGATGCACGATTCGAGTCACTGCTCACAAAGAGCGAGCTCACAGCTTGGAAAGAAAAGAAACAACGAGAAGAACGTTCCTTTACTTCTATTCTTCAAAGGAATTTGGATTCTCCAAAAACACCAAAATCACCTGTGGATGAAAGTTCTATTCGTAAAATTGAAGACAAGCCATTACCATTGCCAGCAAAAGTCACAAAGGATATGAGTGACTCTGATGACGATTCATCCATCGATATTAGTGACAGTGACGAAGAATCTCCAAGAGAGAAACCAAAGAAAGACAATACTCCACAGAACAAACCTCAACCATCACAACCTCCACAACCTCCACAAGTGATTGAAGAAGTTGCAGAAGATGAAATTGTTGTCAAATATGATATTACTGGCATTGATCAAATTCCACATTTGAATTTAACGAATCCTGAAGAATTCATTCAACTCTTTGTCAATCAAGTGGATTTACTCGTATTTTATTTGGAGAAACAAGTCAAGCTCACTGGAGCATCATTGGAATCTCTGTGTGATGAACATAACAAGGATAATTTAATTTCTGCCTACTTTAGAAAATCCATCTTACCAGCATTTCGAGCGTTGTTTATTGGACCATTTGAAAATCCAGGAGATGTTTTCACCAATGAAGAAGCATATAATTTTAACTATTTACTTGACGTTGCAAGAAGTGGCGTTCAAAATGCAAACATTACTACCATCATTGAAGGAATTTTCAAAGTTCAAAAAGAAATTACCATCAATGATTTATGGTTGGAAGATCCTGATCATTTCAAATCCACTCGATTCAATGCATTTTGGTGTCATCTCTTTAACACAAAGAAAGCTCTTCCAGTTTTTGACGAAATTTGCTCACAAAATTATTATTCAGGATTCTATATTAAGAAACCACCAAAATTTGCACATCCTTTGGTGAGAGCAGCTTTTGAAAAATTATGTCAACTTCCACTCGCATTGAGTGGTGATCCATTCTTGAATCAATATGATCCTTGTGTCTTGGAAGAAGGTGAAATTATTGAAGAAGAACAAGTCTAGTTGAACAATAATGAGATTTAATCACGTTGATATTTTCAGAATGAAATTAAAGATATATTTTGTCAAGTGTTCAAACCATGTGGTTGTTGAAATATTTCTTTACAAAATTAAAATGACACACGGCGTGCAAATGTTAGCTGGAGTTAAACGCACTCTGAGTCGTCACTCTTAATTTCGCAAAGATTTTGTTTCATAAAAAACGATTTATTTCATTGTAAATAAGATTAACAAAAAAAATGAGAATGATCTTGATGGATCTTGTACTCGATGATGATGGTTCGGAGAGTCTCCGTGATGGAATTATGGATACTTTGGTTTCTCAAAATTATATGAAATTATGTAAAAAGATGAGGGATACTTCCATGTATCTCCGAAAAGGATTTGATGCGAAATTTGAACTTGTTGATCAACTGGTTTCCATTCATGATCATACAAGTCAAGCTAGTAATCATCAAGACTCGTCAAATGATGAGGAGAATGAGGACTCTACTTCAACTTTGTGTCCATTCGTGGTCCGAATTTGTTACACTAGAAACATGATCCTTGTTGGAAACGCATTGAAAGAAACAAACGCTATTGAGTTTTTTGATTTAAACTCAAAAAAACATTTACATACCATGGTAATAGAAAACGTACCTTATTATTTGTGCGTTGAAGAAAATGATGTATTTAGTAGCGGTGCAAAATCAAGAAGAGTGTTGAACGATGAACCTTGTTTTATGTATTCAGATGACTCGAATTTACGGAAATATAAATTGAATGAAATAACAAAGCATGGAAAGAAATGCAGAGAAGAGTTCAGTAATAACGAGTCTAACCATAGTGATTCTCCTAAAGTCAAGCATGAATGGAACGCCTTGTTTTCAAATGCCACATCAGTTACGATACAGTATTCAAAGAACAATGATGCAACTCAAAATATAATCTACATTTGCACGAATCGTGACATTAACATTCTGAATTCTGTGAGTGGAATAGTATTGGGAAAGATTGATATGAGCGCATCTCTTTCTAGAAATATCATTTGTTTAGAAATACTGGAAGAGAGTGGAGAATTGGTATTGTTTTCAAAAGACAGATTTTATGTGTTGCGTAAAAAAGTTGACAACGATATCAATAGTTGGGCAATCACCAAGGAATTTGGTCAGCAACACTCTGACTATCCCAATGTAGTAGATTTGGTTCATGATCGTGTGAACCATCAATTTATTGCATGTGATTATTCTTCTCCAGATGAAAAATTGCTTCTTTTTAAGGATGACGGCGAATTTGTGAAAATCCAACCGCAAGTTGGTTCAGTGACATGCTGTTTGGACGAGAGAGATGGCATTTTGATGGTGGGGTGTAAAGACAAAATATTGTTTTACAAGTAAGGTGTGCACACCAATGAGGAAGTCAGATGTCGATTTAATGAGCTTAAGACCAATTTGATTTCTTCCTCAGTTTTTGTTCAAATCAGGAGGTCTGTAAAAACGGAGAGTTATCTATGATGCTATGCTCTTCAACATGTCTTTAGACCTTTCTTTCAGTGTTGTTTGTTATTTATTCGTGAAATCACTTATAGTAAAAGAGTTGGTTCCGTTTGACAGTAAAACCTTTTGTTTTTCTGCTAAAGCTGCCATGGAAGCAGGGATGCTTTCAGCAACAACAACTAGGCAATACACCAACATCTAAAATTGTTATTCTTTTGTTCGAAAGCATATGAAATATCTGCTTTGTACGGACAACAAAATCCTTCTCCAATTGGACATGAATTTTTTAGGGAAGAATTTTAAGTCCTTACATGTTTCAAGAAGAGTTTCAGATAACATACCAATTCTCTCCAAACATTTCAAAGTAATTCGAAGAAAATTTCATGATTTCACGACCCTCGTTTCAGCACAATCTAAATTATTCAAATCAAAGCAAATGAAAAATCGCGCTCTTGCAAACTGTTAAACATTTAACTTTTAAAAAAATCCGATCGCAGTCATGTCGTTGAGCACCTCATCCTCACCCGACATTGGAGAGCCAGCAACAAGGAATGAATCATCCACAACAACACCGGACCCAAACCGAGAGATTCAAACTCTCAAAGCATTGCTCAGTGAGGCCATGGAGAGAATACAAACATTGGAAGATGTTTGTACTCACCTTAATCATGAAATGACCATCATGAAAAAGCTGATCACTGTTCAGGTGAATGAGGTGAGTCATACCATGGACAGTAAATTTACGGATATCATCAGGAGTGTGGATTCTAAAATTATGCAAACAGAGCAACGTGTGGATCAGGTTCTCACTCGTTTTGAAACTGCCCAAGAAGATTTCAACAAGTCGAGGGCTGAATCCGTAAAAAAGCTACACCATTCAGCTCTTCTAGTAACGCCCAAGAAATCATCCGTAACGAATACAAGTCATAATCGCTCTGATTTGAGTCTTCCTCCTTTTTCACCAATCTTGAGAAATGAAACGCCCCGAAACTCTACAAGCAAAGACCGACCTCCAACCATTGATTCAGATCATTCAATCACTCAATATCCAGATGATATGATTGTAAAAGTGCTAGAAAGTGAAATGTTTGAAAGCTATAAGGGTAGGTTGCATTCTCATCACCCCTAAGCACATTAACAAACGCCATTTGATAACGCTAGATATGGCATTGAAAATTTTCAAATATTGCATTTCACAATTGGCAGAGCTTCAAAAAGGAGAGGTCAGAAAAACAATGGGAAAAAAACATTTCATGAAATTCTTCACAGAGGGTAAATTGTCATGCGTGCTTAATGAAAAGAGCTGGAACTCAGAGTTGGTATGGGTGTCTGTTCTTAAACGTCTACGCATTGTGGACGTTTATTCTCCCTCTGGAAAGTATCAATTAACCTATGAACAGTTCGAAAAGGGCCTCTTTTTGGTAGCTCAAGAATTGAAAGACTCACAGTTAATGACCACTTCACAACGATTGGAATCATTAATGTTGCACATAATACCACTCTTCTCGGAATTAATTCAACAAAAAGAAGCGCAAGTTGGCTCGACACTAGATCATCACTCGTCGTTGCAAGATCATGATGTCACCAACCAGTCCCTTATCTTTGAAAACTTGGAGCGAGATATGGGACAGCTTGAGAGTACCTTCAAAAAGCATAGAAAACAGCTAAAAGCGATGTGGTCATTCTACAGCTGTGCTAAAAAACCAAAAACAAAACTCAAAACTCACCTTCATGGTCTCAACATTAAGGACTTGCTCGATTTGTGCCAGGTCTATGGTTTGAAGAGTTTAATAACGAAAGGGGACCTAGTCATTGTAAGTGTACTACTGCATGCAAATACCACGACAATCATGCTACTATTAACATGGATTTTCAGATATTTGAACAACGAATGGACATGAAAAAAACTGAGAGTTTAGAAGATAGACTCTCTTATTCTGCATTCGAACAAGTGTTGGTAGACATTGCAAACAAAATCTATGGCGAAAAACCATTTTCTAACATGTATCAAACCACAGAGTCACGACTGGAAAAGTTACTAAGCAAATTAGTCATGGCCTACGACGATCACAGGCTAGATAGGAGCACACAAGGTCTGTCATTAAGGTAAGTCCATTCACTGACACGTTCAGAATAACTTTAACATTACGTTTCGCATCGAATTAGAGAATATTAAACCGCCAAGTCACCGCTCGCAACTAGGAAAAGACAATACAATCATGTACAGTTCAAAATTGTTTTAATAGATGGTACTAATAATTATATAGAGGTATTATCGACTTCAAATAAAAACAAAGCTAGCTATTCAATTGTGTTATTGGACTACACATCCTTCTGACTCGGCTCTTTCAGGTGCCTGTTATTGTAGCATGATGGAAAATCGTTACGTATTGGTGCATCACGTTTTAATGAATATTGACGAAAACGATCATCTCAAACAAGTAAACATACCTTCAATGGGTTGATTTGAGAAAGGAAAACTAAAATCCACATGGACCAACAACATAAAGCAGACAAGAAAGTCATAGTTCTTATCAAACTATTAGAAGTCAACAATCATCATCACAACGGTTCATTGATAACATTCAGCAACAACAACAAATCACAAAATTCCGGAACAACAAATTCCAATAATTATTTTATCATCGTCATCGTATATTTACATACCCAGCCTGTTTACCGCACAAAATGGTGAAAGGCATGATGAAGATGCACAAACCCCAAAATACACAGGTGCCGATGATAATCGTTTTAGCGTCCTCGCTAAGAGCCATTTTTTTTAAATAAAAAAATTAAATATCGAATGTCCAAGTTTGTATGCAACCCAAGATTTTCTTCCAAGCAGCAATGGATAAAATAAAATTTATTGAATTAATTATTATTTAATTCTAGTTCCAACGAGTATCTAATAGGGTGTGCTTCTATTATAGAAGAAACAATTTTCAAGAGACGATCAACGAACAATGTTTTTTTGTCGTTTAGCAGAAAGGGTCTTGTTGCATCGGTTCAGAAGCAATGACAGCTCATGTTGTGAACATGGTCTATTAATATCAATCAGCTAAAAAATTTGCGTTCTTCGCTTGAATTTTTCAAACTCGCTCCTCGACATCATCATTGTTGGTGTGCATTGTTTGATTCATCGTCATCCCTCTCTTGTTGTAGCAACATCAAGCTAGCTTCGATCTATATTGCTCCTGTTGAGATCGGATTGATCTTCATCAAGATTAACCATTATTTTAATTTTACTACTAAAATATTGCTGTTATTTATCATCACAATAGTTGCAACTAATTCCAATCATATTTGTTGTATTTATCATTGCAATCAATCCTTGTAAACAATTATCACACTAGAATTATATCACATACTAAACATGGTTCGCGATCAAGATTATGGTCTTTCAGATAGTGATGATGAAAGAATGGAAGATGCTTACGATGAAGAGTTGAACATGGCTCAATTCAGAGTGAACAAAGCCGATGAAGAAAAGAAGTTACTTCAAAAACAGCAGGAGCTTGAAGAAGCCGCGCTTTACTATGAGCCTATTGACCCTACAAAAGAAGGTGTTTATCATGTCAAGTCTTTTGATGCTAACACTGAAAAGTGGAGATGGAAGGTTGATTTCTCAACTTTGCCTCCAAAGCATTACTCACCGGAAATCACTGTAGGCTCTCACAAGTTTAGATTACTTGTATTCCCAAACGGTAACGGTGTCAATTTTGTGAGCGTATATTTGGATACTTGCCAATCCACTGATGTAAAGCTTGTACGATTCCAAATCTCTATTTTGAACCAAAAGGACATTAGAGAATCATTTTCACAAGGTTTGTTTTTTATGTTTTCATATGGGTATCATTGACAACAAAATTTTGAAATGAGCAGACGCTGAAAAGAAATTTGGTCCTGCTGACAACGATTGGGGTTTTAAGGAATTTTTAGATCTAAAGCGACTCAATAGTGATGCAGGTTTTAAGGTAGACAATATAGTACATTTTGAAATTGTTGTCCATATCTGTACTCAACCATACTTGGTTGATCCAATTTCCTATGATTCAAGAAAGGAGACAGGATTTGTTGGTTTGCAAAATCAAGGAGCTACATGTTATATGGTAAGTGATCTTGTGAAATTGTTGAACAAGTGTCATGAAACATTTTTTCATTGTAGAACTCTCTTTTACAAACTTTATACCTTTTAACTTATTTCAGAAAATCTGTATACAAGATGCCTATTGATGAGAATGAGGAACCACAAGATAGTATTCCACTTGCTCTGATGAGAATTTTTTACAGGCTGCAATTTGACAAGACTGCTGTCGATACCAAAGAGTTAACCAAATCATTTGGATGGGATACAATTGATTCTTTTTTGCAACATGACGTTCAGGAATTGGCAAGAGTATTAATTGATAATTTGGAAAAGAAAATGGAAAAGACAGACCAAAAGGAGGTGATGAGACAATTGTTTGAAGGAATGTGCAAAAACTATGTCAAGTGCATTAATGTTGACTATGAATCATCAAGAAAGGAGCCATTCTATGATTTACAGCTCAACGTCAAAGGATGTAGAAATGTTTACGAATCTTTTGACCAATACATCTTGGAAGAAACTCTACAAGGAGAAAATCAGTATCAAGCTGAAGGCTTTGGATTGCAAGATGCCAAAAAGGGAACAATATTTTTAAAATTTCCACCAGTACTCATGCTTCACTTGAAGAGATTTGAATATGATTTCCAAAGAGATCTCATGTACAAGATTAACGATCGATATGAATTTCCACCAGAAATTGATTTAGGAAAGTACTTGAGTGAAGATTCCGAACAAAAGAAGGAAGACAATACTTTTGTATTGTTTGCTGTTCTTGTTCACAGTGGAGATGTGTCAGGTGGTCATTACTATAACTTTGCAAAGCCATTTGTAAACCAAGATCGTTGGTTCAAATTTGATGACGAGAAGGTTTATGAGGTGAATGAAAATCTTGCAGTTCATGACAACTATGGAGGGGAAGTTAAGAAGAGCAAATTCTTCTGGCTATCATCCAACACAAACTCCATCTACAAAAAGTTTACCAATGCTTACATGTTGCTTTACATCAGAAAGTCACAAATTGCTCAAATGATCTCTCAAGTTGAAGCTGAAGATATTCCACAACACTTGGAGGAAAGATTCCAAAAGGACCGAGATGAAAAGGAAAAGAAGAAGAGAGAAAAACTCGAGGCTGCCAAATATTGCAACGTAAAGCTTGTTAGAGATGAAAACATCAAACAAGCCGTCGAGAAACATGGAACAGGACTCGCAGACATTGATGAAGTTGAGCCAATGAAATTCCTTAAAGAAAATACTTTTGGTGACATCAAGAAGAATCTTCATGAAATTTATGGAATTAAAATGGAAGCTCTAAGATTTTGGAGATGGACAAAGAGACAAAATCATACATACCGTCCTGGTGATCTTCCAATGAAAATTAGTGACGATGAGGTTACGTTGGAAAGAAGATACCCACAAATCAAACAATTAGGAGGTTGTGTTGAGTTGTATGTTGAAGTTGCCAATGAGCCATTTGATGTTGTGAAGGATGAGGAAGACGTAGAACATACTCTTTGGTTCCCTGAGCCTTCCAACAAGTATTTACTCCTTTTTATCAAGGAATATGATCCACAGGAAAAGAAACTTATTTATCATGGGGCTGTATATGCAGAATTTAACCAACAAATTAGCAGCTTTATTCCTACTCTGAAAAAGCTTATCAACGCATCTGAAGAGGATGAGCTTGCTATTGTGGAAGAGATCAAACCCAAGATGATTGAGAATGTCAATATCGACTATACTTTTAAGGAAGCTCAACTTCAAAATGGAGATATTTTGACTATTCAAAAAATTCCTCCAAATTTCAATGTTGACCAATTTGAAATTCCATCAGCTAAAGCATTTTATGATTATTTGAGCAACCGTGTTTCTGTTGAAATTAGAAAGTTGGATGACCCTTCCAATACTGTCATGTCAGTAGAATTGTTGAAAAACATGGAATATCCAGAAGTAAGCCAAGCTTTGGGCCGTGCTCTACAAGTTGATGGTCAACATATCAGACTTTCTGGACACAACCCATACAGTGGCCATCCATTGGACCAACCTTTCAGGACGAATGCAAACTTAACCTTAAAAGATATGATTCAAATTGCACAAACAGGATCACCAACCAAAATTTTGTATTATGAGGTTTTGAACGAACCAATTCACGACGTAGAAAACAAGAAGGAATTGTTAGTCACCTGGATGAACACAAAATGTCAAGATGTTGAAAAGTTCAAATTCCTCCTCTATCCTGAACAAAAGATGGGAGAACTTCGACAAATGCTAGAAACCAAGTTATCTGAGCGTAAAGAAATGGAGAACTCTGTTATTGTGTTGTTGGTCATTTCAAGCTCTAAGATTACCAGATTAGTCAATGATGAAGATCTTGTTAAATCAGCTCCATCTGGAAAGGGTGAATTCCTTCGAGCTGAAGAAATGTCTCTAACTGATTACAACATTTGGTTTGGTCAAGGATCTAACAGAGAAGACAAACGTTTGTTGCAAGTTCAACATATCTGCAAAGAGACCTCTGGTTATCGTTTGTTTGGAAATCCAATGCTTCTCATTGCTAGAAAAGAAGAAACATTGGGAGATGTCAAGAAGAGACTTCAAGAAAAGCTACAAGTCAAAGACATTGATTACAAGAGATACAAGTTCATGTTTATTGTCAATATGAAGGTTAAAGAACCTCTAGAAGAAGTTGATGACACTCCTTTCATCGATTTGTATGACAATGAAAAGCAATCCACCCAAGGTGAAGTCGTTTTTGCAATGGAGCACAAGGATCCTACACCAAAAACAAGGTGGTATGAGAAACCCATTGTCATTAAGAATTAATTCATGTTCATAAATATTAATAATTTGCATTAAAATTCTTGTTGTTTGGCGTTCGGAATTTTGTAAAGCCAACAAAGAACTTTTAAAAAAAGCCAAGCTTACCAGACTCTTCCGAACATTCAAAACCAACCAGCAACAGCAAAAACAGCAATATGGCCCAACGAAGAATCATGAAAGATCTGACTCAACTTCAACAAAATCCGTTGGAGGGTGTGCGAGCAGCACCACTCGGAGACGATGTGTTCAATTGGAATGCCTATATTGATGGGCCCGTAAGTTTGTATTTTGAATTCATAAGTGTGTTGTCGCTCATCACAATAATTTATCATTTGCAATGGATCGGTGCCGATCATCTCTTCTTTCATATCTAACCACGTCCTATTTGTTTTTTGTAATGGCATTCATCAAATTCCGAATTTTAAAAATCTGGAAAAGGCTGATTCTCCATACGAAGGTGGAATATTCAAACTGAAAATCAATTTTCCAGTAGACTATCCTTTCACTTCTCCTAAAGTACACTTTGGTATGTTCATTGAAATGCAATAATCGAGTATTTTTAATGAATCAATGGTCATGTCAACAATTTTGGAACTGCTTTATGAACTGTTTCATTGCAGTAACTCCAATTTATCATCCCAATGTAAATACCGATGGAAAGATTTGCCTAACTATTTTAGATAAGGAATGGAATCCAGCTGTTAATATCTCCCAAGTTCTAATGAGTATGTTGATGACATATTTGAATATTTGGTTACAAATTGACAATTTAATACTCGATGAAACTATTTGAATTTTCATTGGAAACACTGCATTGGAACTCAAAATAATGGGTGGATAATTTTGAAATATTATATTGTTCATTGAAATAATAATTTTTATTTGATCACTTTAATTGCAATCAAAGCAATTCAATTACTAATGAAGGAACCCAACCCAGAAAGTGCCGTTCTTCCAAGCATTGGAAAACAATACGAAAACGACAGAGAGACATTCAACAAGGAAGCAAGAAAGCAAACCCAGGAACATGCACTCAACACTATTGAAGAATAAAAGAAAAAACTTTCAAGCCGTGACACATTGAAAATCCACGATGACTGTTATCCAGCCCTAACAGAATATAAAACTTGAATTCCAAACCAAACACCGTTGCATCATCAGATCTCAAACCAATTACAATGCAAGTACTATCTTTGCCATCAACAACATTGCCTCGAATCATCTGTCAAACTCAAAATCGTAATGAGTCAGTGAAAAAAAAATTGATAGCTCTCTCCGAGCCGCCGTGCATCACGATCCGTTGACTCTCTCTATTGGAACATCAAACAACATTGTTCATCATACGTATTTTACTTGCGAGAGAGAGAATTGGTGATTTTTGTATTCTATTCCAATTTTGATTCATCATCAACCGTATTTCCAAACTCGAGTTCTTTATTTATTTATTTGGAGAGATATTTCGTGCAAACCCATCTCCTCTTCCTCCTATTTCCCCTCCGATCCTTTTGATTCATCATCATTTCAAACCAGAATATACCTTGATCGTAATGATGATGATTCAAGATTTTTCAATGGACAAGCCTTTGTCTTGTCTCTTGTTTTATTTGCCGCACTTCAATACTTGGTAGTACCAATAGTTGGACAAACAACACCAGGAACTGGCAATCAAAACACTGTAACACTTGCATTTGAAAAGACCAACGAACCCATGATGGTCTTTTTAGCGATCGGAATTTCTCAATGGATTTCTTGTTATGTCATTTCAATACTCTTGTTCAATCCAAAGGTGGTTCAACCCAATTACAAGTTTGTACAAACGAGTGAGAAAATGACCATTTCGTTTATTGAAATTTTGAGACATGCCTATTCTGAACAACCATTGTTCATGAGAAGAATTATTGATGCCTATTTTGTGAAGGCATTGTTTTACTTTATTGCATTTTCTGCTGGATTTTATTCAGGTATGTGAATTGGTATATGTATATGTATATGTGAGACAAGTATATGACAACAACATGTGCATTCATGAATGGTTGGATTATTGGTCATGATGTGTTTGTGTGTTGCATTTTGTATTTTTACCAATTATTGATCATGATGAAACATTGACGCGAATATTTTCATCATGATACGCGCTGCACACTGGACAATGTTATTCATACAGTGATTCAATTATGGTTTGTCACTGATTCCAATAACTTGTCAAAATTGACCAGCGTTCACATTTTCCATATTGAGGTCAATAGAGGTGTATTAATTGGTGGTGCCTCTCTCTACTTTTTGGAATTAATCTATAGATCTCGAACTCAATTATTGATGATTGCTCACCATTTGGTTGCCATTGTCAACATTGTTTGGATGATTGAATATGAAAAGTCTAATTTGGCCTACATGAAGATTTTCATGGTCTATGTTTATTTTGTATTTTTGGGTACGTACGAAATTGTTTCATTGTGAAAATATTTATCAAATTCATACATTATTATGCCATTATTCTGTATGATTCAAATACCTTGTCATTTGTCAATACCTTCTCATTTTGGGTAAAAAAACACTGCTATTTTCAATAACAATAGAATTTCCAGAGTGCTTCATCATGATTGGATATCGTCTCTTCTGTAACTGGGTGCCAGAGTCAAAGGTGCCTCTTAAAATTAGAGTGGTCTATCGAAGACGTATGAAATATTCAGTGCTCGCTCTTGCTTGGATTGACATTATTTTCAAAATTATTGGAAATATTCTTGTTCTTGCCATGTTTATTGTCATGTGGAATGATTTCCCAGTAGAGTTGAGAATTGTCTTTTTAATCAGTTTCACTGTGTTTTTCATTGCTCAAGCTTATGGACCTTATATTTTCTTTAAATTGTATTTCAAATTGAAGAAGGCCATTGAGGATGATATGCACAAGGAACATCAAGCATTGTTGCAAAGTGATGACTCGGATGAGAATTCAAATTTGAATCCATACAAGCCAGTGAACAATTCAAATGAAGTTCAATTAGAGAATAGAGTGTAACAACCTTTTCGCCATTAAAACCTCAATTTTTGTCCTGAAGCTGTTAAATGTACCTGCTGCTCTCATGAGATTAATTGAAAAACAACGTTGTTTAATAGTACTTGCTATTCCTGAACGTTAAATTAATTCTCATCCCATGTACATTCTTCCTCTTGGGTACACAATGTTCATAATACAATTGCGTTTTATCATTCATAATGACCATCGCGCCGTCTTCCAGCTTCGTTGTCAACACTCCCATCGATTTAATCTGGTCGTACACTGCCACGTCCTTTCGAGGTCTGAATTGAAAATCTCGTGCCTGACCTAATGATATTGACACGATAGAACATCCTTGATTCAGTGACTTTTCCTTATCGGCATGCCACATGATTGAATCTTGACCATTGTCATAACGATTCACCAAGACTCCATTGAACACCTCTCCCGTATACTTCTCAACTCGTTCTTTCAATTGAACAAGCTCTGGAATGTAAAATTGAGGACTCTCCTTCGTGAGAAAGGTGTATTTTCGTGGAGATGTCACAACTTTGCCCCCAAAATTGTAATCCTTAGTCTGAAATTTACACATTTCCAACAATTTGTTAAATAATATTTTCGAGTCACGTGGTGAGACAAAATTCGAAATGTGTTTCACTTGAGTACCTGTTATCTTGTCATTGATGAGAAAGGTTTCAACAAGTTGTGTTTGTTTCATGAAAACAGTTTTAGAGGACGAAGAAGTCACATGATTTTCACATTCATCATCATCATTGATAATTATTGGAGAATCTGCGCTACATGGAGTAGAGTCGCGACTTGGCTGCTGATGTGATGAAACCGTTCGTCCTACACTATGAAAATGGAGAGTCCCTTGTCTCCATACTTTTTGCTTCTTTGTTTGAGGTTGTGTAGGTTGGTATTCTTGTTCCATGCTATTACCGTTTGTTGACTTGGATGAATGCAAGGTGGATAATTGGGCTATATTTTCATGAGGTTTTTGTTGTTGCGATTCATCCTTGATGGATGCAAAATCATAATTCTTCGAATCGGAGTGTGTCAACACATTTCGTGATCGTTTCATTTTTTTGTAAGCAAGTTTCACCGACCGTTACAATTTTTTTGTGAACGCAACGACACTTCTTGCAAACGCTCGAACTGATTGAATCACAATTTTACATTGAGTTTCCTGTAACACATACTATAATTCAATATTTTAGCTATGAAATCTGGGCTGTACTGAGGGAGCAGCTACGAGTCAACATTTTTGGTATTGTGAATAGCATCCAGTTGTGTCGAGTACTATAAATCATTTTCCCCTTAATAAATTAATTACTATCATTTGCAATTTACTTGTCCTCTCGTTTCACAAGAACTTGTTCTACTTTTTTCACGGGCACAACCGTAACAATCTTTTTTAAATATATCATCATCGTTCCAAATAATTCCATCATCATGATCATCATCATACACATCACGTTTCAACATTAGAAAATACCACAATAACATTTGCCTTACCTTTCCAACTTCTTGCCAATCCGAAAGACTCTCTTCCTCCACCTCAAAGATGGTTTTCGGAGGTGATTTTTCTTTTTCATCATCCCGCTCTGTAAACGTAAATTTAAACGGTGTCGCCAACCGCTTCAAATGCCCAAAAGTTCCCTTTTCCTGTTCCTTGTGAGGTCGAACAAAGGCTGAATGAGAACGAGAAATTCGGGTAGAGGTGCCACCACTATCGGAATCATGATGATTTGGACTGGTGGTTCTGATCGAAGGATGAGGATGATTACTACTGTTGAAATTTGGAGTGAGGGAATACTTGTTGTTGTTGTGAGGTTGATGATGTGTGGATAAATTTGGAGCGAGAGTATGATTCAAGGTGGTTGTTGTTATTGTTGGAGTAGTAGTTGTTGTAACAGCACGGGTCATGATGTTACTCGTTGAAATAGTTGGAATCATACTCTCTTTGGTCGACGACGTTGTGGAGTATGGTTCCGACATCATGTGTGTTGGAGAATTTAAGGTTGAATTATTACGTGAGGAAGCATTGGAAGAAGAAGAACTCGATCCATACTCGTCGGAAGCAATAAGAGCCACAACAGGAGAGGTTGGTGGTGTACTGGTTGAATGGGTTTCTTCCATATCAATCCCTAAGAAGGATGACATTTTGAAGGGGTGTCGAGTGGTGGTGGTTTGAATTTCTGGAGTGATTGATTTTTCGGATGATGTTTGTTCATGAGAGGTTGATTTTTGAGGAGGTGTTGCAGATTGTATGTGAAGAGTATAGATTTCTGGTTGTTGTTGTTGTTCGTGTTGTTGGATAGGATTTGAACAAGTCAAGTGTTTGATGGAAGAAGGTGTGTTGATTTCAATGTTATTGGAACACGTGGATGTTGGCCATTCTGCTGCTGATGATGATAATTTCAATACATTCAATGGTGAATCTTGCTGCTGCTTCTCAACAAGGATTTGCAGTAATGAAAATAATTGTGGAGCTTGTTGAATTCGATGTTCATAATTGAAGTTTAACCAATTCAGAATGACTTGTAACAATTGAGAAGTCATGTCTCTTTGTTCAGTGACAACAACAGCATGATGTGCTACATCCAAAATAATCGATTGCATTCTCTCGAATTGTAAATTTAAAAATTCAGAATGGGTAGCACATTGTGAAAAATTGGAAAATAAGAATTGAAGAGCTTTTTCTCTCAAATTTTGAGCATGTTCTTTCCAAATGGTTTGACCTCCTCCATATTTTTCTGTAAATGAAGGGAATGACGAGTTTGTTGATGAAGTCCATTCTGTAAATTTGAATGGTTGATAATGATTATTGTTTTGAACTAAATGTTTGGAAAAGACAGCAAAATCTGAAGAAAGAGTTTGCTGTTGTTGATTTAGAATGGCATTTTCATACAATGGATCTATTGAGGAAATGATGGTATGTTGACAAGGTTTCTCTGAAGAAGTGTGAAATAGAGAAAGAATGTTCAAACAATCGGAAAGTGTGAAATCTTTTGAATGTTTCAATAATGTGCAGTCCAAATAGTGAACGAGTGACAAGACAATTTCTGGAGCAAAGTAGAGGTGAGCAAGAAGGAGAAGTGATGAGAGGTGTTCTCTTTGATTCAATTCCACTTTTCCAGTGTAGTAGAAGGAGAGGAGAGATTGAATACATTCCTTTTGATGATGAGCAGAGATGGGAATTGCACTGCATGAAAAGCCCAGTTGAATTTTGGCTCGAGTGGAAGAGTCGCGATGATGATATGAACGAGGTGTCACAGGAGTTGAAGAGTGTGTGCTTGTCGTCATCATTGTGACATTTGTGTTTTGAAACAAGTGTCTCAAAACTTGATTCTTTGATGAAAGGATCATCCTATGAACAAGAAAACTTGAATTGCGTGTGTTGGATGCTTGCGTTGTCGTAGAAGCAGTAGTGCTACTTGTCAAACATTTACCATCAGATGTTAATGGCAACACCTCTGCGATCGCATCAGGATAACTTTGCTCCTTGTCAAAGCAGTCGTCTACAACGTTTGAGTGAAAAAACTTGATTGATTTAAACATTTTTTTGTATTAATTTATTTAAAACTTCATTTCGTGTGGCTTGTCACCGTTGTGAAGTCTGAAAGGAGTTTGGAGGTATTCCTTCAACAATTCAACCTTGCTTACGGCAGCTGCAACTTGTTGGTCAACAGCATCAAAGACCTTCTTATTCTCTTCAGAGATAGCTCCGTTCTTTCCGGCTCTGAAAAATGACTTCTTTCCAGTTTCATCCAATCTTGGCTTGTGTTCCTTAGCAAAAGTGGCATCAGTGACTGATTCTGGGACCTTGACACCAGTGACATCAACCTTAGTAGATGTGGCAATAACATATCTTTGATTCACTCTTCTCAATGGGACACCGTTGAATTGGTATGGACCAGTAACCAACAAGAGTCCTGATGTCAATTGCTTCAAGAAGACAACTCTCTTACCAGCATATTTACCAGCCAACAAAATCAAGACAGTACCTGGTGTGATGGAAGCTCTGAGTTTGGTTGCCTTTTGGACCTTGGTGCTCTTTGTTCTGACGGATGAGAGAGAGAAGTTGTTAGCAACTCTGTCATCAGCAACTTCAACCTTTTGCTTATTTCTAACGACCTTGATCTTTTGTTGTTTAACAACCTTCTTGGTTCTCTTATCAGCACTCTTAACGTAGGCAAAAGTACCCTTCTTCCAGAACAAAGCATTTGGGCTCAATCTGGTCACTGATTGTGCCAAAGAAGCTGATGACTTCTCCTTGTTTGGGTTCTCCTTTCTAACTCTTTTACCTGGCATCTGTTGTTTTTAAAAGAAGAATTTGTTAGATGAAAATGTTGCTGTACGGGAGCAAGATGAAATACGTACGATAGTTTTTGTGGCGTATTTTTTTTCAACAAATTTTTTCAAAAATTCTGGGCAACCAGAAATTGGAGTTTACAATGTGCAATAAATAGAGTGTATTGTTTTTGCAGGCTTAGGTCAAGAAAGAAGTGCTTACGACAATAAATGAGCCTTCTCTTAGTGTTGGATCATGAGTGCACTCATGTCACTATTCATCATTCATGAATTCATCCATCATACCATCTTCATTGCCCTCCAAATTGAAAGTATGATCCTCCATGTGAGTATGGACATCTTGTTGGTGTTGATGATCTTCCACGTTTGTTGCATGCTCTCCACTGACTGTATCTGTGTGCTCTTGTTGTGGTTGATTGGTTTGTTCACTGCTTGTGGGACTTGTTGTGGTATCCTTAGTGTCGGCTGATGAGCCACTTGCTCCAACTTCCGAGGTTCCCTCTGTTGCTGATTGTTGTTGTGGCGTGGTAGCTTTGGATTGTAAAAGTTGTTGTTGCTGTCTCTCTTTTTCCAAGGCTAATTGTTGGAAGTGTGGTGTTACAACATGTTCTTTTGCTTTCCTCTCCTTTTCCTCTTGCCATTGTTTGAGTTCTTCAGGGGTTACTAATCATTTGGAAATTCATTATCGTCATTCCGAAATCATTCATGAATTTCCGAGCGTGTTTAGATGTCAATAATTTTAAAATTAATGTGTTGTGTTCCGATATATATTAATTCAAATAACATCATGTTAAATCATCATCAAATTTCCAAAATTATTAAAAAATCATTGTTATATTCAATTATATATTTTCATGAAACAATCCAAATTACATTCCGTGAATATTTCATCGACTCGTACTTACACTGTACATATCCAATTCGTGAGATGGACTCTCCTACTTTTACCATTGATCGTTTCCAAGGTTTAACTTTAATTTCGTTTTGTTCTTCAATCCAACCGCTTTTACCTCTCGATCGGGATGTAGTCACTTGAACACTTTCATGAGTGCTTTCTTCGTCTTCCATGGATTCATCAGAATCATTACTTGCTTCGTTCTGTATGATTTCTCTCTGAGAGGTCGATCGAGTCACTCGGGACATTTTTTCTTCTGAATAAATCGAAGGGAATTAACCCTTAAGCATAGCAAAAATTTTTCGCTGGAGAGAATCTTGAATAAAACACAAAGATTTGCTAAAGACAGCTACAAGTGCAATTTATTGCTCAATCTTTCTCTGTAGTATTACATGTCATTGGAATATTTAGGATCATATTCAAGATGAGGAATTTCTAATTCGAGATTCATCGGATAAGTCTTAAAAAACGCAAGATATTTAAGGAGCTCTTTTTGATTATTCTTATTATGCAGAAGGTAAGTAGGTTTGTGAGTTTCGGTCAGGACAGAGGATGAAACAATTTTTGGCATAAAGTCTGGATTCTTTCCATTCGTGATAAAGGCAGTAAAAAAGTATTTGAATTTCACACGATGAATGTGATCTTTCTTTTTGGATGAGAGAAGAGTGGTTCTTTTCGACACGAATTGATTCGTGGCTTGAATGGCCTCCTCCAACTCAGTGTCATAGCTCGCTATTTTTTCGAGGAAGGTCCATAAATCATATTCTGGTTTCATGTCCTCGAGGAAGAGAGTCATGAAAACAGGAATCATTCTCTTTCTCATAAGCTGGCCAATACATGAATGATTATTCTTTTCATCTCTCATAGATGGGTCTTTCAAGTCCAAAGTCTGTGGTGTGTAAATAGGCAAATGTGTGAAAATAAAGTCCATACGGTGGGAGTGAAAATCATTCAAAGCAAACGTTCAATCATGGATATAATAAACTTTGATGTTAAATATCATCACACTTACTCTATTAATTAACTTCATTTCATTCTTGATAGTATCTAAAATCTTATCGTATGGAATGCTTTCATAATTGGTCAATGGTTCCACATCGACAGATCCTCTCCATTCCAAATCAACAACTCCAAAAGTAGTTTCAGGATGATATTCTTCGGCTAGAGTTGATAATTTTCTATCGACCCACGCCACTTGTGATAATTCATTTTGGAATGCTTGTTTTTCCTTCTCTCCAAAATGTGATGAAAGTAAAGAAAAGTTTGGAAGAGTTTTAGAAAGTTCAGCGTGGATAAATGTATACTTGTCAATATCTTTTTCCAACATTTCGTGTTTGTTGTCGCCAATATACACTAAAAGTCCGTTCAAATCACGATTGCACACCAAGGAGATGAGCTCAGGTTGATGTTTTTTCATGAATTTTTCACAAAATGCTTTTGTTGCTTTCAAATAACAATGCATGTGCTTGTGAACGGAGGGAATTACCCAATTGAAAACATCAATTCCAAACTCTTTGTGTGATTTTTCAAAGTAGAGAAATAGGTGATTCTTTAAGAATATTTCCTCACTGTTAATGTCAGACATGGTTTGACTTCGTCGTTTCATTGCATTTTCCAATTTTCTGTTCAAGGCATTGTCAATGGTTTGGGTCTCTGTAAATTTAGCTTGAATTTCATCATTGATAGTCTCAATTTCTTTGTAAGTAGAAATTAAGGTCGAGGTGAGTTTAGTAATCTTGTCCATCACCTTTTCCAAGTACATGTTCATTTGATCTTTTGTCACAATGTCAAGAATTCTATTAGGAAAGAGTCACATTTCGTTTCAACATATTTTGAGATAGTATTTAAAGTTTGTAATAGAGATAATATTACCACCATAATGGTTATTGAAATCACTTACTTGGCCCACTTTCTAAAAGATCCATCTTCTAATCCCTCCAAGTTTAAATCCTTCTGATTTTCAACAATGTCAATAACTTCCATCACGTCTTTACAATTTGAACTATAAACCATTGAGAAAAACTTGTCAATCACATTGTACCACACGTTGAGAGCAAAGCAAACAGTCGATTTGGAAAACAAATCAGGCAACTCTAGCATGGTGGATACAATACGATCTTTCTTTTCACGTTGTCGTGTTTTTTCAAGACTCAAGAAGGTAGTATCCGAGAGAAATGATGGATTCACTGTGATGGATTCAACTTCTTCGCCATGCTTTTTGAGTAGTCTCATGATTTGATCAATGGCAAACTTTTCAGTTTTTAGAATTTCCATTTTCGATCGTGCATGAACGAGACCTTCCTTAATGCAATCTTTGTAGTTGCTTTCTCTATCGATGAGTCTCTTAACTTCCTCTAAATCTTTGACCTCTACTGCCTTGTTCACATTTTTCTTTAAAAGCTCAAATCTTTTCAATGGCTCTAAATACAAAGTCTCGATTTTGGATTTGATGTGATGTATTCTCTTGTCGCTTGGGAAGAAATTGAACACATAATTGGCGTACTGATAATCCTGTGCTCTATAGGAATCGTGCATGACTTTCAAGAAATGAATTAAGCCATTATTGAGACATTCTTCAGATTCAAACACTTTAAATGCTGTTGAGTTTGTGTGAATGTCGTCCATAAGAAAACATATTTGATCATTAGAAATGTCATAAATCGACTCATAAAACCTACCATCCTCAGATGAGCTTTTCAAAAAGTAAAAATCATAGTTTCCTCCTTCGAGAGCAAAATTAGTGGATGATTGTCCAGCTTGAACAGTGAGAGAAATAACTCTCTTGGTTGGAATAAAGAATGGCTTGGAGCACCAAAAATTAGAAATTTCGTCGCAATACGAAATGTCCACTCCATTCTATTTTCACACACATTTTCATATTTACATATTTACGATACATGAAAAGCGTTTGGGTCAATGAATGAACAAGTATGAATCATTTCCCGGAATGCTAATATACTTACAACTTGAAATGAACACCAAAGAGAGAACTCGTCCTTTTGTTCTAGAACAATTGACGATTCATTTCTCTTTACAATTGCAAAGTATGAACCTGGTTCAAGATTGAGATCAGTGCTGGTGTTCACAAATTTTGTGCTCTTATATTCTCCATCGTCGAATGATGCTAAATCATCTTCTCCCAAGCCTAACATTCGATAAGTGAGACAATGCATGTCATGTTGTGTTTTTAAAGGGTTTTCTAGATAGATAAACGTCTCTTTCTGCCAAACTTCAATGTCAAACTCAACGCAATGAGTGGTTTTGACAATGATTCGAATATAGTATGAAGTATTGAGAGAATCTAACTTTTGATCTTCAAACAAATCTACTTTTTCGGAGGATGATTTCAATATATATTCAAAGTAACATCCACATTGTGAGCTCGATTTGGATTCCGAATTAATGGTATTCCAACAAGGTTGATCATCATCCATTTTATACATTCCAAAGGAAAAAGTCACGTTTGCAATGTAATCAGCATGTGACGATTTGTTATTAACTTTCATTTTGAATTCTCCATCTCCAATCAGAGGAACGTCCAGCACTGTTTCACAATTACCTTTCGAATGATAACTTCTTGATATCATTAATTGAGAAAAATCAGTAATTTTGGAAGCCTCTTCCTGAGAGACAGCATGATGTGTCGCTGTCTCAAGAAAATCAACAGTCTTTTTTTGTCTTGGTTTTGGTTTTTGAAATTCATCATCGTCACCACTTCGGGAAACTCCAATTAATTTTTTCATGATTATTTGGATCTGATCTATTGGAATTAGAAGATGACTTGTTCGAGAGGATGATGGCGTTTAATAATGATTAGAGACTATGAATGCAAGCTTTGCGAATATTTTTTTGTTTGAAATTTACTGTCCAGACAATTGACAGATTTCATTGAAAGTGATACATCTCCAGAAGCAATTATGCTTGCAAACAACAATCATCAGTACCACCTGAGAGATTGTTAGAGGTTGTATTCCCAAATTCTTAACCTCTCTCACCAAAACATTAAAAAATGAGTTACTATGCCATGCCTTTCCTCATCTTCAACCTTGGAGGTGAGATGATGTATATATTGAATCAGAGATTGGAAGCTCAGAAAATTGCACCAGAGAAGTCTAAGAAGGTGCTGCAGGATGTGGTCAAACACATGTTTGATGAGGGATTTGTTGGCGAGTTGGCCAAGCCTCAAAAGATTTATTCGGATGCTTCCATAAGGGAGGTGTTTGATAAGTTGGCTCACTCGTCCATCATGAGGCTTTCAACGAGTAGTATGAGCAAGGTAGGTGTTGAGAAGTGGTGCTGAAAGAACCCATGATGATGGAGTCATTATCTCGGAATTCATGTTGTATTTAGCTCTATGACCTAATGATCATGGGAATCAAGTATTCATTCCTCTCGTGCTCTCATCCTCATGAAATTCTCCAATTTACTTTGAATCACCTCGACGAAATTGAGAATATTATTGGTAAACATGACAATGATCAGACAGCCCAAGATGCAAAGAAGTGTATTCAGAAGGCGACAAATGAGATCATTGAGGTAAGTTTAGGGCCTTGTTGTATTTGTACTCGATTTGACACATACCTGTGCCCGACGTTTAGATTTCTAAAAAGATGAATATCAACGATTTTATGAAATGTAGATTTACGATTTGCAACTTCTTAAAGGATCGGAATATTAAAGTATCGATATTCCTCTCGAGCAAAATTCAATTCCGAAACTCTGGGTATTTCAAAATTCCTTGTCATAAGCAGTATCCAGTTGGATTTGACAAACCAGGAACATGTAGATATTTCGACGCTGAAGGAGGGCTTAAAGATTCGTCCTTGCTTCACAATCACCCAATGAAAGAGTATACTCACAACACAGCAATTCATTCGGACACTAACCAAAGAACTTCAAAATTGGGACATAATTTGTAAGTAGTTGGATCAGTTGTGAACTTGTCTTTAATTCTTTTAACTTGGAAATTTAACAGCTATGCCTCAGACAAGGTAAAAATCAATGAGGACGAGCAGCAAGAGGAAGAGGAAGATGACTCAGCATTTTCATTCTCAGCAAAGAAAGTTTTTGACAACGCCAAAGATTTGAACCAATTGGCCAGTATGATTGCAGGACCAAGGGAGAGTAAAGACACATTTAAGGTAAACTTGTTCTCCAAATTTGATGTGTTTGACGCAACACCAGAAGGTGAAGAGGAGGAAGTAGATGATGTGGACAAGAAGTTTGAGCAATTAACCTTTGACTGTCGAAAAGCAAAGAAATCGACTACGATTGATTTTGATATAGGGTCAGCCAACCAAGCAAACTCAGACGAGCAGGATGATTTGTTGGACTTGATGGACTCATAAATTGATAATTTATTTTCTTTAATTTGCTTTGTTTTGTTTGGATGTAATTTATTATTATTGAGAAGTACAACTACTCAATGTCGTGAATTACTTGTGGTTAAGAAACTGTTCAATAAATTTAAAGGATAATTTAAGTTGCTTCAATAATTCAATCGTGGCTCCGAGTTCATCCCTATAACTTGTGTTTAGTAAAAGAGACTTTTCAGGATCGTAAAACTTTTTCAAATAATTGAGAGTCGAAAAATGTACTAATTGCAACAATAATGTCGTCATAGTATCCTTGTGGAAGCAAAATTGAATTAAGAGATGAGTTAAATTAGAATCCTTATTTGGATCGTTGGGAAGTTTTTTCTTAATTCCAGAAACCTCCACAAATTTGTTAAATTCTTTCACAATAGCATCGCCTTGAGGACTCAGCCCTTTCATAATCTGTACAGGTGATTCCTTATAGATTTTGTTCGTAAGAAATTGTTTCTTTTCCAATCTGTGATCGATCAATAAATTTTCAATCGAAACGCAAATACGTTCCATATGTTCTTCAAAAGGATGCTCGTTCGTACAATTAAATTTAAAGAATACTTCATCGTTGGCACCTGTGACTGTTGAAATGGTTGATTGTGATTTCTGAGAGGCCAACAAAATTAATTGTTTCACATTTTCACGCAACGATTGAACCACTTCGGTTGGAGTTTCAGTCACTGGTGTTTGATCGTGCGATCCATAATTAATAATTTTGATGAGCGAAGAGGGTTTATCTAAAGTGGTGCCACTAACACCACAGCCAGATAATGACGAAACACTCGAATGCTCACAACTCTCATTCGTATCTGCATTCACAACACAACCACTATTCATGATGGAATGACTGCCAGGTACTAATTTTGGAAAATCTAAAGACGAGCCATTCGCACCATTCCCAAGAACTACTTCAGGAAATAGTTCCATAATTTGTGAGTTTTGACTCAAATCGGCGACAATTGTCTTTTTCTTGGACGTCTTTTTCTTCTTATCTGATTTTTTCTTTCGTTCCACAATTAAATCTCCACCACTCTCTGTTGAAGGTGGAGGAGAATTCTCTTTCATGGATTTGTTCTTTTTACGAGTGGAGGATGATTTTGATGATTTGGTATTCATTACATGATCAGAAGAGGAGTTTGGTGTGTTTTCTTTTTGGGAATGTGAAGATGCAGTATTGGATGAAGAGGATAATTCATCATGACTCAATTCATCTTTTTCTTCGAAAGGAGATGGATTGTCGGTGGAATCATTGTATGTTCCAAAGGTTTGTGTGTCATTCCAATCAGAAATCTCGAGAGGATTGGTCATCCTATGAGTAGATTCTTGATTCACACTGATGGTAGTAACATGACTGATAGGATCAAGAGTGGAGGAGGAACAATTTTCTTCGAATGGTTTAAATTTCACATTAGAATTCTCTTCCACAGCAATTGGAGTAGTGGTATTAATGGTAGAAGTTGTCGGTAAGTGTTGTTGATGGTTTTCTGGTGGCAATGGATGTTCACATTCATGACTTGTAGTAATAGTCATTGACTCTGTGACCTCTCGACTCACAGTCGTTGGTATCGTCGTTACTACTTCAGAAATTGTACTCGAAGAAGAATGGTGTTCTTCCAAAGCTTGTTGTGTATGTTCTATTGGTTGTTGTTGTTGTTGCTGTTCATGTTTCTTTTTAACTAATTCATCGAGCTTGCGTTGTTGTTCTTCAAGAATTTTGTGTTCGAGTTTTTTTCGTTCTTCTTCCTCTTTGCGACGTTTTTCTTCTTCTTGTCTTCGTTTTTCTTCTTCCAGCTTCTTTCGTTTGAGTTCCAATTCTTTCTTCTTTCTTTCTTCTTCTTGTTGACGTAATAGTTTTTCTTTTCGAATTTCCGTCTCAATATAATTCACACATTCTACAAACTTGTCATGAGAATCTTTGGTGAGAATTTTACCCTTTTCATCCCAAAAGGATTGAATTTCAGAGAGGTTCTTTTCACTTTTTGATTTGTTAATTAAATTAGAAAATTCAGTTTGTAGCTCTCGTTGGTGTCGGATGATGGTAATGAATTGATCGAGACGTTTCATGTCGAGTTGAGTATCTCCCTTCGACTCGACTAAATTTTCAAGTATTTTACGAGCTCGTTTTCTGAAATCAACGGCATCTTGATAAACTCTGGAAAGCTCTTGTTCTGAGTCGACTTTGGAGCAATTCCTCACAAATAATAGGTCATTATTTAACGAGCTTGTGGTTGAAGAAGTGGCAGATAGAACGTTCTCTTCCAAATACTTGATCTTGTCTTTTAGTTCAGTCTTCATGTTATATTCATTGTCCATTTTAGAAATGTGATTGGCTGCTTCTTGGATGAGTTCAGATAATTTGTTCGATTTCAAGCAATAATTTTCAGATTTGCTCTTTAACTGTTTGATATTCTCCAGAGAAATGTCACTCAAAATAAATCTTGTTTGAAGAGCTCTGTTAAATTCTTCCTCGAGTCGATGGAGGTCTTCTAACATGGCTTTTGCATTTTCAAAATATTCTTGAATGGCAATTTGTAAATATCGAGAGTCGAACTTTAAAATATTCACTCGAAATGTTGCTTCATATTCTTCTTCCTTCTTTTCTTCAGATGAAGAGTGAGAGAGGATATCATCTGTACTTTCTAATCTCCAACTCTCTTTTCGTTTTGGTATCTTTACAACCCCCGACTCAATTTCATTCACAACAGAATATATTAAATCTCCGTCTTTGGAATTCATGGCTTGTGTTAATTTTTCTCCCATATTGAAGATGTGATCACATATGGCAACTTCCCAATTACTTTTTTGAATATATCCAATGAGTACTCTGAACTTGAGAGCTCCTGGGCTTGGATTATTTGGTCTATTGGCCAACGCATGATGTTGAACTTTGATCACAAAATCCATTGGAATGATTGAAGGGTAGCACGGAAATGGGTCGCTCATGTACAAACTTGTTTGTTTGACATTGTTATTTTCTTCTTCGTACAGTTCATAGTATTGTAATAGTTGTTTGAAAATGTCATTCTTGCTCGTGGCAACATATGTAATGGGAGAGATATCTTCTTTGAATTGATTTAAAAATCCTGACAGCACTGTCACATCAAAATTATAGTTTGTGGATCCCATTCCAGCAAAACCTTGTAGTGTAGCTAAACTTGATACGTGTGAAATATTTTCAATAAAGAGCTTGTACACTCCCACCGAATTAAATTGTGTTTTAAATTCTCCCAAACCCCCTAATTCTGCAGCAACACTATCTTCACACAAAATCATTTGTTCAAATTCCTCAAAGACATCCACTTGGTAATACACGTATCTTAACCCAATAGAGACACCACTTATTAATTGAATCTCAATATCATCTTTCCCAACTTTGTGTAAGAGTCCAAAAAATGGTGAGTAAGGATCCGACAAATCTATTCTAATCTCCCAAGTTTCAGAGGCCTTCAATTGTTTGTATTGTTTTTTCAATTCTTTCTTGTCCTTATTCCTAATATCTGACATGTCAACTTTATGAAAATCATGATCATCTTCATCATGATGATGTGACTTGGGCGAAGAATTCTGTTCTCCTCGACTAGAAATTGCTTCCCAATCGATATTCTTATTTCTTATTTTAATATTTACAAAAAATTCCATTCCAATACCTCCAAGAACATTTGTGTTTTTCACTTTGATAATATAGACGCTTCGATGTGAAGGAACAAAGCTCACATGATCTTCTTTTCCTTTTCCAAGACTTCCTTTTTTGCTATAAACCATCACTTGAACTGTTTGAATAAAAATATTTGTGATCATCATATTCCAACAGTAGATCCATATCATTTGAAAGTAACAATTCATCAACAATAATAATGATCATTATTTGATCATGTTTTCATCAATGAGATGTTTTTATCATCATATCCAAGTTACGTACAATATGAGGCTTGATTTGGAACGTGGTCATCAACCAACACAAATCCATCATCCTCATCATCAGCCAGATCATTATTGAAATGATTTCCGGAAGCTCCTGCTGCCGATTTTACAGGAATGATGTTTTTCAAAATGTTCATAATGCACCAGTCGGATATGAAGAACACGTAGTACGTGGTTAATAATCTATCACTCGTGATGATGATGACTCGGTTCGTTGTTGTTGTGATTACACGATTCGACCACCACAATTTAATTTTGAAGAATTCGAAACTGCCGAGAAGCTATCCAGCAAAGATTTTTTTTCTTTTTTGAACGGAGCAAGAATAATGACAGGCAAAATTTGCCTCTTATCATTCAGAAGAGCACCCTCACACCCTCACGAAAGGTTACATCTTTTCAAAACATCATTTTACCGAGCACTAACTACTAGCTTTGCTTTGAAATAATGTTTTTATCTGTTACGATGGACAAATTTTCTTTGAGCCTTGTACTCTAAATCCTTTCGTTGGCACATGATAAAGATTGCCTTTTCAATCAAGTGTCGTTTGTGTCCCATGTTTTCAAGATTGGAAACAATGGCTTCCACTTGAGAGGTATGACCTATGGGTGTAATTTTGAGAATATCATTTTCAATGACTTGAATTTCTTGAGACATGGAAGCCAATGCAAGTTCTCCTCCAAGACCATGAGTGTTAATTGCCTCCACAGTTGAGCTCTTGAATAAACGAACAGCTTCCTCTGCATGTTTCAAAGTAGCAACATCTGACAATTCCATTTTTGCTAGAGATTCAGAAATACGAATTAAGGCTTCTAATTGTCTCACTGTGATTGGAATGATGGATTCTTCAGTTTTGCTTGATTCTCTCTGTTGTACATAAAAATTAAGCAAATACTCGGATGCTTCATCAGATAATCGCGGAGAACATACGGCACGACAGTATGCAATATACTTTTTCAGTTTTTGAATGGCACTGTCATCTGTTTTGTGTTTGTTGGTATTATTGTTGTCACGTTTGTGATTGAGCACGTGATTTGCAATACGTTGATCTCGATCCTTGTCGACCAAGTCTCTCACAATGAAAATCATGTCAAATCTTGACAAGATGGTGGTTTGGAAATCTATTTGTTCTGCAGGAGATCTAAAATCATCATATCGACCAAATAATGGATTGGCTGCTGCCAGTACAGATGTTCTACTATTCAGTACTGTGGTAATACCTGCTTTGGCAACTGAAATAGTTTGTTGTTCCATAGCCTCGTGAATGGCTACTCGGTCTTGTTCTCTCATCTTGTCAAATTCGTCAATGCACACAATTCCACCATCGGCCAAAACCATGGACCCTCCTTCCAAATAAAACTCTCCACTACCTGGTTCCTTAATGACACATGCTGTTAAACCAGCAGCGCTACTTCCCTTACCACTTGTGTAAACTCCAATAGGCGCCACTTTTTCAACAAATTTTAACAATTGAGACTTGGCAGTAGATGGGTCACCTAGTAGTAAAACATTAATATCACCTCTTCTTCGAATTCCATCATTGAGAACTTTGGATGATCCTCCAAATAATTGACATGCAAGAGCTTTCTTAATATCTTCGCAGCCATAAATTGCTGGATCAATGGATTCTGCAATAGTTTTGTATAGATTCTTTTGTTTGGAAAATTGGCGCATTTCATTCTCTTCAGTTCTGCTAAATTCCATCTTGGATCGTCCTGAACCGTCATTTGTAATTTCAAAGCCAATAACTCTTAAATAGGGTTGAGAAACATTAGAATTAGATTTTTTACCTCCAGCAGATTGGAATGTGCTCATGATGGCTACAACATTGACTCTGGTTCCTGGAGGTGTTTTTTCAACTAAATTTCTGTCACTATACATGAGAATGGTTCTTGGCATGTCACCTGTTGTTACAGTTTCTGGACTTTCTTGCAATTTTAATGTTTGTTGATCGTAGTATTTGCACTTGTCAGGAACAATACGATAGGATCCTTTACATCCAGCCTCATTGTTACATTTTGTGGGTAAATTAATTCCAGTAAAGCCTGAAAGATTTGCATGTCATGTGAACCACGTCAGTAAAATCATGAATTGTTGTTTTTCATTATAAATAACAAGTTACGTACCAGGATTCACATGAATAATTTCTTCTTTTGGACATAGTGAACATCGAATGTAGGCCTTCTCGATTTTCACGCTCACTCTAGAATTATTAATAATAATACCTCGCACACAAACGACATGCCCCACGTCCTCGGCTTTCAAATCTCGAATATTCACTGGTGTTGCCACAGACCACTTGAATGTGAGTTGAAATGGAATATCTTTTAGAAACTCTTTGAATTCTTCGAGTGGTTGCCTTTCGTAGGACGGCTTACAAATGTTTGGAATGACATTTTCTTTTACAGATTTTTCCAGCTATTATATGACATTTCCGAATGATGTTTTTGATTTTTCAAATCCAAAAATTCATCGTGATGAAATTGAATATCATTACTACCATGTACATTCATCTCTACTTACCAATGGTATATATGTATTCGGAGTGTGTATAATAGCATTATGTAAATGATCATTAAAGGCCGCAATATGTAACAATTCCACTTCCAAAATGTAGTTTCCATTCGTAAAATTCGATCTCAATTGATCTTTATAAATATATCTATTTTCATGTTTAAAGTTATTAATAAATAATGTGAAAACGTTTCCGGCATTGCTCTCCGTTATATTATTCAAATGAGAGAGTCCCGATAGTGTAGCATCGTTGCGAGGCACATAAATTTGGTTAGTAGAGAACTCGGTCATTTTTTTTTTGAAAAAACATGTTGAAATTATTTGAATGTTAATTTTAACGGTTTTGGGCGGGTAATTGAAATTTTCTTTCCCTGTTGCATTCTCTCGGATTTTAATAAAACTTGGCAGTCCTTTAAAGCTGAGCTCAATAATATGGCCTTTTGTGTTTGTTTGAAACTTGAACAAGAGCTTGGTCGCCCTCTGAACTGCAACTTTGAAGAGTGGGAACAAAAAAATGACTCGAAATGAACACAAGCCCAAACACAGTCCCTATCGATACATTAAAAAGAATTCTCAGCTGGGCGTTGCGTTAGCTTTACCGGATGAAAAAGACGAAACTACTAATCGTTGGATTTATGAATCCCGAAATGAACACGCCTATTATTATGAATATGATGAAGAAGATTTTCTTGTTCATGGTTCTTCAAAAACTATTCCAATAGCACTCGTTTGGAAATTACAGCAATTGAATGATGATGGTAGTGGAACAGTATTGGATTCGGAAAATTTTGTAAAACCTTCTTCTCTTCCCAATTTTATCATGACCAAGTTTAATGATCATTATTATACCCGAGAGAATGAAGAACAGACAACTCTCAACATTGCAAAGCATTACCGACCGTGTTATTTATTTGTAGCAGTGCAAAAACCCTCAAAACATCATTGTTATGTGAGTCACGGTTGTTTTGGGTTCTTGAAATTATGTAAGATGGGATTTCAAGTGGATTCAAATCAAAGATTACACATCTTGGACGAAGTTTGTATTTGTTTTCCAATCTCAATGTTCATCCATCAGTGTACTGAAAATTATTTCAAATTTATTATAGTTGGAGAACGAAAATACAATGCCACATTGGAGATTAATCAGGAATGTATAACAAAATCTAAATTTCATATTGAATACACGAACGATCCGGATACAGTTGATGTGTGTCGTGTTAGGGAACACGTTTTTTGGCCTGCGGCATATGGTTCAAACAAGAACACAAGTTGGATGTTCATGGATTATTCATATTTAAAACAAGAATTGCAATTTCAGAGACAGTATTTAACAAGTTCATGTAAAATAGACGTAAAAGAGTCATGGAGCGCTCCGTTACCCCTTAAGTACAGAAAGGATCTTTGCATGTATATGGAGTATCAAAATGAGCGTCAATATTCTAATGATATTGACGACAAACATGCAATGGAACGGTATCTCCTTGTTTATAGAAGGCAACAATTGAACCAACAGTGTTCATCGAACGGGACTCATGGTATTACATTGTTGCAAATGCAACTCGGTGAAAGTCAAGTTTTTTTAAGACCTACAAATTTTTTGAATTTTGGCAAATTGTTCGATTCAAAACATAATATCAAACTTCTCTCATGTTGCAAGTTATCCAATTCCAAGTATTTGATCATGTCCAGTCTAAAAGGGTCAGAAAAATTTAATTATTCAAGATACAAGGCAACGTCATTTCAAGAATTGTTCATCCATTCAATTCTTTGGGTTTTGATTGATTTGGAGAACAAATTGGTAAAGAGAGTGTACCCAAGAGTTTATCATTTATCGAAAAGGATGAGTGACGATGGTTTCCAACAAGTCTCAAAAAAGAAATACTGTGGAAAACGATTACCTACAATTATGAATGATTTTGAAGATGGAGATTTAAATGGTGGATATTCTGATGTACATTTACTCCAATTAATTGCATCGAAAAACGAGGTGAACAACACCAGTGTAAACGCTTCAACTTGTCACGAACGGAATGACATTTCGTTGTGTGGAACCAATATCAAAAAAGACATTGAAACGATTGCTTTTCGGCCGTTTCCTTCAAATCCTGACCTCTTCCAAGTAATGGTCTTTTTCAAAACCAATTTAGTGAATGATTGGCGACAACCTACACGAAATGCTCCAGACTATGGCAAGATTTTTAGATTCTATTTCAAATTAAGGGATGAATGCGGTACTCGCTTGAGCATTACATTTGAGCACTATCGTGATATCACCATTGTGACATGTCAATGAATTAAACAAATAATCATGATGAATTTGATTCAAAAATATTATTGATGAAACTTTAGAAAATAATCACTGTTTTACATAATCTTGGCCACTTTTCTTGATTCTTTAGCATTTGTTTTTGTGCATACCATGGTCGTCCAGTCAACTGGAATCATTGGAAAACCAAAACTACTGGTAGCATAAACTACACCTAATTCATTTCTAGCAGTAGAAATGTAATAACTTCTAGAATCGCCTAATGAAATGACTTCTGCTTTGATGACGTCTCCGGGCCTCAAACAATCATAAAGAATTACTTTGTCCACTTCTGTTGCTCGAATATCTTGCACTCGAAGAAGCCCACTAATAGCGGAGCCTGACTTGATGACAGGCTTACCATCCACACACAAAATATCCACTTTTGCAAAAGCCTTTGTCGTTTTAATCACTTTCGCAATGACAATAGATCCAATATTCGGAACAATTGTTTCCTGTTTGTTTTCTTGAATAACATGAATAAAAGGTAAATTGGAGACTTCTTTTTGAAGTGATGAAGCGCTTTTCATTTGTGGTGATGATAACCCGGAGCGTTCAAAATCATCATCAACAATATTCTCTTTGGATATAAAAACTCGTCCAACAAGACTTGCATGTATCCGATTATCTCTAACATATGTTCCTTTTCCCGGCAGGTAATTATCGGTCTGAGCAATTCTCGTTCCAGGGACCACATACTGTCCCGAAATTGATGAATCTTGTGAATGATTAGTGGTCATTTTTTTTGTTGATTTTAATTCACCCTTTGGTTGTGTTAATAATATTATTGTAAAATTAATTGAACAATAATATTATTTATTATTTAGTATGGAATGAGTATTTGATTTGTTCTTCAATTTCTTTGAAAGGCAGTTCCAAAAAGCTCCTGAGAAAATGTTGCAATCGTTCTTGATAGCTATGATCTTGATATAAATTAAAACTCTCAAACAATGTGCTCAGAAAATTGAGAGGAGCTTTGAGCTCATTAATTAAATTCATCTTTTGAGTTTCATCTTCAAATTCAATTGCATTTTCAAGGATAATTTCGAGTGATAATATTTTTGAAGCAATGTCATACATTTGGTCAAGTAATTTGCTGTCTTTCATGATGACACTTTTCTTTTCCTCACTAAACGTTTCATCAATAACACTTGCAATGAACTTCATAATTGCATGTTGTTCCATAAAACTAAGTGACTCATTATTTGAGATGAAAATGTTCCTCTTGTGTTGATATTTGGGAAATGCAAGTTGCAACATTTGATACATTCTTAAAGGTAGTTCTTTCCAACGATGAATGTAAATATTTCTCAAACTTGAGCTTTGACTTCTCAAAAGAACCATAGGCACAGTGAGTACGAGTGATGAATAAATGTTAAGAGTAACAAGGGTACTTCCAAACTTGGCCACATGATAAAACAACATGCTCGATATTTGTGTACTATCCAAGGAGAGGGCAGATAACGAGTTGAATATGCAACATAAAACTTTAACATCCTCATCAATAATGGACTTGCTTCTAATAATTAAACTTCTTATGAGAGGTAATCTAATGTTTGAAATATTGTCCAATTCATAAAATTTCAATTTTCTAGAGGTGATTGTTAGGTGATAAAGAAGTGGAGCATGTTGAAGATGAGACACAAATGAGCCTGTCAAATGATCACTCTTCAATGACATGTATTCCAAGTTTGGACAATATGCAACTACTTGCGCCAATTCTCCATCAGTCATATCTGTTCCAGATCTGGCATTCAAATTGTGGAGACTATTCGTCGAAGCACTTCCAGAGTTGCTCGAAATGTTAGAAGAATGAGCACTCCAAACAGAATTCTCGCCATCTCCTAAGAAAGGTGTTTCCTCTTCGTCATCATCGACTCCATTTCGATCTAGCATTAAAAACTCATGAGATTTGTTGGAAACTACTAATTGTACCAAATGAGGACATTGCTTAAGAACTTGCAACAAGATACTGGATGGAATAAATGTCCCAACCAATTTGAGCACTGTAAGATTTGGCTTTGGCAAGTCAAAGCATTGAATGAGGGACGAATATTCAGTGAGGCTAATCTTACACAACTCCACAATTCGTAAATCGGAACCTGCTAAACAATACTTGACAATTAGATGGTTATTGTGAGAATGAAGTCTACGCTTGTCATCTACATGAAGTCGTAAAGTTTGAAGTCTACCCAACGATTTGAAAAACTCTTCTTGCTGTGAAAGTGAAATGTGTTCCTTCTCGTTCTTTGGAGGAGTTGTGTGTAAATCAAGTGTCAAGTGTTGCAATTCAAATCCACGTGAAAAGATGTTAATGAACGTCTTGATGGAGCATACAACTCCTTCTAATGAAAGGCGAATCAATGGAACCTTTTTGAAGAGCAATGCCTGAATCAAATTATCAACAATGACACTCGAGTTATTGCTATCGTGACGATTCGTTTGTGTAAAATCATGGAAAAATAGAGGAAAGGTAATTTCCAAATACTCTAGCTCAGACAATTTGTTAGTCATGGAGCTTATATGACTCAAATTAATGGAACGAGCAGGTGGTCTTGCAATTTTCAACTCTTTCAAATGTGGCATGTAATTATCTGATATTAGCTGTACAAGTGCATCTGTAGATTTGAAACTTGTCAAACAAAGATTCGTTAGTAAAAGGGGCTTCTTACTTTGTGGTGACCACGAAAACTTGTTTGTTGGTAAGTCTGTTGATATTGCGGTTCTAAATCCAGTTGTGAACGAAGATACAGAGGTACATGACTGCACTTCTAACTGTTTCAATGATGGAGCCATGTTGAGAAGAATTGGAATTGAGGACTCGTGAAACTGGCTACATTCTCGAATGACCACACGCTCCAATGCAATGCATGTCATGAAGAGGTGCTCAAAGAAGCATTTTGAGAGAAAATTTTGGTTGCAAAGCACAACCTTACTCCAAACTTGCGGATTTCTCTTTTTAAGAAAGAGTTTGTTGAAAGTTTCATCTGTGAGTACAATTTGTGAATTCAATGGCATTTCAAATCCTATGACAGCCCATAACTGACTACTATCTTGATTGACAAGTCGAAAGAATTGTTTGCACACAAGTTGTACAATTGACAATATTTCAAATGTGTTGCAATAGTAAAATATTGAAGAAATAAGCTCGTCCGCTAAATGAAAAAGATGAGTCTTATGTGTGACATTTTGATCTCCCTTATTCTTTTTCGTGGGTTGAGCTTGGATCATCATGGTGGTATTAGTATTATCGGATAGGAACATTTCATGAATGTCCTCATTACGTGGAAAGATACGTTCTCCGTTGTTGTTGGTAAACTCAAGATGATGATTGTCATGTGAATGAGACATGAAATCTTGCTGAGAACGCTTTCTCGGCAATGACAAGCTTCTCTCTCCGATATTAACCATAACGTTGTTCGGTTCATGACGGAGAATGCTATCGTGTGATGTACTACTCTTCACAAGAATGTGTTGTGTCTGAAGCGAAGAGGATGATGTTGTTCAAGAAAAGAAATACTCATCTTCTGCTGCTGTGGAATGGTTGGAGCTAATACCTTGAGATGGTACTTGCTGTGTGATCACCTCTCTGTGTGAATCAATGTTCGAATTGTTTTGTTGTTCATGGTGATGATGAAAATCAATAGTGGATGGTTGAGAAAAAGTCGGGTGGCCATGCAAATTGTTTTCTGTTGTTGTGGTGGTGGCTTATCGTTGTTCATCCAACGCGAGTACTGCTCGTTTCTGATAGTTACTCGAGAGAGAACGTGCCGAGTTCAACGCTATCAAAGAATGATGAGCAAGCTCGGTAACAATTTTGCTGATGATGAGTATGGAATCGATGATTTATAACTTTGGGCAATTCATGTAATTCATCCTAGGAACGATGAGAGTGCAATGGGAAAATAGGAGGAGAAAATGTGCACCAACGTATGCGGTTGTTGCAATTTGTTAGAGCGTAGGTTAGCGATAATAAATTGGATAATAAATTAGTTCATCCGATGCATATGATGAGTCTAATGTAAGACAAGTGGAGGAGAAAGTTCCAACTTTCTTTTTTCAACAAACAGCACACACGAAAATAAAGAAACACAACTGCAGCTAAAATGATTTCGGCAATTTTTTGTATTGAAATCACACCAGCATCCCAAAGACGAATTTACCTTCTTTTACACGTCAAAGGAAACGTTCACACCGAGTAAGGCCGAAGTTTCAATCAAATGAATGCCATGCTGAAGTGCAAGCTTGAAAAGGGCATCTCGATCAATCTTCCAAACAGCACGTGGAAGATCACACATGGTCAAACACACACGAACACTTCTACGCTGCACGAGTGTTGGAATCTTTTGTAAAATAGAGGTCAATTCCTTCACAAGCTCCTCATGGTCATGCAACACAGAGACACACAGTATCAGTTTTCCAATGTCTTCAACGGATGAAGATGATTCATTCAATACTCCACAATGATAAAAATTCCCATAAAAGATTCCGTCTTTTTGATAGAGTGAGGTGTTGTCAAATTTTTTGTGCGTTCGTTGATGCAGTAATCTGTGTGCCGTAAGATGGTTCAAAAATGTTGATAACAGTATTTTTCTGAGCTCTGTAAATGTTTCATTGCAATAACTTACCTATTGGCTCCAGATTTAGGTCCAATTCCATAACAAAACACTCTACCTAAATCGTAATTATAGTAATAGCCCCTGTTATTAGTAGTCGGCACAGGAGAAAACGTAGATCTAAAAGTAAAGTCTTCGACACGTTCATTATGTTTCATTTCTTCTGGAACCTCCCAATTGTAAGAATCGGCAAAATTGTGACGAAATTTCTCCATATAGTAGCAGTAGAGTACTGTATAAATCTTAATCATCTCAAATGCGTGAATGTGTTCCAACGATTTTGCCAAATCATAAATTGTTTTTGCTTCTTCAATAGATGTAATATTCTTCTTAATGACATGAGCACATCGATTCGAAAGGTGTTTGAATCCAACCATGTCGCAATACATTAACAACTCAATTACAATGGATTCGTTCGTAAACGATCCTGTATAAATAAAATTGAACATGTTTTTCATGACTTCATTGGTACATTCAAGTCCAATCACATGTTGTTGCGATTCACTCATTCCACTCGAAATCATGGTATTAAAAAAGTTGGATCGACACAAGACGAGATCTTTGATGACAGAGATGGTTTCAATTTCTGATTGCTCCTCCAAGTTGGAAGCAAATGTGATGAGTTCTCGTTGACATGGAGCGAGCTTCATTATTGACGTAGAGGAAGGAGAGGTGTTTTCCTGTTGAACATGAGCATGTTCATTCTGCAACACCAACGATTCCAGCATGACATCTTCCCATGTCTGCAACAATTTATCCATTTGTTGCTTTCCTTGCCTCAATAGTTCATATTGCAAGTATTCGTTAAATACATTTAAATGTTTCAACTTGATCAACTCAAACAACTGTATCAGGTCCTTAATGTAAAAGTCCTTGTCATAAATATCTCCTCCGACTTCCAACATTTGGTCCATTCTTGCAAATATGCAAAATTCAATGAATACATAGGGGCAGTAAACAGCGAGAACAAGCAAGTCGATTAAATTGGTGAGATAGAGTTTTTTCTGAGTGGTCGAATTTGCTTGATGAAACATGGAAAATCCACTCAAAGAGGTACCATCCAGTTTGAGTGATATGGAGAAGGAATTGGAGTTGGTTTGTGTACCTTCAGAAATGACTCTCTCAAAAACTTCACTGAAACTGCTCATAATAGATGCATGCAAATGTTTGGTAATTGTGAATGATTGATGACAGTCCAATAGTTCAATATTGAACTCAAAATTGGAGCAAGTGAAATCAATTCCACTCAATAACAATGAGGAAGAAGCAGAATCATTTTCGAGACCGCCATTGCTTCCAACTTTTACACCCAAATCGTCTTCGACATTTTCTCGCAAGAGGGCCAATTTCTTGACCCAAAGTTGTTTTCTCTTTTCGTTGCGCTCCAAATTTTGAGAAAGCCACCTCAACTCTCGATTATCCAATTGAAGAGACATTTCGTAAATTAATCTTGTGTAATCGTCGCCAATCTGAACAATCCCATTCATCCACTTCTCAGTCACAAATGAAGATGACTTGTGAGATTTGATCGGAACGTCTGTGGGAAAGCAAGCATAAAAAAAATGCTCCATCGAATCAAAGGCTTGAACTTGCGAGAGTTTGGTTTCCGAAACTTGAAGCTGCTGCTTTGTGGGTGTGAGTAAAGCGACAGAAGACTTGTTGCCCATTTTTTTTTACTATTGAATTTATTTGTTGGAACAATGAACTTTAATGAACTGGTATCTTTTTACATCAATGAATTCTTTGGCCTTCAATACATATTTGTAACAAACTTATTGCTTGACACCACCGACTAAATTAGCTGGCAAGGCTACATCGAGGTATCTAGGTTTTGCCAATTTCAAATTATCCATAATTTCAACAAATCCCTCTCTGGTTTGAGTAGCGAAAATTCTTGGGTTGTATTTCTTCTCCTCTCCAACAGTAGAACAAAGCATTCCTTTGTAATCATGACCTGGATAAACAAGGCAAGAATCTGGCAAAATAGAGTAAATCTTCATGATACTATCATACAGTGTGCTTGCACTTCCTTGTTGGAAATCAGTACGACCACATCCTCTAATGAATAGGGCATCCCCAGTAAATACCATTGATTTGTCATCCAAATAATAGGTAATACATCCATTGGTGTGACCAGGAGTTTCCAATACGTGAATTTTGATAGAGTCTCCGATTTGAATCACATCTCCTTCTTTGATCAAGGTCAAGCCTTCGGTAAAAGTTACTCCCGAATGAATGGAATAGCAGTGTGTTGCCTCTGGAAATTTCTTCTTCAACTCCATGCCACCAGTGATGTGATCCGCATGAACGTGAGTATCTAAGATATGAGTTACAGTAAGGCCAAGCTCTTTAATTAATTTGGAATCTCGTTCGCATTCTTCCAACACGGGATCAATGATAGCTGCTTTTCCAGTCTTTTCGCATCCCAAAATGAAAGTGTAAGTTGAGGTATCAGCAGAAATGAGTTGTCTGAAAATCATTTTGATAACTTCGGAGCAATCGTAAAATAGGTCTGTAATACAGAGCGCGTTGCAAGTGTTAAGTATTTTTTTTTGTTGTTGAATTTCGTCGTTCTGGCTAGTTGGTACAATTTTATCCATTTTTGAAACACAATCAGCGGCGAATTATAATTGCTCCCCTTTTTTCTGTAGAGATGGTTGGATTACAACGACGTAGCTCAGCTGTGGAGAGTGCTTGTGTCTTCGATTGGCCACTTCAGTTGTCAAGCTGTTGTCGTCTGCCAAGATATTCAAATTTGGATCGTGGATAACGGTAGCTTTGTACTGACGTAAACAAGGCTTGTTGTACATTTACAATAAGAATTAAGGAGCATTTGGTTTTTAATCGAGGTCTTTCAAATCCTTGTCTTCTCTTTTACAGCTGTTTAATCGTTGTATAAAAAATACAGCGAATGAGACTGCTATGATCATTGGGAATTCTATGCCTGGTCGAATAATTTTCCTAAAAAGCCAAAACATCTATACTGTATCGGGAGTTAACTTCACGGCCCATCTTTCACGTATGTGGCTCTTGGTCATTTCTCTTCATCCATCATTAGGGCCCTTCATACTGTTTCCAAACGGAGTCGAAGCAAAGCCTAAAAATTCGGTTTGAAAAAATTGCAAACGAGAGGCTTTTGATTTTGCTGCATTTCAAAATATTTCTTGCAGTTTGGGCGAAACAGAACAGCGCGATCATAGCTCTTCCTAGATAGAAACACAAGTGAAGTCGTTTCATCAATTTTTACAGCGTCATCACGTGATGAGAAATTTTTGAGATCTTTGGAATTAACCTCTCTCGAGTCATTTCATCATTGAATCACGTCTCAAATTGAAACATTTTGAAGAAACTATTTTCTCATATCTTTGTCTGAAATACATTGGCGAACACGTTTTTCATACGTTACACAACAAATTTTGCAATTTTGCATTTTGCGGCTTGACATTTTGCTAACAGTCATTGTCCTTTGCAATCCAAAGAGGCTTTCACAAAATTTTGATACAACAACACCATCGATTTTGATTACCTAACCGATTATTCTTAAACCACGACATGGCGACTACGCTCACCAGAACCATCTCAGAGAAGCGAATCGGCACAACTTCTCCATTCAACGCTCCATTAAAACAATCAGCATCTGATCTGGATGAACCAAGAATCTTACATTCGTTCAAGAAATCACCCAGATTATCCATCACTACATCGAGAGATTCGCCACAAAACACTTCGCTTGATCCAGCCACTGACTCTCTTCAGACATTTGATCTGAATGACATTCCAAACAAGCACCATGCTGATCTTGCTCGATTTTACGAAGATTTTCGTTGCTTTTTAATGGGTGATGATGAAGATGGAGTATTCTCGACTTCATCCTCTCCTAACAATTCTCCCAAATCTAATCGTGACACTGCTGGAATGTCACCTCTTTCTCCCCGAAGATCCATTTCATCATCAGTAACAAACACAATTTTGAAAAAGAAGAAGAAACAACTGGTTGATTTTACCGAGGTCTGTATCAGAAAGAGAAATATTTCTACAGAATTTGTGATCGATCTTGCGGTTAAGTTTCACCAACAAATAATTCCTAAAGATAACCGACACTTGCTCAAATCTTTCAAAGACAGTTTTACAGGTCGTGAAGCTGTCACACTCATGTGTCAGTTGATAAATGCAGAACAAGTGACCAATGTCCAAGAAACTCTTCCAGGAATTTCATCAATAGAAGAGGCAAGACTACTTGCACAATCTCTGTGTCACTTGATGCTTCACTTTAGATTTATATTTCACATGACACACAAGAAACACTTTAAAGACTCTGGCTACTCTTTCTATGGACTTTGCAAGAATTTAAAGAAAGCACAAACTGATTTCATTTCTGATTTCACCAAACCAGCCTCGCCAAAAATCGAGCAGATTGCCAGCACATCCACTGCTCCGCTTGCAAAAAGAAAATCATTTTCTTTTAGTCTTTCGCTTAACTTGAAGAAGTTGCAAGAGGTGAAAGAAAATACAGTGGACAGTGACGACGAAGATTGTTGCATTGATACCACCAATGTTCAACCATTCGTTCTTTCAAAAAACATGCCTTCCAATCATCACAGATCTTCAGTGAGCTCATCCACAGAGACAACTCCAAAAACACCAACAGGAACCATCTCTAAGAAGAACAACAAACGAAACACTCTAATGATCCCCAAGTTAAATTTCAATCACATTCTTCATTTGAACAATCACCATCATCATGATACTTCTGATGACAACGCTCCCAAGTCTGAAGTGATAGAAATTAGTAAGCCATTCGACTTGGAATTTTCAATTTTGCAGAGAAAAGAACTTTCTAACTCAGTCACCACTCAACATGATTCTTCCGATGAGGAAAATCAAAATAATGATTCCTGTAAAGGAACCAATACCACCAAGAGGCCATCACCTCAAAAAAGCAGCTCTGCTGACATGACTACTTGTCAAGTCGCCTTAAATGGTAACACAAGGTCACGAAGATCATCGCTTTCACAACTATTAAGTGACAATTATATGAGAGAACAATTTAAATTGTACTCACGAGACGAACTCTCCTCAGAAAATGTTATTTTCTATGAGGAAGTTCTTAAATTTTTGAATTCGCTCTTTCTTTCAGAGGAAGAGCAACGAAAAGTTGCAATTAATCTCTATGAATTGTTTGTTCCAACAACCTCACTTTATCAGCTGAATCTTCCAAGCAAACTCATTTTGAAATTCAATAAGGAATATGAAACTAACTTTGCTAACACTGCTAATGTGGTGTTACTTTTCAAAGAGGCATTAATTGAAACTGAGCATTCCATGCATGACACTTACAAGAGATTCCAATTCACAAAGGAATATCAACAATACAAATTGAGAAAGCTCTTACATGACAAAGATGAAAGAAGTGATGGTTTCAACACTTCAAGATATTAAACAAAATCTTTACAAAATTAAAATGAAACACGACGGTTTAACTCAAAGAATTTGTTGGGTTCTCGCTCCTTGTGTGTCATTCTTAATTTTGTAAAGAAATATATTTTCATCACAAAAGAAGAATTCGGTTGACAACAATCACGGCCACTTTTCAAGCTTTACAAAAAAATGCTTTCACAACAACAACATGAACAACCACCACCATCATGGGCCCGATTCCATACTCCAATGATGGCAGTGATCGGATCGAAATTAATGGACGATGTAACCATGGGATCAATGATTGGAAAACTTTTGAAACGTTTGGGTGGAGTGGATGAGCGAACCCTTGAAAAATATGAGAAAGAGTATTCTGGAGGTGGTTTCAGATATTGTGGATATTATCAAAGCTCTAGAACAGACACGTACTTTTCTGGGTTGGGACGAGATTTTCCTGTGCAGCATGATTACTTGTCAGGATTTATTCAAGTCAAACAGGATCCCAAGGGTGACAACAGAATTGCTTTACTTTATTCTGGTCACAAGAGATCACCCAAAACAATGTTGAAGTTGTGTTTATTGTCAGATATTCGATTATTGTTAATCAACGCTTCCAATATTGATTTATCTACTGATTCTGAAGTTATTGGAGAATATATAAGGTTGTCAGCAGCGTGTGGAATGAAAAATTTAATCATTGCTGTCAACTGTGAAGCAAGCAATACCTCCACAAATATGACTTCTCAATTAGATCAATTACTCACAACGTTGCATTCTTTTTTAGAGAAGTGTCGAATGAAAGCTGACAATTATTTCATTATTCCTTTTTTACTGAGCAGTGGTGATGGTCTCATTGAACCCATCGAACCACCACATCCAAAATTTACAAAAAAAGCACTCGTTCAAGTACTCGTGGAGGTGCGAGAAAAAGTTGTTGCAGAGATGAATAAGGTGGATGTTAATCATCAACCCTTGAGAGCAACTGTCATGCAGGTACACAAAATTGGTGGAATTGGAACAGTGGTCGAATGTAAAGTCTTGTCAGGTAGTATTCGAGCTTCTGACAATGTTGATCTAGTACTTGATTCGGGAGAAGTTGTGAAAAAACTCGCCAATTCCATTGAACATTTTCATACATCCATACCTAGTGCCTTTCCAGGAGATTTTTGTGGTATTAATTTGAAAGGAGTTGCAGTGAAGAATCTACAGAAGGGTATGATCATTGGAAATAGTTCAAACTTGGTGACCTATTTTGAAGCCAATATCGTCGTGCATAACGCTCCAGAGAAGGGCTTTAGGGTTGGATGGACACCAACGTTGCACGTGCATGCAGCTCATTGCACATGTCAGATTGAAGAGATTATGTGCAAATTGGATGGAAATATGAATCCAATAGGGCCAATGGATGAATTGAAACGTGGCACACGAGCTCGTGTGAAAATTCGTCCATTTTCCATGTTGCAACTGGAAGAATATTCCAAGTGTCCACCACTCGGAAAAATCGTGTTGGTGAATTCACACGAAATCATTGCTTTTGGTGCTGTTGTTCATTGCAAACGAGCATCTTACAGTTTGGATCATGAATTACTTTGTTGATTTTTTCATGAATGACTCGCTGACAGTGTTGATGGTTCATGATATCATTAGTGGTTCTTTGAAGAGGTTGTTCTTTGAAGAGAAATTCATCATTCTTTGAAGAGATGATTCTTTAGAGAGGTCAATCAAAAAACTTGTTGTACATGTTGGAAAGTGTTGTGGTCACAGAAGAAAAATCAGGTCTGTGTTGTGATTTTCCACTCCAACATTGAATCATTAAATGTAAATATTGGCTCGTCAATTCAAATAAATCATCATTGTCCAGATAATGCTCTCGTGGTCGTATATATTCTGAAATCCAAACTCGTTGTTCTTCCTCATTAGAAAAGGGAATTTTAGGTCGGAGTCCCTTAATGACCTTTGCTGGAATATTGAAACACGACTTGTCGGATATGTCTGGTGAAGTAAATCGATGAATCTTTTCTGAGTGAATATTCAAATAAGGGTTCTCCTCAAAAAATAATTCATACATGATAATGGCAAAGCTGTAAACATCCAATTTGGTGGTGATGGAATTTTCATCCGAGTCGCCTAAAATCTCTGGGCTCATATAAAACAAGGTACCTAAATTGGTGGTCATGGTTGCGGTAGCATTGGTTGAGACAAGTTTGGATAAGCCAAAATCCGAAACTTTGGCATTCATGGCTCCATCTATGTGACAGACAATATTTCCAATGTACGAGTTGTCAATTTCAATCATTATTGCAACAATAGCAAATTGAACTTACCTAGCAAAATGTTTGCAGGTTTCAAATCTCTATGAATAATGGCATAAGGTTTCAGGGAATGTAAATAACTCATGCCAGATGACACACTTTTCAGAATGGAAATTTTCGTTTCCAATGATAAAATTTCTTTTCCAATCTTCGAGTTGTATATTGCTTTATCGAGACTTCCTTTAGATAGAAATTCCACAACCATATACTTGACCGATTGACTCATAGCAACTCCAAAAAAGTTAACAATGGAAGGATGTCTCAAATCACTAAGCAGAGCTGCTTCCGTTTCAAATTCTTCGTTATCTTGATTTGAATCGTTCGAATTGTCAAATTTCAAGCTCTTTAAGGCAACGTCAGTGCCAGACCATTTTCCTAAATAAACAATTCCTGAAAGTGTTTTTTAAATTCTCATTGTTTCTACTACTACTACAACACTAATGACCACTTACCATTCGCACCTTCACCAATCTTTTTAATCACATCAATGCTATCTATTGGAATGATAAATGTATCTTTTTTCTGTGGTTTCTTGTCTTTCTTGCCTCCAGATCCACTCGAATCTGTAGGATCAATATACGAGTCCAGTAATTTCGTTTGTAAATCCGAAGAGAGTTCTATATGATCCTCTGAAAATATAAACTTTTTATCCAACAACTTCTTTTCAAGTTTCTTCTCTGCCTTTTCTCGTTGATTCAACCTTCTCAATCGAGAAGCAATTCGCCATCCACAATATAATAACCCAATTCCAATAAATATTCCTAAAGCAAAAACCAAAAGAGATCCAACAACAATGAGTGGAATAATAATTGGCCATGCAACATCTTTTTGGCAAATTAAACGTGACGCAGAAATGGTTGAAAGAATAAATCCTGGTAGACAATCTTGTACATTGACCTCAAATGTCACACTCATGCTAGTTCCAGGGAATGCCACAGAGAAATTAAAATGTTTCACTGATTCATCTCTAATTTCAAAGTATAATCTTTCAATACTAATATTGTTTCTTGAAAAGGAAACTGTTGACAACACGTCATCATTGACCATGAGTATTGGCTGTTGTTGAAGATTGGTAATGTTCTGACCAAAATAATCCACAATTCCAAAATAAATGGAAATGACTTGGCCCGGATATAGACTCAGTTTTGACTCTCTCGTTTGTGTAGCGTTTTTGCTAAAAGACCATCCAGTGAGTGAAATAAAGGATGTCGCAACCTGATAATTGCCAACTTGAGACCCACGAATTTTGGTGAAATTCAAATATCTAAAAAGAGGTACAGATTGTTCAGAGTAAAAACAATGTCCTAAATAGGTTGCTGTGTTATCCATGCAATTCAAATTGAAACGAATGTCGTCATTAAATCCTGAATCCTTCTCTTTCAACATGTATACTGCTCCCCCACGGATTGCTCTGTTTTGAATAAAATTGGTATTACCAATGTTGATGTAATCCATATCTTTCAAATAAATTGCTCCTCCATTTCCAGTCTTTCCAATGGTGACTCCTGTCACTAAACGAGCCACGTTATTAGAAAATGTGCAATTATCAACTTCTGCAGAGCCCTGATTCAAGTATATGGCTCCTCCATTTGCAGCTGTATTGTCAATAAAAGTAGAGGAATAGATGTGAATGACATCTGCTTTTGGAATGTTCGCTGCCCCTCCATCTCCTCCTGAAACAGTATTGTTCATGAAAAGACAACTCCATATTCGCACGACATTTCTTTCGACACCTGACGTAAATCGTACCAACTTGTTAATAAATATTCCTCCTCGGTTGTTAATAAAATTACTTTCTCGAAAGAATATCGTGTTCGCTTCATCAATATAAATAGCTCTCCTTGGACTACCAATAATATTGGTTTGATAAACGTAAACATAATCAGAGAGAACCATGTCAAAAATTGCTCGACTGTCGGTTTCAAGAGGTGACACGTCCGTGTCGTAGATGTTATTGTGTTGAATAATGACGCTAACCACTCCCTTGACAGTAAATAAATTATTGGAACCTGTGACATTACTGAATTGAATGACAAACTCATTTCCAAAACTAATTAACAATCGAGTGTTTGTGAGCGAGCATTGATGAAGGGCCACAAAACTGAACTTTTCCACATTAAATTCAGGAACATGATGGAGTGTGCAAAATTCCATGTGAACCGATGAGCCTGCTGATTGAATGCCTGTCGAACGATCCAGTGTGCATGCTGTAAATATGATACTAGTGGTATCGATAAAATCCAAAAAGCTATCAGAAATGATACTCTTTTCAAAGACCATTATGCCCTCTTTTGATGCCACGTTCATGGATGATAATTGAGAATGAACAATTCGCAAATTCGCTCCTCTTGATGAAATGATTACTGAAGCTTGTCTGCCAGGTCCATTCAAGGTACACGAGTTAATTTCTATTAAAGCATCGTCACTCACGGAATTGAATGACATGCCAATAAAAGTATCATAAAGTGTCAAGTTGTTAAAAGTCAATTTCACAACTTGTTGAGAATTTTTGATCAATCCTGCTCCTTGACAATGAACTTGTGGTCGTTGTTGATCCAGAGGCTCAAATGCAAACACATGAATTTCATACGTAAATTTTCCACTCGATTCCTCAAGAGAATTATGACAATAATAGGATGAAGATACATTCGTCATGAGATAAAATTGAATTCGAATACGACCTGTCTGCTGTTGTAAGTTCTGTGTGACATCGCTCGTAACAAATGCCAATGCATGATCCATCAGAAAACATGGATCCAATGAGGAATTGCAATTCTTCATGTCGCCATCGTAGCGAACATTTTCATGAATATAAAACTTGAAGGTTTTTTGAATTGTCGGAGGAGTGGCAAACGTTCTAACTTGGAGTTGAATTTGGGAATGAGTGGTAAATCTACTTTTCGTTGTTCCGTCAACATTATCATCATTGTGTGGATATCTCGTTGTAAATATACTTGTTTTTGAAAGGTCGCTTCCACCTCTCTCCGAAATTGTTGAATCCATGTTCCTTGTAAATTCCGGAATTTCGTTAGTAGTGATTGGAAAATTAGTTGGTTTTTGCGAGGAGGAGGAGGAGTCAAGTCTAAAAAATCGATTACTTTTACGCGGAGAAGATGATGATGGTATTGATGATGTGGTCGGAGGTTGGTGTATTTCATAACTTTGAACATGTATTGGGAGAGCCAATAGGAATGTCAGAGCGAACAACAAACACATCATTGCAAGAAGAAGAAAACTGAAGGATCTTGATAGGAATGTTTTTCGTTTCCTAGACACGAACGACCGAACACATGTTGTAGCGTTGTGGGATGTGAAGTCATGGCTCAACAACAGAGGCAGCCGGCCATTCGTCGTCAACATGATTTTTTCAATGACAGTTTGGCATTTTGTGTTCACGTTTTAACAAAATTATTAAAATCTTGAATGACAACTATGATTTTCATTGTGAATTAAATTCATGTCGTTCTAACTAAAAAATTACTTTTCAAATTTGAATATACAATCTGAGAAAATATTCTTGCCATGCAATTCTTCATGCTCCTCCCAATGAACAAGTGTTTGTAATCGTTTTTTCAAATACTTCTCGTAAACGAATCCACGATGCTGATTTCTATTGAAAGCAATGCAATAAAACCAACCACCTGGAACGATTTCATTAGGGAGTGCAAGATGGCTCACAAAATCAAAACCTCTCAATTCATTCTCAAGGGCTTCCCAATCCAAAAGATACACAGACGGTGAGGTGCTGTAAAGTTTGGCAGGATCAAAACTTTTAACCACATCCCCGACAAAATACGTGTGTTTGGTTTTTCGAGCATCCATAGTGGTAAAATATGTTCCAATAGAAGTACATCCCATATCAACAATTTCCTTATTTTCGTTGGTTTTCCATGGTAACGAAAATTTAGTGAGACCTGGATTGCCGTGTGGCTGGACAGAGCCAGTGGCTTGACCATTGCAATTATAACCACAGCTATTCGTGTTGAAATGTCACATCAAACAAAATATTATCACAATGATTTCAAATATCACATACCCAAAAACAGATCCATCATCCAATAGAAATATGTTTGTGTAAAACCCACTCTTCATATTTTTCACAGAACCAGGCAATTGAAAGTTCACTTGATAAATATCAGTTGTTCCAACAGGAAGTGAATGTTTTGATGGATTATGTTCATTCTCAGCAATTCCAAACAAGTTGCTTGTTCCATTTCCGAAACCATAATACTGTCCCTTTTTTGAAAAGAAGCTTATGGCAGGATTGCAACAGCTGATGAATTTCATTGGAATACCTGATAAGAAGTTGTTCTTAAGTATTCCATTAATCAAAATAGAACCATCAGAAAGCTCAACAACAAATCGCTCAGCGATAGGGCTTGTTGCAACTCTGACAATTGCATGCTTGTACGTGAAGGTACACATTTTGTCTCCTACTTCTACTACCATCAGCTTATTCCTATCACGTGAAATCACCATCACAAAATCCATACTTGCATAATACTCGTGAGGTTCAAAATTGTGAGTTCTAAAGTCTAGAGTTTTGTAACGCACTTCAGTTTGTACTACTTGTTCATAAAACAGACTCATTGACAAGATGTTGGAAATTTCAGTGCTGCCACCAATGTCACACGTTTGACAATCTAGAATTGTGTCAGATTTTTCAAGGGAAAGAATTTTGCTTTGAATTCCTGACGTGTTGTGGAAGGACTTATCAGGCAAGAACATGAGCCGTCCATATTCTAGTGTTATTACCATAAAAAAGATTCAATGATGGAATCAATAATAATATTTCAACAATAGAGTTCATGCCAGTACATAACATGGTAAGATCAATATCATTATCATCATCATTACTGAAAATTCAACAAGATCACCACACTCACCATCCACTGGAATCAAAGCTTTACCGACTCCCAATATTTGTATATATTTAAAATCAAACACCAAGATATGAAATTCATTGGTTGAAGGAAGCGTGAAAGGAATGTTCGTCCATGTAAACGTTGAAGCCATCACACAAACATTGGATGCATCATGCGAAGTACTTGAACTCTTCTTCTCTTTGAGTGATAATTTTTCCAATTTCAATCTGGTCTTATCAAAACACGACTCGGAGCCTTCTTCTTCTTCATTATTATAACTTCTCGTGGACACCATTTTTTATTCAACGGTTTTTGATCTTTTTACAATGACGAACCATTCATACTTTTTAGGATAACTCATTCTTCCATGTCATGATCGGGTGATGAATTGATTATCGTGAATGGTTCAAGAAAGGTTTTCGTCGTGCTTTTTTCAGCAATTTCTACTGCCAAAGACAAAATCATTTCATTGGCTTGTTCAATGAATCGAAGCAACTCGAGCCGTTCCCAAGTGAGCATGGAATGTCGTGTGAAGGTTGATAAAGTGCTGTGGCAACTAGCACATGATACAGACTCCATGATATTCGAGTCAATCTCTTTCAAAATGTCGAGACTTCCACCAATGGCCATACTTGCAGTTCGAAGTTGGTGTGAAACGTGCATGGTGATCGCCATGGAGTCTGCTTCTTCATCGTTGTAGGACCACACGCATGGAAACAGTTCGGATACGAGAGCCTCCAACCAACTCCACCAATATTCATATTCACTCCATCGCAACCATCGCCACTGCCATGAACATTCCCAATCATTTCTCTTATACAAGGTAAAAACAGTAGAAACCAGAACTGCTAAAAGCATGATAATCAACACCACCACAAGAATCAATGCCATTAACGTTGTGCTCTTCCATGCATCATCATCATTATCCTCATGATCCAACTGAATCATCCTATTGCATCCATGATCATTGTATTCATTCTCAGACCGCCACTTGCTCCATACATATTGAATGGTGGTTGTGATGGCTCGAGTCGTACAGTTACCAATACTCATTCTCTCTGTCCATTCAATGCTTCCCTTGTTCGTGAATTGTTTTTCTTTCGTTGTTGTCATCAAAGGTGAGTGCGTTTGGTTGTTGAAAACAAACTGTTGGTACACGGAGCGCATTTGATCGCAAATATTCACAATAAGGTATCAAGATAGTACTGTTTGGTGGATGGGATGATTGCGGCCATCATTTCCGTACACAATCTGATACGCTGGATCTATTCCTCACCATCCGTATTCAACAAGAAGAGAGCCGCTTAGACACACGTGTGTTGAGCATATGCAAAGAATATCTTTCAATTAAGGAAAGGAGTATTGGTCAAAATAGTCCACGCTCAATATATGGAAATATGAAAACAGGTAGTGATGCAGAGGCCTTCTTCAATCATACATTTACGACAAATGGGTGAAGTCCGTTCGACTCAACTTCAGACAATGGATCAGTCATCCGTTGCATTCCGTGCATGCATAGATCACGACTGTTCTGTTTTCTTACGGACTTTCTGTTAGTCCAACCGCGCCAGACAGTAAGGATTCTCGTTATCGTAGAACAACAGATTGAAAATATGTTGAGTATGCATACTCAACTTGTCAATTTTACTTTCAATTAACATGTATAATAACCCTTTCTATTCACAAGAATTGCAAGAATATACCAGTACAACGGTCTTTGAAAAGTTGTTGTGTTGATGGAAAGAATTGATATACAGGGCGAGAAAGATTATCAATTTGCCTTCCTTAGATACAAGGTTCTGACAAGAAAACAAAGGTAGGATCATAAAGAATTCCATTGGGCATAACATGCCAACAACATTACATATCATTACATTCAAGCAGATCAAGAGGTGTTTTAATCTCCTCACAAATTTATGAAAACTATTCTATTACTTCTTTTCATACATGACCACATAAATCAAGTTTGAGGTATCTCTTGTATTGGCCACATTGACCACACGTATCTTGCTCGAGTATGTATTCAACCATTGTGTGACCTTTTCTGTGATTTTTATCGTGCAACTCATCATGTTATGTTTCGAAATGCAAGGAACTGTAAATGTTTTGCTAGCAAAGAAACCGCTTGGCAACGAATCCAAATAATGTGCATCCGAGTAAGCATTGACACCCAATCTCATGTTGAATTTTCCAACATGTTCTTTCAATGTTTGATCCTTATAAAAATCAAAGGAATACAAATTGGGTTCAGCTGTCTTTTTCAAGAAATCACTCAATGTAAAGCTAGGAGAGAAGGCAATCAGAATTTTCTGAACATCCAACAAGCCAGATTTAACCTTTTTGAGCACAAAATGAATGGTGAAATTATCAGGACTCATGGATGGATCGTTCTGAATGATCGTGTCAATATTATCAATGAAGCAAGCACTCTTTTCAAAAGCTCCCTGATGAGTCTTGGAATCGGCTCGATAGGTCATGGACACACTCAATTCCCTACCGACCCGATGAACCACGGTTGGATTGGCCTTGTGTTGAATCATGACATCGAGACAGACCCGAGTCGAGGTGGTTCCGAGTTGAGTCGGATGGACCAAATGACCATCCAATGGAATGCACTCTAAGCTGTACGTTCCAGAGGTGATGATCTGATTGGCTTTAATGGGATCCAAGGGTTGTGAAGAGGAGCTGCTTCCCAAGTCTTTCAGAGCTTCAGCCCAAGAATCGAGCAAGGAAGGAGTTTGTTGTTTGTTTTGTACGATCAAGGGAGTGGTGTTGTTGGAAGAGTTCATCATGGAATGACTTGATGATGTCAAAGGAAATTGGGGTGGTGGTAGTTCTTGACTAGTTTCCAATGATGCATAGGTTCCGACGTGAGTATCCACCGAGTGGTACATGGCTGGATTCATATTAGAGGATGATGGAAAGTTGGGATTTGGATAGGTGCGTCCTCTTCTAATTTGATATTGGTTTGAGTGGGTTGTTGTGGATTGGACATCATGACGTTTTTTTTGTGTTCCAACTAAGAAAGTGACTTTGCAAAAGAAACGAATTGGAGAGTCATGTTGGATTCCATTTCAGGAACCTCAACCAGCCTTGGTCAAAGTCCCTTGTCTAATTCCCTACTACAAATATATTTATTAACACAACAAAAATAATGTAAGGCGGTTTAGCACAGGGGCAGTGCATCAGTCTTGTAAACTGAGGGTCCAGGGTTCGATTCCCTGAATCGCCTTAACTTTTGACTTTTTTCATTTTAATTATTTGAGACTTTTTCACTTTTGCCGTCTCTCCAAAAAGCTGGGCTCAATTCTAACAGCAGATCGGAAATCGCACATATGAAACATATTTGACGAAAACCTCCTCGTTGAAGATGGAACATCCTTTCCTTAAACAAAATTGTGTGTTATCCTTTAATCAACACTTTGTTGCTCCTCAGTTGAAGGTCAGCATTCAGAAAGTTGCTTGTTGAAACAACGCTTTGTTCGAAATCGATGCTAATTCTCATCCCAACAGCTGTTATTTACATTTTAAATCGATGTGACAAGTCAATGATCATGCTACTGTCACATGTTATTTCCTATCACATACCTTTTTGTTGCCGACTTGTCGATAAACGTTGAAGGGGTGTCAACCCAGCAATTATCCACTTGGTTATTTCAATCATGTTCATTTCATCCAACGGTGCAATGCGCATCTCTCTTCTCGTATTCTCTTGTTCTTACTTTTTTACAAAAACACAACAATACCAATTAAGGTGAGGGATGACAGCAACAATTCGACTTAAATGTAGAAAAAGATGCAACACTAATATTCCATTGCACCTTGGGTATCATGAATGAGACGTTCCTTCCGTTCATTCCATACCTTTTGGTGCAAATGCATTACCATAAAAATACCAACGAATATAATTGACCAACGTTTGGAATGAGAGAGAGAGACGCTTATTCTTTTGCGAGAATGTGGATATTGCAGACGACGAATAATAACCGTCGAAACACACTCTCTCAGGGAATTAACGAGAGGAAAAAAACAACCTCATATACTCCCATCGTTGAACCCTCATCATTGCTCCTTCGCTCTCAGAACGCGGTGCATTCAACACAAACCAACTGTAAATTATTCTGCAGTGATCCGAGTACAATACATGCAGAGTTGGAATAACCAATTAATTGGCCAACCTCAACAACAACAACGAGACCTCCAACCTCACTATGAAATTTCTCTTTAAAGATCATTTGGAAATGACAAGGTATTTTGTATTGATCCCTAGCCGAGAATTTAGAACTAGAAATAGCTCTCCAAGTATTTTTCGTAATATAGAAGCGAATGATCCTCCCAATGATGATGAAGATGTTGATGATGGAAACTTACACCAAGACAACAATACCACTCTCTCTTGCCAATGCCCCTTTATCATCCTTTTAAACGATTCTTCCTTCCTTCCCAAGCTTCAAGAATTTCTCTTGCACTTCCTTCTCCTCTTTCAAACCACCATGTATTTACTCCTTTCAATCCTCAAACAATTTTTTCGAGCTCTTTTTCTGAATTCCTCCGCAATTTCATCATGTTCGCAGTTTCGTTTTTTTAAACTCAAGAAGACGAATAGTCAAACTTCCATTTCTTTGCAAGAAGTCTCTCCAGAATTGAGTTCTCACTCGTTCCTGCAGGCTGGTGACGCTCAAGAGTCGCTGCCAGCTGTCAAGGTCGAAAAGATTGCAACTTACACACAAATGCAAAACACTCATGAAGGACCACCACACAAAACGAAATCCAAATTGAAAATTCTCATTGCAGAATCGAACACGATTCATCGAATGGTATTGATTAAACTGTTGAAACTTCTCGGACAAGATATTGAATTAAGCATGAATGATGGAAAACAATTACTCGATCAGACCAACCACAACCTTCGAGAGATTGATATCGTATTCTTGGATGAACACATTCTTGAAAAGCATCCTTCAGAAACTTGGCAATTTCTTCATCTTGTTCAGAATACACATACCAAAATTGTTTTATTTTCAAAGGGTGTGAGCAATTATTCCAAACAACAAGAAGAAGAAAACAAATCTCGTTCAACAAGCACGAGTTCGATCACTCGTCCAAGTAGTGAACACTTGTTATTTACAACCATACGAAAGAAGCCAAAAACCATTGAAGAACTGGATCAAGTCATTCGAGAGGTTCATTCGAAAGGGTCGACGACAACTTCTCATGATGGTTGCATCTCAGAACATTGCTTTCTGAATAAACGATGATGCTTGTATACACATTGATATGGATTGGAACGTAAGGACTTGGCAATTCCCCATCTATATAAGGATCAAGTCTGTGTTGTCTCTTTTTGCATCAAATTGAAACAACATCATCTTTACTTTTCCAAACGTACAGTTCAGGTGTAACATTCCAATTTAAGACTAATAAAAACCAAGAGAGACATATTGTAGACAAATGGTTCAATCGGTTCCATCCTGATCCCTTCGATTGAAATATCCCATTATCCAATTCCAACCCGTTTTTTTCGAAAATGTTCATAAAAGGTGGACAGACACTAATGTATGTGAGGACTTTCGGTGAGTGCCTCAAAATTAGTAAATATTCAACTTTGCCCATACCATTGACTGCCATCAGAAATGTTCACACCTCTATTCTCGTATAGGGGATGATGAGGAGTAAATGGAGTTGCATTATGCAACACGAAATAAAAACACCTCACACCAACCACCATGAAGAAACACAACCACAATAAAAAACAAACCTCAATTCGTACACATTCTAGTAGAGAACAGGCTTCCATGCGATACTTTGTTTTGTGTCCAAGTGTGCAACAGCGAAAACTGCAAGAACAGCAAATCATGATAACACCATCTCGCCCAACAGAAACATCATGTTCTCATTCACCACCAACATCAAGGAAAATAACATCCCATGAACAACCAATCAAAATTTCTTCTAACGTCTCCAAAACCACAGTCAAAGTACAACAAAAATCTCCCTCCTCGGGAAGCTCATTACCGTCGGCTCCTGTGACAATCAAGAAAAACAGCAAGGGCAACATGATCAATTTTTGGTCCTCGAATTCCTTAATGATGATTTTGATTTTGTTTTCAACATTATTACTATGTTCAAGCTAAATAATGTGAGTGGCAATAAGGGTGATGAGTTTGAGCTCATGATCAAGCTTAAATCATTGCCTGCAGAGAGACAAATTCTGACTTGCATGTACCAAAGTTGTCGTTGTCGACAAATGACCCAGTGTTATTGTTCGAAATAACTCAATTTGCGTCATCTTTGACATTCAACACAGTTTGATAAATTAATTGTTTTTATTATTACTTCTTCTGGTTTGTAAATGAACTCGGATTGTTGCTTTGGGAGAGATTATTTTGAAACATGCTCGTATTGGGATTTGATGGGTTGTTGGGAAGGTTATTTGGTTGTTGTTGGTGTGATGGTTGTTGCTGGAGATTCATATGTGATGATTGTGATTGCTGTTGTGGCATCATCGGTTGAACGTTACCTTTTGGTATGACAATGGTGCTGAGTTTGACAGGTATTGCAGGCATTTGGCTCATTATTCCATCCATCATGGACATGCAAGTCAGAATTTGTATTGTATTTTCTCTGAATTTGGCAATGAGAGGAATATTTGCTGCTATGGTCTTCTTTTCTAAATTATTCTTGATTTCTGTCATCAAGATGGAATTTTGATTTAGTAAATTTTGAATATACTTTTCGGATAGAGCTGAATTCATTGTGTTCGTCATTGGTTGATTTGATGGAGGTGTTGGATTGTTGTTGACAGCAGTGAGGGATGATGGTTTGTTACTTGGAATATTCAGTTGGTTATTGGTCATGGATGATGAAGGAGAAGCTGGTGTTGTAAAAGTTGATGATGAAGGTTTTGCATTCACGGGAGATTCTGTTTTAAGTTTCTTTTGTTGTGGGTCCCCGCCTGGTGATGGCATTGAAAAACTTCCTCTCTTGAGAGCAGCGTTCGAGGTGTTCATTGCGGTTGTTGGAGTTGACGCTGAAGAGGTGCCAGCAGCACTAGAGCCATTCATTTGTTTTGGTTCAGCCAAGCATAGCAAGACAAGCAACAGAGGGTTGCTGATGATTGGTCGCAACTCTGTCGCTGGCTCTCTATGACAGAACAGTGAACTTGAAGCTTCAATTCAAGATTTTCTTGCAGCGTAAGCGGTTCTCTACAGAAACTTTTTTTTTTTCGAGGGACATAAATCGTGTCCCTGAAGCCCGGAGTTCACTTTCGCTGGCCAGTCTTGCTATGAGTTGTTGAATCTTGTTTTGGATGTCTTGTGGCGATCTCTTTGGAAAAATTTGACGAAGACCTTCCACAGAGTCCTGATTGTTTGCAATAAGCATTCTCAAGTAGTCCACCTCTTTTTGAGTCCATCCTGAAGCGCTTGTTGGCATATTACTACTTCCAGGTGTTCCAGGAGTTGTTGTAAGAGACATTTGTGAACCTGGTGTGCCAGGTAATGTATTTCTATTCGACATCATTCCTCCCATCATCATTTGTAGATTTGTACCTGTTGACGAAGGATTAAACATTTGTGACAAGTGACTTGAAAGAACGTCTTCTTGCATATTTCCTCCTGATTGTTGTGAATTATTGTTCATTCCATCACCATTTGCCATTGTCATATTATTTTGTGGTTGCTGCTGAATTGAGTTATTGTTCTCTCTGCAAATTAAAATTCGATCACTTACTGATAATGTACCGCCTCCACTCGCCATGTTGCCTTGTTGAGGATTCATCATGTTGTTGCTTGTTGGTTGTATCATTGCATTCATTCCGCCTCCAGAACTCATTAGCTTTCTCACAAAGGGATTATTCAGAATATTCGGATCAGCATTGAGGAGTTGGAGAATTTGATGACCAAGTGGAGGTCCATTCCCTGAATTTCCCATTAAAATTTGTGGATTATTGAATGAAGTTGATCCTCCCATGGTTTGGTCTGATGAGGAAGAAAGCATTCCTAACATACTGGTATTGTTGTTACTATTATTCGAATCCAAATTGTTCATGTTTGTTGTTGTTTGAGGAGATTGTACATTGGAGGCGGGATTGATGGAAGTTGAGGATGAGGACATGGTGTTGTTGTTGTTTAGTGTTGAATTATTGTTCATACTGCTACTCAATGAAAGGATCTAAAGGTACAAAGGAGAGTTGTTGTTGCGGAAGAGATGTGGTGGAGTTGCTATTTGAAGTCTTTTACTGTTGTTGTGTGTTTCCAATTAATTGGTAATCATGGAAGTCTGTGATATAGCAACAACAGTCCGGACAAACGATGATGATGGTGTACAAGTTGTTGTTTTGTTGTATGATGATGATGGTTGAGTCAGAGCGAATATTCGCTGTGGAGCATGGAATCTGTCGTTTTAGCGGAGCCTCTCTCGTGTTTTGGATGATTGCTTTTCTGCGTTTTTTCTTTCCTTATCGAAAACGAGTCTCTCTTCGGCTCAGATTTTTGGCAAGGATGATCAGAGCTTTGTGTCGATGGATGAATAATTCTTTGTTTGAATTTGTCAAATATGAGAGATGGAAATCAAATTCTTTTGACGCTATTGCGCTATTTGGTCGATGTATTTCCACTGCTGCTGTGTATTTGATGAATATCTTCACACTCTCGTACGATCTATTTTGTTGTTGGCCAAGAGCTCTTGTCGTTGTGCAAAATAATGAACCTATGGGTACAGTATCTATGTGGTTGTACTCGAGCTCGGTGTGGAGGAAGAGACCTGGAAAACCAAACAACGTAAAGCTATTGTTGTGTTTTTTAAATCTGTTGATGGAGAAAAAGTTGATGACGATTTCAAATACGGCCAAAATGTGACACATTCATTCCTACAAGTCATTAAATCTCCAAAACAGTACAACAAAAAAGGGAAAGTTTGTTTTATTAAGAGTTCAACTCAAAATCCTGTCTCCACCTAGAAAACGTTGAGACCTGAAGGTTGCTGTCTTTTTGAAAGACTGTTTGGAATAGAGGATCTTCTTCAATAAACAATCATGTGTATTGTGATGACAATGAAACCGCAAGCAATGAAAACCTTGAAAAAATCTTTTTTAAAAAAAAATGGAAATCAATGCTTCTTGTCGACACGTTCTCGTTGCTTTATCGGATGAGCTACAATTCAGTGAGAAGGATTTTGAACAATTAGTTTCAACATCAATACTCTCCATTTTGAAAACATCAAACAAGCCTCTTTCTGAGAAAACACAAGAAGTGTTCAAAAATAATACAGCATCATTAGTGCCCTCTAATTTTGATCAAAAGGCTGTTCAATCGGCTTTGGTGTATTTACTCCTAGAAGCTGCCAAGCATGACATTGCTGCTATTGAACTTAGCCACTTATTAGAAGATCATTTTACTAATCGGAATCGTTTGAACTATCTCGGTCAGCAATATGAATTGTACAAAAACGAAATTCGTGAATTTGTTTTAAAGCAAAAAACATTTGCGTTTCCGGAAATTGTTGAGCTTGATTGGAGGTTAGATTATGTATTGAAAACAAGTGATGTCAAACAAATTCACGAACCGGTATACACAGTGAGATTTAAATGTAGGGACGGACAGGAAGTAACAATTTCGTGCAACGCAGAACAATTACAAGATTTGCATTCTAAAATTAAGGATGCAACAAAGCAGGTCGAAAGAACTCTTGAGCAAGTGTAAATCAATGATCACACAACAATTCACAAATTCTTATTTTTGACAAATTTGGCCAATGTCATCACGACCCTCTTTTTTTTGTACAATTTACATATCGGAAGTAGATACAACACATACAATCAAACCAAACAAGGTGTCACATTAGGAGTAAAATACAATGTTGAAACTTGTTTGAAAGCTTGTTCATCAATTTTAAAAAATTAAAAAATGTCGGATCAAGAATCATCATCTACACAACCCCCTTTGTCTGAAAAACCATCTCGGAAGAAGCTTACTGATGAAGAAAAAAGAGAGATTCTTCGGAAAAGAAGAGCCGAGAAAATCAAAGGAAATGAAGAATCAAGAATGCAAAAGCTCATGTATGGGGATTCGGTGATGATGTCTTCCTCTACAACAGAAAATCCAACTGTAAATATTAATACGAATGATGAAGCTGGGAAACAAACTTCTGTATGGACATCACCAGCCGACTCTCAAGATATTTCAAATAGGCACCCATCGTCGACACAAGTAACTAATGAAATCAATATGCATTCTCCTTCATTCAATCTTCATGATCCAAAAACCATTCATCAAGAAACGAAAGAGTTTACACAACCCATTGACTTTTCAAATTTAATTCCAGTTATTCAACCAAACCAAGAGGAATCGAGAAGAGGCGACCTACATTTGGACACAATTCAAGTCAATCCATCTATTTTTTCAAGAGGAAGGCCAAGTACCTTCCAAAGAATTCGCCCACTGCTTGTGTTACTACTTTCTGTTTTCTGTGCCCTCTCATTCATAATTAATAATGAAGGGGTGTCAATTTCCACAAATTCCAACGCAAACATTCAGAATGTTGTAGAGCAAGTTTTTGCGTTGTCCAACAAAGTGACACCACTTGCAGTAATTGTAACTTTTGAAATTGCTCTATTACTGCCAAGCTTGGTTTTTGGACAATCTGTTTTATCAATGAGCACTGATACGGCACTAGATACTTTTCTATTTGCAAAAGGTGTATGGGCATTGTTGAATATCCTTATTTCTGATGTCATCCTTTTCGTTTTCATCTATATTGTTTCACTGTCCATTCACAATATTTACAAGAATTATGAATATTCAAGGAACATGTTCAGTACCATTATGGAGCCATTCACAGACATTCCTACTGTGTTATGGAATCAATTACAACAAATATTTTCTAAAGATGCCAAATAGACATTATAAAACCATTGTCAAAGAAACTTTTGAAAACCGGTTTTTTTTGTGCTTAAAAAATGAAGCCTTCAACAATGCAACGTGTTCCCTCTATTACGCCCACAAATTCTGCGTTAGGAGCTTCATCATCACCTGCTACCTTTCCATCAATAGTCATTTCTTCCAAAGAGCAGGTTCAACACGCTGGAAAAATTTTAGATCAAAATTTGGTGAAGGACAGCGATTTTATTGATGTTCAATTGTTGTCGAAACACCATATCGTTACCGGAGATGATGTAAAGTATCTGTGTTGCTTTATTAATAATGTATTAACATGAGTTTATTGTATGATGATATTTTGAAAATGATGATGACAACGACGAACTACATTTGGATTGATTTATATTAATACTACTTCTAAATTTATCAATATAACAACACAATGTGGCAATGAAAATTATTATCATCAAACCGTGGTTCACGCTATAGTTTTTTGTGAAAAAACAATTTGTCGCTTTACCGGATCCAATCTTTGAAGAATATCGTCGCCTTGAATACAAATGCTACATGGGAATTTTCCCTGAAATTCATCGAGCATGGATTACAATTGACAACAAATTCTTCATCTGGAGTTATTTGGATGGCAGTGATTTCAATGAATATGATGAATTGGATCAAGTTATTATTAGTGCTGGGCTTGTTAAGCCAAAACCAGGCGTATTTAAAGACTATGTCAAGTATTTGTTGGTATTGGCAACACCTGTTGAAGTTGCACTAGTAGCACTTACATTCAACAACAACAATGTTGCTTCACCTTCGGGAGCCGCCCACCTTGATCAACAACATTTAACCTTCGACTCGCAAACAGGTGCTGTTTACTCGGAAATGGAGCTATTCTCGACAAATTACATTATTCCATCGGATAATGTCAACATGATCAAGATTATAGGTACTCAAAACGGAAGAATATTCATGTGTGGAAAGGATGGATGTTTGTATGAATTAACATATGAACCTGAAGAAGGATGGTTTAAAAGCAAATGTAGGAAATTGAACCATTCACAAAGTTTTGTTGGTATTCTAGTACCAGCATTCCTCAAATTTACACATGATGACCCAATCATAGATATTGTTGTTGATGACACTAGAAATTTCTTATATACACTTTCCGAAAACATGACAATTGATGTCTACGATCTAGGAAAAGATGGAACGGGAATGAACAAGATTGTATCCTATTCTAAATTGATTGCGGATGTTATGCGAAAATTCCCTAACACAAACAGAGACTATTCCAACATGAAAATCATATCTATTGCTCCAGTAACATCATATGAATCGAAAATTATCAATTTAGTTGCTATTTCCTCTAAGGGTGATCGTTTATTCTTCAGCACTAATGCTGCAAGTGGATCTACAGTTGGTTCTCCTGTTTTATCTCTGATGGACATTAAGCCTCTCTCGCTACCAAAGTCTAGTTTACATCGTAGAGTTAATGAGATTCATGAGTGCTTTTATAAAGATGGAGCTTTTATTATGGCAGGTGCCAGGAGTGAAGAAGTCGACGGCTTGGTTTGCATCTCAATGGAGAGAAAGACCATTGCAAATACATACCCAGAATATTCAGTTCCTATTTATGAGAATATGAATGTTATCAATTTGGACAATGGACGAACTCACGCCATTGCAGAAATTCCACTCTATTTAGATCCATTGCTTGTTTCTTCTGATAATGCCCTTAATGAAATTACAGTTCAACATATTAAGCCACCAAGAGAATTTGTGTGTCTGAGTAGCAGTGGTATGCATTTACTTGTTAAACTCCGCCCAGTTGATTTCTTACAACAGATTTTGCAGCAAACACAACCCGAAGAACTATTGAAAAGCTTTGTCAGTAGATATGGAGAAGATGAAACATGTGCCATGTGTATAATGTTGGCATGCTCTCCACCTCCTTACAATACCATTACCGATTCATCTCAAATTGTTTATCTCGACGATCATCAATTGAATAGACGAGCTGAAGAAACATTCTTCAGATTTGGAGGCATTCCACAATTCGAAATTGTTTCTGACACCAGAAGAAATTTCCTTTTCACTAACGACATTATGGGAGGTCCTGTGAGCACTCAAGATATCAGTCACAGCGCTAAACACAACGGACTGTATCTGTACTTGTCTCGATTATTACGACCTCTATGGAATAGTCCTCTCTTTAATTATAAGAAGGTGGACGAAAACGAATTGGTGATATCATCAACACGGTACAGCTTGCGACAGCTGAAATACATGTTGCAAGCATTATTGGCCGTTCTCAATTTTATGGACAGATATCCTCACTTGTTTGGAGAAGCTCAATCAGCTCATGGTAAAACCATTCAAGACAAATATGTTGATCTTGTTCACATCAAAAAAGACGAGGAAGCAAAGAGACTTGAACAAAAATCGCTTAACTCTCTTTATAATTTATTGAAACGAAGTTATCAAGCTTTACTATTCTTCTTCTTTATGACAAGATGTGATATTGGAGACAGATTAGCCCAAGTTCCTCCAAATAGAGTAAGTCGTTTGGCTGAAGTGACTTTCCGTAACTTGATCCTTCAAGATCAAGGAGAAGAAGTCATGAGAGAAATGGTTCGTCTTGTTATTCTAAGCGGAGAAAATGTTGAAACCATTTGCAACGAGCTAAAATCTTGTGACGTATTCTTTAACCAATACGATTTAGAAGAATACAAAGCACTTAACCTTTTGGAAAGAGCCAAAATTCAAAAAGATGAATCCCTATTGATGAACTCATTGGACATTTACAAGAGAATTGCCGGCCAAATTAATGTATTGGTAGTGTGTAAAGAATTTCAAAAACTTGGATGTTATTCTGGAGCTGTGGATTTGGCGTTGAGCAGTGCTGAACTTCAAGACCCAAAGAATTTGGCATTAGAATGGGTGAAAGGAGGAAAATCGGCTCTTGACGTCGCTGGTCAACAAGCTTATCAGGCCAGACTTGAATGCTATTATTGTGCATTGGGTGTTCTTGAAGATTTTACCAAGAAGAGAACCGGTCTACAACATGATATTGAATCAACTACAGCCTCAGAGACTGTCAATAGAGAGAAAATGTTCAACGCTGTGATTGAGAAAATGTCAAAATCACGAGATCCACTTTTCCATGAGACGCTTTATTTGTGGTTGATTGAACACAATTTCTCTTCCAAACTCCTAAGTCTGAATACGCCATACATTGAAGACTTCTTATTGAAGCAAAACAAGCACTACGACGAACTCTCAACCTATTACATTAATAATAGAAGATTTGATAAGGCTGCCAAGGTTCTTCAAAGACTTGCTGAAACAAAGAGTTCAGATCGAGATCTTGACACGAGAATTCAAAATCTTACTCATGCCATTAATTATGCCAAGGCTGCTCAAACTCAAGACGATTTGTTAACAATTCTACAAGACAAATTAGATGTTGCCAGAATTCAAAAGAGAGTACTTTCTGAGATTCAAATGTTACCAAAGACTGATGAAACAGTGAATGCCATTACAGCTCTCAATAGCTCTCTTCTTGATCTTAACACTCTCTACAATACCTATGCTGAGCCAATGGATTTACTTGAATCAAGACTGTGCATTCTTCATTGTGCTCGTCACAAAGATGATAAGCTTATTCAAGAGCTATGGAATGAACTTATTGATATTTCTATGAAGAATGGATTGCAATTCACAGAGGATAAAATTGCAAGCCTAGGAAAGGATTTATCGGGAATCTTCTTCCCACTTGAGTTTATTTGTGGACAACTTGAAAAGAGAACTCTCGACAAGCAACCTTCGGACTGGGTGATAAAATTGATGAAAGAAAAAGTTGGCATCAGACATCTAGATCTTTACAATGCCTATCACAATCTGTTTATTTTACTGAGTCCTGGATCTAGTACACTTGACGACGATTTAAGTATGTTTGCTCAAGGTAAATATGGAGGCCTTCCAAACACCCCACAAATGCTACTTCGAATTTTGGACAATATTACCAGAATTCTCAATGATTGGATTCATGAAATTTTCAATCAAACATATGACAGTTACTCTGCCCAACAAACATTTTCATCAGGTGACATTAAGAAGGATATTGATGAATACATGTCTGCATTGGATACCTTCAGCAATACTAAAACTCAAGAGATACGAAGACAATTTTCTGATATCCTTCGTAAAATCAATAAATGAAACGTATAGTGTCCTTAGTATGTTTTCAGGTTTGATTTATTATGCCTTAAACTTTTGGAGTGGAGTTGGAGCACCATGGTAAAAAGAAAACCATTTGTTGAGGGCGTCTTGTGCCGCTTTTTGTTCTGCAATCTTTTTCGTTTGGCCCACACCCTCACCAATCACTTCACCATCAGCCAAAACATGAACAGTGACAAATTTCTTCTCGTCCTTTCCCACTTCTTTAAATTGGATAATTTTGTGAGCGTGGTCATGCATCTCACCTGTTTGTACCATTTGTGTGAGTTGTAACCTTGGATCGAATGAATGCAACATGCCAGTAATGTCCACGCTCTTAGACACTATATGTTTCACAACGAATTTTCTTGCTTCCAAAATTCCACATTGGTCAAATATTGCAGCAACAATTCTAAAAACTGAAAATACCAAAAGAGAATCCAAGTTGTTTCGTTCAATATTCAAGTCGCCTTTTCTTTCATCGTCAGCATCTAATTCTGGATCTATTGCTGAAAATTCAATGTTTGAGAAATTTCCCTTCAATAAATTGTCCAACTTGATTCCTTTTGCAACCTCTACAATTGTTCTTTTTTTCAAAAATTCTTGTGTTGCAAGTGTCAAGTGATCTTGACTCAGGTTAGGAAAGTGAGCGAATAGATAATCGGCAATACATAGTGATGTAACATTCCGACCAATAAAATTCAATCTGTGTGCTTCCGATGTAGTACCATCTGTCTGTAGGACAGCCTTTAACAAATTTGTGTTTTCTAAAGGCAATGGAATTTCAAACTCTTTACAAATATTTCTAAATGAATCTATAACTACATTATTTCGTTTACAAGCTAAATTCTGACTAAAATTCCGTCTGGAACATTCCACAACTGTTTGATGATTCGTGCTCGTATCGGGACCAATTGTGTGCTTGAAAAAATTCTTGCTGAGATCATGGGACTTGTGATCCTTCCATATATTTAGATTCCGCAAGGTAGACATTAACTCTCTTTTCCCACCATAATGATGAGTGTGTATATTCATTAAATGATTCATCCACAAAGCACTGTGCTTTTTAGTATTGGAAAGACTAATTTTCATCATTTTTTTCGAAGTTCAAAAAAAACACATTGTGATCCATTAATAATAATTTTAAAATTATCAGAGAGAAACGGTTTAACTCTTTGAAACGCCTTCTCAACCAACATCAACAATCATGAAACGATTTATTAAAGAGAATACTTCAAAAGTATATGAACGGAATTTTTCATTGGAATCATCAGAGTCCTCACATGATGAAACAAATTCCGAACGAAAATATTCAATACTCTCCGAGCAAGAAATCATTATTATGAATGAGAGATTGAAGGATTTGAATTTATCATTCCAAAAAGCATTGAGTAAATGTTTCTCATTAGATTTACCCTATTCCATAACGAGTGATGACTCCCAAAGTTTATTTCAGAACACACCGAGCAAGGCTTTATTACCTTCGGAAGAAGAAGCCAAAACCATTTCTTGTTCAATATTCACGAGAGGATTTTTCAAACTTGATGAGGACTCTGGAGCTTTTGTTTTAGACAAGTCTCTGATAGGGGAGAAAACTTTGGAAGATATCGGGAAAGTGAAATCAACAGCCTATGGATTTATTTCTAGAGCTGAATCATCTGCTTCAACGCATTACAAAGGAAAGAATCAAATGACAAATCGAAAACAATTACTTCATAAAGATGTGAATGCTTACTTGGAGCAGGAATCAGTAATGACAGGCGTCGAAGATAAATTAATGGCTCCAGTATTGAGAAGTTCATCATTTTCAAAGACTGAAAAGAAGGAGCATGAAAGGTTATCGTCACTGTTGGATCCCAATTATAAATCATCGGCCATTGTAGACACTAAGGACACTGCAGGTGTAGGATGGGCTCATATGGCTGCTCCAAGAATGACACCAGAATTAAAACAAGAGCTTCTCGCCATGAAATTGAAGAGAGCCTCAGAAGGAGAAGGAAAGCGGTTGAAGAAGGAATCTGTCACTGAAGATTTTGATGAGGACAATCTTCCAAAATACTTTCAAATTGGTACCATTGTAGACAATGCTAAAGAATTTTATAGCGATCGTGTGGTGAAGAAGAAGAGACAACAAAGCTTTTTGGACGAACTTGTTCAGGAAGACAAGGAGACAGGTTATGTTTCTCAAAGATATTCACAAATTCAAGACAAACTTGACCAAGTTCAAAAACGAAAGAAACGAAAACTCATGAAAAAGATTGCAAAAATGAATAAGGAAAAACCAACGAAATAATATGACACATTGGTAGAGCATGAAATCCAAACCATTATATTGCAATAAATTAAAATTTGAAAATATAATCTAAAAACTTGGAGAAGCTTGATGTAGATGCTTCTGGCTTTCTCTTCTTTTGTAGAGGCAAATCTAATTGATGCCTAAAATTAACACCATTTCTGTAAAATGTGACTTTAGATTCTTCGTCTTCTCCTGAATGAGAGGCAAAGTTACGCTTTTTGACATAACTTTCAAAGCTGTCTCTTTCACGTTGCTGTAATTGTAAAATTTCGGTATCTAAGCAATCTACCACTCCTATCATTAGAACGCCATCAAATATTTTCCCATTCTTACTTAAGGCCTTGTCAGCTTGAACTCTAGTTTTATATTGAATATGTATGAAATTTCCATTAGTTATTTTGTGATTAATTATTGTTCCATAATTTGAAAATTGTTTTAAAATATATGATGTTTTGTCTGGAGGAAATCCAAAAACGGTAACCCATGTTGTGTCTTTAACAATTTCATTAATTCGACTTGCTAAAGCTACATCAGTTACTTGGTAGAAAGGGTCTGTTTGCAAAGGAGATGCAAAAATACTTCTTTTATCGAGTGTAAGAGGGGTTGATGTATATGGTTTTTTCGTTCTTAAATCTTGTGATTTTCCGGATGGAGGAGTTTGGAAACGGTCCAGTACAACTTCTTCCCTTCCTGAAAAAGGTTTCAATGGTGATTGGCCAAATATTAATGATGATGTTGTCGGAGCAAGGCTGGAAGGAATTCTATTTGGTAATCCATCCACAATACTCTCTGTTGGAGGTACTTCGCTGTCCACAATTAAATTTTGTTGGTCTGATGATGTACTCAATTCATTCTTTCGGTACAAGCCGGCTGATGATGATATTATTGGTTCTTTAAAACTAACAGCAGCTGGTTCCTTTCCCGTAAGAGATTGATTGATGAAAGACGAGGGTAGAACTGTGTGGCTGGTTCCTTTGGGCTTGTTTTGTTGTTGCGATGATAACAGTGGGTTGGGCTGTTGTTGAGAAGACGCAAGAACAGAGCGATGTTTGGATAAGTGTGGTGTTTGCATTTTTTTGAACGCGGTTCGAATTTTATCAAAAGTTGAACTTGGACAAATTTCGTTTTTCATTTCAACAAGGGATAAATCTTAATATATTGTAAAGATTTAATGCTGTTCGTTTATAAAGTCCACTAATATAATTTGGTTGAACTTCTTAATACTAGGATTTAGTGTTTGTGATGGTCGAAAATCATATCCAGCAAACTCAAGTTGAGTTCCATTATCAAACCCGCCAGAATAAGCCATAGCATAAGGAAGTTTGTCTGTAAGGGCGTTCCAAGCACCAACAGGGTCTGTCTTGCGAGCTTTCGAAATGGAAACACCAACGAGAGCATTAGGGTCATTAAATCCACCAAATAAATAAATATGTTCTGGTGTCTGTACCAAAACACCATTGGCATAATAGTGAGGTAAAATACCATACGTGACCATCCAGGTTCCAACATCACTCAACAAGGCCCTGTAAATGTTATAGGTGCACGAATAAACTTCTGGACAACCTCCAAACAAATAAATATAGTCACCAACAACTCCAATAGTTGCACTGTGTAGTGGAGTTGGTAAATATCTCAGGTCCCATTCTTGCCAGTCTGTTAGATTGCTCACAGGAGCTCTAATAATGGTTCTTGTCACATTTTGGTGATAATCACCAGTTCTTTCATTGTACATCGAAGTGATTCCTCCAAAAATGTAAAAGTAATTTCCAACAACAAAGGACATTCCTCCTGCTACCCGATAAGGCAATCGTTGGTCTAATACTTCCCAAGTTTCCACATCGGCATATGCAGCCCTAAATATTTTGTCTGATAGAGAATCATTGACAAAACCTCCGAAAAAGTATATATATTCATCATATTTCAAGAAATGGCTATTGTAAATGGAGGCAGGGAAACCCCTATTGTTTACAGGATCGTATTCAATAATGTTCCATGCTGCTTCTGATTCGTTCTTGTTTCTATAATACATGTTAAAACCGTTTCCAGGGCGTGATGGCGGCAATGACCAAGCAACTAATGCATACACTCTTCCAGCTGCCTCGAAATAAGGCAATTTTCGTAATTGCCAAGGAATGGTGTGATTAAGGTAATTTTTCATAACGCTGAACTTATTTGTTATTGTAGTGTTGAAATATGTCGTTTGCGCTCCCCCTCCTGCTCCAAACAACACATCATCCGATGTAAGCACGTATGTTTGCGTTTGAGAGCTGACCACTTCCATAATTTTACCTGTCGTGAAACTAGTGACGAGGGTGGGCTTCGTAATTGCATTGACATTACCAACACCTGCTTCTCCTTTCGAATTATACCCCCATGTAAAAATAGTTGAATTTGTACACACAGCAAAACTGGTTTCATAGCCTGCTGTGATCATGGATACGTTACACGGAATTGGAATAAGTTTTGGTTGGAATACATTGGTTGTGGTGCCGTCACCAAGTTGATAATGATTATTACTTCCCCATCCGACAACTTGTCCAGATGACAACAGAGCAAGAGTATGTCTAAATCCGCAAGATATGTCGATAACGGGATCATTAAACAACGCTCCTACTAAAGGCATTCTCAAAGGCTCCATTGTCTTGACGATTGTAGAAGACAGTCCAAGCTCTCCATATACGTTTGATCCAAAAGTGAAAATATCTCCATCCGTGCTCAAAACTACAGAAAATGTTTCTCCACCACAAACCCTTAATGCTTTCTTCCCATAGAAAGTCCCATTGTAATACATGGGAAATGGGCGAGCCTTGTCTCCACCAGTCCTGTCTCCTAGAGCACCATACAAGTTGCTGCCCCATATCCACACTTTCCCGTTTGTATCGATGGCGTACGAAGTGGAATATCCTGCAGCCACTTGGGCGATTGTTGCTCCAGCAAACCCTAACACCTTAGTAGCTACAGAAGAGTCAAATTTTCGTCCAGTTCCAAGCTGTCCTTCTCCGTTATATCCAAAAGAGTAAACTCCATCATCTGTAAGAACAATGCTGGAGTGGTGAACTGTGTGAAATTGTAGAATTGTTCTATTCTCCAAACCCTCAACAGGGTACAGATAGTGAAGCATGCCAGTAGCCATGCCAAGAGTTCTTCCAAGACTTGAACTTGCGTTATAACCTGTCGAATACAGTTTTCCATTAGGTAATAGGTATAGCGCGTGAGATTGTCCTACAGATATCCGATTTCTTATTCTTCTCACAAGTTGTTGATTTTCGTATTTCGGAAAAGCTCCTTCGACGGTTCGAAAAAGCATTGGGTATGTAAGGCTGACATTGTTGGTGCTTTCTGCATAGTACTCAACACCATGAAAGCTTTTAGTACGAGTCTAAAATGAAGAACCAAATCATTTCAAGTAAACGGTAATCTGTTGGTGATATTTAAGTATGTGGCCAACTTACTCTCACAAAATTGATCACATCATTGCTAATGTATTGAGCCGAGTTATGAATAATACCAGCCATGTTGTCAGCATCAATAACAGCAAGCCTCATCGCATCGAGTTGTTTCTTTTTACCTTGCAGCAAAGACTCATATTGCTCTCTGTCAATTATTGTCTCCGAAAGATAATCACCTGCAAATTGTAAACAGTCGGCTGTTTCCATTAGTCTTCTCACCAGACCATCTCCGAGAACTTTGTCCTTCTGTCGTATTATTTCGTCTTTAATGGAGAAAAAATTATCTCGCTTTTGAATTTTGTACCTTAATTCGTCGATTTGTTCATTAGTTATATCGGCCTTGACTGACCAAGTTGTAATTGATCATCATCAAATTCCATACTTACCGGTTGTTATGTATATCACTACTATGATCGTGAATAAACAAGAGATGAAGAAAGAATGGACTCCCCTTGGTTCCAACTGATCCTTAAACGTCCTTCTCTCAATAGGCATTCTTGTACAATTTTTAAATTCAATGTTGATGAAATATAAGGCCTTCCTTATTCTTTGATGACGTTACCCTACTCAGCAACCGCGATCAGTGCTCCAAGGTGGTTGATGAATTTGGGAGGGATATTTTTTTGGTGTGCTTGGCATGCTGGTTACAGTTTCTTTACAGCCGATCGCACAAAAAATTGATAAAAGGGACACACCGTTGTTGAAATTCTTCTGAAATGACAGCTTGTGCGATCGGAATGAAAAATTTCAACATGTCTAAAGCAAAAAAAGACTGCCAGTGATGATGACTCTTTTTTCTGATTGGTACTCTTGGTTGACTCGTCATGTCCAAGATGACGAGTTTCAAAATTGGCTCAGAGTGGGAGAAAGAACCTTGTTGTTCCTATTGGCTGCCAATTTCCTTTGGAACTTGAAGAATAGCGAAAGCAGCGATCAAAGTAAGAAATCATCATTGCTGAAACGTTTCATTCAAACTGTGAGCAATTCACAAATCGGAAAGAAGCTACTTACCGCTGAAATTGAAAAAGAAGTGAAGAAAAATGTTGCCCAAATGTTTCCCAAACCAAAAGGAAGGTCAACAAACTCTCAAGGCAAAGTGACCTTTCCAGAAAAGGGAGTGAAGGAGTCAGAAATTGAAGAATATTTATTGAAATTGAAAGAGATGGATGTGAAAACAAACGAAGGAAAAGCATTTGCATTTGTATATCATTTATCGGAAGGCCATGATGAATTTGTGACCAGAATGCATAACATGTTTATTGTAAGTGTGGTTTTGTCTTGAATATTTGATTGATCTCCATAATTCAACCAATTATTTGCAATGATGTATCTCAATGGTTGAAAGAATACGAACTGTTTAAGTCCAATGGCATTCAAATCATTGAGACAAATGGAAATTGAACTTGTTGAGATGACTTCATCTCTTTTCCATGGTCAAGAAGCATGTCATGATGAAAATGCACTCTCGGATGAATTTCACAGAGAATTTCTGAAAAAAGATGTAGTGGGAAATTTGACATCCGGAGGTACTGAATCTCTGTTGGTCATGCTAAAAACCTATCGTGATTTTTTCTCATCCAATATTGAGGAATTTAAGAAAATTATGAAGAAAAAGTATCCATCTCAATCACAGGAAATTGAAAATTATAACGGCCCATTCGAAGTCATTGTTCCCACTACCATCCATCCTGCAGTGAATAAGGGAGCTCATTACTTTGGGTTGAAGCTTGTAGAAGTTGATGTTGATCCAGAAACAATGGCTGTTATTCCTGAAAAGGTTGAGCAAGCATTCCATCCTGGAAAAACCATTCTTGTGATTGGAAGCTGTCCCTCCTATCCTCATGGTGTGTTAGATCCCATTGAAAAATTATCTGAAATTGTGGTTAAATTAGGACCTATTGCACTGCATGTCGATTGTTGCATTGGTGGCTATGTCATGCCATTCATTCAAGAGTTGAATGCTCAGAAAGTGTCAAAAGAACAGCTTTGTACCTTTGATTTTTTGAATTTAGGAGTCACGAGTATTTCGGCCGACTTGCACAAATATGGCTATTCATGTAAAGGCGCAAGCGTCATCATGTATAGAAATTCCTTCATTAGAAAGTATCAATTCTTTGTGTATAGTGGATGGAGTGGAGGTCTATATATTTCCCCCACAGTCACAGGAAGTAAGGGAGGAGGACCCATTGCCTCAAGTTATGCAAGTATCAAATTATTGGGAAAGGAAGGATTTTTGAAAGTGACTGCGAAAATGTTACACACGAGAAGTTTCATTCAAAACGCCATTGAAACCGATGAATTACTCTCCAAGTATTTGTGTGTCGTGGGTCGACCATGTTCCACAATTTTGAGTTTTACCACACACGAAGCATTCCATCGTTTTTTTAAACTTTCTAATCCTCCATTCACTTCATCAAGTGACGATATCAATCCTAACAGCATTAATATATTTGCAATTTCAGATCATATGGAAAAGCAGTATGGATGGGATCTTCAGAGACAAATCAAACCTGATTCATTGCACATGACCTTAATGCCTCAACATATTGGACTTGAAGAGCGGATTGTCTCGGACTTGAAACAGTCTTTGAAATATGTGATTGAACATGGTTCAGAGTTTTCTGGAAAGAACAGCGTCGCCATGTATGGAATGGTTGCCAATGTGGAGAGTTGGCTTAGTGAGGATACCGTTGAATTGTTTTTGAAGACGTTTGTCGATGAAGTTTATCGATTACGCCAATAAACAGCATTTCAGTTGAGAGGACTTTGATTGTTCTGATTGTTTCCAAACAGTACTTACGCCTTGATTTACTCAAACAATTCATTCTTGAATTTTCAATTCGTCATATTTGATTTGACCCAAGACACATTCAAACACATCTCGATTAGGAAAGGTCTCAGAAGAAGACTCATAACTAAGAAGCCAATAATTCTCTCCAAACGTATTTGTGACGCTACCTATTCGATACAGTTTCAAAGATGACTCGTCCATGTTGTATTCAATCTCAAACTCTACAAAATCTCTCACGGTACTGCCCTTCTCCGACTGTTGAGTAGTACCACCACTTATTGGCCTTTCCACAGAATGAAGGTTCTTTCGAATATTCACGTTTCGCACTGGAGACGACGACTTGAGCGATTGCAAATATTCTAGAGCCAATTGTTGGAGAATGTTTGAGTTTTTCGTCATGCTTGTAGAGACAGAGCTGCTACTGAACGAAGTGCTTATGAGATGCGTGGCCATGAATCGATCTACTCCCTTTCCACTTTTTTGAATGGGAGACACCAACTGACAACTCTCTTCTTCAAAGTCCCATCCACAGGGCCATTTAAGCCACAATGAATCATGAATATCACAATGCAATGGAGTAAATAACGTGTTTCGAGTAGGAGGTACTGCTTTTTGTAACACCATTTCATCAAAGGAAGATTCAAAAGGCATTCCACAATTTGAAAGATACACAAACGAAAGTAATGAACAATTTCCAATAGGTATTGAATATGCCTTTCCATTCACTTTGGTAGTTCTCAAGTTTTGTGCCTTATCTTTGACTTGGAATTCTCCTGAAAATTGTTTCAAACATTCCATTCGGCGATTCCGCTCACTGTTTAAAGTTTTTTCTGAACTCTCGTTGAAAGAAACACTTTTCCATGTGTTAATACCAGTAGTACATGTATTCGTCTTCAATACTTGTTGTTGTAAATGATGTTCCAATATTTGTGAATGAGATTGTGAAAAATCTTGAGCCAATACTAATTCTACTCTCACTCGATCGACGATAAGTCCTGATGATGGAGTATTCATCATGCATCCATAAAAACATTCTGCCTCTGTCAAAATTTCCATCAACGTTTCAGAAATTCGAACTTGTTGCCACTTGATGGGATCTCTGGTTCTTCTCGGAGATCTCGGAGACATGGGAGATTTAGGACTTGTAAAGGAGGAAGCAATGGCAGAAGTGGCCGATGATAGAATGGTTTTTGCTGAGTGGGAATTGTTGTTGCACATGTGTTTTTCCAATTCTGTTTCAATTTCGAGTCGTGACATTGGATATTTCACACTTCCTAAAAGCCATGAATTTCGAGTGGTTTTGTAAAATTGTTCTCTCAATATTGTAGTAGTATTAGAAGAAGAAGAAGGTAATTTCAAGTCAGAAATGCAAGTACGTGCATGAAATTTCACTTGACATGCCAAACAGAGAATTCCTTGTTCAATGTTTTCTAATTTACACTCGAAAGGAATTCCATCCAGATTTGGAATGTCTTTAAATTTGAGTGTATAATCTCCTTCGAAATCATCATTGACCAAATCCTTGTCCATCACTTTGAAATAAATACAAGCATCTGAATAAATGTCTAATGGATGTAATGGAATGGAAATGGTTTCATTCCATTGAGGATTGAGAGTTTCTTTTTTAACACTTGTTTTGTGTGAAAAACCTTGATAGGTGGTAATGACATACTGTAGTATGGTGTTGAAAATTTTCAAATTGTAATTAATTGTAAAATCCATCATATTTCATAATTACCATATTTAGAAGTTTGCAATCACCAAGCACACTTACTGGATCACTCAGACCATTTCGATCTTTCGGAACTAAATCTCTCGCTCCAATCAATGTGACCGTCAACACATCTTGCACATGGAGTAGATCATCAAATACAAGAGTTGCGTTTGGACTCGATGGTTCCATTTCGTTTCATAACACGCGTATCAACAAGAACAACAAGATGAATTCACTTTATAATGCACACCCACGAGTTGTTTGGGTGAAGATTGCAAAAAATTTTTTTTCATCTTTTCAAAATTGCGAAAAGCACCACATCGATCATGAATGTTTCTCTGAAAAGGGTGCTCTTGATGACAGAGGAGGAACAAGAGGGAACTGATCAAATCTTTGGAGCAGAAAGATCCCATCTTTTCATTAGAAATTAAAAAGAGTGTTTGGACTGTATGGGATTCACATGTAAAGAATGGATCCAAAATGTCAAACACACCAAAATTGAAAATATCTAAAATTAAAAATGCAATCTTTAGAATTTGTTTTAAATGTTTAACAAAAATACCTCAACCATGACGACCAACAATCGATCATCCATGGAATCAATCACTCTCTCCGAACATTCTTTGATCATTTCAGGATCGAATGAATATTATCAATTTTATAAGAAGAATTCAAATTCGGATCTTTCTAAAAAGAGTACCATGCATGTGGAATCATCGAATTTTTCAAATTATTCTATCTTTCCAACATTCACCACGATTGATTTATCCAAAGATTTTGGAATTGAAGTAACAAGTCGAAAATACAATGGAAGAACCAGTCGTTCCGTTTATGTTAAAAAAGTTTCATGTGGTGAAGGATTTACGTTCATCTTGTTAAGTGATAATAGAGTCTTTTCGAGAGGATTGAATCGTTATGGACAATTGGGACTCGGTCATCGAAATAATGCTAGTACAAACGAAGATGGATTTCATCAAGTGACAGCCATACATGACACAATTCTTGATATTCAATGTGGAGCTGATTTTACCTTATTTTTCACCAAAAACTCAGATATTTATGGAGTTGGATGTAATTCATTCGGAAAACTAGGCGTTGGATTTCAAGATAATTCCACAGTAATTGTTCCAAAACGAGTGAAATCCACTGCATTTGATTTTAGAAAAATTGAAAGCATGGCATGTGGTCTGCATCACGTCATTTACATTACTGAGGATCGAGAGGTTGTCGTTTGTGGTGCCAACTTTAGAGGACAATTAGGTCAATCTCACTCGAGTGATATTTATGTTCCAGAAAAGTGTGTGACCTTTACCACAAAAAACGCTGTTTCTGCAAGTTGTGGAGAAGATCACTCTGCAATTTTGACGACATGTGGAGACGTCTACATGTCAGGAAGTTTTAAGAAAGGCCAATTTAATTGTCTTCCACAAACATCGTTAAGCTTTGCTTCCGAAAGTATCACATCCTTTACCAAAGTTCAATCCGACTGTAAAGATGTCATTTGTGGAGCATTTTCTACAATATTTCTGAAAAAGGATCACTCGATTTACGTATGCGGAGACAACACATATTCTAATTTAGCTATCTCTAATTTCAATGTACCAAAATTGAAACGACCAGAATTACTAAGTCATATTTTCACAAATCAAACACCTACTCACATTTGTGCAGCAAAATATCATTCCATTATCATATTTGACGATTCAAGAATTTGTGGAAGTGGAAAAAACGTGGATGGTATTCTAGGAGGTTCAAAAGATTTGAAAGAAAACCAAGAAACTAAATTTCTCATGCATCTTCAAACACTTTCCAAAATTAAGGGCTTTTCATTGCGAGCCTCCTCTTCGTATCATCATGTCATTTACTATTGGACGAAACAAGTTGGAATTATTGAGAAGTATTTTTATGAAGATATGAGATTGGCAGAGGCGTTAAGTGACGTGACCATTGTATTGCCTTAGAGGAACGATTTTTAAACATACGGATGATTACAAAGAGTGTAACTAATTTAGATTCCAATTCGCCCTTCCAAAATAAATATTCAAAAAAATTGTATTTCATTTCTAGCAGGAGGTTTTTTTGTTTCTGCAATTCCATTTATTTTCAGAGAACCATCACGCAAAATATTAACATCATCATCATGGGCTTTACTGATCCCAATCCCAACAATCCCAATAAGAATCATGAGCCATCCCTCCTCCATCCTATCTGGAATCCATGATACAAAATCACCCGATTGTTTCCCAATCACAAACAGCCCCTCCCGTGAATACTGATCCCAACAATAATCCATCATCGGCAATGGTTCATCCACCCAATCAACCTTATCAAATTCCAGATGTATTACCACAACCTCCACAACAACCAATGAATATCTATTCCAAGCAGGATCAACATCAAGGTTCTCAAATGAATGCTTCTATGGTTTCAACCGCAACGAGTGGAATGGGAACATCTTCCTACATGATGAATTCTCAACACCAGCAACAACCAATGCCAGTTCATTATCCTTTAATGAACCAGCATCAACCTCCACAACAACAACAACCAATTTTACCACAACAACAAGTTCAACAACAACAAAAGGTTATGTATCCAACATTGAATAATATTACTCCTCCCATGCAGCAACAACAACCAATTCTTCCGCAACCTATGATGCCACCGCAAAGACCGTACGTGCAGCCAATGATGGTCAGTCAACAACAGCCAATGATGGTGCATCAACCAATGCCTCAACCTATTGTGAGACCTCCCTCCACGACAACAACCTATGTAAGCCAAGTGAACTATGTTCCACCACAACCTGTTGTGATACATCCGCCCCAACCAGTGATGGTTTCTCAGATGCCACTACAAAAAGGCCGAACGGTTGTGACAACGACCACAACAGTCACACCAAATCCAGTGATGATCCCGCCACCAACTGTTCAAATTGTACATGGTAAACCACCAACGATGCCTCCTGGAGCTATGGGTTATTCGACATATTATCCTCAACATGCCACTCCTGGAGTTCCTCAAACCACTATTTATGTCCAACACAAGAAAAAGAAGAGCTCTTTTGATAAATTCATGTTTGGGGAATAGAGACCTAAAGCTTTTTGGAATGTACACTATTCATTAAATACAAAATATTTTCCTTAGTCACAATCAAAATTGAAGTGAGAATTAAGGTTCTTCTGAAATTGTAACTGTTTGATAAGGAACAAGACCAAATAAGTTCGAGTTAGTGAAACGATTAAGATTGATGGAGGATAATGTTAATCCTTCACTTTTTGAGTTGAGATGGAAAGTATGGATTAAAGAACTTATAGTTATTCTTCACTCATCGTCATCTTCACTGCTAGTGGACTCTTCCTCACTGTCAGGTAACCTGATAATAACCTTGTCATCATTGAAAAATCGAGTATTCCACAATCCCCAACCACCTCTCAACACTTTAATTCCAATTCTAGATTCAACACTCGAATCGTCCAAATTCTCAACAATCGATAACATTTTCATTGCAGCTGTTGGTCCTCTTTGCTGAGAGTAAAAACAATGAAATATAAAATCGATTTTCGAATTATTTGGTAATTGATTAGAAATATTTTCCGAAATGAGTTGTTTGGCCACTTCTGCTGTAAATTCCTCTGTTGTTATATGATGATATTGCTCCGGTGTTGGAGTTCGGATATATCCAACACCATAATCATAATCTCGTAAATCAATAATATGAAAATTTTGATCATTCAATTCAATTCTATATCGTAAGTCCTCTGGCTCAATAAAATCTACTTTCATCGTGGTTGTTATCGCTCAAGTGAGTACAATGTCAGCCTCGGAATTGAAGACACGTGTTTTGAATATTTTTTAAAAAATCAAAAAAATATGAAAGTTTCAGTTGAGGAAGTGAGCACACAGAAAAAGTTTTCGGAAGTGATAAACAAATCTAATTTAACGGTGGTTGATTTCTTTGCAACCTGTAGGTTTTGATCAAAAAAGAGGAAGAATATTTTTAAACAAAATTGAACAACGGATGTTGACGGATTAATAATTTTTTGATCATCATTACTTAAATTATCAACCAATATAATCATGACATCATCATTATTTGCAACAACAAACGACGAATTATTTTCATAATTTAAATAGGGTGTGGACCATGTATGCAAGCTAAACCACTTTTCGAATCCTTAGCTGCAAAATACCCATCATCCAACTTTATTGCTGTCAATGTAGATAATTCTAGTGACATTTCTTCAGAATATGGAGTATCATCACTTCCAACCTTTATGTTTTTCAAGAAAGGAGCAAAGCTTGGCCAAGTCGTTGGAGCAGATATGAATAAGGTCGAAGAAATGATTAAAAAACATGGAATTGCTAGCAGTGGAGGATTCCCGACGGGTGGTAGAGTTTTGGGCTCTTCTTCTAGCTCACCAACCACATATCCAAATCTAATCACAGGTGGAGGATCCTCAAGTTGGGAGATTTTTAATCCGTTAATCAGAAAAGCCAATACTATTCCTGTAGAACAACGACCTGTTTACTTTTTGGCTGGTGTCGTGTGTGTGTACATGGTGTTGAGGTTCGTGTTAAATATTCTGTTCAAATAGAAAGTTGTGTGTTGAGCTGAGATGTGTTAATCATGTCTGCTCGTGACAACTTGTAAATAAATTATTCATGATTCAAAAACTCAAATATTTACATGTCACAATCGATCTTGGTGATGACGTAAGGAGGAAATGGGTGGTAAGGTAATTTGATGTGCTGCAATGTCTTCTGTTTCACTCATATTCCTAGAGGTTGAAGGAGTGGTATTCGAGGATGATGAAGCTCCTATTAATTCATTATTAAGCAATTCAGAAGCTCTACGATTCAAAGGAATAATGGGTGGATTAAAATGCAGAAAGGTATCCGAGAGTGACTTTCTAGGTTGATTCATGACGGAAGTTTGAAATGGAGCATAATGTTGGGTTGTTTGATTGAGTGAAGATTGAGAAGAGTGTTGTATTGAATGTACAGGTGTATGTTGAAAGTGATGTGAGCTAGGAGAAGAAATTTCATACTGTCGTTGTTGTGAATGCAAACGAGAAGAAGCAATACGTTTGTCAACATAATGACTTGAATGAGGATAAGGACGTTGAATAAACGAAGAGGAAGATCCCTTTGAAACTTCACCATCTTGATAATAAGCGTGTTGTTGCTGATGAGGTTCCAAATGTTCATGTGGATGATAATGTTGAGGATGATAATAATGGTGAGTGTGTTGCTGACGGTGCTGTTGAGGGTGATGATGAATTTCATAGCGTGGGTATGATAAATCTGATCGTTCTTGATCTAGTACTATTCGTTGTTGTTGTTGTTGATGATGAGAAGGTACATTCAAAGATTGATGCATTGCATGTTGAGTACTATCCATAAATGTATGACTAGGATCAATCCTTTGACGCACCTTCATTGGATTAGATTCTCCAGAACTCGATGCAGAATCTGTTTGTGCTGAACCAATGGACGGCTTTCGAAAAGCTGTTGAAGACGAGAATTGCATGTCACTACTGGTCACCAACTTCTTTCGTTTTGGAGAGTCTTGGTCTTCGGCTGAAATCGGGGTTGATGCATCCTCCGAGTGATGATCTGCTCCTCCAGTCGTAGTAGCTGAGGAAGAAGCCGACGATTTACTGTGCTTTCTTTTGGCGAGTGAAGAACTGGTCGATGTTGAAGTGAGTTGTTTCGTTGGCACGTAGGGCCATTTCATGTTAAATTCTTCATAAAATCTGTTAGTTACATGTTGTGAAACGAGAATATGTACATGTAGTAGCGGAGATGCATGTGTGTCAGAGATGTGGTGTGGAATGGTTGTTGTTGTTGAACATGCATGATGGAAGTTTAGATGTTGGTCAACGTCATGCATGTGCAAGGTCATGTCATTACATGTCAAATAAAGGTAAATGCAAAAGTAACAACATAGTCTCGAAAAACCAACGTGCTTGTCAGTCGTGTCATGATACTTACCTCCTTTTAAGAGTGCTCACAGAAACTCCTAATAACTTGGCAGCTACCGTTTGAGAAACATGAAAATACTTCTCCATGTCTTGTCGAGAGATTTCTCTCTTTTTAGGACCCTTCTTTTTGTGAGGTGGTTTTTTCACAGGAGTGGTTGCATGTTCAACACCTTCATCCTCCGCTGCAATGGATTCAACAATGGAGGACCGTCTTGAGAGGCGATCTCGTTCGCTTGTGGTTTCATCTTCATGGGAGTGCTGATCGGTGGTTTCTTCATGTGCATGTAGATGAGCATGTTGGTGAGGAGTTTCATTGGCAGTAGATGACTCAACAACATGCATGATATTAGCTTCACTCCTTGTTGGCACTGGTGTTGTTGTATAAAGTTTCTCCTCGGAAGCACTTTTGGGTTTACTTAATTTGGAGTTAATAAACCTATCTTGCAGCAATGTTGGGTCAACTGTAGCATTATCTGCGATAGTAGAAGGAGATGTCATGTCCCCACCACCACCAATTCCACTGACCACAGTGGGATTCTGAAAAGATGTCTTGTTGTAGGGTTGTCCGTGTCGTCTAGGTGAATCATTGAATGATGAAGGTAGTAATGGAGGATGAGTGATTGTATTAGTGGTGGTGGTGATAGTGGTCGCGGGCGAGGCAGGTGAAGCAGTAGATGTCATGTACGAGGTTGAGACATCGTTTGTACTAGTTGAAGAATGCATGAACTGTTTTTTTGTTGTACTTGATGAAGACAAGAAATAATCATGGCCGGTGTCCATGGTAGATGCCATTGGTTGCTGTTTCAATGCATGTGATAATGTGGTTGTGGACATATTAGAGCTGATCGTTTTGGATGAATTTGGATTTGCCCTCAAATTGTTCATTATGTTATCTGCGTTGGGTATTAAAGTGGAGGATTCTTGCTTTGTCGTTATCATACATGTCGAGTGGTGATCTGAAAGTATGGATTCTTGTTCAATGTGATCGAGATGACGTGCAACCACATGATGTTGTTGGTAAGGAAACTCTGAGACGGTTGTAGTAGTGCCACTTCCCTCGCGTGGAGGACTAGTTCTCAGTGTGTTTGCCATACTATGAATGGTCGAATTCGAGCAATGATTCATCGGTGAATGGTTCTCATCTACTGCATGATGCATCTGAGATGCGGAAACAGTTCGAATTGCATGCATTACATTCAACGATCGTGGAGTTGGAGTCGTTGACCAATCGTTTTGGTTTTGCAGAGAGGGCGATGACGAGCAAGATGCAGCAAGAGGTGGTGAGGAGTCTGCTGCGCCACTCGTTGTACTGTTCAATGGCATATAATTTGCACTTGTTGTTGTAGAATGGAACTGTTTTCTCGGTGACGACGAAGGTGTTGTTGGATGGGTGCCAGAGCTAGAACTGTTTTGACTACCAACACTGTTTGTTGTGAACATGTTGTTCAGGGATGGAGAGGCAGATGCAGATTGGAGAGTTGTGGTCGTCGCTGTTGTTTTGCTCGTGGCCTTGTAAGATTTCAAAAAGGAGGGGTTAGGATCGTCAAGTAGCATGAACGTATTAGTAGTTGGAGTGGATTTTGTTTTTTCTTGGCTTGAGCGTGTTGAATCAGCAGTTACCGTGGAGGTATCCATCGCACTGTCCATCTCTGAATTAATAAAAATTTGTGCTGAGCATGAAGAAGGAACGGAGAAAGGCATATTGGAACTAGGCACAGTGGTAACCGGATTTAGCGAACACATATTTGGGGCTTTGTAACGGTTATCATCATTGGGAACAACAACATCATCATGGAGTGATGATAATGCTGGCAGGAGAGTTGGATTTGGTGATAATTGGTTGGCTTGCTGTTGGGAAAAAGAGGATGCTTTTGTCGACCTATTTGATGAGGAGAAGGTTTTGTTGTGTAGTAGTACTTCATCATCATGGTTTTGGACTACAAGAGCTCGAGTCAATGAAAGGGGAGGTAGAACTTCTGTATCCTTATTCTTCTTCTCTTCCTCATCATCACGATTGAATGCTTCCGTAAAGTTTGATGAAGTCTTTAGCGTGGGTTCAAGTTGAGTATTTCTATGGTGGACGCTTGCGTTGTTTGTTTCAAATAAGGAGCTTTTAGAAGTTAATTCAGAGGTGTTTTGGGAAGGTAGCTTGGACGGTGTTTCTGTTGCTATCGTTACCGATAATGATGAAAAAGAGGATGGGGATGCATGTACATGGGCAGATGATAAAGTATCGGTGATTTCCAATTCTTTGTCTTGTGGTTGATGATGACCAATAGCAACACAATTTTCAAACGAGTAGGGTCCACAAGTTGGAGAAGATGTTAGAATTTGGAAATGTTGAGATTGGGATTGATTAATAGTCGTAGCAGAAAATTTCTGATTTTCTTTCGTCGTGTTGTTGTTTTCAATACTATGATTCTTCATTAATACTCGATAAAAGGCTTTGATGACTCTATGAAACGCATAAGTATAACTGTTGCAGTATCTGAAGAAACACTGGATTTTAATCGCATGCAATTATGACAACTGCACTTGGTCAGATTGTATCTAGAGAAGAGGTGAACAGTGCAAGAGGTGTTTCGTTCGTTCTAGTGTGTGTATGATGGTGTTAGCGAGTTGCAAGAAGAATCACACTTGTCGAATGTAGAATAATCTTCCAACGACAATATAAACGGGAGAGATAAATCCAGGCACGAGGAGGTTTGTGTATGTGGGTGCTGTTGTGTTTGAAGTTAGGTATTTCTTTGAGTTTGTTTCGCAAAGAAAATACACGGACCACACAATAATAGAAATTGAAGTTGTTGTTGTATCAATCGAAAAATTGAATCAAAAGGCTGCAAGTGACAACTCACTCTTTTGTGAAATCACCAATGACGGCTGTTACTTGTTATTGTTTTTTAAAAACAATTTGTTAATTCACCACCAAGAGAAGATGCAAGGTTATGAAGCAACGGAGGGCATTGGACGATGAAGGAGGCTCTCACTCTTTTTAGGTTGTGAGTGGATTGAACAATGGTTGACTTTGAGATTTTGATTATTTAAAAAAATGTCGCTTTGTCCTTTCATGCATTTTGGACGTGACGCCATTGTATTGTGATTTTCCAAAAAGTGCGAAAAAAAATCGAGTAAAATCGAAAACGACTTGCTCAAATTCGGTCAACCCTCATTTTTTGGACGTTTCTTCCCGAAAACGATTTTGCTTGATGTTGACGAGATACGATGTTGATGCTATTCGTGCAAAGTCGAAAAAATCGATTACGATCGACCTGAATCGATTACCTCAACACGATTCATTTCTCAACGTCGATGTTTTTCGTCCAAAATCGAAAAAATCAATTATGATCGACCTGAATCGATTTTCTTGATCGTCAGAGTTGAAAAAATCGATCATGAAGAACCTTTAATCAAATAAACTCTGATAATTTGCTTCTATTTGATTTTTCTCCTCTTCCTCTTTTTGTCTAATCTTCTCTTTCTTTACCTCAATCAATTTTGCAACTTCATTCACCAATTTGGTCAAAGGTTTTACATACTGTTCCTCTTGTTTAGCAATATCTTCTTCTTGTTTTTTAAATCTCTCAAGCAACTCCTCCTTTTCTTTCTGAATTTTCAATAATTGATCTGCAATAACTTTTGAATTATTTTCTTCCATGTCTTTCATAGTTTTTAAAAACTTTGTCGAATTTTGCATATCCTTATCATTAGTATCACAGTCTTGTTTAGCGTTAATAAAAATTTGCTTCTTTAACTGATCCAATTTGAAAATCTGGAATTCTAAAACAGGTGATTTGAACGTAGTAACTTGTGGTGTTGACTCAGGTTTTGGATCAAGATCAAACATATCATGCAAATCCATGCCACATATATCAAGCTCAGGAGCCATTGAAGGTGTATCCTTGGTCTTTGACTCGTCCAATTCTTTCTTAATGACCAATGATTTTTCTTGAATAGAAGCAAGAGCTTTTTTGAATACAGGAGAGACGCTTTTGTCTGTATCACCTTTTCTTGTACGCTTTTTCGCATTGTCTCTCAATTTATCTTGCGCTTCTTTATACATAACTTCCTGCAAATCGTTGCCATTATCATCAATCCAATCCAAATCATCTTTCTCATCATCCCGATCTGAATGTTCTGATTCGCTGTCACTACTGTCACCTTGAATTTGTGAAGCCAATGATTGTTTTTTGTTGGAGTGAGCAGAAATCTCTTTTTCAATCTCGTTAACAATCCATTTCTTGTTTTCTTGAATGAAAGTATCAAAAAAATCTTTCACACGTTTGTCATCTTTTGGGGCGTTGCATGTTGCTGGTAAACCATCTTTGTATTTTCTTGAACCTTTAGCAGTAGGAAATGTGAAATTTGTATTTTTTTTTGTTTCTAATTGGAGCTTCTTGAAAACTTTGCTTGCTGCTTTTGAATTTGTCATTCCATGAGAATAGAGCTCATTTGAACAAATAGGTAATGTGGTTGCGAGTATTTCGCAAAAACGATCAAACGTGTTCCACTTTGTTTTGTCTTTGCCCATTTTTTTTCAGTGAGAAAACCGTTGTTATTGTTTTTTGACGTTGACACAATCGCACAAATCAATGTCGTTCAATTCAACATTTTCGATATGAGAACATTAAACAATTCAACATAATCGAGCAGAATTGATTTTCTCAACAATTTCTTATCAATTTTGCTCGAAAAAATCGATTTCCACATGGTAAAAGCAACTCAACATCGATTCACAAACGATGAAAGACGAGTTTTCAAACAAAAGACAGGTGTTTCAAATATCTCAAAAACTAAGACCATATATCCAAGGTCAAAAATTAGCCCCAGAACAAATTGAGTTCATTAAATTGGTGTGTGGAAAGTATGGAGAGTGTGTTTTGGCAAAGCCCATACTCTCCTGACTTCAATCCCATTGAATTGCTTTTCGGATGGATGAAAACACAGTTGAAAAACTATGAACATTCGGTTGACTCTCTCGAAGAGATAATGGAGCAGGTGTTTGATCAAGTTACACCCAAGTTAATCAAATCGTTTGTTCATCATTGCAAGGAAATCTGGCATGATGAGACAAAAACTTAATAAATTTCGAGTTTGATCGAAATCGATTTTGAAGGATTTCGATGTTAATCAACATCAAGTCAAAACGACAACGCATCAATGTCGCTCATTTCGATCTCGAAAAAAATCGCGAAAAAATCGTCGATTTTTTATTCGCACTTTTTCGAAAATCACGCGTTAGAAATTTTTATGCCTCTCTTGGAATGAAAGAGAAGGTTGATGTATCCAACAACACGTGCACGCTCCATCTCCACTCCATCTCCAGTGGCATTCAATTTCATGACATTTAATACATATTCAAGTGTAAAACTTGGACATTAACAATTTGGTCACGCTCTCATAATCGGTCACGCCGGGCTTGGTTTTGGAAAGGGCAAGGGATAATCAGAAACAGCGTGCACGAACAAGCGCTTTTTTATTGTCCATTTTAAATGTGCTTTATTGGTGACGACTCCATAACAACGGGCAAAAGAAACAAACTTGGGCAGACCATGGATCCACTACTACTACAAGTCATTCGGTTACGAGGTATAATATTACAATCATTAAGGTGTGCTTTCATGACACAATGTAACTGAATTTCAAAAAGGATAGACACGCAATCCGTTCTTCTATCCAATGACTGTACGTCTTGGGTTGTACTGTAAACACATGAAGCTTGTGTTCTTTAAACCACACTGGAGGCATCTGCACAGAGATTGTAAGGAAGAGAGATCTTGCGTTGTGCTTAAATTTTCAAGAGAGAAAAATGCCTCAAACAAAAGTACCAACCGAAACGGTTTCATCATCAAGTAAAGAGAATAAGGTAAAGGCCAGTAAAGGAGCTGATGCAGGAAAGAAGGGAGGAGCAATGTTGTCAAAGGAGGACAAGAAGAAGGGAGAGCCAACTCCGAAAAAAAAGAGAGTTGAGAACGACACGAAAGTAGTTCAGGTTAAAACCAAGCCTTCTCCTTCGGAAGTGGCCTCCAATGAACATGATCAACCGAAGGCCAAAAACAACAGTGAATTGGAATCAAAGAATGTACATTCTGTAAATGTAGAGACTAATGTAAATAGTAATAATAACAATGCAAACAGCACGGAAGAGAAAAACGAAGATGAAACAGACATCAAAGTCATTGTTCGTGCCCGTCCGCTCAATCAGCGCGAGTTATCTCTCAAAAGTTCTTCATGTCTGACTTTGTCTGAAACCGAAAGAAAAATCACAATGATAAGGAAAGACAAGGAAAATAAGACCTTCTACTTTGACAATGTATTCGGAGAAAACTCGACACAAAAACAAATTTATGAAGCAAGTGGAGCTAAAGTGTTGGAAAGGTTCATTCTTGGATACAATGTGAGTACTTTTTTAATGGTCATGATCCTTACAAGCATAGTTTAGGCTTGCATTTTCGCATACGGACAAACATCTTCTGGAAAAACTTACACAATGGAAGGAATTAAAGGGAATGAGCAACAAGAAGGTATAATGACTCGATTTGTTAGAGATTTATTTCAATACGTAACAAAGCAGGAGAAAAAAATTGACATTACCATTAAGGCGTCCTACTGTGAAATTTACAACGAAGGAATTAACGATTTATTATCAAATGGAATGGGTAAACACAAATACGAAATTAGGGAGGATAAAATTAAGGGAACCTACATTACAAATATCATCGAAAGGCCAATAGAAAGTGAAAAGGAATTGAATGAAATTCTAGAAGAGGGGTCCAAGCACAGAACTGTTGCCGAGACAAAAATGAATGAAATGTCTTCTAGGTCGCATGCAATTCTAACGATTCACATGGAACAAATTGATAAGGGTGACGAAGAAGGGTTCAGTTTAAGAACAAATAAGGTAAGATCAATTTTGAGTGCTTTAGCAATTCAAATGACATGTACAGATATCTTTGGTGGATCTGGCCGGAAGTGAACGAGCGAGTTCAACGGAGGCAACAGGTAAGTTATTTTGACACAGACAACCTGGCAACCAACAGTTTCCATTGTTCTCGTACTTGTCAAAAAGGTGATCGATTGAAAGAAGGTGCCAAAATCAATCTGTCTCTTTCCAATCTTGGTAATGTCATTAATGCGCTTGTGAAAGGAACATCATTTGTTCCATACAGAAGCTCATGTTTAACCCGATTATTGAAAGACTCGCTTGGGGGAAATTCATACACCCTAATGATTTCATGCATTTCTCCTGCTGAAGTCAATGCAGAGGAATCATTGAGCACACTGTACTTTGCTGACAGAGCAAAACAAATCAAGAACCGTTTGAAAATATCAAGAGGAGATCCTCGCTTGGAGAAAATTAATGAGCTACTTGAAAACGAGAAGAGGTTAAAGGCAAGAATTGAGGAGCTGGAGAAGAAAGTTGCCTACTGTGAAAAGCATCACGGTACGGAAGAGAAAAAGAAAGGATGTTGCACAATCATGTAATCTTGAGTATTTAAAAGTTGAATCAACAATAATTTTACCCTTGTTTATGAATCAAGAGTTCAAAGATGTGACAAAACACAGTGCCCATAAGAAGAATCTTGTAACAACACTTGTTGAGCTAGACAAGAGTTGCCAAAATACTTCCTTGAGTTTTTTCTTCATACTTCATTTGCATCTCATTCAAATATTTCAACACGGCAGGTTTGATTTTAGGTCCATTCTCATCGGAGTGATTACCAGCACCATATATAATGGTGAGTTCATTCTTTTGATCTTGTTTCAATTGTTCAATTCTCTCTTTCAAGAATTTCATTGCAAAATCCACATATTGACCGTGCAAATCAATTTCATCTTGGCTTTTATCCTTATTTAAATGATCGAACATGGTTTGAGCACTCTCGTTTTGGTATTGTTTCATTAATTCTTGAGCACGTTTACCTTCTTCACTCAATTGTGAAGCGAGTGCTTTCTCACCTCTCTCAAACGCTTTCGATGCTTCCTCAAAACATTTCGACATGAGATCGGATTGTTCCTTAATCTTCTTTTCCAATTCTTTAAATAATTTCATGGACTCGGTTAAGTGTTCAACAAATTCATCGTGTTCAGACTCGTATTTCCATCCATACTTGTTCAACTCGTCCATGAGTCGTTGATAAGTCTTTTGAAGATTGAATGAGGATGGAGTGGAACCACTGATTTTCACCAATTTAGAGGTTTCATCTCGATCTGAAATGTCAATTCTTGAATTGGTTTCACTCATGATTTGTTTGATGACTGAACCTGATGGACCAATAATATATTTCACAATCTTGGAAGGTTTTAAAATAAAGGATCCATTCGATTCATCTAAATTGCTTTGAAATTGTGTGGTGTCTTCCTTGTTGTTGGATGTTCGAGTGGATTCCATTTCAGTTGAGACGATTGTTTCTTGCTGAGAAGATGACTCGAATTGTTCAATAGTAGTGGAAACTTCATTGTCTTCATTTTGATTGTTGACAGATGCTTCACTGTTTTCCGACTGATTTTGATTTTCACTAACAACAGCCACTCTTTCAACAACAATTTCCTCCTTGACGCTTTCACTTGTCACTGGAACGCTGGCTACTGGGTTGATTTCAGTTTTATTGACCACTGGACATGATGTTTGTGAGCCAGAAGATGCACTGGATGTTATTGCCGATTTTGAAGATGATGAACATGTCCTTGACTTGCCAGATAACTGTTGCAAAATCACGGGAAGGAATGAAAGAAAAACGATCAACACAATGGCCAACATTTTTTTTGATGATGCAATGAAATGCATGACAGGTTCTTATTTGAGAGGGTCGTTTTAACAAAATAAATCATGCATTTCACATAATAAGGATAATGTCCGTGTGTGTGTGTTTAGGGTGGATATGCAAGATGATAGCCATAATGAAAATTTGTACCACATGATTTAACACCAATGATATTTATGCGTGGAATTGGTATTGAGAAGGTGAATACTTCAACAGATCAAATTCAATTCAGAAATTATTTGTGAATCCACATTCGTGAATCAAAAAACACATTTCTAAAAACACAATTCTGTAAATTCATCAAATGAGTCCAATGAGATGAATTTATTGGAAGAACCTAAAGTGTTTTCTTCCAGTAATACCCAGCAAGTGGGCAGCTTCTGCTGTTGAAACAACTGGTGAGGGAGATGTTAAATTCACTCTTGAATGAGATCTAAGATTATTTGGTCCTTCCAAATTCGTGTTGGGTTGTGACGAACGACGAGAAATTTCTTGTGGTTGTGTTTCAACATGTGAATCAATGTCTAAATCACCGTGTAAAAGTCTTCGTCGATCACCAAAGTCATCACCTTGACTGTCGTCATGACGATCTAACGAGCTAACAATTGTAGCTTTCTTCTTATTAAGGTCATACTTTTTGTAAAGTTTCCAACTAAACCAAGAAACTGCAAAGACAACAAGAGCAATACCTCCAATAACACTGAAAACCATTGCAATACCTGTAAAAACGTGAAACATATTAAGAAAATAAAAATTCATAAACTCCATGACCTACCTCCCAGTACAACAAGTAAAAGTAAGAACCCAGTCCAAGAACCAGGTGATTCAAAAACAAACACATTCGAAGTCTCGTTGCAAAATGCCTTTCTTCTGAGAATGTCAGCACAACTCATATTGGGATTGGCTTGTAAACTAAGAACTGTATTTCCAGCAGAGTAAGGATAGCCAGGTATAAAAATATTTTCTGACCATTGAAATTGGTTGAAATAAAAGCAAACAGGAGTGAGAGTATAGAGCTTGGTAAAATCTGAAGTAGGTATTCCTTCTTTCTCACTCGTGTTCGAAACAAAAAATTCTAAACTTCCTAGGAAAATATATTTCAGAATGCTCTCAGAATCTATATCGGTGACTTGATTCATGACCGTTTGTACGTGATGATCGCTTGAGGCCAAAAGAGCTGGTGATGGTGATTTCTTTTTGTCTTCTTTTTGTCGAATGACGTCTTGTAGTGAAACAATGTCAGTGAGTAGGACCTTTCCAAATCTCCATTCAGTATGATGATGACGATGTTCTGCTAAATGTCCACTTGGGTATAATAAATAATCGATTACAAGATTTGATTGATTGATAACATTCAATGAAGCAAAGCTAGAAATTTGAAGGTGAGAACCATCAATTCCAGAAGATGTTTCTTGTGGTATTGGGCACGATTCAAAATGCCAATGTGCTGTTGATTTTCTCTTACTATTTCGAATGTACAATCGTTGAAAGTAGTGTCCATATGTGAGATTTAGTCCTGAAAAGTCGCCAATACTCTCACCATCTTCCCAAGCATCATTTACTTTCTGCGTGATGGACGTATCTGCATTATTTGATGATGTTGACGTTATGGAGACAAGAGGATGGATTTGTTTGTGAATAAATGATAAGGTATTGGAGGAAGATGAAAATTTCAGAGAAAGCGGAGAATGAAAAGAAAAGGCGTATCGCAGCGAAAGAAAGGATACTATTGCAAATAAGCCTAGTAATAGTAGAAGAGATGTTGTGATGATGTATAATGAAGAGTTGCAAAGTGATTTTCTCTGTTGCGGAGGTAATAAAAAAGGTTGTTGTTGTGTTGGCGTATGAAAATCTTGATGATTATCATGATGATGTTTAAATTTTCGGATATTTTCATTGTCGTCCGATTTTGAACAATGAATTGATTCATCATTGTTACAATCGTTGTCATCATTGGTCCATAGCATTTTTGTAATATATGGCACACTACTAGTATTTCCAACTATAATTCCACAAGTTGAAGATTGTAAATTACAACAAGATTTTTAAAATACAAATATTTCCACCGTTCTCTTCCTTGACCCGATGGGACCTTGATGATGATGACGATGAATTCAACGTTGAATGGATTTTGCCTCAAAAGGCTTGTTGCGATTTTTTTTCAAATTCAAAAAAATCTTTGCTGAACTAGAAATTGAGTGTTCATTCCGCAGTCTCATTTGGAGACTCCAATAACAAAATCTCATCTTGTTGTACTCAACTAAATCAAGAGACGTACCTCACAATGATCGAAAAAGTAACGGTTTTTTATGAAATTTAATAAATTAAAAAAAAATGCCTCGAAAAAAGTCTGTGGTGCCTTCGGATCCCATGCTCGTGGATAGTGCTCCTTCATCATCAACGGTTGGGGCCGCTTCGGAAGGAATGACATTGTTGGAGAGTGCTCGGAGAGGGGATGTAGCCCTTGTTAAAAAGTTGATAGAATCTGGTTTGGATGTAAACTTGGCTGATGACAGATTTGTATATGTATGTTCGTTTGGATTGCGTTGCTGTAGCGGTCAATGATTATTTTCTATTCATCCAAAAAATATGAAATTTTGGAATTTATTTGAATTTTCTACAATATTTGATTTTTATACTTGTTATTTGATTTCGACCTTTTGATTAAATTTTCAAAAATTAGTATGGAATGACACCATTGATGTGGGCTTGTGACAGCGGTCATGTACCTGTTGTCAACTATTTACTTAGTGTTCCTGGAATTAATATCAATCAGCTCGATGGTATTGTAAGTTTCATGTTGCTCATCATGCCATTTTTGTAAACGACGACCTCTAAATCAATCAGACTGGAAGAACAGCCCTTCATTATGCTGCGATTAGAAACTATAAAGAAATTTGTGAAATTTTAATTAAGGCCAACATTGAAACATCGACCAAGACTATTCTGAACCACACTGCAGAAGATATGGCCTATCTAAGAGGTCAGCACGAGTCTCTTGTAGTCCTCAAATAATTATCATATATGGTCTATTTTCTTCATCATACTATTATTAACTTCTAATTATTGAAATACATTTATTTACATGTACACAAGAGCGTAATCATTTCTTCTCTAAATTTGCACTCGATTCCTCCTCTTCCTCTTCAATGGGCTCTATTCTGCAATGACATGCAGGACAAGTCAACCCTTCAACTACATTTCCTTCATAATCTTTGATGTGTTGAGTTTTGTGACAGTTCGGGCATTCATAGCTCACCAAATCTCCAACTACTGAATGTTCAATGGAATCGACAGACTTTACGAACACATCTCTCACAAAATCTTTCAGTGTAAGATCAGACATTTTTTTGTTGTGTGATTGAAGCTTGAGGTTCAAAAAAAACGAATTTCCAAAAATGTACATAATTTATTTTACTGCTCTATTTGTAAAAGAGTCAACAGTTATTTACGTGTAGTTATTTACATGTTACCTCTTCTCATCAGGTAGCACGACTTCAATCTTGTCTTTCACTGCATGTTCTGCAGTTTCTAAAAGTTCATTCAAAGTATGAGAGGGTGGTGAAAGGCTTTCATCGGAATTGTTCAAATTATTGCTGGGTGGGTGTGAGGAAATATCTTCATCGGAATGAGGTACATGATGGAGTTGTAGAACATGTTCATACGGTTTTGAAGGCGATGGTATATCCAATGATTCTTCATGTTGATGGCGATTTGTAGAGCCATGTAACAATGCCGTGTTGGTTGCGGCATTGACAGCCTCATGTGGGTGCTGCAGAGACATTTTTTAAGAGCTTTAAATGGAGATCATAAAGAGGGACACAAGAATCAATTCTACTTTTAATTTCGAAAAAACTCAAATGACAACACAATGAACGCAAATTTATTACTGGCTTTGCAGAGAGCGATCATCCAGCATTCCAACATTTTCATCTTGTATCCATCATCATGTCCTGTTTTATTGCAGCACAACTATAAAAAAAACAAAAATGAGCATGTGGTGGTTTGCCAGTTTCTATCTGGCTATTGCTTCTGTGATTGCACTCTTGCTGTTGTTTGTTCCGATCCCAACATTTGCACGTACAAAAATCATGCGAGTATTGGATAAAGCAAAAGTTGGATTATTTGTTCTTGTTGCATTATTTCTTGTATTGGCTGTGATGGAATTTAGACACATGTCGGCACAACACACATTAACCCAAGATCCAAATATGGGTGTAAAACAAAAGTTTTTACATCAAGTGAAAGAATTTAGAGCCCAAAGAAACTTTTACATGTGTGCAATTGGTGCTGTCTTGTCATTGATTTTAGTGGGGCTTAATGCCATGCATAAGAAAATTCATGATTTACAAGATAAGCTCGAGTTGAGTACAAAGACAAAATAATAAATTTGTGTGACATGGTTTTCAAGAATGTTGGATTTAAAATTAACATGTTGAATCAAACACGTGTCAGATTCACTCTGTGACTGTCGATCAATTAAAATCTCTGACAGCTAAATACATAATCATATTATCCTCTAAATTATTCGAAAGTTCCTCCTTTGTGAAATTAAATAATTTACAAATGGTTTGTGTATCTACATGACGCTTCAAATATTCATCAATTTCCTTTTGATCCGAAATTATTTTCAAATTACTGTCACCATTTGTAGTAAAATTCGAAAATATATAGTTTTCGAGATTTGGATTTTCATTTTCTTTACAGGCAACACATAGCACAGCCTTCTCCGATGAATGATCATTTGCTCCAAAATTCTTGAACGCTTGTCCAATATTTCTCTTTGGATTTAATTTATACAATAATTCGGTATGAATATTTTGAGTCTTCCACCCTCCGGAACTCGTTTGAGCATTATTGTTGGCACTACTACTCGTGATATTTTCTGAGTTTAATTGATCTACTGTTTCCACCTCTTTAGGTTCATTCTTTGCCAAGACGACATGATGAAGGGTTGTTTGCAGAACAAACAGGCTCGGAATCATTCTGGGATTGATACAAGCAGCTACGCATGTTGGCTTTTGAGCATGAACCAGTTGTTGAATGAAGGTACAATTTTGCAGTAACAGCACTTGCACTTGAATTTTAGAAGATGCAGAAGGAATTGAAAAAATCATTTTTTTACAAGGTGGCGAAAGAATGGGTCAGTAAGACTGAATTTTATTGGCCATGATCAACACCTAGCTTTCAATTTCTCCATTTTGGAATATAAGGACTTGGTCTCTTTGATGCATCTCCAAGATATCCACTCAAATTTGGCAAACTTTCAACATGTTTCATCAACTTATTCAAAGCAGGATACTTTTGAGCAAAATCGTCTCCAAACAAGAACAATTGTTCGTACAATGCATCATACAAGACAAGATCGGCCCAACTCAATTCATTTCCCACCAAGAATCCCTTCTTTGATTGTTCCAAAAAGGATTCAAACTTGCCCAAGAAGAAGAGCATTCTTCCTTCTTTCCATGTCTTGATATCATTGACTTTTGTTTCATCAGTAGTATTTCTATGCAAACGATAGGCTTCGGAACGGAATTCATCCACTCCGAGAACATATTGCAAAGCAAGAGCATCTAGCAAGGCAACGTTTTCAGAGGAATTTGCAGCTTGTTGTGATGGAAGGAGCTTACCGAGCTCTGCCAAATATTGGCAAATAGCAATAGACTGAGCAAGTAACGTCTTGGAGGAAACAATTTCAAGCAAAGGTACTTGACCGAATGGAGCTTGTTGTTTCAGATCGCTCTCTGCAAAGCCAGTAATAAACTTGCGTTCAAAGTGTGGAACTTGTCCGTGGAGAGCAATCAAATAGGCAGCTTCAGCTCTCTAAAACACATGCCAAAGATTTAATAATGATGATGAATATCAATAATATATAATTATTGATCGACTGGGAAAATACTTACAGCTTGAATGTTGAAGTAGTGGAGGATGAATTCCGACATTTTTTTTGTGAGCACTGGCAATCGTTGGATCGTTCGAGCACCTTTAAACCTTGTGTGAGAACATTCCAAAGGTCAACTGGAAACTCTGCGTGAGTATTAAACAGACGGCAATGTTGAAGAATCTAATACCGTGATGCATGAATTTTTGTTGCAGTAGATTTGTTGTCGTCCTTTGAGTTGACTTCTCTTGTTTCGTCGAGAAGGATTCGACCCGCAGCCTTGATAGTGCTATCTGCTTCCAACGACACCAGGAGAAGAACATCTAGGTTGTGATTCTACTTGTTTTGCGTCACCAGTAGTTTTGTGAGCCTCTGACCAGGGTCCCAATTTTATTTTACCCTGTACAAACAGGAAGCTGTTAAAACACTCTACTTTTTGTTGAGCAAAGAAATCGATGACAATAAAGCCAAGCCGGGCTTTCTCTCGTCCATTTTGAACTGTTTAACAAGTGAGAACTTTTCTTTGAGCTGTATCTTGAGCTGGGTTAGCTGATGTCTAGCAAGAATGTTCCTGGCCACCGCTTGAACTAGTAAGAGTTTTGATGGACACTCTTTAACATATCTCATTTCTTGATTTCGTTGCTGAATTCCCCTCAAAAGTGCTTGCAGTGTGATTACTGTTCTCGTCTGTCCAACAGCTATGGCGTGCTGATTTCGAGCAATGAATGACCGAGCAATAGCCTGTAATACATGTATTCTATTCGTTTCTGCAATGAAATGACGTTTGCAGTTGAGTTTTCTGTCACGAGACTGAATTATCAAAACATGGTCCTGGAGTTTGTGTAAATTTTGACGTACCAGGTTACCTTTTACCACAGATTCCATCATGAGAGTTGCTTGTTGCAATAAGGCGAAATTGTGCTTGCGTTCATGACAACTGATCATGGCTGCCTGAATGAGGGTTAAGTGGTCCATGTACTCCATGTGTTTCTTGCAAGTGCTGCTCTTTGTAGCCAATGCTTGAATTAGTTGAATGGATAAAACTTGGGCTTGGCAGTTCTTGACAGCGTGTAGTTGCCTTACTTTTGCTTGAAGCTTGGAACAAGAGTTCTTCATTGACTCAAATTTGCATTGAATGGATTTTCGTTTCATGAGCGCGTTCATACATTCAACAAGTGTTGTTTTCTTTGAAAGGAGAGTTCTGAATTCTTTTCGGGCTATGAATCCTCTCATGCTAGCCTGCACAATCCAAGATACTTCTGTTCTCTTCATGATAGAAATGGTAACCTTTGTTTTAACAAGGTTCTTTCGACACAAGTATAATCTGGACAGACACTGCAACTTGGTTAACATTTGCAATTGATTCCCTTTTTCCTTAGATGCAATCAAAGCTCGCATCATGGATTGAACGGTGATAACATGTCCTTTCATGTTCTCATATTTCTTTCGATCTAGATGTCCATGGTAGATGGCTTCAATCTCGGAAACCTGCCTCATCAAAGAGTGAGATTGAATCATGGTCAATCGCCTCCTTAAGAAAGCTTGAATGACCGCCAGTTTGTCCAATACGCTTGTCATGTGTGTTCGTTCGACGGCAGCCTTTAGAAGAGCAGAAAGTAATTGTGCTCGATTTCTTTCTACGTGGAATTCTTTGCAGCATTGATAACGTCTCACTAAAGATTGTAACTGTTCATTGCTGCATAATTGAAGTTTCATGTTCGTTCTCAATCTATGACCTGCTATTCTAGACTGTATGAATATGATAGCTTGCATCTGAACGGCAAACACCTTGCGTTCAGTATTTCCTTTGACTAAGGCCTGGACAAGCAAACCACACTTGTTCATTAAAAAATTTCTACGTGCTGCATAGCCACTCATGGATGCTTGAACAACTGTCATAGAATGTTTAACCTTATTACTTTCCAATCTAATATGGGCTGATCTAAACATGGCTTGCCCGGAAGTAATACTTGTGACATGATCTTTTAGAGACTTTTGAACAGTTAATCGTTGGGCAACTGCTTGAATGTTGACGATAGCATTGAGATTAACAGCTTTCTGGGAAATAGCGTAATGCTTCCTCGTCATTGCTTGAATGAAAGCAATGCTGTTAAGGTCTTTCTCTTTTCTTGCCCATGCTACTTTTTGTTGTGACCATGAATGTAATTTTTCTAGCAATCCTAGTTGTGTTTGATATTTTCTTGCACATTGTGATCTTCTTATTACCGCTTGTAAAGTTTGAACTCGTTCCAAGTCTTTCTTGAATTGATGAGTACATAGGGTTGCTCGTGCTGCAGTGTGTAGCTTTGTAATTTGATCGGTAACTTGAACAAATCTCGTTCGTTCAACAATTGCTACAGACAGAGCAGTAAGTGTTCGTACTGCTTGCATCGACTTCTTCATAAATGATAATTCCAAGTTTCCCTTGACTAAAGCTTGAATTTGCTCAATACGGCACAAATCTTTTTTCAAATTATTTCGTACGATAGAGCCATCAGTCAACGCTTTCATGACAGCATACTTGTCTTGTTTCTTATTTTCTAAATATCTCCTCGATATAGCCTGCAACAATGTGATATGTTTCAATGATTTGAGTGCTGGTTTTGACAGGCGTGATCTAGCAAAAGCTTGCATCTGTATAGTAACGCGTTTCGTTTGTTCGAAATTGCGAGTGTATGGGATGGAGCGTGCCATGGCTGAGAGTAAATTTGCTAATTGTAACCTTGACTCAATTTGTTGCCTTTCCATGTGACCTGTAATTGTAGACTGAATTACGATTACATTTGACTGATCATCATGAAATCGCTTTCTCTCTATTGAGGACAGAAAGAGTGCCTGGAGTGTCCATATTCTTTGCAATTGGCTCTTGAATACTTTTCTTTGAAGAGCACTCCCTAAAAAGCCTTTAATGGCCACGATACTTGAGCACAAGCTGTTAAAGCTGTGTTGTACTAATGATGACTTGGCATAAGCTTGAATTGTTTGAGTGTTGTCCCTCAAAAGCAAAAAATTCTTTCTACAGACGATTCTGATCAGCGCTTGAACATGGATAATACTGTTTTTGAAATGAGATAAATACATTTGTTCCCGTCTTCTGCGAACAAATGCTTGTACTTGTGTAATTGTGTCAACTTCAACAGTTTTGAGTTTTTGAGCATTTGTAATTCGAATAAAATTCTGCAACTGAGTTAAACGTTCTAAATCAATGAAATGATTCTTTCGATGGGTGGATCCCTTAAGAAATGCTTGCAAGTAGATCAGCTGTGGTATAGAGTTGAAAATATTCTTTTTGTCAAGTGCTGACCGAGCTGATGCTTGTAAAATATGAATTGCAGAAAGATATTTTAAATAACCTGTCCTTTGCTTGTATGCCTGTAGCGTGTCGTCAATAATAGAAAGTGACTCTTTGGTTTCAATAAATTGTTTTCTTTGCAGTAGTCCTCTACATAAAGCTTGCAACAAAATAATGCTGTTATGTATGTGCTCATTGTTCGTTCTAACAATTTTCGCACGCGAAGCTGCTTGTACAAGGCAAACAGTTTTGTCAACAAATATCCGAAAAGCTTTTCGCTGTTCAAATCCTCTTATTGATGCTTGCACACAGAGAATTTCGTGATGGTAATGTCTAAGAGTATTGACTTGCTTCTTCTTTCTAGCAGCAGATTGAATGGTAAGCACACTGTTCATTTGTTGTTTGTATTGTGTTCTTGCATTGAAACCGCGAATAACTTGTTGGATATTCTTGGTGCTGGAATTTTTTTCTTTGATTTCCTTTCTTGTGATTTTGCCTAAAATTACGGCTTGCAATGTCGGGATCTTGTTCTGGCAGTTATTAAGCCGTTGTTTTGCAATAAAGCTTCGAGTAAGTGCTTGCAGAATCAATATTCTTCTTTTTTCTAAAGAAAAATTGGATACGATTCGTTCATGTTGGTACACTTGCTGTATCTTGTGAATGGCAGTCCATGATCTGTCATAATGTTTTCGAGTGGAAAACCCACGCAACACAGCCATTATTAAAAAGGAACTTTGTTTAGCTTCGTTCATTCTCTTCTTGCTCAAATGGGATAAGACAATGGCTCCAACGACATGTATTTGCTGGAATCTGTGCAAGCAATCGAGCTTCTGAATATAGGATCTTGACTTTGCTTGCATGATCAGGATTTGATTCAACGAAACATGATGCAGTCTTCTACTTTGGTGTCCTTGAGCCATTGAGGAAAGGAATGACGCTGTCTTCACCAATGTTGTATGATGTTGCCCTGTTAAGTAAGATTTGGCAACAATTTGAATAGTTTGCAAAAAATTCAACTGCGTATGCATTGACTTGGCGGTCAAATGTCTTCTAATCACTGCCTGTAGAATGCGTAATTGTTGTTGTTTTGATTCATGTTCTGCACGAACCAACTTTGACTTCATGTTTGATTGCAAAGCCTTTACAGAATTAACGTCCTGATGTACACGATCTCTGTGACATGAGCCTTTGAGGGATGCCTGTAATAGAAGCACGGAGTTAGTGATGTGTTGAAATTTGGTGTATGAACGAGAGCCAATTAAAAAACTTTGAATCGACACTGCTGAACCAACCATGTCCATATGCTTATTGTGGAAAGTAGTTCCTCTAACTTTGGCCTGAAGTGTATGGATAGAATTTACATTCTTAAAGTATTGGTTTCGAGCAATAACTCCTCTAGAAAGACAGGTAATTGCTGTAGATTGTTGTTGACAGCTCACAAATGTTCTTTTGATCATAAATCTTCTAACAGCGGCTTGAAACAGTTCTAATCGTTGGATACTTTCTCGTTTTTCACGCTGTATGAAATATTGTTTTGCTACAAGCTGCAGTTTCACAATGCATGAGTTATGCATTTCCAGTTCAGTGGTAGCAAGTCTACTTTTAAATTTTGCCTGAAGAATCAACACACTGTTTTTTTCTGCAGAATAATCCCTCCTTTGGAAAAGGCCTCTCAGAGCAGTCTGCAACTGTGATGCCACTTGTTTAGTGAGAGTAAAGTTTCTTTCGGAAAGAGCTTTCCTGGAAACAGCCTGCAGGCTCAAGCTGTGGCTTCTTTCAACAGAGAGAACATTTCTATGAATAGCGCCTTTGAAAAATGCAATAATGACATTACTCTGTTCAAGCAAACCAGATATGCCCCTTCGTTGGTTTTGAGCTCGTATTACGGCTTGAATTGTTACAATTGGCCCAGTAATATTGTGCCTCATTGAATTGGACTGTTCTCTGCGCATTACTCCTCGTGCAACAGCTTGAATTTTCTGAATTTTCTTAAAATTCGAGCAACAATTGCCAGTAGCAATGCTTTTTAGAGCCATGCATTGGATTGTTTTAACATTGTTCAAGTTCCTCCTGAAGATTGAGGTGGTATATTTTGCATTGATAAGTGCCTGGATTTTTCGGATTTTCTCGAGCTGAGCGAAAACTTCTTGTCTTCTGGAGTTTCCTCTCAAAAGTGACTGTAATATCGTAATTTGATAAATCATATTTTCAGTACTGCTTCTAATTAGTATTTTTCTTGAATTTGACTGTAAATAAATAACCAATTGTTTGGATAAATAGAGTTGCTGACGTTGGTTGGCCTGCCGTGTCAAACTTTGTAATGTAGTAATTCTACTCATATTCTCCTTTAGTGACGAAAACGTGAGACGACCACGAATTCTGGCTTGCATTATGGAGATGGAAAATTTTTGTAGAGCTGCGTTCATTCTGCATTTTGCTCCATGCCCTATGGCTGAGAAATTAATAGAAAGAGAATATAATGAGCTCAGCCTTGTTCTTGTTTTGTGAGCCTCGTGTAAGGTACAAAGTGTTCTTGCTGCATTAGTCTTCATGACTTCAGTTGCGAACAAAGAACACACTCGTATTAATTCAGTTTCGTCTATTATTCTTGTGTCTTCCATTATTTCATCTTCTTCACCAAAGTATGGTCTCATTCGAGGTATTTCACAAGTTTCTGGATAGCAGTCATAGTTAAACCTAATAACTGCCTCCATAAACTCAACAACATACATTGGAATGCATTTAAATTGCAAAGGAAAAAATCGAATTTGGTCAATATAGTGAAATAATTGGATTTGTATCCATATTAGGACCAATGGAGTAACCGAGCTATTCTCAGCTGCGTTAGCAGTTTTTCTCAAATCTATTGAGCTTGAATAAAAATGCTCATTCATTTTGGTTAAGGCTGATTTAAGTCGATCTGAATCATAGTGGTGTAGTAGTGTCTCTTTAAATAATGAAGATAGTGGATGATCATCCGAGATATGCATTAACGACTTGTACTTTTCTGCAAATTTCTCCGCTTCGTCAACACTGATTTTTTCAGTAATGAATTCAATGATTCCTCGTACTGCTTCTCCCCTAGCATCCAAACGTTCAATTTCTCTCCTCAAAATTTTTGGTGTAAGATTTGAAACAGACAAGCCAAATTCAATTTCTTTTTCGGCCGTGACTAGCATGGCTTCAGAATCGGACGAGTCTTCTCTAGCAGCTCTTGTTAATTTTGGTTCTTCATAAGAGCACATTTGTGACATTTCATCGACCGACGAAACTTTTGCCATGTCTTGACTTGAGTTGGGAGTAGCAGGCGTTTTCTCCTTTCGTTTTGTGAAAATATTCAAAAAGCCTTTAAGACGCGATTTTTTCTTCTCTAAAACTTCTGAGCTAGCAATTACAACTTGGGAATTGCTTGTTAAATCTGGTGTATCAGCCGAAGAAGATATTTCTAATTTCGTAGGACGGCCTATCATAGGAACAGAAGCATTCGAGTAAACACTGTGACATGTGGAGATGTTATCAAAAGTGTCTTCGCTTTCCTCAAATTTTGCCGATTTTCCAGATCTCCCTTCAATAATGCTGAGGCGAAAAGAACTGGAAACGTTCATGGCAGGCGTTCGTTTAAGAGGAATATTTTGAGATTTTTCAGATGACTTGGGAGATGATCGTTGTTTTTTTTCCGTGTCACCACCAATTGTCTGCATTGTGTACGTACTTGGATTTGAAATTAGAGAGTTAGTGTTCATCATTTGTGAGGTAATAGCCTCGTCAGGGCTAGTAGGTGTTTTAGAGCTGCTACTTTTTTTTCTTCTCAGTTTTGTGATCATGGTTGGAATTTTGTCAAACAAAGATTTTGTCCTACGCTTTTTTGGTTGTTGTTCCTCCATCTTTCCTAAATTTAGTTTTGGTACGTAATTTTGGGATTGTGATTTGTTGAAATTTCAGAAATATTCATATCTTCTAAATCTGAATCGTTTTCTTCACCGTGTATATCGTTTTCTGTCACATCGTCAAAAGAAATAGGATATGATCTTTGGTTATGATTTCCATTATTAGAGGTTGTTGGAGTTGTTGAGGCAGCTCCGTTTGTTGGTCTTGTGAAATTTGTTCGTGGAGATAAACTTCCTCTTGGTGAATAAGGAATTCCATTGACTCCTCTAGGTGACAACATATTTACTCCTCTTGGAGTGAGTAATGCTGTTGAGTGTGATCGATTGGTACGACCACCACTTTTTGAAGAAGATGTAGAGCCGAGTGAGCTCTTGTTTGAATTTGCTTTTCGAGAGAGTTTAGCATTTCTTTCGTCATTGTGATGTGGTGAAATAGGTGTTGATTTGGAAATGATAATGGCTACAGGCTCCTGTTGTAGATTGTTGGAAGTCTGTTTAAATAATGACGTATTTGTCCATAGTTGTGGTGAATACGACGGAGAAGAGTTTTTTGGTGATGCATCCAATTGAAAATTGTTGTTCCCGTTCCTATTCATGTAAATAATTCTTGATAATCCATCTTTTGAAGTTTCGTCGGAAGTGATGGTATTGTTATTGCTCATCATCATGACATTGGATACTGAAACACTGTAATTACTGGCTGTAATTGCTGCAGACTCAATGGGGTTCAAATGGGCTTGTTTTGGACTTGTGCCTACCCATGATGAATACCTTGGTTCGTTGTGGTGATGGCGAGGACTGGCATTACTGCTGAGAGAGGTAGGTCGAGGAGGAAGATTGAGAAGTGGGATGTTTCTCTTTGTGGAAAACTGTTGTTTTGGAGTGTTGTTCGGAGAAGAGGAGGAGAGAGCAGCGTTGATTTGGTGCTCTGTAGTTCTTTGTACATTCGGAGAGGATGATGAAAAACTAGTTGCAAGGACAGAGGAGGCTGATAGTACATTTGGAGAGTTGGGGTCATCATTGCGAGTTGTAGATGTGGGAATGGAAATTGGAGTGGAAGATGTTGGAAAAGGAGACGAAGAAGGGTTCCCATATAGTTGGTTGTTGTTGTTGTTTGGTGATATTGGCATAATGGGAGAGGAAGAAGAATCGCTCAACGATGGTTGTTTGAGATGCCTACTACTGCTCGTTCGTCGATTTAGTCCCAGCGTTTGGCTTCGCTTTCGGATGTTGTTGATAGAAGCAGTGCTATCAGTGAAACAAGCAACATCATCATCCTGCTCATGGTTATCATTGTACGGATGAGCATTGCTTTGTGTTGATGAACCCATCAAACCTATTTCTTCATGATCCGGTGGTGCATCGTTGATGAATTGATGTTGCTGAAATAGAGGCGTGGACTGTACATGACGTAAAAGCGAAGGAGCTGAGGAATTGATTTTTTCGGGATTGATATTGTTTCCCATGTGTTTCTTTCTATCAATTGATGTTTTGTTTCAATGGCTGCATATTAGTGTAGTGTAGTTTGGAAAGAATGTATAAACCTTTTGTGTTTATACGATTGCCGACGTGTTGTTTTGAGACCAATTTGGACTATTTTTTATCTTTCTTAAATTTGGCATTTGACGAGCACTTTTGACATCAACTCATCTTCTGTAGTGATGCAAATGGTTCATCGGTAGTCTTGAATATGTTCAATCCAGCGTTTTGATTGGTGGTACTATCATGTTTACAAGAATACTAGACTAAGGGTCGATTGAGACGGGAACACCATTCCAATGCTCTGTGATTCATCAAGAATTTTCTGTTGATTCCTCAAAAGTACAAGCTGTCTTTGCTCATTCACCTCTGACATGTTTACCCTCATTCGTTTTTCCACAAATTTTTTAAACTCGGCCACTGTGGACTCAAAAGTGATGGCTTCACTGTCGACAATGATTGTTCTACCTCCTTCCATCATGAGCTTGACAAAGTATTGAGGCTTTTTCGTGAGCAGGAAAACATTGAACGATGTTTCAGATGGATCATACCAGCACGTGGTATCTTTTAGTTCCTTTCCGTTTCTAATCAACATGACATCTTCAACAAACTTTAAAGGAAAATTAGACTTGCAAAATAACCCTTCCATATACTCGTGGTTATTCAACAGTTGTTTTTTCAAATCAGAAATTGTGCAATCACTGACACAAAGAGGTACCTTAATACTCTTGTTGTTTGCTATATTTGTGATGGTGATCATTGGAGGTGATACATTTTCAAGTGTTGTTGTTGTAACAGTTGCATTGCTGTTCTCACTAGAAACAAGTGATGAGAGATGGAGCATTTTCAAACGAACATTTGAAAAGTCTTCACCACATGAAAGAAACAAGACATCATCATCCTAACCTCCTCAAATTTGGTGAATTCTGTTCCGTACTTTGAAAATATTCGTAAATTAGAAAGTGTTGCTTGTTCCGTGAATTCAAGATGATTCGACCATGTTGGACAAAGCAACGTTAAAATACTTTTCTTGAGTTTTACAAAATTATCGGGATCATCGCTTGAAAAATCAAACATGATCATCTTTCCTTTAATACGTTCCCAATCTCCGTTCAAAAAACAGTGCAGTCTGAAACAAGACTTCTGTTGTTGCTTGCTTTCTGTTGTCGCTCTTGTCGCGTGCATTTTTTTCAACTTTTTTTTTTAAAAATAGAAAAATTAGAAAGTTCACTCTCGTCGTTGAATTAAGGCAATCATGTTCCAGTTGAACTGTATTAAGGTCACAAACGCTTTGATGTTCAAAGTTTGAAAAAGCTCGATCATGAATCAAAGAAAAATCTTGTTGATCAATTTTCCAAGTGTTTGTTCCAGCCTGTGGTGCGCAGTCATTCACAAAGAACGCACGCTCGCATTTCCAAAACTTCATAAAATACAACTTTTGAACATCCACAAAGTACAACATCAAAAAAAATGTCATCCAAAGTCTTAATATTGGGCGCCAATGGTTATATTGGTCTCGGAGTTGCAAAAGCCTTCAGTAGAAACGGATTCAAGGTGTACGGCTCTGTTCGTTCTGATAAACATGTCACAACTTTGCAACAGAATGAAATCATCCCAATTGTTGCTTCAACCTTTTCCGATCTCGTTCAAAATCATCAGCAATTACTTTTCGATGTGAGCGTCTTGATAGATACGATTGGTTTGACAGAACAAACGCAACAAATTTACGAGCAAGTACTGGAGATTGCCAAGGAAAGACACATTAAACATTATCCAAAGTTATTATACATTTTCACATCAGGAATCATGACTTTTGGGAACGCAAGTCAAACAAGTGTTGATGAAAACACTCGACCACAACCAACTCATGAATGGATTGAAAAGAGAAGATTGTTCGAATGGAGACTTCTCAATGAAGAGCAACAATCTCTAGATACAACTGTCATTAGACCTGGATTTGTGTATGGAAAGAATGGAGGTGCGATTTTGAAAGATTATTTCACTTCACACAATAATCAAAAGGATGGAAAGCTAGTGTTAATTGGAAGCACAGAAAAGAGATGGTCCTGGGTTCATATTGATGATTTAGGAGAGGGATATGTACGAGTTGCGAAGCTGCGAGATCAACTGTCACACGTGAGCTATTCAACTTGGCAGCTCCCAATGACAACCCAACCTACAAGGAGGTTCGTGTGAAAATGGCTAAAATCGCAGGCTGGAAAGGAGAAGATTCTGATATTGTCCTCGAGAATGTTCCACAACAGGATGCTGGTCTTGTAGTTTTTGAAAACACGGTCATTATTGATCCAAGAAAAGCAGTGCAAGTATTGGGGTGGAAGCCAAAGCACTTGAGTTTTTTGGACAACTTGGAAGTCTATTATCATGCATGGAAGGCCATTCAATAAACGAATTAAACTGTTTGAAGATTTGGTCTCTTTATTAAGGGTCAGTATCAAGTCTCCATATCATCAATGTCAATTGCTTAAAATTGCGGTCGGTGGTGATATTTAGAATTACGACAATCTAAGATAAAGAAAATCAAAACAGAAGATCACCAAAACATGATTATGCGGTGGTTGTCCTTCCTTGTTGTTGAAATTCTAAACTTAAAATAGAGGATCACCAAAAATAGTGTTCAATTTCACACATACCTTTTCGCCGCGCGAGCCATCATTGAAACATTTCTTACGACAACAAAAACATCCCAAAGCACTTGCCGTCAAAATGATTAACCGTAACAAACTTGTCGCATCTCTTCGTTCTTGGACACAATATTCAAGATGTTTTTCTACCGTTCAAAGCAAGTTGAATGCAACGGAGCCTCCAAGAAATTATGACCCTCTTTACCCTCATGAGCCGATTGTCTCTACGTTGGGAGAGCCCTCCAAAGTTGATTTAAAGAATGACGTCCCAAAAGGTCCAAACATTAAGGACCAAATGGATTCATCCTTCAACATGTCGTCACCAACAGGAGGAGGCATTAACAAACCTCAAGATAACAGAGATCCTGTTGAAACTTCCAATGCAAGAAGCACCTCGCGACCAACAACAACTTCACAAAGTAGATTTGATCCCAACAAGCAAGAGAGTGCCACTATTTCAACCACAGGAAGAAAACAGTCCAATCTTACTGATGAAGAATACAAGAGTGGATTTTCCGAAGGTCTTAAAAACCAGTACGCTGATATTATGGGTAAAAACTTGGATCAAGACATTCCCATTGAGAAAAATCTTGACCAAAAGGTTGGTGAAATGGCGTCTCCTGATACGACTGCTTTCAGAACCATGAATGATGAAAGTATGGATACCACCAAGAAGAGAAAAGAAGGAATGTCCACGAAACAGGAGGATGCCAACTACTACCAAGGATCCAAAGTGAATTTGGATGCAACCAGTTCCGATTCAGCCAACAAAATGACCGATGAAGGTTATAAACAAGTCAAAACATCATCCCAGCAAGGCTCTCCAACCAAAGACATTAGAAGTGACAAGAGAACCGACAGAGCAGTTACCGATTAGAATTTTTGTTTTAGAACTGCATGTGCTGCATTAAAAACTTCATGTTAGAACTATTCAAGTGTCAAACTTTGGTGGGGTGTCGCACTTGTTCGAATTTTGTTTACAAAACAAATGCGACCACAAAGCAGTGGCTCCTCCCGTTCCAACAGCCGGTATGAGAGTCGGGAGTTTGAGTTGAAGGATCATCATCAATGTGACCCCGTGGTTGCTAATGAAGGTATCAATAAACAAAGCAACCCAATTTCGGAAATTGATAATTGTCAAAATGTTGACAAGGGTTCAATATACAACACAAATTCTCAAAAAACATTGGTTTGTGAAGAAGGGAATGATCCACTAGAAAACAGCAACGAAGATTTTATTAATTATGAGACTTCTCATAATTTGAAGATGGATGAGAATTGTAATTCTACCATTCATCAACATGAGCTCACACCTGTCACGGTTGAATGCTGTACCTCGATGACGACAACCCCTGTCCTTCAACAGACCACAATTACCACTGATGTAAATGCAGAAACAAATTCTGCAAGTCCAAATATTCAAGAATCTTCATTGTCATACACGACCTCAACAATGAATCAACCGTGTATCAATACAACAGCGGAATCACTTCATTTACGATCTTCTGTTGCAAACGAGGAAGAATTGCTTGAAGATGATCAAGTGTTTAAGCCAAGCGACAAAATATTAATCGAGAATGCTAAGGAAATTGTGACGGATACGGACTTTTCCTTTTCGTGGTTCTATAAAGTGACACATGGATGGAATTCGATTCGAAAACGATTAATGCATCGATTATTGTGCCGATACGCACACGAGGGAGATTTCAGTGACGACGATGAGGAAGAGAAGATTCAAGACACGAGTAAACCATCCCAAAACAACAACAAAGTGGAATTGCCCAATTCTGTTCCAAATAAGGAACAAGAAGATGACACTCCAGAAATAATGACCGAGAGAAAGTTTGAAACCGTTCACCTTAACGACCGAGAAAAGAACAAACTCTCTCGAAAACGTAAATGGCCCACCAATTACGTTCGAACTACCAAGTATACCTTAATTACCTTCATTCCTCAAAATTTATTTGAACAATTTAGAAAAGCCATCAATATTTATCTATTGATTACTGTGATTGCCGTTCTCATTCCTGACATTTCTCCTATATTTCCACCAGCAGCCGTATTGCCCATTACTTTTATTGTCTTGCTGCAGATGGCAAAGGATGGATATGAAGATTTTCAAAGATATCGACAAGATTTGAAAGCCAATAATGAATTGTGTCGAGTGGTGAGAAATGGAAGTTTACAGGAAATTCGGGTGAAAGACGTCGAAATTGGAGATTTTGTATATGTGAGTCGTGATGAGAGTTTTCCTGCAGATTTACTATGTATACATTCTTCGAGAGAGGACGAGTTGTGTTATGTAGAGACAGCACATTTAGACGGAGAAACCAATTTGAAAACACGGAGACCTTTAAGCAAGTGTTTCTTGTCATGGAGTGCTGGCTCATCTTCTTCACATAATGTCCATTCTATGCCAACAACTCCACAACACAGCTTGAGTGAAAAACACGAGGGAGTGGACCCTATGCCTCCTTCCATAACAACGGCAAGACCTACACAAGAGTTTATTCATTCACAACTTGGTAGTATTAAGGGAAAATTGAAAATTGAGGCTGCCAATAAGAATCTCGATATTTTTGAAGGAACAGCTAAAATTCAAGCACAGCTTAACCCCTCCACGGACACACTCAATGGCATCACCTCGAACAATACTGAGGAGCAACGTTCAGTATTGCCTCAACAACCTCCAATTAAGGAAGCACTTTCGATGGATAATCTTTTATTGAGAGGATGTACTCTTAAAAACACACAATTTATCTATGGAGTGGCCATCTACGTTGGAAAGGACACCAAGATTCTCAACAACACGAAGGAAAATCGAGTGAAACGAAATGCCCTGGAAGTCACTCTCAATCAAATTCTTGCTGTATTGGTTCTCCTTCAACAAGTGATATGTGCCATCGTTGCTGGTTTACATGGAGCTTTTCAAAATGATTTCATGCATAGAGCCTTTTATTTAAAACCATTGATTGTGAATAGTACGAGTGATGGAATGGCCTCGTTTGTGTCCGTCATGTCCAATTGGGTGACAATATTCATCTTGCTAAATTTAATTGTGAATGAAACACTGGTGATTGGATTTGAAGTGATTAAATCGTTTCAGTCGTGGTCGATTGAATCTGATCCTGAAATGAGAGCCGATGGTTTAAAAACAGAGGTTAGAACAGCGAGTATGAATCAAGCACTCTCTAAAATGGATATCGTCTTTTCTGACAAGACTGGAACTTTGACATTGAATGAAATGACCTATTCTGATTCGTATGTGGATGGAGTGTATTATTCGGAGAGAAGCAACCCTGGTGCAATGCAGAACTATTTGAAAGATTATCACAGATCGAAAGCAATGAAAGGTCAGCCCCAACATCCTTCCTTAGATCATGGAAGCGACATTAAGGATCAGAATCTTCCCAGAATTCTTCTATCCACCCACACCGTCACCCCTCTGATCGATTCACATGCCTTTTTCTTACGTGAATTTTTACGTTGCCTCTCTCTCAATAACAGTCTCATGCCAGAACTCTCCGAGCAAACCAAGCCTCATACTCATAGCGCGAACTTGAGTGAAGAACAACAGGCAAAAAATAACAATTCGTTACCTCACCCTAACGAGCCTCAGGAAATCCATGCACATCTTCCACCCTCTACGCAACCATCGGTGAAGAAATATATGTATCATGGACCTTCTTCCGATGAAATTGCTCTCGTACAGGCTGCTAATAACAATGGATTTATTCTCACTCAGCGTAGTCCTCAACGTGTAGTGGTTGAAGAGTTAGGCGAATTGAAAGGCTATGAAATTTTAGCAACATTTGGCTTCACCTCGGAAAGAAAGCGGATGAGTGTGGTGGTGAAAGACTCTGATGGCAAATACGTTTGTTACGTGAAAGGGGCAGATAGCGTGATTTTAAAGCGAGCATCAGATTCCTCGCATCATCATGAATTGAAAAAAGCCTTACAACACTTCTCAGTGCGAGGATTGAGAACCTTAGTATGTGCCAGGAGAGAACTCTCGCAACACGAATTTCAAGAATGGTTTGAAGAATACACCGCGGCTTCTCTCTCAACGAAATCCAATCGAGATCAACTACTCATGCACTGCGCTTCCTTGATGGAGAGAAATTTACAAATTGTGGGATGCACTGGAATTGAGGACAAGCTACAGGATCAGGTTGCAGAATCTATTTCATACTTGCAACGGGCAGGACTCAACATTTGGGTTCTCACAGGAGACAAGACTGAAACTGCCATTCATATAGCGTACTCGACTCATGTCTTGCACAGAGATAGGACGATTGAGATACGCATTCGAAATGCTACTTCACATGACCATGTGAAAGCCAAGTTGAAAGAGGCCTTGGAATTTCTTGAAAAACACAAGCACAAGAAACATTTGGAATATGCTCTTATTATTGATTCAAAAGCTCTGGAATATGCCATGGAAAAGTATGAAAAACCCTTCGTCCAATTGGCCTCCAAAGTCCAAAGCGCCGTTTGCTGTCGATTGAAGCCTCTACAAAAATCGAGTATTGTTAAACTGATCGAAAAGAATCTATCTAAAAAGGCACTTGCGATCGGTGACGGTGTCAACGACGTGGCCATGATTCAAGCAGCCTCCATTGGAGTCGGGATTAAGGGAAAAGAAGGGTCCCAAGCAGCTCGTGCCGCTGACTATGCGTTACCTAGATTTAAACATTTGATTCGTTTGTTGGCAGTGCATGGCAGGAACTGTTGTGTGAGAAATGCTGATTTTTTACATTTCAGTTTTTATAAGAACTTTATGTTGCTTGTACCACAATTTTTCTACATTTTCTATTCTGCCTATTCTGGCATACTCATGTATGATTCATGGGAACAACTCTTATTCGTGGCAGTATATTGCTTCTTTCAACCCATTGCCTCTGGGGCTTGTGAAAAAGATTTACCAGAACAAGTCATTATGAAACATCCAGAACTTTATGATACCTTGAAAAAGAAGCACCATAATCTATTTAGTGTATCAAGCTTAATAGGATGGGGACTGGTATCTATTTATCAGTGTGCTGTCATTTACTTTGGAATTGTTTTGAGTTATGGAACGGATGGAGATACCATGGAAAATAATAGTTCCATTCCTTCCTCAGATGTATATCATTTTGGTAAATTAATCATGACATGTTTAATGAGTGTAGTGACTCTACGATACATTATAGAGGTCAAAACATGGACCATACCAGTGTTTCTCTCTATATTTGGAAGTTATATTTTTTATTTCTTATTTAGTGTTTGTTATGCCCCATCGGCAGATGTATTTGGAGAAACAGGATCATATTACATTTACTATGAAATGGTTATTAGTGTAAAGGCAACGTTGATATCCATTCTTGTCATTATCGTTGCGCTTTTACCGAACTTTTTATATAAGGCCGTTCGCATGAACTTTTTCCCTCATGATTATCAACAGTTGTTGATAGAGTATCATCATGCACAAAGAAAGAAAGCCGAAGAAGAGAACATCGAAAAATAAAAGATTCATTTTATTTACAAGAAATCATTCAAAAGAAGCGGAGTCAATCTCAACTAAATTTGACATGTTTGTCACTCCCTCAAAGCTCTTTTTTACCACAGTTCTGTAGCTTGAGAGCGCGTGACTAACTCTTCCTTCTCGTTTGGATCTGTCACAAATGGTTTCCAAAACCTTTAGAATTCTATTAGTTGTGAATGTATCTTCAGGATATTTCTCCAAATGATTTTGGAGAATTTTTTGGGATTCATGAATTTTCTCAAGAGCCACGTCATCTGTAATGGAACTTTGTTCAAAGATGGAGAACGCAGATTCAAAATCTTTGAACCTGCCGTTAGCTTTTTGCTGTTCCAATTCATACATCCATTCTAATAAAAATGTTGATATCGCAGGCAAAGCATGACAATTAAAATATTCAGCAACAACTTTGACATTCCACAACTTACCATCCTTCTCAACATTATTTTCCTTAATCACATGATACACAGATGAGACAATTCCATGAAACGCATCATTCTCGACCACCAATCTTTCAACAGGCCTCACTACAAACGCTTGCTTTGCGTCTCCCATACTCAAGGTGTTTGCATCTGCCAATATCGAGCATCCATTGATGATTTGGCACAACGCAGAAAGTTTTTTGGCATTGGAAATCAAAGGGCCCACAATGGAATGAACTCTCAATTGATGATTTCCTAAATTTCCAACATGTGTCTTTCCACTTGATACTCCAATGCACACACGAACTCTTTCATTTAACAAACAATTCTCAAGAGTTTTGGAAATTTTAAGAGCTGCTTCCAATGCTGCAATGTTTGGTCTCTTCTTGCTGTTACCACTGACGAATGAGCATTGATATTCATCTACCGTCAAGATATGAAGATCTGCTTGCATGGTTTTAGAGAGAACACTCAATCCAGTGGCGATCTTTGCAAATACATTAGTAATTTCTGAAATAGTCATGTTGACACATTCCAATCAATTTGACATTCACCACACTGGTATCCTTTTCGAACAATCCAAGTTTGAATAAACCTCCCATCTCTTGCTGTTTGCTTTTGTGACTACCACTTAATGATGAGAGATTATGAGTACTGTTTTTAGAACCAGTACAGCTCTCCAATTCTCCATGATGAGCGTCTTTGTTGTGGTCATGATGTTGATTAGAAGCGAAGCTTGAGCCTTGTTGATTTATCTTGGATGTAACTTGTAGAGTGTTGGAATCTTGTTCCATATTACGCAACTGATTGAAAATAGCTTCTGGAAGAAAACTCTTAAATTCATTCAACCATACGACCATGTCGTGTAAATCTTCATAAATGGCATCAATTTCTTTAAATCGACTCGAAGTGAAATGAACCTTGTCCAAATCAAACTTCTTAATTTGCATGAACTGTCTCTCGAGGTATCTTAAGGGTTGTGTAATCAAGTAACCAATGACGACACTAGTCATGAGACCCAATACAATCACCACTGCTGCTACTCCAATCGATATACCTGTATTAATGGTTGTAGTTCGAGAAACATCTTCGGAATAAACAATTAAAAAGACATTCCATTGAATATTCTCAAGTGTGAATGGTAGGCGTGAAATTCTATAATCAACTCCCAAGCTTGAAATTTGGAATGAATATGGAGTGGAGTGCATACTTTCATATCGATCCTTAATATCTTTCATGAGAAGACCAGCATTTCGATCGGTCAATTCGTATAACGAGACACGTGAAATACGATTCAATGCAGTGGTATTGATACTTCCACCAATCACCAAATCATTGGATTCAGAAACAAGAACATAACCCTTTCCGAGGATGGACAACTGAGAAAGATATCTTTCAATGTTTAAGAGTGATAAATTCACTTTGGAAATTCCAATCACTTTCTTGGTATTGTTTTGAGCAAGTAATACAGGATCAAACAACTTGACCGAGTAGTAAATACATGCAGTAGAGTTCACGACCACATATGGATCTCCATAAACACCATCTAGATTCAACGAGTCGAAATATTTGAAACTTGTGACCCAATAGGCAAGAGAGGTAATGTTAAACAGTGTGGTTTGATTCATCACAAGTCCCATCAGAGAACCATCTGTGACATTGGCATACCAATGCTCGACTCCAACATAATCTTTTGGTTTAATATAAATGGTAAATTGTTGAGTGGGAACACCATTAGGAAATATTGTAAGATTAAAGTAAGTATAAATCTACATTCATTTTGTAGTATTGAGAATAATCATACAATTACATTCCAACAACAGCAATACAAAAAGTTCATGAACTTTTGACCACTCCTGACAATTTCTTATGGGATGATTCACTTACCTCATTAGGAAAGAAAATTCCAAGGCTACTGGGACGAAAAATTGAATTTTTTCTAAACAAGTATTCCAATGGAGGTTTACGTGGAATGAGTCCCATATTAAAATCGTGGGCAATAGTCCACGCTAACTCAGCACATGGTGAGATTTCACCTCTCAAAAATACGGTAATCTTGTGACCCACTTGTTCAATGAGAGAATTAGTGACCTCAGTCATGGCTTGATTAGAACCAATGAATGAAGCCAACCAAATAAAGATGGAGCATGTCAATAGTAAAACAATGATGAGCATGATAATGACCACTCGCATAGAAAAGAACCCTTCTAACTTGACAGGTTTCTTTTCTTTGATTACTCCTCCACAAGAGCCATTTTCATCCAAATCATTCAATAAATCTTGTTGTTCGTCTTTTGTAGAACGATGTGCCATTGAGGAAGCTGATGATCCATCATGACGAGAAGAGTCATCTACAACTGGAACGACCTTGGTATGCATTGTGAGTGTGTTTTTTTCTTTTTGGGTAAAATTGTCGAACCCCATCACCAGCTGGTGATTCTCCAAGCACTAATTTCATTCTCGGTCGAGGGTACTACTATTTACAATGTTTAACGTTCCATGATGGATGGTCTTTGAAATTCAAGTTACAAATAATTGATGTCCAACGACGAGAGATGGTACTATTATGGAATTATGTGTTTCGGACGTAGAAATGACATTTCTAGTAGTAATGGTTGAACGAATGTTCTATAATCGGACGCGTTGCACTAATCAACGCATGTGATGTAAACGTCCGATAATTCTCGGCCTGAACGCAATGCTTTTGTTTGAAATTCCTGAAAGAATCGATCGATTCTCAAGTCCTTTGCCTCAATACATTCATCATCATACAATTCAAAGTAATAAATTGCTTTTGTGAGATTTTGTGCAACATTTCCAAAACAGCCATCTCTATATATTTTCCCTAATTTACGGAATGCTGTATAACATTGTTGTTGAGCTGCAAGTTCAAAATATTTCATGGACTTTCCAAAGTCCTGTGGTACGTAGAGTCCTTTTTCGTACAACCTTCCCATGTAATATTGGGCCTGTTCATCACCAAGTTGAGCAGATCGTTCGTAATATTCTAACGCCTTGTTGATGTCTTTTTGCACTCTTTTTCCCTTTTCGTAAATATTCCCCAACACAAACATGGCAGGTGCATGATTGTGTTCGGCAGCCTTCTCGTAATACTGTATAGCTGTTGGGAAATCTTGGTTGTCCATCCCACGTCCTGATTCGTAAATCTTGCCAAGGTGGTAAAAAGCGTCGTTATAATTTTGTCTTGCTGCCATTTCATAATAATAAATTGCATGACTAGCGTTTGAGGAGCCGAAGTGAACAAAGCCCAAATTTACCTGAGCACATGCATAGTTTTGCTTTGCAGCAAATTCATAATATTTCTTTGCTTCTTCGAAATATTCTTGTGCATAGTAAATATCACCCAATAGGTTTTGAGCAATATAATGAGATTTTAAAGCATCTGAATTCAGAAGAATATTGATAGCCTTATCATAGATAATGGCGTGTCCCCAAGCTCCACTGTACATGGAGGCTAGGATCAACTTGTTGCAATGTTCATTGTGTATCGTTGTGAAGGTAAATTGGTTTTCTAATTTACGGGCCACTTTTGAAAAATGAAATGTAGGCCAACTAGCCTTATAAATCATGTCAAAACACTTCACCAAACGAGGATATTGGTCAATGGAAGCATGCTCGGAAAAATTAATAAATGTTAATAATACATCCACGGCTTTGTCAAAATTGTTGTTTTCAACGAAACTTGTTATTGTTTGTTCCAAAAGTACAAGTTGTTGCTCCATTTCATCATTCACTTTTCTTTTTTTAATTTTCTCTTCCAGCGCCGATGTTGGCACAGGTGTCACTTGTTTTTCACATCTGTTGTGAGATTCTGGCATTTTTTATTGATGATTTCAGTATTCTTTCAACCTTTGCTTCGACGAAGGCTTTTGCTAAGGATTCACTTCTCAAGAATGCCATTTGTTGTTCCTGTGAGTGAAAGTATGAACAAGTCCAAATATGTGAAATCGGAGGTTGCAAATCATTAAAGCCAATATTACGTCACGACCAAGAGTCTGTGGGTTGTTTCACTGATTCCTCCCAGATGGTTAATCATAGTCTTGCGTAAGTCAAGTATAGGAGTAAAAAAGGCGGACGCGGCTTCAACAAGCTCATTTTTTTGTTATCTTGATTACGAACAAAATGTCACTCATAATTACTTTCACAACAAAGCTCCTCAACTTGCCATTTAAGAATTGGTAAATGTCATTTGAACTAAACAGTTGCCAATGATTGAAATTCGGATTTCCTAAAGCAATGTTGTTAGAGGAGATTCCATATTCCATAACATTAATCTCTGTCAAAGTTGAATTTTGTGGACGATTCTAAGCGGTTACTGTCGTTATTGTTGTGACAATACACGAATCCAAAGATAATTTTGTATCGAAATTGGGAAATTCCTCTGATGTTTTCGTCTCCTAATTTTCTTCAACGTCTATCGTCTTACATCCAACTCATTGATCAGTTGAGTGCTCAAGCTCAGAAGGATTCGTAAGAAGAAATCAACGTATCTAGGTAAGTTCTTCCGTATCTGTAATGTTTATATTGAGCTGGATAGAGTTGTTAAGAAAAAACGTACCTGCAATATTCATCCTCAATCCCTTCTCCAACAAACCAATGGATAAATGCTCGTTTTGCTATCACAAGGTTTCACTACTGTCCGATATTTAAATTACACTTACCATACATCAGATCAAATTTCTTGGCTTGGTTCTTTAGCAAGGACACCACACTTGAATGATTACAGCAGAATGACAAGGTCCCGTTGACAACATTTTCATAAGTATAATTCACCTTTACACCTCCGCCACATTCATCAGCAAAATTCAGGTCTTCTCTCAAGCTCTTTGACGAACGAGATAGCTCAGAGGTTTTGATCTTGGGGCCGGTATAATGTAAACATGCAGATAAGGCTTTTCCATTATTTAGATTTTCCCCAGCCAAGCAATGGGAAGGTGAAAGGATAGTTTTGGTAACCATGTACTGTATGTTCATGTGTTTCTTTTCCACCATTGCTGGTAGCACTAAAGAGCACCCAGGTGAAGGAGCAAGGTGAATTGTTTGAGTTTTCATGTCACCTGCAAACTGAGATGGAAATCTTAAGCAAGCATTTGTGGTGCATACAAATTGTGCAAGTACTTTGTTGATGTCCGTTAAATCAGGATTACTAACGACTTGGTGATTTTGGCAATAGTTGTACATGGCTTCATTGGTGGTCACAAAAGTTACAGAGCTTTTTTCAAGGAGAGATTCCAGTCCAAATACAAAGTTGTAAGTTTCCACAACGCTGGTTGAATATTTCGAGGAGGGAAAAACCGAGTGGAAAAAGTTCTCCAGTTTAGGATATTCTGTTGCCAATTCGTCCAACAGTTTCATTGCCACTCCACTCCCAGTACCTCCCCCAAAGGCTTGAAACCAGTTGAAACCCTCCAATCGATCGCACTTCTCAACAATCTTTCGAACACTCTCAACAGCATTCCTGCAAGAGTCTCTTCCGACAGTGTAATAACCTCGAACAAAGTTATCGCTTGAGCCCTCCTTTCCCGAAATTAGATTGTCTGGGTGAACAAGCTTTGATATGTTGCTTCTTGATTTGATTTTTGTAATTGCCTCTGAATCTGTATCAACAAACACTGCTCGAGCAAAATGGTTGTAATCAATGTCCTTTCCGTCCACCATTTCAAAAATTGAGGATTTGAAGCCTTCTTCGTTCCGTATGATCGGATCACTGTCCGTTGTTGCAATGCCATGTTGAATAGCGTATTGAGTCCATAATTGCTCTCCAATAGCACAGCCTGCAGATCCCACGTGCAATGATGCAATCTCTCCAACCATTTTAAATTACTAAGAGAGATGTTTTTTTTCTTTAAAGAACTGTAAAAGAGGGTGAACTTGGTTGAAATTTCAGCTTAGATGTTGTATGATTTATTATAAAATACATTAAGCAATGAGACATGATTGTTTCTTTTGTTTCTTTGCTGTTGGTTCCTTCTTTCTTCCTAAAATGAAATCAATAATGGAAACATCCTTCTTCTTGAATGATTTGTTTTGCCACATGGCAGCAGCTCGTTTTCTCTTACAGAATGATTCCTTTGGTTCCCCACTCGTGTTACCTGCTGTAGAATTGGCATTCTCCACCAACTTTTGTGTTCTAGAAAATTTAGAAAAGAATGACTCAATGAGACAATGCTTTTCTTTTGCCTGCTTGGCAAGTAAGACTTCACCTGAGGCTGGTACGTCGACTTTGAACTTGTCTTGAATTTGTTGTTGGAATTCAGATCGGAATACAGTGAACCAATTAGGAGGATTCACTTGGTAGGGTTTGTACGAGAGTTTGGTCTTTTTAGTAATCTTCTTAGTCTCACCTGTGAGTGTATTGAACAACTCGGGATGATAATTCTCAATGAGATAATTCAAAACTTCCTTTCTCTTCTCAGTTTCAACAGTTGACTCGGATCCAGAAGAAACACTACTCGATTCGGTCATATCTGGATTCAATGACGACATGCTCGACGAAGCAGTGCTCAAATTACTCACTGCTTTCAGCACTGTCTTGGTGTCGCCTTTCCAAAAGTTTTTCAGCTCAACTTTGTGTTCTTTGAGATTGGTTGGAATGGCAATTTCCACAAGGTCGGATGGATCTTGACTAGAGGCAAGTACTTGAACATATCTTGTAAAGTAATCTTCAGTGTTTTGTTTCAAACTGTCGAGTAAAGTGGTTGGTTGATAAACTTGTAATTTTGGTGAATATTTGGTCATGTTAATGAGTCCAAAGTAAACCTCAGGGAATGTTCGATCTGGAATGAACTTTCGTCTCTCATCATTCTTCTTGAATGCTTTACCATAAATAAGACATTTCATTTGATTGCATTGCAAAATACCATTGAAAATGTCAGAAAGAGAGAATAAATGTCCTCCAATATTATATTTCACTTTTCTGTAAAAGATGATATTGGTCACTTCAACTTGAGGTAAACTTCCAGAGACAAGCAATGCATGAAGTAAGATCAAATTGTAAGCGTTAATGAAAAATGTAAGTTTCTCTTCATCAGTCTTCAATAATGTCAAATCAACATGAGCCAAGTCATAGGATGAGTGAACAAACTTTTCCCATGCGTGTTTTCCAGGAAGGGTTAAATCGTCATATTTCAAATCGATTTGTACTTGATTCTTGGAGTCATCTTTCATTGATCCAGCAGTTTCGCTTTGACTGATAGCGTACAAATCTGTAGATTGATTGAGAATATCTAACAAATCTTCGAGTAGTTGTTGCAATCGAGTAATTGGATGACCAACACTCAAATTCTTCATGGTATCGTTAATGATGGACAAGTGTTGCTGAGACGAGCTCATATCAGGTTGATTCAAAACAATAGTACCTTCAGCCTTATTCGCATTCAAAATTCGTTGGCGATGGAAGCCATCATCTCCTTGACTTGACAAGAATAAAGCCAAACATTCGTAGAGACCGTCACTAGTCAAAAATCTTTGGAAAGGATCCATCATGTTCTGCAAGAGTTCAGTTTTCAACTCATCGAGTACAATGAGCAACTCATCGATATGTTGATGCATGACTTTTGTTTGCTCTTCCACACTCACTGAGCAAGTTTCATCCTTAGCAGCAATTTCTAAAAACTTTTTCAAATCCTTCACAAATTCTGTAGCTTTTAACGTTTTGGATTTCATTGGTGAGCTAATATTGATTTCATGTATCGAAGAGGCGTTCAAATAGGTGTTTGTGAACTTGTCAATCATTTTTGCACATTCCTTCATTTCATTGGTACTTGCCACACATCGATAACATGATGTTGCTGATGAGGTGTTGCTTACCCAAGACATGGAAGTGATTGAGGAACGAGTATCAGTATCAAAATCATTCAATAATTCTTCTTTGTATACTTCGGAGGTGTCAATGACCCAATCCATCTTCTTTTTCGAATATAATAGAAAATCATTGAGCGACTTTAAATCATAGTAGGCGATAATATTCTGTTCGTACATTGTCAAAGAGGATGTTTGTGTCATCATGATGATTATCGCATTAAAAATAATTAAATTCATTCGAATCGTTAGCAAGAGAAGATTCAACAGTTCAACTACTCACCTCCTTGTTGAATTCTTCAGACAAGAATTTATAGAAATATGAAGCACCCAATGGACATGAGAGAGTCTTCTCGACGGTGATTCCATTCTGTGCGTATTGGTCAATTTGGTCCTTGTATTCTATGAATGGTAGATAACAATGTTCAATTCATTGAAAAACATGAACAAACATTCAGAGTACTTACTGACAATGAGTTGATCAAGTTCAACTCGTTCTGTTTCGAATCCCTGCAGTTTGAAAGATGCCTGAGAGTCGGTGAGTGATGATTTTCCAAGTGAGGTAGATGACATTTTTTTGTTGGTTTGAGAGATTGTCCTACCTGCCAAAAGTCATGATAATCCATGTTTTAAAAATATGTGGAGAGGGCGTACTTTAAAAAGGCTGGACTATCACTCCTACGATTGAATCACCCATGCGTGAGGAGTTTTGTGAATTTAACGCAAATCAAAACCTCAAATAGAGAATTTCGAGCAAATGTGAATGACGCCGATAAAACACTGTTATTAATAACACCAATTATTCCGTGTGTTCTCCTTTGAAGCAGTAACCATCTCAAAATGGAGCATTGTGTTTAAATGCATCTTTTCAAAACCTCAAAAGATAATGTTCATAGAAATTTAGCAAATCAATTATGATAATAGTAATAATTTTGTAGATGTTGTACAAAACTACAAACACGCTCTTGATTTAATAATCTCTATAATTGTGTGAAATATCTTCCTCAACAAGATCACTCAATGTCTTGGTTGAACTTCCAATCTTTCCACTAGTTTGAATCTTCAATTCAATTGGATAGTGATCAGAAACAAGTTTCACAAGATCTTTGGCAACATTCAATTCACTTTCATATCGGAACACTTTTGGATTTTGAATTTCAAATCCTGAAGTTGAGAGTTTGCTATTGGCAAATGCGAGAGGAACCACAAATCGATCATAACTGCATGCACTATCAGCAACAGTGGAATCTTCATCGAGAAGCCATTTGAATCTATTCGAATCATTGAGTGTAAGAGTTTTAAGGGCTGTCTTGGACAAGTAAGAACAATCAGCATTGAAATCTCCAGTAATGATCGTGTTTTGATAGAAAGGAAGTCCCTTGAATGAATCATACACTTGAGTGAGATAATTGAGTTCTTTAGCAACAGCAGATGGACGAATATGACATCCAATAATAGCGAATTGCTTTCCTTTCAATTTAGCATCCGTTGTAATGAATTCAAACACAAAAGTAAATGGAGCTCTCTCGAACCAATTATCAGTGTCTTCAAATTGAATGGTCTTGACACATTTGACCTTGTCAGGATTATAAATAAATCCATATTGTTCTTTGGAAGCACTTCTTCCCAATCTCTCACTCACTTTGTAATCGTATCGTTTTCCATTGGATGAAACATGTTGATTCAATGCTTTCACAAGTGAAGCAAAGGAATCATCGGAACCATCTCTAATTTCTTGAACGAAAATAATGTCATATCTAGAAAGGATTTTGAGTAATATGGAAACCACTTGTTGTTTCTCCATCTTGGATTTGCCAAGAATTTGAATGTTGAAAGCACAGAAAGAGAGTTCATTGGATGGTGCGAGAGCATAATGATAGGAGGAGGTTTGTGTGAGTGAAGCCATGTTGTAGTCCACTACGAAGGAACACACAACGAGCATAGAGGCAAGAATCAGCACCAAAACGCCACTGCTACTGCTTGTTGTGTTGCTACGGGACAAGATGTTTTCGTGCGACATTTTTTTAAAGATGATGCTTGACAACCTGTGCGAAGATGCAATTTGCTAATAATTTGATTACAATCATAAAGTAACTTTTGCGAACTCGATCTTAAACAAGATTTTATTGACCTGCAAGCTTCTTTGCTTGTTGCCAAGAATCACGCTTGGTAATCTTATCCCACCAAGCAGCAACATGAGGTCGATCATTAATCAAATGACCCAAATTCACTTGAGGATGGAATAAGAAGCTACCATAAGGTAAATGATACAGATCTGCCAAAGTGAATTGATTGCCACCAATATATTCTTGCTTGGACAAGATCTTTTCATAAACATCCAAATAAGTGGTCAATTTTTGTGTGAGTATTTTCACACGAGCTTCATCAGGAGATCCCATACCGAACATGTTTTTGAAGACCAATTCAAAAGTAAGACCACTGACTTGCGGATCAAAGTAAGAAGTCTCAATAGATGCACCTTGTTCAAATAAACCCAAAGTCTTCACATCTGAGGATGGGATCAGCTCAGTACCTTGGCCCTTGTATTTGGATTCCAAATAACGGCAAATAGCACGTGATTCATAAATCAAGAAACCATCATCTTCAAGGACTGGAATGACTCCAAAAGGTTGCTTCTCGAGGAATTGTGGTTGTTTGTGTTCGCCCTTCGAGAGATCCACAGGGATCAATTCATAGTCAAGCTTCTTTTCCTTGAGTGTAGTGACCACACGTTGAACGCAAGTGGATTGATAGATTCCGTAGAGTTTGAGTACCATGATTGTTTTTTCTTGAGTGTGTTCCGATGAAGATGATTGAGATGATTAAATAGGTTTTCGGAAAGTGAGAAGCGGAAGCACTTTTTTGCGGTCATTGAGCTTTCACTCGACTGATCAAAAGAGGTCCTTCCATTCATTTGCATGTTACAACATTCATTGTAAAAGATTTCTTCAAAAAGAACTAATTTGAAAACTCAACAAAATCCCCAAAGATCATGGACGAATCATCTCGTCCAAGCGCAATACAATGGCCTTGTGAAATATGTGTGGACATTTCATGAGTGCTCTTAACAAGGTAGACGTTCTTTGAGCAAACAGAGCAAAAACGTATGTTGGTTGAAGAAAAATTCAAGCTTTCGAATCTTAATGGACACTTGTAAATAAATTCACAATTTTCAATAAAGAATGGAAGATTTTCTGGTTCCAAGGTTGGATCAATTTCAAAGTATTCTGTTGGAATATTTGAAGAGAGAGGTAGTAATTCACGAGCATGAATCTGAATGTGTGAGACTCTTCTTCGTAAAACATGAAGCCAGTTTTTCACGTTCAACGCTTTTTCGAATTTCGGAAAGTAATAACACACCAATGGTTTCCAAATTAATTTCTGAACTAGCTCAAAATGATGTTGCTGGAGTTCTTGTTTTTGATATTCCTCCACTGCATTCCTTGTTGTCAAAAAATCTCCTTGATTTTTCTTGTGTGTTTTTCGTGTTTGACAACTTTTCAATGCTCTCCGGAGTTTGATCAAAGAGAAATTTCAATAAAAATCGATCTGCCCTAGCAAAGACATAAATCGTTCCGAGCTCCATAAAAGAAACGATATTAATTAATACTTCTTTCGGAAAGGTATTGGAAAATATGTTCCTAGAAGCAGAGAATTTCTCTAAATCATCCTCTGCAGCACTGGAGAAAAATTTTGAAAGAGCAAAGCTAAACATTTTTTTGTGATGGATTTTTCTTAAAGAAAAGGAAATTTATTGTGTGAACATTTATTCTGACAGTTCACTGTTCTTTTGTTGAAGAAGGTCGTGTTTGAAATTAGTGTACAAATTATATTGATAAACAAGATGGGGAATACTTGGTTGATATTCAACAGCTGTCACTTCTAAAAGATTCTTCATCATGTCTGCATTTTCCGAAATTGTGGAACATATTAATTTACATCCAGGTTTGCCCAGTTTCTTTGCTATCGAAGTGTAGTTTTCCCATACTTCTCTGGTAATAAAGGGAGGATCAATTAAAATTAAAGAAAATGTGCCAAGTAAAGAGGAGTCTACATTGTCTGGTTGATTGAAATCCCAAAATACAAATCCTTGATCTTTTTCCCATTTCTTATCAAACTGTTATACAATATTGATTGAGCATACCATGTTTGTCAACAATTATCATAAATTCGTAATTACTTCTTGATCAACATTGAAAATATCATTCACATCAAACTCACCTCAAATAATTTCGCTTGTTGTTGCAAATCGGAGGTCATTGAAAAATACACGGAAGGAGTGGACATGAAGGCTACTCTGTTCTCGGAGCTCTCTTGTAAATGCTCCTCAATCACTCGAACAAAGGTTTGTATGGTATCCTTAGAATACCAGTACTGGTTGTATTCCGATTTTTCTGGGTTTCTGATAAGAAAACGATTGTTATTCAATAACGACATTTTTTGTTGCTGTTCTCGTTATGAATTCGGAACAAAGTTTGAGTAAGCGCATTCATCAAAAAATGAAAGAATACGGTCGCTATTCTCGAGGGCGGGTGGAGAATTATCATCACAATGAAAGAAACAGCACGTACCATCATCCTCGTACAAAACAACAGAATTATGATAATAACAACCGAATGCGTTATAATGATAATAACACATTTAATGACCAATATAGAAGTAGCAACAACACGCGTCATTACCCGAATAATGATCGGAAAGATTATTATTCAAGAAATAATAATTATCATCACCCGTACCAACATTCAGCACACATTTCAACCAATCATGGATATTCTGCAAATAATTATGAAAAAACAGACAAGTTACCGAGCGGAAATAAGCAAGTAACATTTAAGGAGTCTCATTTGGAGGAAGTTAAGGAACAACAAGCCTCACAACTATCTTCAACTTCCCATTGTGAAGCTTGTCGTCACTTGAAACCAGACTTAATGTGCAAAGGGTGCCCTAAATGTATTCACAACACGTGTTGTCCTGATGACATTCCTCGAGATCAATCTTCTTATTATTGCAAAGAGTGTTATACTGTGCAGGTGCAAATTAAGAGAGATTGTTGCGAGGTGGTTTGTTTAGATAACCAAAGAAAGACATTGATAACGCTGGAGAACTTGACTAATACACCATTAGTCAAGTGTCCACTCTGCAACCAACATTATAGGACACCTGCTCTTGATAATCATCTTTCCTTTCAATGGATGAAAAATATTGAATTTGATCATGAAGATATAATACCTATATCTTTGCCGGAAAATAATGATTTTTCGTCACCTTCATTAGAAGATGAATGGAACATTACGTTCTCAAAATTTTTACTTGTGGTTGGTTTTGCAAAAGAAACCTTAGAAGATGTTGTTAATTCCGTACGCTTTTCCATATCCAAATTTCAAGATAACAAGAAAGGAGTGTGTCTAATTGGGTGTGGCTCCTCTATAGAAGCCTATCAACTCGCTTGTTTTCTCAGAAAGCAAGTAGTGGCCAATTCCAGTCATCCAATGATTTATTTTATTAAGCCGTACAGGGCGTTACAACTGGAATTAAGCAGATTTGATGGTTCTAACGAACCAACGCTGAACCAAATAGAGACTGAATTGAAACACATGATATCTGATAAGGTTAAATTTAATGTGAAGCAATGGTCGTGGCGAAAGAGTTACGGTATATTAACATTCAATGATGATGATCATTGCATTTTGGTAATGTGGTATTTTCTTACTGAACCAAAACAAAAAGGAGGACATACATTACGATTTCTGAAGGGATCTTTGTGTCAGGTTAAACCCTCTAATTGCTGTGAAATTAGGAATATTCCATCAACAAATAGTTTCCATCTAGAAAAACTATGGAATGATATTATGGAAAGGGTTAGTTTAGCATTCAACTGTTCGATTGACATAATCGAACATGGACTTTTGCAGAATATGGAATATTCTTGTAATTGTATCAAGGTCTGGTTTCGAAGTGTCGAATTTGCTCAAGCATTCAAATTAGCGTTAGACGGAATGCAGTCCCTTCAAGTGGTGTATGTTCAGCCAATTGAAAAATAAAAAGATAAATGGAACCTTTTAAAACAATTATTCCAAAGCGTGATCTTGGAATCATTGTGCGTCCGCGACATTAACAACAGAAGTGGTATTGGGTTTTCAAATCTATACACTTTATTGGCCTAGTAGTCTGCTGGTTGTTCTTCAGCATTTGCATCTCCTTCAGCATTTTCATCGAATTCTCCATCTTCCTCAGCAGTAGCATCTTGGTATTGTTGGTATTCAGAAACCAAGTCGTTCATGTTGGATTCAGCTTCAGTGAATTCCATTTCATCCATACCTTCACCAGTGTACCAGTGCAAGAAAGCCTTTCTTCTGAACATGGCAGTGAATTGTTCAGACACTCTCTTAAACATTTCTTGAATGGCAGTAGAGTTACCAATGAAAGTAGCAGCCATCTTCAAACCTCTTGGTGGAATATCACAAACAGAGGACTTGATATTATTTGGAATCCATTCAACAAAGTATGAGCTGTTCTTATTTTGTACGTTGAGCATTTGTTCGTCAACTTCCTTAGTACTCATTCTACCTCTGAACATGGCAGAAGCAGTCAAATATCTTCCGTGTCTTGGATCAGATGCAGCCATCATATTCTTGGCATCGAACATTTGTTGAGTCAATTCTGGAACAGTCAAAGCTCTGTATTGTTGTGAACCTCTGGATGTCAATGGAGCAAAGCCAATAAGGAAGAAGTGAAGACGAGGGAATGGAATCAAGTTAACTGCCAACTTTCTCAAGTCAGAGTTCAATTGACCTGGGAAACGTAAGCAACAGGTAACACCCGACATGACAATAGAGACCAAGTGGTTCAAATCGCCAAAGGTTGGAGTAGTGAGCTTCAAAGTTCTAAAGCAAATATCGTACAAAGCCTCATTGTCAATACACATAACTTCATCAGCGTTTTCTACAAGTTGGTGAACAGAGAGAGTAGCATTGTATGGTTCGACGACGGTATCGGAGACCTTTGGTGATGGGAAAACAGAAAAGGTCATCATCATTCTGTCTGGATATTCTTCTCTAATCTTGGAAATCAGCAATGTACCCATTCCTGAACCAGTACCACCTCCCAATGAGTGAGCAATTTGGAATCCTTGCAAACAATCGCAACTTTCAGCTTCCTTTCTCACAACATCCAAAACTGAATCAATCAATTCAGCTCCTTCAGTATAGTGACCCTTAGCCCAGTTGTTACCTGCTCCTGTTTGTCCAAAGACAAAGTTATCTGGTCTGAAGATTTGACCGTAAGGACCAGCTCTCACCGAGTCCATAGTACCTGGCTCCAAATCCATCAAAATGGCACGAGGAACATATCGTCCTCCTGTGGCCTCATTATAATAGACATTAATTCGTTCTAATTGCAAGTCGGAATCACCATTGTATGCACCAGTTGGGTCAACGCCGTGTTCATCAGAGATGACTTCCCAAAACTTGGCACCGATTTGGTTACCACATTGGCCTGCTTGGATATGCACAATTTCTCTCATTGTATTGTGTTTTGTTGTTGTTTTGTTTTTTTTGTTGTAGTTTTTAAATGATTCAACTGAGCGGCAATTGGAGAGCGGGTTGTATTTTTTGGCGCCCAACGAATACAAAATTCTTACAATACGATTTTATGGTTGGATTCCCATTTTAAACAGACGTACGTGATTTCGTTCCCAATACGTTTATATCTTGCTGTCTCTATGATGTTCATGATATTCATGAACGTAGTAGGTGTCATCTGCTTGTTCATCCTTAATTCTGAAGGCGCTCAAGGATGGTGCTGCACTCTCGTCCACAGTAATATATCGGTTCATGAAAGCATCTATCCAATTACCAAAACAACACAAAAATGTTCCCAATGAGAGGACTACAAGAATATGACCTTGTAAAAAGCGAAAGAACATTTTAGAACCAGAGGCTGAGAAGTTGACTTTGAGTTTTTCTCTACCAAATCCAGGTTTTACGTTGGATGGGGCAAAGGATCCCAATCCTCCAAACTCCATGTTCGGCATTAAGGCTTTGTAATAATAACTCTTGATCCACGGTTCTGCAAATCCTAACAGAAATGTTGCTGAGAGAAGTCGGCAAATCCATGTCATGGCTTCTGTGAAAATTCCAGGATAGGCACTGAAAATTTTAAATTGACCTTTTCCACTGTCGTTGGGATGCCAAACTACTTTTGATGCTTCGTTTGGGTCGACAACTTCTCCCCACGATATTCTTCGATCAAACTCACTATAGTAAAAGAGGTGCATCATTCCACTAAAGTACCACAATCCAAACGTAAAATCATTGATAAAGTTATTGATGATACAAAGGATAGGTACTTTTAAGAATGGATCACTCAAATCAAATTCTAATCTTCTCCCTGCAATCACCATTTCTGTAACTTGACCTCGATACATGTTAAGCGCCACAAAAGCCTCAGCAAAGCCGAACGTAAGCTTGCTCAAAATCCAAATCAGTAATTCCCAGCAACAATGGGGTCCAATTCCAAAATATTGAAAGCTAGGCTGTTCTCCTTTTGCAAGACAAGGAATAATTTGTGAATGTATATTATTCGATGGTGGAATTGAATATGGCACTTGTGGAGGTGGAGAGTGAGATGTCGAATCTTGAATATAATTCGGATTATATCCCAGTGGTGTATTATTATTATCTTGTTGATCATGATACACAACATTTGGATTATAGGTTGATGGATGATTCCCATCACCAAACGGATTTTCAGTTGGAATAAATCGATCGGAGCTTGTTGTTGTAGGTGGCGGTAATGGCAGAGCGTAGGGAGAAATATATTGTTGTTGCGATCCTGCTAAATTGTTCGACAACGCATTGCTTGATGATGACAATCTATTTTGCTGGTTGGACTGTAAAGAGCGAGCATAAGGATGCATGGGATTATTTTTTTTTTGGAAATTTGAAATGAGAAGGAGGCGATGGTATTCCTTAAGGTTCAATTACAAGGAAAAGTGAACTAAGGAAGATGGTGGTTAGTGAAATTGAATCTTTGAAAATGCATGCTACAGTATGCATTTCATTTTGTGAGTATAAGGAGCAGCTTATAACATTGACACATGATGAGAATTTGAAAAAGGAAAATTCGTTCGCCATGAAAATCAAACCTTTTCAAGGCGACAATTTTAAAAAACAACAAACCCAGTCGTTGACTCGATCGAGTCACTCATTCTTCCTCTGAATCAACCGTCCTGCACCTCTCAACGAAACTAGAAGCCCAAAACCTAAAACATTCTCTCTCTCGGCCCGAGAGAAGTTTATCTCTTTGAATATACCCTTCGCACTCAATTAATTGATAGAAAAAGACTATTCACCCACAATCAAAGCAAGAGCAAAATAATATAAAATGTCTCCCCTGAACCCAATGGCTAAACTCTTTGCAAGTTGGTATCAACCAGTACATGTCAATGAACCAGCCTCTCCAACAGAAGTTTCAAGTCAAAGCACCAAGAAGCAACAGTCCAAATTTCCCTTCAAGAAATTTAAAAGTGTTTCAAATCATCTTAAGAGTGGAGGTGAAGAAAGGCAGAAACAACAACAAGAACAATTGGCATCCAAGTCAGCCCATGAGGTTTCATCATCCCAAGCATCCGAATTGGACAGTATCACTGTGCTTTCACGAGCCATTCCCGAATACAATCTTTCACAATTTCGATTTGGAGGTGTTTCGTCTGAAAGCCTATCCGTACACACATCGGATAAGGCTGAATTGACCAATTCTGGAGATGAATGGTCTCTCATGATCATCAGCAACCAACCTTTAACTTCTCAAACCAGGGTGGAAAACATTTTCAAATTTCCTTCTTCAACATGTTGTTGTGAAAATCCCTTGGATCGCATACTGATGCTTGCAGATAGAGTAAAGGACAAAGAACATGTGTGTCTCAATCGAGATGGCTTTCAAGCGAGTGACTCAATCTCCAATAGCAGCTCCTTTTCATCTTCAGAAGGGGTAGAGAATTCCAATACTTGTTGTAAGGAAATGGTGGACACTACGCCAACGTTCTTGGAGGAAGACTTGCCAATTGATAAGCTCTTCAAATCCAGAACTCGAGTGAGCAAGAAGAGACACACTTCGAAAAGAAAGAATTCTTCATCCTTAAAAGAAATTGATTTTTTCACCTTTTTATCCATGGAAGGTAACAATATTCAAGGCAGACGACCTTCAGTAGTGATTGTTCAAACAGCAGTAGATAGAAGAGTCTCCATTGTCGAAGAATATGTTGACTAGAGAATGGTCAACTGAAAACAATAAAGCTCACTGTTAAAAACTATTTGTAAATGTTTTTATGAATGCAAAATTGGATGCTTTCAAAATGACCGAGGTGTTGTGATAAATTTCTCATTTTCTAAACCCCCTCTTCACGCTAATGCCAAGGAAGTCCATGACATGGTGAGATATTGATGTACGGCTTTTACCATTACCGTCATCCAAATCAGAAATCTTCAAAGACTTTCTACTGGATTTTGGTTGCTTTCTCTTCTTTCCTGCAGTCCAAAAGTTTTGCGTCTCATCAACAGATTCACCAATAGATTCAGAAATGATTAAAGGTTCTTGGAGATCATTATTTGTGGAGTCGTAGAATTGTTTGCAACTTTCTTTTGGAGTGTCACCATACTTGTCTTTTGCTAAAAATAAAGCTGACATCTTGGACACCTTTACAACACCACAGTTTTCTATAAAATCATAAATCCAATACAAAGCATTCATCCAATCCAAACTTGCTTCATCAGTGTCTGGATCAAAAGCCATACCAGTAGAAAATACTGATTGTACACACAAATGAAGAATATTCTTTTGTTGGGAATCCACTTCGTTGAGAAGAATTGGAATGAGTCTGTTCTTTGTACTGTTTTTCTCATTTTGTAAGTATTCCAAAATAGCATAGAGAGAGGACATGTCGTTCTTTGCAATAGATTCCATGAGAATATTTCTTCCGTGAGCATTCTTCTGAAGAATGGCTCTCTCGAATGCATCAGAACCAAACAACGATGATCCAGTTGGTAAAAGTGTTGAAAGGAAAGAAGTAACAAGTTTCTTTGTTCTCATTCCTCTAAAGTCAGTCAAACAAGCAAACAATGCGTTTTCTTCTTGTTGATTTTTCTTGAGTAAAATTCCAGGCTTTGTCTTGGCCAAATATTCAACCGTTTCAATTGACTTGTCACGAACAGCAACATGAAGTACAGATTCTCCCAAACCAACACCCATACCAACAGTTGTTTCTAATTTAGCTCCAAACAATTGTAATGTGTCACACATGTCAAAATCTTTTCTTTTCAACGCAATGTGAATTGGTAAAAATCCATAACGATCCGCATGCATATTCAATTGATCTTGAACCACCTTAAAGCTACATAAATATGTACAAATGTTTGGAGAAGCTGCTTGAATACCGTAGAATAAAGGTGTTGCGTTTTGCTTGTCAACAGACGATAAAAGAACATTTGTTTTTCTTTGACAATCGACGCTATGAGATCCACCTCCACATTTTTCATCACAACATGCTTTTGAAATGATATGTGACAAGCAATCAGCTTGATTGGTTTTAGCAGCCAAATGTACAATATTAATATCAAATTCTTCTGGATATGTCGTTTTAAGAACAATTTGATCAATAGAAGGACCACCGATAGCACCACGAGAGGATGATAATGAAGTTGGGTTATTGTTCAAATTAGGAGTATTTGATGAGGAAGAAAGAGTAGTACCTGGTGGACTTGTTCCTAACAAGGAGGAAGAGGAAGAGGATGAAACTGAATTACATTGAGATGATTGGTGTAATTGTTGATTATTGGGTGGTTGAGACTCAACCGCAACATCTTCTTCTTCATCGTGATGATTGTTGTTTCCATTCAAATGACTACTTCCATTACTCGTTTGACTTGTACCTGGAAGAGGCGATGAAACGTTGTGATTACTGGGACTGATACTACTATTGGGAATGGGAGAGGTATTAGCAAAGAGAGGAGCCATCGTGGAGAAAGTTGGTGATTGAAGACTTCCATTATTGATGGTATTACTGGTATTTGTATTATAATGTTGTTGGGCATAATCTAATGCTTCATCCAAGATGGTACAAACTCGGTCAACCTGACCATTCACAACAGCCTGATATAATTGTTGTTTCAATGGATGTGGTACTTGATAAGAGGTTGATGATGAAGAAACGTTTAATTGTCGGGCCGATGAATGATGGCCAAGTTTAGGAGAGGAGGCTCCTAATTGTTGTTGTTGTTGGGCAAGTGAAAAGGAAGGATCAAGAGTCGATGATGAGGATGATGACATTTTGTTGGATCGGATCGGGTCGGGTCAATATTGAGAATGTCTGAACCAGAGGCGAGAGGAGTGTGAGTGAGGGAACGTTTCAAATGTTTTGATCGAACAACGTTTGTGTATTTCAGTTGGCGCAAGCGAATCTATCAAATTGCACGTTCAAAAGAGGAAAAAGGATGGCAAACGACTCGAATATTTGATAAACAAAAGTAGTGGTTGGATAGCGCAGTGAAGTATACCTTGTGCCAAAACGCCACTGTCTCGTCGAAGAATTTTGATGATTGGAAGAAGGCTGTTTTTATATCAAGCTGAAAAAGTTGCTGATGATGGTTTGTTGATGCTCAGAGAGATCTGTCTCTGATACTGCTTTTGAAACAGGTAAATTTCAGGAGAGAGAGGATGATGAGTCGAGTTGTCAAAGACACAATAGTTGCAGTTGAGTGTCCACACAGAGGGTATTCTGAGAGCACTTTTCGGTTGTTGGTGTGCTTTTTGATTTCGTTGTGAAAGACACGGCAAACCAATTGTTGAAGGATCGCAAGTCTTTTTTTTAAAGTCGATCTAAAGTCATCGTGAGAAAGGTCAATTTTGCGTTCAAGAATATTTCACGTGAAAATGGTTTTGGAATTGACGTGCCTATTGAAGAAATTGAAGCAATTCATGGTTCCGTTAGAGAGCATTTCATGACGAGGTGAGAATGATTTTTCGATGTTGTTGGAGCAAGCGAACGACGGAGTGCACGTTGCTTGGAAATGTTTGGTTACAATTTTAGAGTTTCACCAACAATGAACAGCTCTGCAGCCATCATGATGAAGAGGATTGATCCAATTTTAATCTTTGACCAACAATTGTAGATGTTCATCACTTGTTTGGTTGCTGAGGTGACACAATCAGCCGTACTTTTTGTAAATAATCTTCTAGCGTATCTGTAGTGTGTAAAGAGAGGTCTGCTGTCAAGTCGTTCTCATTCGATTTTCTCCTTGTTTCAATAACCTTAATGAGCCCAGCATGAAAGGATGTGCTTTGTGAGGTCTGAATTTTCTTTCGGAAAGACTTTGGGATCTTTCCTCCGAAATCTGTAAAGTATATGGAGGTATATCGAGTGGTATTGGAACTGATCTGTTCGATTAACGTTCCTCCCACAATAAGGCCTCGAACGCTTCCCTTTTCGACTGGCACTTGCTTTGGACAGATACTCTTTCTCACAATGACATAATCATCACTCATTGTTCCATCATCGTTCAACTCTCTTCTCACTGAAGTACCCATTAAAAATTCTCGTTTTGAAAGAGGCCATGGCATTTTCATTGTGCAACGATGGTAACACACTGAATAATCACCACTCAACTGAGGGGATAAATCTTCTGAAAATCTCAACGTTGTGTTGTCTTTGGATTCAATATACTCCTTGAACTTTGTGTCTTTGAGGTTTGGATCTAAAATGTTACTGTATCTAGAGTCTAACATGGCGTTTAACACTTCTTTCGAAGTTGCATTTACAATTCCTACATTCTTGAGAAGTGGAAGACCTTTTGTTTCGGATAAACTTGCACCTTTTTTGAGTTGTTTTTGAGAGAATTTGTAATTCAGCATTTTGGAAAAGGCTTGTCCATTTAGGATGGATGCGCTCTTAGAGTCTGACCTCAATTCTGAAAGTCCAAAATTACTGACACTACCAGTATCACCAAGTTTGTCAGTGGATTCATCAGGCTGATCTTGAGTCAAAAGGGGAGATGAAAACTTTTCCTTGCTTGTATAACACTTGAGTGCTTCATGCTCGACCATCAGATCAAACATGTCATCTTGTGCTGTTAGATCGTAAAATAAATCGAAGAATCTCTCGTTAATGAACTTGTGTTCTTGCTCTTTGAGAAATTCTGAAAATCTTTCCTTAATAAAGACAGGTTCGTCTTTGTCATCACTAGATTGTGACATTGTTTCAGCTACTGCTTCATCAGCGGCTAGGAAAAGTGTACTCGCAGATTTGGAATACGCAGTGGTTGGAAGTGAAAATGAAGAGGTCATGCTTAAAGAATGAACTCTTGATCTACGATTGTTTCTGAAGCCAATATCAGAAAAATAAAGGACCAGACACTTTTTCAAGGCCTCAATGTTTGTTGAACCTATCACATGTGGGATTTCTTTCTGTACATGACCACAAATATGCTGAATAAATTGTGGACTATTTGTATATCGCAAGAAACTGTCAGTCTTTAGAGATATATAAACTTCAGTGAGTGCTCTATCGAACAAATTACTTGGTGTTAATGAATCTGAGCACTCCTCTTCGAACTTTTTGAGTGTCTCATCTTGTATCATATTAGGAAGATTCAATTGTTTGTCACTCGTCAGCGAATCGTCAATATAGGTTGCTATCATGGTCTTTGCCATTTCATATTTCTTGGTGGCATCCGTCACTTGTTTAAAAGACTCTACAATTTCAACAAACTCGAGTGGTGCATCATTTCTTTCAATTTTTAAGAAATCTCTAAAGCTTTCCACATTGTCTCCTCCTTTTTCGATAAACGTGTCAAAAACTATGGTAAATCGCTTCATATTGTCAATCACAACTTGTTTAAGGAGCTTTTCGTCAATAGGAGCTGATTTAGAGGAATTACTCTTTTCTCCCAAGCTGAGCGATGACAGATCTCCATTCAGAGGAAACATACCCAAAGGTGTTGTAGGCATTGATCTAGAGGATTGGGATGCTTGTGTCACGCTCAACGAACTACTACCCGAATGTGGTCCTAAAATGGTGGAAGCACTGTACGGAGAGATGGGCGAAGTGACTTCACGACCACCTGGTGAGCTGGGTGGAGACTTAGGAGAAGTGATGGAAAGTCCAGAGTCATGAACGCTTTCTCGTGATGGTTCAGATTTTCGGAAGAGCCTCATGTTGATGAATGAAGTTTTTGACAAAGTCTTGATGAAACTAATGTAGAGCTTGTGGTTTTCCGTCCAAATCAAGTAGAGCTCTACTGCTCTTTTGTTTTGTAGAACTTTGAGTTGTAGTGATGGTTGAATATTACAGCAAGAAATGCTGAATTCAATTGAACAAACACCTTTTTCACGTTCGCTAATATTATTTACAGTGTTCAGTCCACGGAGTTGAAGAATGTTCGTGTTGAGAGACCTTTATCATCATCATCACCATAGCGAACATACAATCCTATCAACCAAAGGGTGAGCAACATTGCGACATACAAACCTATCAACGATATGTTGTTGTTTTCTTTGGAGAGTGGAACTTGAAGCACCCTTTGGTGATTAAACAATCACTTCACTTCCATACAAGTACTTTGGAGTTGCATTTGGCAGGGCAAACCCCATTCCAGAAGTTGAAAGGAATGGAAGAAATCAACACTTCTTTCGTTTCAAGTAATTTCCTCAATAAATAGTTCGAAAAGGTTTGAAACGAACGAGTGGAATGGAAAACCTATGGATTGAAATTGGTCATTATGGAAGTGTGAGTGTCAACTCGAGGAGTCATGCGCAACTTGTTTTTCCTCTGGTTTTCAATGCGGTTGGGAGGTCATGGTTGTCCCTTGATGTAGCTACTCCCTTGCTGTAGCGAAGAACTTACTTTTAAACAACATAGAATTGTGTTTTGGTTTCATTATCATCACGCAAATTGCAACTGGTGGTTTCTGTATGCCATGCACAGTCTTGTTAGGAAAGAGTCAATCACATTTGGTCTCATTCCCCATAAATTACAATATCTGTGCCGAGAGACAAGAGATGGATTCAAATGTTGATTCCCAACAATTTCGCTTGGAGTGAAAAAACGTTATTGTGAGAGAGAGATACAGCTTATTGTCGTTTCTGAAAATCTGTGTGTACAAGCGGATCTCATCATCCACCTAACAAACATCTCACCAAACAGTTTGTCATCCAATATTCAACTCGTCGTACATTCGACCGTTCGCAACCATTATTTAATAACCGTCAAAAGAGAAGTGAGTGCATCATTATCACCATCATCAACAACAACATCACCATGCCCTCGACGCTCTCAACATCAAGCCAACAACAACAATTTTTAGCAAATGTTCATCATGCCATTCAAGAAACACTCAAACAGTACCAAATTCAATTGGAATTATGTATGAGCGACCAGCCGTTCATGTCTGGCTTTTTTGATTTTCTAAAACATGAACACAACTCAGGAAGCCTGGAATTTGTTATGAGCGTTGACGAATTTGCATTCGGAAAGATGATGGTTCGTCCGATGAAGAATACTCTTTTTTCTAATTCTTCCTTGTCGCCCTCTTCATCACCCACCAGTGGTTCGTCATCATCGTCATCATCATCACCTCTCAAAAACTTGCTGAAAACCAAATCAAAGAATAGTGGTAGTAATAATGGTGCATCTTCAACCTCCACTCCGAATAATAGTAGTAGCGTACATAACATCATGGCCATGAATAGAAAGCAAAAAGCTAAGGAAATAATTAGTCGATTTATGGATGATTATTCGCCTTATCAAGTGAATTTATCGTATCCCGTGAAAGAAAATATAATAAGGAACTTTGAGAAGGAATGTTTGAGACCAGACAATGAGATTGATCCTCATTTATTTGATGAGGCTAGAGTGGAAATAAGTTTACAGCTCAATTGTGACAGTTTTGTGAGATTTGTAAAAAGTAGGCAATTTATTCAATTCATTACTGAGATGGTACTCAAGGATGTTTCCTCACACAATATGGATCTCGTTTACAAGTATCTAAGCTCGTATTTTTCAAAGATTGGAGAAAAGAAGCTATCCATAACACGAAAAGGATCGAATTCACCTTCTACGAATTCACCTTCTGCATTATCCCCAACCTCTTCAGACACATCTCCTAATACTAACAACAACAACAACAACAACGAAGACGATATCATTAGTTCTCAAACCACTTCCATGGACGAAGAGGTTGCATCGATCCATGAACAATTTCGTACGCTCATGGCTTGTATTAATTGTGAAACAGTGGATGATAGACATTTTGATTTGGTGCATGCAATGATCAATCTCGACAAATTATGGACACTGGTTTCTGAAACACAACAATCACTGACCTACGTCTCAGAAAGCAAATTTTATCACAATAATCGAGGGTTAAAGATTATCAAAGAAGTAGGCATTTTGGAAGCAACACCAGAGGAAGTGTTATTTGCAACCTTAGATATGAGAATATTAGGCATTGTCGATGAAATGATGACACAACCATCCTGTGTTAAATTTGTACAGAATGACAAGTATGCCATGTCGTATTTAAGCTCTAGACTGAAACTTGTATGGCCATTAACCGATCGACATTTTGTTATTGGATCCTCAGTTCGAGAAGAGCATGACAATTTTACTGGATACACGATTGTCAGAAAATCGCTAGAATCTAATGACATTACAGTTTTTAAAGGTTGTGTGCAAGCAATCTTTTTAGGAGGAGTAGTTATTGAGAGAGTTAATGAAAAGCATACTCGTATCACTTTGGCAGGATTTCTGGACATGGGTGGTAAATTTCCAGTAGGTCTGTTCAACAAATTGCTGGCAACAAGAGGATCTAAACGAGTTGAAAATTTCTTGAAAGGAATTCTGAAACGAAGAGAAATGAGTGAAGAGGAGAGGAGAATCAATTCAGAGAATTCGTGTCGAGTGATTGAAACTTTAATTTATTCAAAGAGTAACCAACAACGAAATGAATAGAGTCTTATCTTGTTTTCATCCTTATTTGTCTCTCAACCAATTCCTCTCTTATTAACGAGCTTTTAATTTTGCATCTTACCCAGAATGATAGTTTTACAATTATTCCTCAAAAAGAACCTCTTGTCATGTTGTACGCTTCATGAATTGCACCCAAGCCCAACAAGACCCTTCACACACTCAATGGGCCTTTGCCTTTTAGAGATTTGGCAAGTCCTGACTCGGAAATAGGCACGACCGTTGGAACGTTGGTTTCGCGAACGTCATTCTCGGCATTTGATTATGACAACTTATCAGCGCTCAAAAAAAACAGAGAGAGTGAATCATCGACGAATCGACACACTAATTATTATTGCTGTATCTCTACTAACAACAAACACTCTTTTTGGGGTTTCTTTTTGAAAGGGTTTAGTCTCCTCCTTGTTATTATATTGTTTCACAGCTTGTCTCTCACAAATAATATTTTCACTTTTACATACGACTCACAAGATTTCTTTCACACCCGACAATTTCTCCATCCTATCCACAATTTAATTGCACCCGGTAAGAAATTACGCACCTCCCAACCACAACAACGTCAACAACAAAACAAACACTCTCTTTTCACACTCTTTCCACTCACATGCCTACTCTAGCTTCCTACTTTACCAGTGTCGACAGTGACAGCGATCATTTAGATTTAATTCCTTCCTCAAGGATACGCGCCAATAACAATCGAAAATATCCGTCCCCAAGAGGTATGACCACTACTTCCACTCAACCACAATTTGTTGCAAATGACTCTCCATCTGGTTCACCTCCTCCCTCTCCATCATCCTCTCAAAACAGCTCTCATTCACTCTCCATCTCTGAACGCTCTCGATCCAAGAGCTGTTCAGGAAGCCCCAATTTGTCACCTGACAGCACCGCCACCTCACGAAGATCCAGCAAAAGTTCAAACAGTGGTACAAGTTCCAATGGTGGTTTCATGCCCATTGTACACTCGCCAGGTGTTCAATTAGTGTACGGTAACAATATTGAAAATGGTTCTGTACCAACAACAATCAATTCATTGAGCTCGTCCTTGTCAAGCTCACCTCGTATCATGGTCGATAGTTATGAAAAAACAATCAAAGAAATTATCAAATGTTATCAGTTCAATTTTGAAAAGTTTATTACGTCTGGACCCGAGTTTGTCGAATCGTTTAAAGAATATTTGAATTTGGAATGTAATTTAGCTCCTTTTGAGTTTTGTGAAAAAGTGACCGAGTTTAAATTATTGAGCTTGCCACAAGATCGAACAGATATGGCTCATTCAATTATTGAAACTTATGTGAAGATGGCAAGTGACAAGGAAATTAATATTTCAAGCAATATTCGAGAGGTCATTTGTTCTGAATTTAAATCAAATCAATCGAATGGAGAAGTACCACTTTCACTTTTTGATAGAGCTCTCGCGGAAGTTCAATTCTCATTGAAGAATGACACTTTTCAAAGATATGTCACATCGAATGATTTTGTGAAATTTATCATGCATCACATTCAACATCACAGCTCAAATTCTCCAACCACTCTGAATCACAACACCACACTCACAAGTACAACCATACGAAGAATCAGTACTTGCAGTGAAGACGAAGATGCCTTTGACACCAACACTATTCATAATTTTTGTAGCTCCATTGGTACTCTTTCTCCAACTCCAAGAGGAAGAACTGTATCCTGTGCACAACAGTTAATTACCATACAAGTGGAGCCCACCCATAGTCATTGAGTTCTTTTTGGACAAGTATAAATTTCTGAGAATATTGTACAAGGAACTACTACCAATCAACACTCTCGTTAGACAATGAACCACCACCTTGAATGTTTGAAAGACTCAAAGAATTCTCAAGTTGTGCACAATTTTGAAGCATTTTGAATGCGCCATTGAAGAAACATGGAGTTTTTGCACCAGTTTTGTAATCCTATACCTGTAACGTAATTACCTTCTCTGATGAGAATGATGACACCACTCATCTTCAACATTTGAACAATCCCATCTATCGTGGAATGATGAACAACCCGATCGAGATCAATAACAACTACATTCAAATTCCTCCTCAACAAGATTTTCCTTCTCATTTTCCATCGTTTTCATCTCACACACAAAAAAAATACGAAAACAACAGATTGTTGTGTCATCTTTGTGTATTTCTTCACAAACAAATTCGATTGTTTTTAAATACAACAAACACTCTTCTGAGAAATTTATAACCATAATAATTAGCGCTTGTCCTTGTTTGAATATTTTGAAAAATTGTCTTGATGACCAAACATTTCGTATTATTGGTTTCAATTTTGTTGATTGTTGTTGTATCATCCGTGTTCATTCCGAAGCCTTTTTTCACACTTGGTGAAATTATTCAAGTTCAAGTCGTGTCACGACATTGCGATCGAACAACTATTCATGAAAATGAATACATTCCAAATGATCCATTTAATTGGTATTCACAATTAGGTTTAAATTCTGGGTAAGTTCTCTCAACTCTACTACGTCAGTTGTCTGCAATCATGTTAACAGTCAACTTACAGGTCTAGGTCAACAACAATGTGCACACATGGGAGATGTTTTATACAATCGATATTTACATCCCTTGTCTAGTAATAGAATTCGAGGAATTTCCTCGAGCTATAATCAAACTCAATTTCATTTCCGATCCACAGACTATGATCGAACTCTCATGTCTCTTTGGAGTGTGAGTATGGGATTATTTAAGCAGGGAAGCGGTAGTACAGCAATCATTAATAACGAAGAACCAAATTTAGGGTTTTCTTTACCAAACGGTACACAAGCTATTCCCATTCACACTGAAACCAAGGATATGGATGCTCTCATTCGAGGATTTGAAATATGTAACACTGTTCAATCAAGAATGAAAACTGCTGAGGAAGGTCCTGAACAAACCAAAATTCTTAATGAATATCGATCATTTATTAATCAATTATATAACGTGACAGGATGGAACAAGAGAGACTCTGAGTTGCATGTTTTATTTGATTTATTACTCACACAACATTCTCATCAAGCCTTAAATTTGGAATGGGTTGTAAATAATTGGAGAACCTTGGAAAATCTTCGAGATAAATTATTGAGACTAAAATTCAGCTATGACACCATTGGAAGAGAAGGATGTAGTAATTTTCATAAGAATTTATTGGAACAAATCAAAGCTCAGAAGGATAAATATATTCACTACAGTGCTCATGATACGTAAGTGTGTGTGAAAAAAGAGGAATTTTATAATATGCTAATGTATTTTCTCTATTCAATCTATTACGCCAAATTCAATTGTGAATGAATTTCAATTGTGAATTATTACGTCATGCACACAGTACCATGTAAGTTGAAACAATTAACATTGTTAAATAATTGTGAAATATTTTTATTGTAATCGCTTGACATGATCAACAGACAAGCATTAGCAGCTAGTTTGAAACTCCCTCAGGACTATGAATTTATGGGTGCTCATCCTCCTTATGGATCAAATATGGCATTCGAATTGCACCTTTTGGACAATAACAAGAAAGCCATTCGTATTGTCTACAATCATGGATACAATGACACAAGATTTAGACCATTGACACTCACTAGTTTTGGATGTTCACAAGAATTTTGTGATTTGGATATATTTGAGCAATTACTACAGCAGCAATCCATCTCGAGCAATTGGTGTCTGGATTGCAATAATCACGATCGAGAAGTATGCTGCGGAAAGTTCAATAAGGGAGACAATGACATTGCCATTGCTTTTGTATCTTTGACACCCATTCTTGTAGTGTCGAATTTGGTAACTGTTTTAATTTTATTGGTGGTTTGTTTAAAGAATAGAAGGAAATATGGCTATCAAGATGTATGAGTTGTGTGATCCTACAAACCTTAGCAGTCATTCATTAATACATTGATCTATTTTTTTATTCATAACAAGGACGCCGATTTTTCTTCCAAAACAAGGTGATTTTCCTTTTTTAAAAAGCTCAGCGCAGTCCTCTTGCGCTTCATAAAAAACAACATGATGAATGAAATTTCTATTCAATTTAAAAAAAAAACAGTGATTGTGATCTATTCCTATTCAACAATGAGCTCACCATCTTCCGAAAGAGAAAAGCTTCTTCCTGATTCTTTCATTAAATTTTGTACAGAGCTTGTCAATTCCGCTGAAGAGAGAAGCAACAATA